CTGCAGAGGTAAGGACAGACAGTCAGAGGCGGTACCTAGTCCCCCGCCCTCCCATCTCAGAATGATCTCAACCAGGATGAGGCTTAATTGCTGTAGCAAAACAGGAGCTCCGGTGACTTCTTAGTTAGCATTCCGTTCATACCAATGCACCAAATCATGTCCCAAATGTTGTCCGCACTTCCCTTTTAGGGCTTCTCATCCTTCAAGATGATGCTGTCTGTCAGTCTCTCCTTTCGTCGGCACTGTTCTCTGTCCCCCAGTATTCCGGCCCTAAACCCCCGGTGCCCCGCTCTTCTTACTTTTTCCCCTAAAACATGGTTTGGAGCAAAGGCAACGGTGAGATGTTTATTTTAAATTACTAGTTTTATTTCAAGCCAGACCCGATTATTGAAACGGACCCACCATTCAGTTTCACGTCTGGACAAGGGGCATTTAAGTAGTTCCTTCTCTGTCTTCTTGAGCAGGGTTGACAAGCGGAGACCCAGAGACAAGCTTGGCCTCCGGCCTGTTCCAGTAAGTGAAGTGTTACATGGGGCCGCTTTCCTGTCACAACAGCAGAGTAATTGTGACAGCGACCAGGCTGCCTGCAAAGTCTAAATTATTTCCTACTTAACCCTCTAGAGAAAATCACATGTAGCCAGAGTAGAAATGACCCCCAGAAAATTGCTGCCCTTGAGCAGGCTTCTCAAGGGTACCTGGGTCTGGCTCCAGCGTTGGCTTTACCCAGAAGGAATAGTCTAGTCACTGATTTTTTCACACATGGCAAAGGTTACAAATTCAGCTTAGATGCTCAGGTCAACATCAAGGCTATTCCACAAGAATAATACTTTGTACTTGGGCTTTCCCAAGCCCCCTGTAATTTTGCTGCCCTATTTACTTCAGGGTTGTTTTTTTTTTTTTTTAAAGTAACTTTCTTAGTATATCCTTTTTCAAGGAGAACAATTCTTAATTTAAAATTTTTTGCACAGTGGAGCCATAAAGAGCCAGCATGGCCTCCGTGAATAGGGGTGGCCAAATCAGGAAGGTGACAGGAGAAGCTAAAGAAAGAAAAAAACCATGTCCTTTGAGGGAAAGAGCATAAATTCGCCATCAGAGGCTGGTGGCTCGCTCCTCCCGATACAGAAGTCAGTATGTTTGCTGGAGCTCAGTCAGACTGCAATTCAGGCAGAAGATTACATAGTCCTCCAAGGCCACTAAGTGGTGTGCATGGGAAAGAGAGGGGACAAGTACAGATTAATTAAATACAGGCACATGTCTCTGGGCCACCATGTGTTTGAAGTTAGGGAAAGAAGTCTAGGGACCAACAAACTCTGCATGTGCAGAGTGTGGGCTTTCCCCACACCTGGCTGACAGCTCTGTTCACGGGAGGGGCCTGCGGAAGCAGACCCATGCACCATGTGGCAGGCTCAGTGTTGGTTGTCCACGGAAACTCCTCGATGGTATGGAGCTCAGAAGGTTTGCACACGTAAAGTACAGGCCAGAGTACTTTTTGAGTCTGGGAGCTTGCAACCCAATTCCGCAGGGTCCAGCTTCACAGAATGATTCACAAGTCCTTCAGAAGGAAAAGGTATCGTGAAGGTCTGGGCTCCATTGCAATCAGGCAAGGGCGTCTTCCTCCGATTTGTTCACCCCGTTACCATCGATGACAAACCTGCGTACATACACACAGAGACCCCTCCTGCGGACCCCGTATTCGCCTGGCCCCTTCGGCAGGGAGCTTTGTCCTGGTCACCGTCACTTAGAAAATTAATCGCTTTCACCTAACACTCAGATCTGCTCCGCTCCCTCCCCTCCCCACGGACCACCGCGACAGCTCTCACCGTCAGCCATCTTTAATTTTCCCACTCTCATTGTGTCCAATCATCTGCCTTACATTTGGTATGTGCATCACTCGTAGTCTTCAATGTGATTTTGTTTTTATTAATTTATTTATCTGAAAGAAAGAGGGGAAGGGAGGGAGAAAGATAGGGAGAGAAACATCGAGGCAAGAGAGAAACGTCAATTGGTTGCCCTTCGTACGTGCCCCAACAGGGGACTGAACCCACAAACTAGACATGTGCCCTGACTGGGAATCAAACCCGCCACCTTTTGGTCTGCGGGACAACGCTCCAACCAACTGAGCCACACCGGCCAAGATGAACATGATTTTAGATGGTGCACAAAAGACCAGTTTTATTTACAGCACCATTTTAGTTAATTGCATATGTTCACATTCATGTGCATTGGGTAAAAATTCACCAACACACAAAACATCAATGTCTTTGCTTAAGAAGAGCATCGGAGGTGGGGGCGGGGGAGAAGTCTATGTAAATATCAGAATGTAACTATATTCCAGGCACTGTGTAGAGCAGCTTACGTGCTCCCTGAGCGGGAGTTGCACAGGAAGAGCTGAAGCCTGGTACCCATTGCTTGGCATTTCCCCCACTCCTGCCTTGGGTGACTGAATCATCCCATTGCTGCCGGACAGGCCCACGTGCCTTTGTCCCGAGGCGTTTCCTTGGGAATTTGCAATCAGCCCTTGCTAACTCCCCTTTGCTGACAAACCCTACTCTTTACCTTCTTGGAAGAAGGGGCAGAGGGTCCAAGTGATAAAGCTCAGGATGCACAGGAGACAACATTCTTGGCCATAGAGCAGAACATGAACCAACGCCTGTGAAAGCTCTGATCTAAGATGCTGTGTTTCTCATGTGGGCCAAGCCGTCCGATGAGGTTCAGCAGCAGTTTCAGGGGTGATGCAGAATCATACAGCTCCCCATACGTCATCACAAAGGTGTCAGCAATGGAAGAGAATTGGACAGGATAAGAAGTCGCTCCCTTCTGGACCCAACCCTTCTTTTACTCCTTAGTGTCTCCTGATTATGAGGGGCCAGGGAAAAGCAACTCACTGCCTTGTGAATCTCTCGTGCAGGAGTTGCTGAGTGCCTGCGCTGTCCAGCAGCGACAGGCGCCTCCCCGTATGGCCCAAGAAGCTCCCTTGCCTGCCCTCTCTCCTTAGACCCGTCATTCTCAGCCGGGGAGGATTTTGACCCGTAGGGGGCATTTAGCAATGTCTGGAGACCTGTTTGGTTTTCATAACTGGGAGGAGGGGCCAGCGCTACTTGTAATCCAAGGCCAGGGAAGCCGATTCATATACTACAGTATGGCCCTGGCCCAGTGGTTCAGTTGGTTGGAATGCCACCCTGTGTACCAAAAGGTTGAGGGTTCAATCCCCAGTCAGGGCATGTACAGGAGGTAACCAATTGATGTTTCTCTCTCCCCTACTTCTTCTCTCTCTCCAATCAATAAATATGTTCTCAGGTGAGGATTAAAAACATACATATAGTTAATATGGTACAGAATGCAGGGCAGTTCCCCCCAACAAAAAATTATCTGGCTCAAAATGTCAATAGGGTTGAGACTCTTCCAGTAAATCATCTTCATTATCAACAAAATTTCGAATGTAAAAGAAACAGGAAATACTTCTGGAGGGACGGTTTGCTGAAGTGGACAGAGCTTCCTGGCAGACCATCCAGGTGTATCCGTGGATGTAGAAGCTTGAGGTTAGTTCTCATGGAGAGTCACATATTCTGGATACTTCTTCTGTGCCCCACTATTATAATTCCTGCTCCAGGCCCGTTTCTTGGATTTTTCCGAATTCTGTATGCTCCCTTGAGTCATATCTTATTTTGATAGAGTTCAGATTGCTCTCTTTGCTTATGTTTATGGTAGCCCAGTGGAAGACATGAAAACTAATATGAGGCTGCTTGAGTTTGAATTCTGTGTTGACCGCTTAATAGCTATAAAACTTTCAGCCAAACACAAAACTTCTTTAAGCCTCACCTAAAAAATGGTAAAAATTTTCCTGGCAGGTGTGGCTCAGTGGACTGAGTGCCGACTTGTGAACCAAAGGGTTGCCAGTTCCATTCCCAGTCAGGGCACATGCCTGGGTTAAGGGCCAGGTCCCCAGTAGGGGGCGCACGAGAGGCAACCACACATTGATACTGCCTTCTCTTTCTCCCTTCTCCCTCTCTAAAAATAAATAAATAACATCTTTTTTTAAATGGTAAAAATTATAGCAATAGTCAGTTTTTGGTGAAGATTGGATGAGTCGATGTACGTAGATCCCGTTTATAGTGCTTGATGTATTGTGAGCGCCTCACAAATTTCCATTGTCTTATCATTGGCCAGGAATTCTGTGTCATCCTGGTCTCCAGATTTCGGTGAACTTAGTGGGGAAGGGTTGCCTAGTAGTTAATAGCACAGACTCTGAAGCCCAATTTCCTGGGTTGGGATCCTGACCCTACTATGTACTTGTTGTGTGATTTGGGTCAAGCTCTCTATACTTTCGTATCTCCATTTTCCCGTCTGTAAAATGGGAATCATACTGGTCTCTTGTAGGGTTAGTGTGAGAATTACTAACTTAATATCGGCAAAGTATTTAGAAAAGTCCTCATATATAGTTCTAGAGAAATGTAAGTTATTCACTCTCCTGTTTAGATCTCTTGCAATTTTAAATCAGAATAATTTTTCTCTTCTCAGGGGAATGAGTTGTTTCTATTAGTCATGAAAAGTTAACCAGCATATACAAGACCAGAGATGCCACAAGAAAAGTTATGTAATTGTAAAAGAGCCAGAGTTAATTCAACAGCAAGGGCGTAGTGTTCAAGGCCGACTTCAGGATAAAGGTTCAGAGTGGGCGGAGGAACAACCAACTGCCAAAGACTTCTGCCTGGGAATCAGGACATCTGCATCCCTGTTCTATGACCTTATTGCAACTTTTCTATTATGGGCAACAGCTCCCACCAGGTGGAGTCCTCACTTTCATTCCCATAACCTTCTGGAAAAGTGGTTAATGTTTACATTTAGTGTGGAATTATCTTCCATTTGATACAGAACTGAATTCTAAATTCAGCTGTGTGAGTTGCTCGTGAAGTCACGTGTCCAGCACCTGTGGCCATGGCATCGGTGACGAGCCTGGAGGTATAAATAGAAGATGAAAACCCTTCGTCCTATGCGCATCTGATCTGGTGAGCAATCATGAAGACCTTCATCTTCCTCGCTCTCCTGGGAGCTGCTGGTGAGTCTCTATTACTAAAGGAATCTGCAGGTGTTCTGGCAGGTATTTAAGCTTGCATGTCGTACTCTGGAAGACAACGATGAATGTTGACTATAATCTCTTTTGTACTCAGAAGCTTAACATGTTGAGACAACAAGTGCATAGTACATATGTCTATAGAGGAATAAGTCTCACTTGCTGGGGAGAGATCGCTGAGCAGAAGGAATCAGCGTAGATAGACATAAAGAGGCAGAACCTGCCCTAAGATTCAAGGTAAAATCTGTGAAGATGAGAGAAAAGGAAAGGATAGTCGACCGTGAGGAAATGCTGTTCTGACCTGGCCTAGGATTTAGAGCTAATAACGAGGACTAATGATGAATCTTGTGCTCCTTGCGGAAGCTGTGGCGGTCAGACCCTGAGTCTTCTCTAGACGAAAGGGCATCTTAGCAGGGATCGTAACAGACAAGGATATTTTGTGTCTCATGAATGAAAGCCATGGGTTGGGTTTTACATCTTTGCTAATTAAATGTCTCCAGTGTAAAATAACTGGATGCCTGTCAATCATCGAAGGAGAGAGAAGTGACTATTTTTATACTGCTAAAACTCACTACTAAATTTTCCCAAATTGGGCAGGTATAAATTCCATACAGTGGCCTGTATACCCAGAAATGTCTTTCTCAAAATTTCTTTTAAAATACATAAGCAGTAATACACATATAAGATAATGAAAGGTTTTGGAGCCATAAGAAATCTTAGTATATCTGTATAAATTGAAAAATGTTGGAGAGATCTTTGGGATAAGGGAACAGGTTGGAGATGGAAAACTTATAATGTTCTATAAAATTATTTTGTGAAAACTTTAGGTGAGAACCAGAAGAGAAATTCTGGGGTGGCGAAGGGGAATAGAAGTACAAACTTCCCATTTTTCTCCTTGGCCAGCACATTCTCAGGTGGTTCCTAAAAGTTTTCTTTGTGTTGCCTCCTGGGCATACATATCCCATACCAACCACCACAAACAAACATAATGCTGGGTATTGCAAAGCTTTACCGAAAACCATTTGCATGGCTGCTGAGCAGGTTTTATTCTTAGGTAGTGTTACTTGGGAGATTTATTATGTAGAGTCTCTTATCTGTGTGTTGGGGGGGGGCATTACATATGAAGAAAACAATATATTTATCCAATTTAAAGTATGAACTAAAAATCAGGCCTCTGGCAGGTCTGGTTCAGATGGTTGGAGCATCATCCCATAAACCAAAAGGTCGCAGGTTCAATTCCCAGCCAGGGCATATGCCTGGGTTGTGGGTTCAGTCCCCAGTCAGGGCAACCTAACATCGAAGAGAAACATCGATGAGATGTTTCTCTATCTCCCCTTCCCTCCTTTCTCCTCTCTCTAAGATCAATAAGCTTGTTATTGGGTAAAGATTGAAGAAGAATTAGATATTTAACCATGCTATAAGTAGGGTATGTGTTAAAGGTACAAAAAAAACTAAGTTTTGGGGAAAACTACATTAAATATCACCATTTCCTGATTACGTGTGACAGGAAAACACTATCTGATCTTTTCTGGTTAATCTGTAAAAACTCGGTGGTGAGTCAAAATTCCAAGATGGACCTGTTAACAGATAGTTCTCCAACTTTCCTCGCCAGTCGCTTTCCCCAATGATGACGACGACAAGATCGTCGGGGGCTACACCTGCCGAAAGAACTCCATCCCCTACCAGGTGTCCCTGAACGCCGGCTACCACTTCTGCGGTGGCTCCCTCATCAACGACCAGTGGGTGGTGTCTGCGGCTCATTGCTACAAGTCGTAAGTAACCAAGGCTCACATCCCTGTTCTTAGAATTAACTTGTCCCCCAGCCCTGCCACGGCCCAAGCCGGGTAAACGACAGAGTTAGGATTGAGGGGTGAACACGCATGTTCTAAGAGCCTCATTAATCCTCCAGGCACTGAAAGATGTGTGGAAGGACTTTCACACGGTGCCCTTAGAGTCCCCTGACATCCTTCCCAATAAAGACACAGAAGGGGACATAGTGAGTGGGGAAGTAAACTTAGAACTAGCTGGAGAGCGTTAATCACTATAGCTCACCCAGAACCTACTGCCCAATGGAGGTAATAAAATACACGAAATTTCCAGTGCATGGACAATAAGCACAACTCATTCTGCGTTCATACCTCTGATTGCTACCACATCTCCCTACAATAATTGGTAATCAGGGGAGAAATGGCAGGCGCCAATTAATTGCCACCAACTCCCTTATCACCTCCCACTGGTTTACCGGTGTCACTTGGTTCCCATTCCTATGCCTTCCTGTTCCAACAACGGGGGGCGCTGCGGGTCTGTGCCTGCAGTGACACCCACCTAAACAAGGCTCTAACTGCCCCGTGTCTGGTGGGACTGCTTTAGGGGTACGACTACCTGTGTGTGAATGCTGGACGGGGATGGTATCCACGCAAAGCTCATGAAGGAGGTGTACTGGTAACGGGGAAAAGCTCCAGCTGAAAACTTACAGAACTTTTAATCCTTCAATCCAGCCGAATCCAGGTGCGTCTGGGAGAATACAACATTGAAGTTGTTGAGGGCAATGAGCAATTCATCAATGCAGACAAGATCATCCGCCACCCCAAGTACAACCCCAGGACCATCGATAATGACATCATGCTGATCAAACTGAGCTCACCTGCCACCATCAGCTCTCGCGTCTCCACTGTCTCTCTGCCAAGAACTTGCGCAGATGTTGGTACCCAGTGTCTCATCTCTGGCTGGGGCAACACCCAGAGCGTTGGCAGTAAGTGTCACACGAAACAATCACCAAGTCTGAGAATCCTGGAGGCATGTGGAGGGTCAGTTAGTCCAAACTGCCACTCAGGACAAGGTTCCCAGAGGGAGTCTGTGGGCCTATGGAGCCTTAGAAGGTATTAATGGAAATGAGGAAGATTCCTCTGGTGAAAAACGCAACACAAATGAACCATAATGGAGATGCCAGGTTGTCAAGTGAAGTGATTAGTGATTTGCAGAGAACTGGGGGCTGAGGGCGAAACAGAACTGAGACTAAGGGAGTTGGGGCTGCCTGAGGCAAAGACCGGCTTGACAAATAAAGTCTCTAGATTTGAGATCAGTGGTCACTCACGCTAGCCTCACAGAGGTAACAACTTGTTGGCCAAAACTCTTTGGAAGGCCTTCCAGATAAAAGTTGTTCTTCCAAAGTAGAAGTTACTGGCAATCTGAATGAAAGCGTGGGAGTATTGGGAAGGAGGAGAGAGAGCGCAGGACAGAAATTTCCCAGGAATCCTGTGGATAACCTTCTATTTTCACCCCTGCGCCCGACAGCTAACTACCCCGAGCTCCCTCAGTGCCTGGACGCCCCAATCCTCTCCGACAGCGCTTGCCGCAAAGCCTACCCCGGCCAGATCACCAACAACATGATGTGCCTGGGCTTCCTGGAGGGTGGAAAGGATTCCTGCCAGGTGAGTTCCTTCGCATTCCTTCTCTTTCCAACTCCATCTCATGTATCTCCACCAAACATTCCCTCTCCTGAAACACAGAACATTGAAAGGCTTTCTTTAGGATTGATCACGAGGGGTGAGGGATAGGTTTGTGATAAACGATCATTTTTCTATTTGCTATGTGAATGGTTAGAATTAAGGGTAAAAGGATACATGGGAGATGATGTGTGAATAGTACATCTAAGGTGCCCTTCTGAGGATGCCTATTGGAGACAGACACTCTTTGAAGGGGCGGGGCAACTGGACAGCCTTACACTTGGTCATCCTCACCTCTTCTTGGCCCTGCAACTAAGGAACAAGAAGGATCTAGAGGGAAGGAGGAGGAAGAATGGGGATGTGATACAGGATGGAGGGTAGGATTTCCAGGGGGAAGAGAAGGGGCTTTATGCAGAACCAGCAGCCTGAAAAGAGGGCCCCAGGATAATGGAGGGACATTGAACCTTTATCCCAAGGGGCATGGTTGAGAGTTCTAACGTGGCTTTTCCCTCCTGCTCAGGGTGACTCTGGTGGCCCCGTGGTCTGCAACGGACAGCTCCAGGGCATTGTCTCCTGGGGCTACGGCTGTGCTTTGAAGGGCAAGCCTGGTGTCTACACCAAGGTCTGCAACTTCGTGAGCTGGATTCAGGAGACCATTGCTGCCAACTAAGCCCTCTCCCTGTTAGACAACTTCACCTTCATCCTATGGCTCAAGACAGTACCTAAATAAAAGCATTTTGTTCTGCACCAAATATGTCCAAGAACTGGCCTTATTGGTATTCATCAACTTTCCCTTGAAACTGTCTGCTGCGTAAGCGGGTAGACATACATTATATGAGGGTAGAATATGAAATGTTACTTAGTTACTTATTCACCTAGTCAGACAGTGCTCTGTCTTCATGGCATATGCGTGCTAACTGGGTAAACAGAAAACAGAGATTATGGACTATAATGCTGATCAATGCCCACACCATCTAGCAAATTGGAGAAAGGAATGGGCGAGTGGAAAACAGCGATCTGCTTCTATTATACTAAGAAAAGCATCAGAAGACCTATGAAAACATACTACAATTTAAAATAAAAAGCCATTTTGTAGTCCGAAGAGATGGCTCTGACCAAAATACATTTATTACAAATAAATACCTAATTCCTGATTTAATAAGATCCAGAAAGACATGGTATTTTTGTAGCAAAAATGAGGAAGTGTAAAGAGGGAGGCATCTAAGATTACGGACAATGCCAAGAGACAAAAGTTTTGTTTTGTTTTCTTTTTTCATCTAATTATAGTACCAGACAAATTTACTTATTATTTGCTCCTGAAAATTCTGAGGAAATAGCTCTCACCTGTCAACTTCAAAGTTATGACATTTTGCAGGTACGGAAGCTAAAGCAATATCAGCACTTAGAAGCTTAGCTGTAAATATTTTTTTCACATAGGACATATAAACTGGGTAGAAGGAATTTACCTCAAACTGGTACACTCCATAATCTAGTTTCTCAGCAGAGGAAGCTGTACGGAACTGGGGATACCTTAAACCCACAGGCACGTGACCATTTTGAATCCCTGACTTCAGGAGGAAACGTGTTCTGGGGCCCTGCTGGACCAGGATGGTTTGCTCCCTGTGAGGATTCAGGGCGCATCTCTCGCTTCTGCAGAGGGGCAAATAGGTAATAACAACAACTAGCATTTTAAAGTATTTTCTATGTGCCACATGCTATGTTTGCGCTTTTAGATACTACTTAATATTTCATCCTCACAAGTATCCTGTGAGGTAGGCACTAACATTTCTCATATTATAGTTTAGAATACTGGCTCATGGAGGTTAAAGGTTTTTCTCAGGACAAGGCAGCTGGTAAGTCCCAGGGCTGGGAACGGAGCCCTTGAAGTTTGACTCTAGCATCTCAGCTCTTTGCTGCTATGTTGTTATATTAACAAACATGAAAATGCTCAAAAGATTTAAGGACTTTACAACAATACATGGTCACTAAGGGAAAAAGATGTCCCTAGGAGCCTGGAAAATATGGCGATCCTAAGGTTACGGTTATTTTATTTAACAAGCATTTATATAGCGTTTACTATTTGCCACTATAAGTCACTGTTCTAAGCTCTGTACAAATAAAAAATCTGAAAGAATAACCAGCAAAGAGATGACAGAAAGCAAAAAGTAAACAAACAAACTCTCAACACCGAAAGCCCCAGAACCAAATGACTTCACTGGTTAAATTCTACCAAATATTTGAAGAATTAATGCCAATTCTTTTCCAACTCTCCCCCTGCCCCCCAAAATTGAAGAGATATCACTTCCAAACTCATCCTATGAGGCCAGAGTTACTCTGATACCGAGGCCAGAGAAGGACAGCGCAGAAGGCTATCCAGGGGTGTTGTCCAGCCTTTTGGCGTCTCTGGGCCACGCTGGAAGAGGAAGAGGTGTCTTGGGCCCCACATTAAATACACTGCGACACATAATCACAAAAAAATCTCATTATGTTTTAAGTAAGTTTACAATATTGGGTTGGGCCACATTCATAGCCATCCTGGGCTACAGGCAGCGCCCGGGCCGTAGGTTGACCACCCCAGTCCCTGACTGAACCCCCTGTGTATCATATCTCAGGGAGGGGGGATTGGGAAGTTTTCATGGATCGCTAACTTATAAAAACGAGTGTGGTACACTGGAAAGAGTGAGTGTCAAAATCACCCGAACAGGTAAGGAGATGGATTTTCTTCAGATTCTTGCAATTAAAAGACATTCCAGACTCGAAAATCCATCTCAGCAGGATGGTTTTGCCTTGCATTTTTATTGGGAGACACCGACAACTTACAGGTGGGGAGGCTTACAGTGAGGCTGTTCTGTGTCAGGGGACTTCGCCGTCCGCCGTCTACATTTAGCTAGTTTCAGAAGAAAAGCAGTTCTCAGCTCAGCTGATCATTCATGAGGCAAATAGTGAGGAGCTGGAGGGTTTGTGTCCTGTTCAGGGCAAAGGGGAAAGGTCTGTGTTTGACCTTGTCACGGGGAACCAAGGAGTCCTCTGAAGTCCTGTGGGAGCCACGAGAACGTCTCCTCTGACTCACGTGGGGGAGGGTATTTCTTTGTGGCAAGCCATTTCCCAGAAGACAAACTTCCCGGGGGATATTTTCACCCACTGCTGTTTTCTTGGAGCCCAGGGCTCAGGTAAAGGTCAACCTGCCAGGGGAAATCTGTAGCCTCAGTTCCAAGTCCTGACATTGCACTGACTTCCCTGAGGACCGCAGCATCCTTATCTCTAAAATGTGGGGGGCAAGGGCAGGGGGGCGATCGATTACATTTGTTTCCTACCCCAGCATTCACTGGGTCTACAAGAATGGCTCTCTGGGGGTCTCTGGGGGAGGGGTGGTGGCAGGGGAGGGCAGGGAGAGAGGGTAGCAGTCACAAAGGCAGGAGGGGACAACAGAGAAAGGCGATGTCACAGAGAGGGAAGAGGAAATGTGAGCAGATCCTGCACCACTCACCACTCCTGCGATTTTTAGGGTCAGAAAAGAGGCACCAGGGCCTGATTGAGCAGGCTCCTTCCTCTCGCTTACCCACAGCAGAAAGCTCCCGGCTTCTGTCCTATAAATAGGGATAGATAAAGAGTAGTTTGAAGACTACTGTAAGATCCCTGGAGCTCCCCCTAACTCCCAATTAAAGTCTCCCCCACAAGCTGTTCTTAAAAGAGACACTTGGACTACAGATTGGGGTCATTTCTAGCTTGAGCCAACGCATCTGCTCCTGGCGAGATCGCAGCCGCCATGAAGTACTGTCTCATCTTCACTCTCCTGGGTGCAGCGGGTGAGCGTCTGCGCCCTTGTTGCTACCTCGGGAGAGAAGGGGTGGTGGGGGGAGGGTCGGAAAGGGTCGGAAAGGGAGGTACCTAGCCACGGGGGAAGAGCTAGGAAGCTGTGGGCATTTCCTTCAATTAGCTGGTAAAGGAAACAGAAGGAACCACACTCAGGCACAGCCCACCACATCAGCCCTCTCTCCACGCCCTCTGAGGCCTGGGAGCCTGTTTGGGATGTGTCACTAGTAAGTGCCCTATTGTTGAGCGTGTGGTATGCTGGGTGGTCACGGTTCCCACACGGCCACGGTAAAAGCAAGCCTTCCCTCAATGTGGGCTGAGCACTGGAAAGGAAGGTGGGCTGGGTCAGGAGCCCTCAAGCCTTGTGGGCCCATGCAACCTTTTCCATTCCTTTGATAAGTTACCAGGGAAACCCAAGTTAGAGGGATCCCCCTCCTAAGAGATGTGACTGGGAAGACATGACTCAGGAGATCTCCCTCCTCAACTCTTGATCTTGCTTGCAAGAAAGAATTCAGGCAAGAGACAAGTACATATAGTGGAAATGAGATAGCAAGTTTATATAGGAAACACACACAGGCACAAAGCTACAAGCAGGCACCAGGCTAGTCTGAGTGCCCTACACATAGAGGAAAGAACGTAGTAAGTTTGTTGGTAAGTTTGTTCTATACACCTGACCACCTGGCTACGAGTGGATGCTTAGTTCATCTGAGTGTGCTGGCTATTGGGGTTCCGGGGTTATGTACTTTAGTCAGTGTCTAGATTCCTCCTCTTCCTCCCCACATCTAGACTTTGGATTAACACGTCGTTTTAAAGGGCTTTTTTTCCCCAGCTAGTGGAGATGATACATAAGAATTTCAAGGGCTCCCCTCCTTCGGAGCTATCATAGTTTTGCTTGTGATTCTCTGGATGCCTAGCAATCTTATCGGACCAGGCTCAGGACAGCTGGGTCAACGGGTGAGACACGTCTCTCTCCTTTTTTCTCCGCCAGCTGCTCATTCCTAGCTGCTACCTACCACTTTCACCTGCAAAGCCAGAGAGTATTTAATTTTTTACTTCCATGCCTGGCAAGGACAGGTGTCAGTTTCCTTAAAGTGTAGAGCTTGAGAGGCATGCTCCGTTCCCCCTGATTTAAAATGAATATTTAACATACCGTGAAGACATTGATATTATCTTTGAAAACCTTTGGCCGGGAAAAACTACCCTGGCCAACACTCATGTCTCAATCTCTTTGTCTCTCTTTCCACCTGTGACCTCTCATCAATTCTTTAGGAGCCATTCTGGTCAAAGAGTCTAAAAATGAAGAGTCGAGCCACCCGGAAGATTTGACTGTTCCTTACTTGGTCTATTTGCAGTCCAGCCCAGAACCCTGCGTGGGGTCTCTCATTTACCCCGAGTGGGTCCTGACAGCTGCTCACTGCCCCTTACCGTGAGTACCCCTTGGCTCTTTGCTCTTGAGGAGGGATGTGGTTAAACAAAAGCGGGGCTTGGGGCATTTCAGCACATGCAAATGGCATTCTAAGAGCCTAAGGGGGCCCAGGAAGACAGAGGATCTTCTTCCAAAGACAGAAAATCACACACATGGGTCCGTTTGAGAGAGATCCCTAGGAAGGCTCCTGGAGACTCTCATGGAGAGTAAATCGTATTCCTTCATTTAGTGCCTTTACTGGACACTCACTACTTGCCCGGGAATAACAGCAAGGGGACAAAGACGGAAATAAATTTCCTATCCTGGAGACGACGCTCTGGTAGAGGAAGAAAACCAAAAGAAATAAGTGGCCAGAAAGAGAACATGAAAAGAGTGGTACACTGCAATAAACAAGAGATCCGCTTCAGTTAGGGTGGCTGCGGTGGCCTCTCCTGAGAAGGGACCCACAGGAAGAGGAGGAGGCAGCCAAGGAACTCAAGCTTGGGGAACGGAGTTCCTGTGTAGTCAGGATACCTGAGAGACTGGTGCTGGCTGGGTGTAACAGGTCGGGGTGCGGGGCGGGTTCCCAGGATGAGGGTGAAGGCTAGAGTGCATGGCCCAGAATAATGCCGTCCCTTGCAAATTTCAGCGTCTCTGTTGTGACTGGGTCCAAGGAAGTCCCAAGTGATTGGGACTTACTCAGAGTTGTAGGGGCATGCAAGGGTCATTTCAAACTCAGAACTCTCAGCCGCCCGGTTTCTTAAGACAATTGACTCAAACACAGATGGAACCCCTGCTGCATCCATTATGAGGAATATGAAGGAAATAAAGACAGTTCATCCCTCTAAGAAATTCTGATATTCTGCGTGAACTGGGTTTCTCGCGATGGAAGCGCGTGGGTTTGTCCAGGGAGTATAATGGAGAACGGTACATGGGAACCCTCACAGAGTGCCAAGAGTCTGGCAAATCTAGGGTCAATGAAGGAAGCACATGTTCAATATAATGACATGGACCTGAGAGGAATGGAAAGGGCCTAAGAATATGTACAAACAAAGAGTGCAATATGCTTTCTCAAGAGTTGCTTGAGATAGTGTAGTATATAGGCAAAGGGCTCTGGAATAATGGATTGCAGTATCATCACCATCATCACCATCATCATCACAACTAGACTGTACAGGCACGTTCTAGGTGGCAGATACCATGTCAGCTTTCATATATACGTTGACTCTAACATAACAATCCTGGAAACCATTGCTATTACTATTTTATAGGCCCAGGAAGGTCATTTCAGTTCTCAGGTCTAAGAGATAAAATTAAGACGTTTCTTGCAGTTCTGACATTTTATTACCCTGTTCTGTTTAGTTTGTTTTTTTAAAACCATCTCTCCGCCCTCTTTCTTCCAAAGTGTTAAAATTCGACTGGGAGTTTTTCAACCCAGCATCACAAGTACCAAAGAGCAGGAACGGAATTACTCGTTGACCGTGCCCTACCCTGAATTCAATGCGCACACGCTGGAAAATGACCTGATGATGGTAAAACTGTCCGAGGCTGCTGTACTCAACCGCTACGTGGGAACCATAGCCATAGCTCTGGAACCTTTGGCACTTAATGATTCCTGCTTTATCCCAACTTGGAGGTGGAATGTATATAAAAACTGTAAGTGTGTTCTTCAGGTTGCGGAAAACAGGGAGGGATACACTTGAGGGAAATAGGGGCCCTAAGGTAATGTTCTTGACTTTTAAGCAATGACTTTCAGGACCTAATATACCAAGATTAGAGGCCAAAAAATAAAATTCAAAGAGACTGATAGAGGTCAGCCAGTTGGACATCAACAGACAGAACAGGCAGTTATTGTTACATCTCCAGAATCAAGATCTGAATCCTGGAAAGTGAATTTAAATAAAGGTGGGTGAGTAGCTCACTCTAAAAACAATATCAAGGCACATCGGGTGGAGGGGGCGGGGTGTGTCTCGCTGCCTCATGCATGGCTACTGAAAGTCCACCAAGCAATTATGAGACAGCAGTGAGAAAAACAAAACAAAACATGTGCTATAGGGTGGCAACCGAGGATACTCCCACCCCCGACCACAGACAGCCCAGCCTATGCCAATGGTGACTCAGGTGGACCCTGAGCGATATGGAGGTGGCTGAGGCAGCCATCCCTCCTGTCACCAGGTCTGTTTGCATGAAGAGAGTTAACATCATCTGTAGAGGCGTGGTTACTAGGGTGAGGTTCTTGTTGATTGGTTGGCACTCTGAGGCATGTTTTTTGGAGGGGTCTGATTGGCTGACTTTAAAAAGTGGCATTGATCGATTGGCTCACCAAAGCTGTGTCCACTGGGGCAAACTGTTGTGGACAGTAATCAGGTTTAAGCCCCAGTGGCTGCTACAGAACAAGTCATCTGTTCCGTAAGAACAAGCAAAAAGTAGGAGCTTTGAAAATAATTTTGTTTTGCAAACAAACAAAGTTAACTTTTCTAAATACAAAGTAGGAACTTTTATATTCTTCACATTGGGCAACTTTATTTTTAATTAAGAAGCCCAATTCCTGGGAATCTAAGTGAATATATTTGTTGAACACATCAAAGATTTATGATTTTTATCCTTGACTACATAAGTCTGCATAAAAAGTGATTGCATCTCATTTTACAAAAGTAATTTATGACATACCACTGGAAAACAAAACTATACAAAGGTTTTATCACACAGACTCTGCACAGGATCGTGGTAAGTTTTCTGGTGCAGTCCTCCCAATAGTTATTGGGAATTCATTATTTCAAGTAACTAGATTGCTTTCACCTAGCTTGTTCTATGTATTTCAATTCAATTCCCCTGAAACTTTAAAATTGAACCTAACTGCTCTTTTTTCTGATGCATCACTTTCTGGTCTAATCTGCTTTAGGACATTAGATTGGATACACTTCATGAGGAAAATCCTGCTCCACAGAACACTAAGTTTAGCTTGAGCAACTTCTGGTCAATTTTTTTGTTTCCTCCTTGCTATTCTCTACCAGAGATTAAAATTGTATATCTACATTAGAACCCTTGTATCCTGACATTAACATGATACTAACAACTGCTATCTTAGAGATGAATAACTACTTAGGGGAAAACATGTATGTTTATATATATATATATATATACACACACACACATACACACTTATAAATAATCCATTTAAAAATAAACATTACAAAACACTTTTAAACACATTAAAAATAGTTTTCTCCTTCTATGACTAAATTAAAGAAGGTGAAGTAGGTGCTGAAAAGACAGATTTTTTGGAGACCAAGGCTTTGTGTCTGTCTCTTCTCAAGGTCACTCATAATTTTCTCCTGGGTCTTCAAAGTTTTCTAAATCGTGCATGGTAGGCAGAACCCCAGATCCGACGTCTGATGGAAGGAGGAATTCCCACCCCGAATCCACTGCTCTGACACAGAGCTACTGAACATGAACCCTGAGAAGGATGGAATGCGTGCTACCAGCAAGAGATATTCTCAGGGATCCATGCATTTGCAAAGTTGGGGCTGATCGCAAAACTACGTGGATCCAGAGAGTAAGCCTGGACTTCATTTCTCTTCTCCATCCCACAGTGACTGACCCTGATATCCTCACTTGGACAAACCAGTATTCTCTTCCCTCCCATGAGTGCCGGGGCATGATAACCCAAAGAACGACAGTCAACATGATGTGTATGGGACAACCTCTGAACAACGTATATAAAATTAAGGTATATTTCTTTTCCCCAGACAGGAAGGTAGCAAGGGTCCCATGGGGAGGAGAGGTGATTGTGGGGAATCCAATGGTACTTACCCAAAAGGCCTGAAGTCCCTCTTTTCTCCCCACTTAGTCCTGGGTTTGTCATTGATTCCCTTAGCCTCCTTTAGAGTGGAAGAAATTCTCAGTAGAGCCACCTGTCCTTTTCTTCACCTGCTTCCTCTCAGGCTGGGCCAAGAGGGGGGAGACCTACATGGATGTGAAGAGAGGGTTTTCACCTCTCGAGGAAAATGAGTCCAGTCCCTTAAATGCCCCTGCTCCTATAATGTGCCACCTGTTGGGATTTATTCTTGTTCCCTGAGGACAGAACAACATTGACCTCCTGTTCCCTCTCCCTGGCAGGAAGTTGCAGCTGCTCCAGCCATCTGTGCTGGGAGGCTGCATGGAATCTTGTCCTGGGCCAAAGGCAGTGTCACCCTGGGAGGTGAAGGATTCTACACAGAAATTCACCCCTATGCCAGATGGATCCTAAAAATCGTTAAGAGTCACTGAGGCTCCCGTGTTCCTCCATGACTTTTACTCTGGATTCCCAACTCTCTTGATCATTCTTCTTCTTGAACAGAATCCACATTGTAAAACCCAATAAAAAATGACAATAAGTAGTCATGTTGCGACCCCTAACCTCTTTTTCTTATCAACTGTGAGAACGAGAAATTCAGCAACATCCTCACCATTCATTCATTCAAAAATGTTGCAATGCATCGGCTACCCAGAAGGCACTGCATATGCTAAGGGCACATGAGTGAATATGACATAGTCTTTGCCATCGATCAGCCTGTGACAAATGCCATAATTACGACGAGCAATGAGTTTTGTGAGTGCATAGAATAAGAACATATCAGGGGAGGCGTGACCAAAGACGCAGACAAAGTAGGAGACGATATTGTAAAACTGAGGGTGTAGTTAAGTAAAAGTCTGAAAAAGCATGAACAATGTGGCATGTTCTGGAAAGTATACGTAAGTAATACTAGAAACAAAACGGCAAGAGAATGTGATAAAAGATTGCTGTTTGTAGGTGAGCAGGTGTTAGTGAAGGGCTTGCCCTGTTCTAGATATTTTTATCTTGTAGGCATCAGACGGGGCATCATTAACACCTCCATGTTACAATATCACCACCTTTCTGAATTGGGAGAGACTGAAGAAGCTGCATCCATACAACTGAAGATGTTTTTGACTGTGAGTAGAAAAGAGAAAGAAGTATCTGGGTTAACTCCCAAGTTTCTGACTTGGGCAGCTAGATAGGTGGCTGGTCTCAAAGATCATATAAACAGAACCAATGTTTCCATCTCTAGGGGATCAGGGGCATGAGAATGAATTAGGAGAGATGGGGCATGCTATTTTTGGCATCCTTGAAGGACACAGAGGTTGTCAATTCTAGCAGACAGCTGGAGACAAAGATCTGGATCTCAGATAATGTCTAGGCAACAAAAGCTGGGGAAGTCTATATGGAGAGCAGATTCAGGCTTTGGTAGAGTTTTGGGCTCTGAAGAAGAGCTCTGATGAATGCTTTGTCCTTCTCTCACGGTGGCACATGGTGGAGAGGTGAACAGCATCCCTGACCCCAGATACCTAAAAAGACAGAATTGAGAGGATTCTGAGTTACATAAGAGTTGGGGTTCAGAGTGCTATATGAGAGGCCATGTAGTTACATGTAGGAGAGGGGTGATGTAACTTGGGTCAGGGAGATGGGGAGGGAGGCAGTCACGCCATTGGAGAAAGAGACTCTGCAAAGAATGAAGAGGCTTGGTGATCCATCCTATGAGGGAGAAGTGAATCCATGTGCTAGTAGAGATTGCAGAGGTAGGTTGGTTCTTGGACACTGATATACTGTGAACCTGGAGGTTTTTACCCCCTACAAAAGCCAAAACAAAACAAAAAAATAGATCTGGGTTCTGAGTAAGATCCACAGGCTAGTCCACTCACAAATGCAAAAATTATCTCAACTTTGGACACCAGGCCATTCCTTTCAACTTTGCTGCTCTTTCTTATTACCTTTGGCCCATCCAAACCACAAGTCCCTCTGTTTGTCTATCTAGGAGCCTCATTCCAAGTCTCTCCATGCTTCCTGCCTCTGATCCATTGCCCAATGCCCCCTGCTATGATCACTTTCTGTAATTCTGAAATTATGTCTTCAACGCTCACTGACAATTCTATCCTCCAAGTCCATTGTCTGTGTAATAATTCATAGTGGCCGTATCAAACACCCTCCTCTCTCCTCTAACCTTCAGGGCTCACCATCAGCAGATGATCTCTGGGAGTAGAGGGAAGGTGAAACCATCAGAAGATGCTTCATGCCACTTCCCAACGCCCAACCTGCAAGCATAGTTTTTTTCTTATTCATTTTTTTCCCACCCTTCCTGGATGGGAAAACCATTCATTATATCACAGTTTCTGTAAGTCAAGCTCACTTCCTGGGAGTGAAGCCCTATTATCTTTAGCTTCTATCTCCACCTTTCACAGGGCTCTCATCCCCTTTGACTTCCCAACAGGCTTGCTTTATAGATTACCTTTCCTTTACCTTATTTTTCCACTTCCTCAATCTATTGCCTTCTTCCTGTCACCATTTAAGCCAGATAAAGCCCCTCCCCTCTACATTACAGAGGCCAAGGCTAGTCTCCCTGGATCTACTCTCTGGTTGCCTCCTCTGTCTTCTTCACCGGATGTTCTTGACAATCCCTGAAAGTTCTGCTCTGTAAACTTCTTCTGTCTCTCTTCATACTCTGGGATGCGCCCTGCTCGCTTTTGAGTCCTGGTTCTTCTTCCCAGTGATTTCTTCCACCATGTCTTCCTTTGATTACTTCTACTCCTCCTTCAAGCCTCAATCAAACATCACTTCTTCAAAGTGGCCTTCTTCTTATCCTCACATGGGGACTCCATTATGTGTTTCTCTCTCTCTCTTTACTTCCCACATTGTGACATTTCATGGTGGCAAGTCTTATTACACCCGTTTCCCCTCTTAGTCTTTATGATCTATGAGGGCATGATTCTCATCTCCCTTGCCATTAAACCATCAATATCTAATAAAATGCCAGCATACAATAGTCATATGTATTAGTTTTCCTGCATAAAAGCATGACTACAAATCAAACAGCCCAAACAACATTTATTATATCACAGTTTCACTAAGTCAAGAGCCCAGGCATAGCTTAGGTGGATCCTTTCTTTAGGGTCTAGAAAGGTTTTGAGGGAAGAATTTGCTTCTAAGTTTATCTAGGTAGTTGACAGAACCTACTTCCGTGTGGTCATATGACACAAGGCCACTGGTTTTTGCTGGCTGTCAGCTGAAAGCCGCCCTGGCGTTCTTAAGATTGTCCTCAGTCCGCAGAGGCCACTCACAGAGTTCTTTGCCAGGTGGGCTTTCTTCATCAAGCCAGTGGGAAGAATCTCCCTTGTGCATGCAACAAGGTGGAGGTATATATATAAACATAATCATGGGAAGGACATCCCATAATTTTTGCCATGTTCCATTAGTTAGAGGCAGGTCATAGGTCCCACTCATACTCAAGGGGAGGCAACTGAGGATTATGCAGGGTATAAACATGAGTGAGTCTGTCCTCCACAACATTAAATAGAATTTTGTTAAAAAATGAATTTACTGGCTCCTGATCTCCTACACAGGGAAGACCCCTGCAAGTCTTAATAGGCAAGGCTTATGGTACAAGGCTTTTCATGGTTCAGTCCTGCTCGGGTCCCCACCCAGCCCTTCAATGCTCCTCCGTGACACTCAAGGTCCCACAAGCACACCATGTCATCTCATATGTGCGTGCCTGTACCGGGGTCTTTCTTTCCTCTTGAATTATTTTTTCTCCTCATTTTATGCTGGACAAGCTCCTCCCCTTTCTCTAACCCCCAGGTAGATTGTAACCTCTGGGCACTCCTTTCTTAACATACATTGTAGATAAAAGTGTCCTTAACTCTGTGCCCCAAGGCAGAAGAAGTGTCTTCCCAGGTAGGCATCCTCAGCAGTAGGCACAGAGCCTATATAAGTCAGACATGTAATATAAATTGTGGGCTGGCTGGTTGAATAAATAAAGGCGTGAGCAGTGACAAGAAGGTAAAGGTTAAAGTACCCCGAGGAGGTGTTGAGTGTCAGGGGCTGCGATGAGCACAGGTTGCGGGTTCTAGCCACTGGAGATGCATGTCTGTGGCAGACAACCAGGGGCTCACATCACATAGGTGGGCGGGGCCCATGTCCTGCCGGCAGTTCAGAGAGGGACGTGACTTCAGAGTCTGACAAAGCGGGGGCCAGAGAGGAGGAGGTTGTGGACACACTGTGAGCTTCCACGTCTCTCGGATTAGGAATTTTGTAATCTGACAGAGAGCAAAGAGATGATCTATTCTCTACCGCGTCTAGGCCCAAGTCACCTGATCTCTGTTCTTGTCCTTCTGGTGATACCACCTCCTACTCCGACTGTTATATAAGCAGCTCTTCTGGAACTGAATCCTGCCACTGCAAGAATTCAAACGATGATTTTTTTCTAACCCTAGAACCTCGTCCTGCCTTATCTTATTTAGTCCTTTACAGTCTCTCTTCTCTTCATCCTTTCCAGAAACCCAGAGCTGAACCTCATCCTTTGGAAAGGTTTTTGACATCATTATGAAGTTTATCCTCTTCTGGGTGGCCTTGAATCTGCCTTGTGAGTGTCTGCACATTTTTCTTTACTGGCCAAAGGGAAATCTTGGGGGGAAGAGAAAAGGTGGACAAAGACAGGAACAATGTTCCAGGCTACAAGTGTAGGCTTGATTCTCTGCCACTCACCACTGCCACCATCCCCACCAGGTTGCCTCCTGTGACATCACCGACCTGCCTCACCTCAGGTTGACTATTGTATGCTTTAGGGGGGAGGCATGGACATTGGACCCCCAATGCCACAACTGCTCCTAAGGAAGGCCAAGAGTTGCCCTGGGCCTATCTAGAATAGGGTCAACTTTGGTTTGAGACAATGAGAAGTGGAGGCAGGGGCTGAAAGCAGGGGTCCAAATAATAGACCCAGAAGAGCATTCAAGAGTTTGGGGGTCTAGTCCAGTCATGATTCCAATTATTCAGGCCAGAGCTGCGGAGGTGATCAGAAGTCTCTCACACACCACATGCAGGCTTTTAGGGCAATTATGTTGACTCCATCTTCTAAACAAATCCTGGATCCAATCACATCTCACCACCTCCACTGCTCACCAGGGGCCAAGCCACCGTCTCTTGCTTATATTATCAAATTATTCTCCTAAAGACCTCTCTGCTTTATACCTCTGCACTCAGCACTTCTCCCTAAGGGAGTCATATCCCTGCTTTATCACACACCACACACCCCATTTCTCTCGGGAGACAAGTCCACGTCTTTGCAACACTCTACAAAGCCCTGCCTGCATCATTCTTTGGCCACTCTCCTTCTCTCCCCTTCTCCCCTCCCTCACCATGCTAGCCACATTGGCCTCTGTGATCTTCCTTAAATAGGCATTAGGGCTCTTCTGCAGCTGTGTCCTCTGCCTGGGATCCTGTTCCCCAGGCAGGTCATTATCTCCCTCCCCCAGCCCTGTTTCACTGTTCATCCCTCACATCCATGAGATCTACCCTGACTACCGATGGAATACCGCACAGCGTCCCCTAAATATGTGAGTGCACATGCACCTCTGCTACTACCTTCCCTTCTTTCCCTGTTCTAGTTTTTTCCCAAAGCACTTATCACCACCTAACATACAGAATCATTTATTTATGGATTTTGGTGATTATTACTGAATGTCCCCACTGACTAGAATGTATGAGAGCTGGAATATTTCTCTATCTTGTTCACTAGGTAGACAAGCACCTCAAACAGAGCCTGGCACACAGTAGGTCCTCCATATTTTCTTGCTGAATGAATGGATGATTGTCCCTCCCTAGACGCTTGTTAGCATTTGGTCTGTTCTTTCAATGGCACTTAGGCCATTCTGCCTTGCATTGTTGTTGGCAGGATGGGATAAGATCGGTCAAAGCATTCTAAGAATGATAAAAATAGTTCAGTTCTTCGTGAGTTCATTTAACGTATATCCACTGAGTTGTGGAAGGTATTTGGAAAGCTTATGTTTTCACTGAAAGGACATTGACTGAAAACTAAACGGGAAAACACCTTCCACTTTTTGGAAAAATATGTTTCTATCGTTTTCTTTATATTTTACAACAAAGGAAGCCAGCTTACAAATTCAGCTTGCAGAATTTGTAAAGGTACTAGAGAGAAATGCAGGGAAAATTTGGGTCTATTAAGTAATTTTCCTTTGTTTTTGTTTTTGTTTTGCAAGTGATTCCTGGAAAAAAAAAAAAAATCTCAATCTCCTGTCTTCTGTTTCTCTTTCCAGGTACTTTGACCTATGACCCAAGTTACACAAATAGCATCACTCCCCACTACTTGGCCTACCTGAAATCAGATTACTTGCCCTGCACTGGAGTCCTGATCCATCCCCTGTGGGTGATTACAGCGGCCAGCTGCAACTTACCGTGAGTCACAAGCACCCAAAGCCCCCTTGCACTTGGGGTTCTTGGGTTGTACCCAGGCTGAGGCCCCTGCCTGAGACCACTGCCCATTAATTACATGGGGCTATAAAGGCTTTCTGGGGATGTTCAGGAGTAGAGAAATAAGTCTATGGGAGGAGCTAAGAGAGGCCCAGATGGATGGGTGAGCCCTCTCTGTTTAGCCTTCTCAAGAACACCCATGTTGTTCCAGGAACCTTAAGGTGATGTTGGGCGTTACAAACCCATCGAGCCACACTGAACAACATGTAGAAGAGGTTGGTTATGAGAAGATGATTAGTCATCCATACTTCTTGATCACTTCTATTGAGAATAACCTGATGTTAATCAAGCTGGAAAGATACATTGAAGTCAATGACTACGTGAAACTGGTCAGCCTGCCCCGAGAACCTGCCACTGAAAACACCATGTGCACCGTCTCCACCTGGGGCTTCAACAGATGTGACATCTGTGAGTGACAGCGAGACCATCTTCTCTCAGAATCAGATATGCGTCTGTCCCTTGTCTGCCCTTGGCCTCTCTCCAAGAGTCTCCCCCATTCTTTCTTCTAACCTCATTATTCATCCATTTCCTCTCCTTTCCCCTTCCTTGTACCTCACTGAGGGTATAGGGGGGAGAATCCTCTGAGCTTTCCCCCCTCAATGTATCTCTCTGTCATCTTTGCTTTCATATATGATAGAAGTGGAGTTAGCGGGCAGAAGACATTTGCATTCTGGTCCTAATTTGCTGCATGACAGTGGGCCACTTCAATTTAGACCCTCAGTTTTCTTAACTCTGAAATGTGGCACAAACCATATCAGATGTTTCCAAACTATTTCAGGCAATCAAGAAACTTAGAGCCTTAAAATATCATCAAATAACATTCATGTATTAAACATGAGATATATACATAATGTTTTGCTTAATCAGGCAGACCTTCCTTATGCAAGACTGTGATACAGATAAATAATTACAAGTTGAAGAAAAATATTTCTGAAACACTTTGAACTGATAACACTCTGAACATTTTCTCATTTATCCAGGAAGTCTAAAAATGGCTTTCATGATTTTTTCAGTAAGTCTCCTGTGTATGAGTTGAAACCACTGAACTACATGTTGTAAGCTTTCTTCTATGTCATATTTTTCAGGTTCCATAAAAAAAAACTTTGAATAACTTAAGACAGCTTTCTCTTGTCTATGTTTTGTGCCTATCTGCCCTCTATCCCATTCCAGAATTTTCATGCAAATTCTAATCAACTCTCTGTAGCTATGACTCAAGATAGCCATGAACACTGTGGAAGGAGAGCTGATTAATTATAAGGAAAATAAAACTATGATATTGTCCCTTAAGAAAAATTACCAATAGAATTTTACTTCTGAGTAACTTATTTGAGTATATTTAATATACATCATCTAACAGGCACCATAGTATGGGCGGAGAGTCATTTTAAACAAGCTTCTCAGGTCACATTCATCCAGTTACCTTGACTTTCTTTTTCTAGAAGCCAAGAGGTGGTTACACACTTATCTTAATAATGCTGCCATAACTCAAACCTTTGTTAACTCATCTTTGGTAAATACCTTCAGATCTTGGGGTACATTGTGTTCAATATATCAAAAAGTAGAAATCATTTTTTCTCCAGCTTTATTTATGCATGATTGACAAAAATGCATATATTTGACATGTATAATGCCATGTTTTGATATAAGTACACATATTTTGACATATGTACACATATTTGGATGTATGTATACACTATGTGTATACTTGTATGTGTGTGTGGTAAGAGTACTTAAGACCTATGCTGTTACAAAATATACCGCATAATATTACACACTATAGTCACCATGCTGCACACTGAACCTCCATAACTTATTCATCTTATAACTGACAATTTGTACCTTTTGGTCAGCACACCTCCATGTCCTCCACCCTGGGCCCAGCAACTGCCTTTCTAGTCTCTGTTTCCCTGAGTTCAGCGTGGTTCAATTCCACAGTTAGGCGAGATCGTACAGTAGCTGGCTTTCTGTGTCTGACTTCTTCTGTTTATCAGTGTCCTCTAGACAAGGAGACAGTCTTTGTTCTTTTGAGAGTCAAGTTTGAGTTTTGAAAGTAAGCAAATGTCCCTCTGGTGAGCAGTATGTTTGATATATAGTGTTTGCCAAAGAGCGGTGGCTTCCAAACAAGAATGCAGCTTATTTTGTTCTGGCTCATGAAGTAGTGAAGTAAGCATTTCTTAAAAAAGCATTTGCATAATTACAATATGCTGTATACCTGAAACTAATACAAAGTAATATTTAATGTCAAATGTAATTGAAAAAATTTTCTTTAATTTTAAAAATACATTTCTGGAAGAAATGTGGACCCACACAATTATTGCTAAACTGGAAAATAAAACAAAGAACTTCAAACATTTTATTTGCAAGAATAAATATGCCATTTACAAATAAGGACATTCATATAAACACACGCCCATTAGAAAAACAAAATCTCAAAATACTTCTTGCCAATGAAAAATCCTTGTAAAGAACACCTAACATATGTATCAATATTACTTTTTTTCTTGTTTTTCTTGTTCTGTTACATTGAAAATGGGTCTGCACAGTCCCTAGTATTTGTAAACCATTGGTATAAAGAAAATAACTTGAATTAGGAATCAATAGACCTTGTATCAAATTCTAGTTTTATGGGTTTAAGAAAATCACTTGTTGAGTGACTTCTTTTTAGAAGATTCTGGATTTTTTGATCTGACAAAAAACTAAGGTTAGAGAACTCTAAATTTCTTTAAACTAAAAACAGACATGTAGCAATTAGTGGATAAGTAGATCCTAGAGATCTAATGCTTAAGATAGTGAATATAGACAACAATATTGTATGCCAAGAGACTAGATGTTCATTATTCCCACCACTAAAAAGAAATGATAATTATTGGATGTCATATTGATGTTAACTATTGCTACAATGGCAATCATATAGCACTATGTAAATGTATCAAATCAGCATGGTGTATGCCTTAAATATACACCATCTTGCAAGTCACATCTATTTCATTTTTAAAAAGATTTTATTTATCTTTTTAGAGCCAAGGGGAGGGAGGGAGGGAGGGAGAAAGAGAGAAGAGAAGCATCACTGTGAGAGAAAAACATCAATCCATTGTCTCTTGTATGTGCCCTGACTGGGGACCCAATCTGCAACTCAGGCATGAGCCCTAATGGGAATCGAACCCACGACTTTCACTTTATGGGATAATGCCCAACCAACTGAGCCACGCTGATCAGGGCCAAGTTAAATATATTTCAATAAATAAATTGAAAAGCACCAGTGATGAATTTAAAATACAGGACAAATAATAAAATGTAAAAGCTAAACAAATAAATAAAATTCCCTCCCAAAGGACACTCTTTAAAGGTTTAAATTTCCAGAATTTTCAAAGTAATTTGTTTCATGTTGTTGCAGAGATCTCTCATGTTTACATATAACTTCCAAGAGTTTAATCTATTTTGTAAGGGGACAGACACTTGTATCATGAGAGATTGTCAATCCGATAATTCTCTGTTGTCCCTGCTACCACAGCCCCGATTTCTCTCGATATTGGACCTCTTTTCCTTTCTGCTGGGAGAAGGAATGTGCGGGAACAGAGGGGAAGGAGAGGGGAAGGCTTGGTCTCTAACAAATGCTTATGGACATCCTGCTTCCCTTCCCTCTAGCCAAGGACCCTGACTCACTGCAGAACGTGAACATCTCCGTTACCCCCGAGGCTGAGTGCCACGATGCCTATAAAAGCCACAGCATCACAAAAGCCATGCTGTGCGTGGGCATTGTTCCAGGAAGAAGGCTGCCCTGCAAGGTAAGCCACTCGCGACACCTTCCCGTTCCCGTTGTGCTCCTCGCGCCTTCTGCCAGAGCGATAACCCGGTGTCCCTCTTTCCTGGCAGGAAGTCACAGGAGCCCCAGCGGTCTGCAATGGGGTGCTTCAAGGAATCCTAACTTTTACAGATGGATGTGTTTTGAGAGCTGATGTTGGCATCTATACCAGAATCTTTAACTACGTGCAGTGGATTGAAAATATAATTCGAAGCAACTGAGCTTCCATGGCAAGAATTCTGGGCCATTTGACTCAGCCTGTACCCACATCCAGCCACAGAGTCAAAGTGAAATAGACTCCTTGGGTTGTACCCTGCATCCCTGTCTCACTTCTGCCCAACAGAGAATGTGACTCGTATATGCCTGTACCATGACTATACATGACAGCCCTTCTTCTTCCCCTGCCGATGAAGACAGCAAACTCAATACCCCTCAGGCAGATGAAGTTTATGAAGTGGGGATAGTGTCCTCTCTAACAAATTGATCACTGACTTACTGGGAAAAAAAAAAAAAAAAAAAAAAGGCCACTCAGTAGCCAGTTTGGGTGTCAAAACCCCTACTGCTTGCCTTGAACACGTGCAACTTGCACATGTCAATTGGAAAACGGAAGTGTGACAAGGAATGAGCTAAATGGAAGCATAGGTGAGGGGACAGGGCTTAAGGAGGGAGCTTGTGGGAGGTACTGCACTTTGTTTCTCCTCCCCCACACAACTCTCTATACCAGGCACAGATTTTGGCCATTCATGCTGCAGGATTCTGGGCAGGGACTTGAACTGTGAGAGGTTAATGCAAAAGTTCCCTGGGGCTTAGCGCAGAAGAAGCTACAGCACTAAACTTTGTCCTCTCTAAGCTTCTAAAACCTCTAAGTCAATGAAGTCTAGCATGGAGAGTTGGAAAGCAACATTTGGCACATGGGTTATTAAATGCAATTACAAGAGCTTCACCTCTGTGTAGGTTACAGCTGCAAGTTGAGCTTGGAGAGAAACAGGTGGTTTTTGCAGGTGAGCACCTCAGCTTCTGGAGGTGTTTCCAAGCTTGAAATGGTGCTAAGATTTCAATAGGTCACAGTGATGTCTTATAAGCTCAGATGAGAAGAGGTGATGAAGCATGTGTCGGGGGACTGAATTCCATTGGACACCAGCTTGCTGTATGACCACTATCATTGTAAAGTGACTTCCTCGGTTGAAAAATGCATTCCTTTTTTGTGGAATAGGTAAGGCATTCAGTAAATTCAAGGGAAGTGGGGCTGGGAGTGAGGATGGCAAGGGAAAGAAAATCCAAATCTAAAATATGTCATTTTCAGTGAGGACGGGGACCTCCTGCCACCGCCTGGATGGCAGGATACCGGGGCTACAGCAGCAGATCAGGGCTGAGTTTGGTCACTGACTCTGGCCAATGGGGTCTTCAGCAAGGTGGTAGCTAGGTGAGGCTTGCAAGAGGTCCCTGTACATGTCTTATTTGGTCCCACTGTCCCCTTTGTTTATGAAGCCAGAGAAAACACTTGGTAAAATGAGAAAAAATTCAGAGCAGACCAGCTTGTCCATCTGATTATCAGTTTTCTTAAGTGAGAGCATTTTGGTGAGAATTCTTGTTGGATACAATGATTCTCCTGCTTAAGCTGACCCCAAATACCCATATTACATAATTCTTTTCAACCAGCGTATCCTCATTCCCTCCATCATGCCCTTCTGAGCACTAGCCAGTCCTAAGAAATTGATATACATCTTGACCTCAAGAGAGAGAACTAGATATGCTGATTGAATGTCTGTCTCCTGAGAAGATTCCTTTGCTCCTCTTCCCCTCAGGGCATCCGTCTGAGGGGTTTTAATATCACAGAAGTGCACATGCACCGGGTACCAATATACCGAACAGAACTATTCATAAACAAGGTGACGTCTTCTCATCCTCAGTGAACTGTTCATGGAAGAACCTTCTTCAGGTCGTAAGTGTGGGCTGATGAAAGATGGCCCAGAGGAATGGCTTATGCAACTTATTTGGGCCCTCAGGGCCTCATTCACCTGTTCCGTTCATGCTTCTTGTTGAAGATGGAATACTGCTAAGTGAATCCAAGTCAACGACAGAGAGGCAGCACTGCCTATGACAGGTTCCATGGCCAACTGGTAATGTGGAGTCAGACGTTTAGTCTCCACCAGACCACAGCAACCAGAGGCCATCTCCCAAAGAGGAGAAAAGAGCATGACTTTGCTTTCCTGTTCAGGGATTCCTGTTTTGATTTTCTTATTAGGCTTTGCCATGAGCTTCCTTGGGCCTGCTCAGGCTACTTCTAGCACCACTGGTCTACAGAATTTAAACCCAAGAAACAGCTAATGGCACTTCCACCTGTGCTAGGTGGAGAGTCTTTTCTGACTTAGTCTCACACTGACTTAGCAACCTTCTAGATCACTCATTAAATGGCTCAGGGCATGAGATCCTAATAAGAGATACTTTGCTTATAAAATGGAGAGGCCTTCAGGCGGCATTCTTAGTAGTAGAGAGCACAAGGTTCGACAGCGTGTTCATTTCAGTGGAAGAACCCAACCTACGCCCACAAGTTTCATTATAAAAGCAGATGACAATACCTACCTACTACCATGTAACTGTTTTTCCAAGACATCCAGGAAATCTGCTGCTTCCTGTTATCTAGTCCGATCAACATAATATCATCACTGTAACAGACCATGTGGTACCCTTTGAGATTGTCAAGGTCAGGGCCAGAGCGACAGCGATTGCCTGAGCGTGGAGGAAAAAATATGCTGCTGTCCCTGCCAAATTAAAGCTAATTAATTCTGAGCTTCCCAACGACAGCGTACAAAGTGCACCTTCTAGGTAAATAGTTGCATACCAAGTGTGAATGATTGGATTTTCTCTAGTAAGGAGACTACATACGGAACAACAACTGTAATTGTTGTTACTTCCTGCTTATCCAGTGATCAAGCACTATCATTGCTCATTTCTCTCTGGCTTAGCCACATTGAAGAAAATGGGATTATAATAGAAATTATCAGCCAGCAAACTTCAAGTCTGTGCTGGCAATTCCAAACACTGCAAGGCGCTAATGCTTTAGATTTACTAACAGGAAACTTCACCAGTTTCCGCTTAGCCCAACAAAAACCCTCACTTCAGAGGCCAGGCAGCAACTGTAACACTTGTAGAGGTTCTACCAGTTGTAGAAAAAAATTACAGCTCCTTCCTCAGCCCCTTGCCAGTGTACATAGGAAACAGGGGGGGGGAATTCTGATTTTTTTAAATTACTCTTGAAAAGACTTAGGTTAAACATCCATTTTTTTCCTCAGTTTCCAAGAGCCCCACTCTGATCAATGGAGAGCGTGGATAATAAGTCTCCCCCACGAACACCATCAGCACAAATTTGTACTAATTTCAATCCAGGATATCTCCAAACATTAGCTATGTTCTTATCCCAGAGCACAAGTTGCCAAGCAAATAGACGCAGGCCACCTTTGCACAGGCTAACAGGAAGACTCTCCAGGTCAGAAGGGGATCCATTACCTAGGGTACCCAGGCAGGCTCCCCTTCATTCCAGGGGTATTCAGTCAGTTCACACACCGAACTGAGCTTTGTTGACTCACATCAGTCCACTAGTATCACACATGGCAGGCGTTTTGTTTGTTTGTATTTTGGTTCTATAAATACAATGGGATCCACTCAGTGTCCTGAATGGCGGGCTAAGTCTTTCTAATTTTGCCTTGCAGCACTGGGAATCCAGACGTTGGTTGCCACATTTCTAAGCTATACTCTATCAGCTCCTTAAGTAACTTCGCTAGAAAGTTCCCTCTCCACTCTCCTTCCTCCTTTATCTATCTCTCTCAATTTGTTCAGAATTTATGTGAGAAAACAGCGGTATCGTTATTAACCTCCTCAAATCCTAACGGCATTATGATTGGACTTGAGGAGCATGTTGTCCCATTGAGTAAGGGAATACCCACTAAACCTACCATTATCAAGGCTGAATAGCTGGGGTCCTGTAACATTACCAGTTTACACTTAATGAGCCCCCATTAGGGTGCTATGCATATTTGCGTGGATCCTGAAGCCCTAATAATTACCAACCTGTTATCCATTCCCCTCTCCCCAGGTACACCTGTATCTAAGCCCTTACCTTCAGGGCACACCTGCAGTCCCTCTCCTGCTAAGGGGCTCTGAGATGATGGCCTATGGGCCATAGCTATAGGCTGTGCTCTGCTCAGGCTCAAGAATCTGAATTATAATAAGGTGTTTGTCCTCCTTTCTCTGCCTCTCAGAACTGCCAGTGAAATTTTAAGTTCATGCTTTCTGCTCCCTGAGGACCTCCTAAAGGAAATAACAAGGAAGCAAGGAAGAGGGGTAAAATTTGGAGGAAGTCAAGGGGAAGAAACATGTCTTATATGTCTTGAAAGTAACTCCATATCTAATGAAGTACTGAACACTGAGTAAACAGTCTACACACTGATTAATTCAGAGAAAGACTGAGACAAAGGTAAATCAATAGACAGGTGTCATAGGTGGCTATATTCACCTGCCAGTTCTACAAGTCCACAGTCTTAAAACTAATCCAAATGCTGGGATAACTATGGAGCAGAATCAGATTCACATAATCAGAATATATATTACTTTTCCCTCCAAATGATTAGATTCAATTAGTGTAATTCGGTCTATTCTTACTTGGTCCTATTGAATTCCAGGTATTCAAAAGTATTAAATGAGAAGGTAAAATTGAGAACACCAGAATAAACTCAAAATGGATAAAGACTTACATATAAGTCACGACACCATAGAAGCCCTAGAGGAAAACATAGGCAGTAAAATTTCAGATATCTCAAGTAATAATATTTTGGCTGATACATCTCCTAGGGCAAGGGAAATAGAGGAAAAAAAAATAGGACTACATCAAATTTAAAAACTTCTGCATGGCTAAAGAAAACATCATCGGCCCTGGCTGGTGTGGCTCTGGGGACTGAGCGCTGGCCTGCGAACCAAAGGGTCGCTGGTCCCACTCCTAGTCAGGGCACATGCCTGGGTTTCGGGCCAGGTCCCCAGTGTGGGGCACGTGAGAGGCAACCACACATTGATGTTTCTCTATCTCCCTTCTTCACACTCTGTCTGAAAATAAGTAAAATCTTTAAAAAAAAAAGAAAAAGAAAACATCAAATGAAAAGGAAACTGACCATATGGGAGAACATATTTACCAATGATACGTCAGCGTCAGACAAGGGTTTCATCTCCAAATTACATAAAGAACTCATCTGACTTAACATTAGGAAGACAAACAATCCAATTAAAAAATGGGTGAAGGACCTGAATAGACACTTCTACGAGGAGGACATACGGAGGGCCCATAGACATATGACAGATGCTCAACATCACTAGCTATCAGAGAAATACAAATTAAAACCACAATGAGATATCACCTTAAAATGACCATCATTAACACATCAACAAACAAATGCTCGTGAGTTTGTGGAGGAAAAGGAACCCTAGTGCACTGTTGGTGGGAATGCAGACTGGTGTAGCCATGGTGGAAAAAACATGGAATTTCCTCAAAAAACTAAAAATGGAACTGCCCCTTGACCCAGCAATTCCAGTGCTGGGAATATACCCTAAGAATCCTGAAACACCAATTCAAAAGAACCTGTGCACCCCAATGTGCACAGTGGAAAGAAGGGGAAAGGACTAGTCAAAGAACATGTATGAATGACCCACGGGCATGGACAACAGAGTGGGGACTGACTGGGGGAGCGGGGGTTGGGGGCGGGTGGAACTGAGTAGAGGAGGGCAAAGGTGGAAAAATGGGACAACTGTGATAGAACAACAATAAAAAAATTTAAATAAATAAAAATAAAGTTGAGTATAATTTGTAAAGACGTGGGCAAATCACTCTTATCAACCTAAAGACAGGAGACTCCCATTACAGAGCTATCTCCTATCTGAGTGTTAGCATAATCCACTCAATCAAAAGCATTGTTTGTTGAATACAAAATTCATTATCAACTGTAATTGAAAACATAAAAAAAAATTGAAAAGCAAAACAGCCTCAGGTTGGATTGAAAACAAAACCAAACTATAAACCATGGATTAAAAGATATACCAACAACAACAACAAAAAGCGTTGTTTGAACCCTTAGCATCTGCCAGTCTAGGAGGGCTAGTTTAATCACCGTGGAAGCAAGGATGGGTGACGGTATTAAGCAAGCAGAACTGCACCTGGGAGGTCTCCAGGGAGGCCTCAGGGACTGAGGGAAAAGGGGGCCCATCAGAGCAAGGGTGGCTTCCATCACTCCAGCCAGAGATGCTCGGCTGTAGTTGTTTCAAGAGTTACCAGCAGGGGGCCTCGGCTTACCTTTAAAAGCAGGTTGCCCAGGGCCTCTCCGGCCTTGCCAGATCCTCTGTACTGAGCATCCTCTGGGTGGCCAAGGACCTCCCAGTGAAGCTGCTTTCAAACAAAAGGGACCCTTCCTGAAGGAAGGCGAGAACACAGGCATCAAAATGCCCCCCGGGCTCCGGGCTGGGCTCCAGGCCTCCTCCCACTATCCTCTTTGCCCCTAGAACCGGCCAGGCATTTCCCATAACACCGGAGAGGGGGCTGAGAGAAGACCAACACCTGGGACTGATCCCAGGCCCTCTGTGCAGGTCTTGGCGAACTGTGGGCAGGTGGCGCCCCCCGATGGAAAAAGCTGCTCTCTCTACACAAGCGCTGAGGGAAGGGCACTTGCAGCCCCTCTGCACCACAGCCACCCACCCCACCATGAGAGATGGTGGTACCTTTGCAAGCCCCTCCCTTCACTCACACTGGCCTTGCACCCCAGCTACCTGCCCCTTAGGGATGGAGAAGCTCCGAGGTGGAAGCTGAGTGGCTCCGCTCCTATAGCCTTGCCTGCCTCCTGTCTCTCCAGGTCTCAGGGTCTGCACCTCTCCCACAATGCACCTCCCAGCTGCTGGCTCCCAGATGTTCCCGGGGTCTGGCCTCGCTGCCCTGCCCTCCTCGCCCTGCCCTCCTCTGACTCCAGGTGCAGACCCAGCTCTAAGCAGCAGCTTTTTAGAAGTTGAGCGTTGGGTAAGCCTTCCACTGAGGACCCTGGATCCTGGGCCTTTGCAAGCCAGGCCCCCTCTGAGGATCCTACCTTTAAAACCTGATCCACCCGAGACAGGGGTGTGAGAAGCTGAGGTGGTCATGAGCGCTGAGAATGGGGGTCTAACTGGAAAAGGGCGTGTTTATTTTTCTCCAGGAGTGTAAGTGGGGCCACAGATTGAGACACTCATTCTCCCCCTTTCCGAGCTCCCAGAATTCTTGAGGTTCTTTCCAGCGCCCTTTGAGCCCTGAGGCTGCTATCAAAGTGCAACACGCTTGCTCTGTATGCAGACTGTGTGGACAAGAGCTAACACTCATTAAGCGCTTCCCCTGTCTCTGTGTCTGACACTAAAGGCTTTACCTGAACTGGGTTGTTTAACCCTCGCAGGCCCCTCGGAGCTGGGTGGAGCTACTGTTTGTACAGACCCAGAAACTAAGTTCCAGGGAGAGGACGTCTTCCCCACAGCTCACAGGTGGCAGCGCCAAGGTCTGCAGCGAGTCCTCTGGGGCCTGGGGTCCATCCCTGCGCTATGCAAGCCAAGCCTACCTGCAGTAAAGAGGCCAGAAGGGAGGGCCTGGGGCGGGGACAGGCAGGCTCCGCTGTCTGTCGGGGCAGAGGAGGAGGAGCTTGGCCCGTGGGTGAGAATGGGGCTGGTTTTCATTCGTTTGTCTAACAGGGGTTTCTCACTGTGTCTTTGCTGCAGCTGCAGTACAGGGTTCTGCCCTGGGTCACATTGGCCACGTGCAGCCCCAGCTCCTCGGCATTGACCCGTGTGGCCTGGTAATCTGCCCCAGGAAGGGACACGGCCTCCTTGTCCCCAGAAAACCGCAGACTGGCCAACAGCTGGAGTTGGCCCTGGAGATCCTGTTGGTACCAGCTCATATATGGGTACTGGGTGTCCTGCAGGAAGCAGCGCAGCATTTTGGCCTGCCCACGACGTACCAGGGCCCACCTGGGCCTCTGCTCCACCAGGCTCGAGGCGGCACCTGAAATACGCAGGCAGGTCAGGCTGCAGGTACCGGGGGTGGAGGTCACCCCCAGAAACAACCAGGGCAGCCAAATGCTGAGAAGGGGATTTGCCAGTAGGAGGCACCTGGAAGCGGAAAGAACGCCTCCTCAGGAGGGGGCTATGCCCGGGAGCACCTGGCCAGCCTGGGACCAGGAAGCAAACCCTTCTGCACCTTCTCGTGCCCCAGGGACCCAGGCGCGCCTCCCCTCCGCCTCCCACTGAGTGGCTTTCTCCGCCAGGCTCTGACCTGTCCTCAGGGCCGCCACGAGCACCCAGCCCCACAGGACGGGAAGGGCCGCCATTCCCTGACCCACAGGTCCTCCCCCGCAGCACCGGGGGGCAGCCGGGCAGCGGAGCGGGGCCCTGGTCTGCAAGGCGGCAGTTAGTGGCTGATGCTCTCAGGGCTGGAAACTCAAAATGGAGTGGCTTTTCCCGGAAACACAACGTCCTGTCTCATCTTCAAACCGCAAACCTCGTACTGGAGACTGTTTCTTATTTCCTGGCCCAACCCCTACAGGGGCAGGCCTCCTCCTCAGGTCACGGGGTCACCGAGTGCCTCCAGCGACTGGCCCTGCATCCTCCCAGCTGCATCCCAGAGATTCCTAGAAAGGTGGCTCTGAATTGTGCCTCAAGTCTTCCCAAGGGATTAAAATAACTCAGTGCAACCAAAGGACCCTTGCAGACCATGCGGAGGTCCCTCTCCTCCCCCAGTGCCTCAGCTATGGGCGGAGGCTGCTACAGGCCCCCCTGGGCCGCAGACCCGGGGCGCTCCTCTCCTCCAGTTGGCCGTGTTCCCCTCCGATAGGGCAAGCACAGATGCCTCATCAGAGGCTTAATCCTCCGGGTTAAAAATAAAGGAAGAGACTTCCCTCCCTCCGTTTTCTTAGAACGTTTACTTTAGATAACTTGTTAGTTCTTTCTCTGCCTCTTTGAAATGTGTGTAAATCTTTTAAAAAGCTAACCAGCTCTCCCTGTCTGGGTAGCTCAGTTGGTTGGAGTCTTGTCCCCACACACCAAAGGGTTGCGGGTTCGATTCTTGGTCAGGGCACATACCTAGGTTGTGGGTTTGGTCCCTGTCGGGGCACATATGGGAGGCAACTGATCAATGTTCCTCTCCCCACCCCACCTCCGTCTCTCTCTCCTCCCCCTCCCCCTTTCTTTCTCTCTAAAATAAATTTTTAAAAAAATCCTTTGGTGAGGATTAGAAAAATTGTTTACAAAAAGATAAACAGCCGTTGTCAGGGTTAAGGCCTTTCTCAAAGACCTGCAACTGTCTCTTTGAAATCTAAACATCTAGGAAGACGAGCCTAACTTTCTGTGGAGCAGATGGCTCACACCAAGTCACCGGTGACACCCTGTCATGAAGAGAAGCCGCGTTTATTTTTCCTTTGGATAAAGCCAATTAGCAAACACCGAGGGACACCCCAGTAACCCAGTGACTCTGGGATGAGCTGTGGATTAACACAGGGTCCCGTCAAGCCCTCTAGTTTGGAATCAGTCATTGCATATCTCGAGAACACTTGTGTAATGAATGGGCTGTATCTGCCGGCCTGCATAAAAGGCTGAGGTCTCTCTCTCTCTCTCGGCCATCTCTTAAAGAAAAGCCAGGGACGTGTGTGGCATTCTGATTTAATGCTGATTCAGTAACGGAAGGATCTTCTTTCCCTTCTGCCTTTGTGACAAGACCTCTGAGCTGGGAGGAAATTTTGCTTTCAATTATATTTCCCAGCGACTCACGGTGCTGCCGCTGCGTAGCATGTGAGCTTGGGCCTTGGGGTCTCCATCTGTAAGGCGCAGATAACAATGGAAGCTACTCCATAGGAATGAATTCAGAACACATGGAAAATTCTTAGAATAAAGTTTGGCACAGAGTAAGCACTTCGTAAAGTGGACGTCGGTTATTCAATGGCAAATTTCAAATTCAATTAAAATATGACAGAACTGACAGTAGCATCTATCTTTCTCTAATCGGCGATCCCCAGGTAATCAACAGAAATTAAAATCATAGGTTCTCCTAACTGTTTTAACATTAGGAGGCCTAGTTTTTCAGAAAGTGCAGAAACCAGTGATCTACCCTCTCTCCAGCCTCGGCGTTTTACAGAAAACAGCACGGAGACACAGAGGCGTTAGCAACTGAACTCCACGACTTCACACCAGTGCTCCGGGTGGGCGCCTGTTCTCCGCAGACAATAAATGGAGGAGGCAGGACTGCATGTCCCTGGGGAGCCCCCAGGTCAGGGCCCAGCAGTGACCTGGTGCTCTGGGGATCTACCCCTCCCAAATTCACTCTTTTTTTTTTTTTTTTTTTTTTTTATTCTTTGGAAATTTTACTACGTACAGCAATAGGGTCCCGTGATGTTGACAAAGGATCCATTGGGTGGCAGCATAATACAGTCTGTAAATTCACCTGGCTGGCTAACTTTGAAATGGTGTGCTTCTTGATTTAAAAGACAATATTTTCATTCTGTACAACTTTGTACATAAAGTGACTTCGTGGACTTTTCTTTGTATCACCCTATTTCAAAATCTCACAGTCAGATCGCACAATCTAGTCAGGCACCAAATGTCCACTGCACTGCCTTCTAAGTAATGTCCTGATTCATGTTTGCCTTTTTGCTCCATTACCTGTTCCCAGCCTCGTCACCTGGAGAGAGCAAGGGCCAAGGGTCCGGGTGGCACGGTGCAAGTCACCCAGCCCGAATACCAGAGAAGTGCACACACGGAGGCAGAGATGTCCTCACCCCAGCAAGCCTCCTGCATCCATCCTGTGCTTTGCTGTGGGCGGGGCACAGCCCCACTGGGGATTAGCTGAGGAAAGGAGAGGGGGGATAGGAGGGAACCGTAGCTGGGGAACAAAGGAGGAACGGAGAGCGGCCGTGGGCGGCCACCCCCCGGGGCCGCAGGCAGATTCTCTGAGTCTCAGTGGCTGCCTCCTGAGGCTGTAGCCGAGGCTGGTGGACTGATTGCAGCCTGATGGATCCCAGGCACATCTCAGTTTACAGGGTTGGCCGTCCTGTCTCCCTGCCACACCCCCCTTTGCCTTAATCCCCAAATGTGATTGGGATCAGAGTGTCTCTGATACCCCTGTTATCTCCTCCCTGAGTCCCTGCTCCTCAAGGTCACTGCCTCCCCAGGCTCCTTCCCTGGTCTCGGCCTGGCACCTGCCTGGGGCCAATGTAAGCCTCTTCCTTCCAGGTGGCTGCCTAGCTCCTCCCGTGCCCAGAGTTGGGCGTGTGGTCGCCCCCCTAGGAAACGTGTTTTCACCCCCGCCGCACCCCAATTACTACTCAGGTTCTCAAGCAGCTGCAAAGCACCTCACCCGGGTCCTTAGCAGCGTTGAAGGCCTCGGTAGGCAGTAAGACGAATACGCGCGCTCCAAACGGAGGCACGAAGAGGGGCTCCAGCTCCTGCCCGCCCTGTTGGGCTGAATTCCTGCGAGGAGGTGGGTGGGTGGGTGGTCCAGTCTCTGTGCCGGGACAGGCTCCCCGGACCCGTGGTCTTGTGACCTATTTTGAGCCCCTCCATCGTCTACTGGAGGAAGGACACGGGGGGGTCAGTGAGGTGACTTCCAGCTGTAGATGAGCTGTGTCTGACCCCGGGAGGAAAGAACTTCAGGGTTAGGGTGAGATGTTGGCCCCCTTCCTATGAAGCAGTCTGCGACAGCACCAGCTCCCTCCGGGACGAGCGAGTGCTGGTGGGAATGCATGGCAAGGGGCTGGCGCCCTGGGGGCCACCTAAGTGGAGGGTGGAGACAGCCCTGGCCTGGAGGCGGGGCCCTGTGTCCTGTGCCAGCTCTGCTCGGACAGTGACACACAACTCCTGTTTCCCTTGGTGTTTCTCTTTCCTCATCTAAAAATTAACTGGATTGGAATTTTTCTAAAATTAAGTGGATCTAATATTCCTTTTTACTCTTGCGTTCTCATATTCTAACATTCCTTCCGCCTTTTATTATCTGCCTGATACCAAAGTGCTGGCCCGTGGGGACACTGGGCCGAGCCTCCAGTGGCAGTCCCTGCAGGTGACTCCTCTGGAAGGCAGTTTGTGGGAGGAAGGATAAAGCACAAAGCCTCTCAAATGCGAGTTCAAGTTTATCCCCCTCCCTCCCAATTCTTCCCTTCACAGCCCCCTCCCTCTTGCCCCTCCCCAGGAATGTGCAGAAACTCAAAGCTCCCCAGACTCGCCCACCTGAAAGCTGATTATGGCTCCTTCACCTCTATATGTCCTTTCGGGGATTAGCAGCAAAGACTCCTCTGGGAGATGGAAATCGCAACCTTCCCTTGACCCCTCCCGGCAACGTCTCTCCTTCCCGCTGGGCTGGGGGGCTGAAAGGCAGGTTCCCATGCACCCCCACGGCAGCCCTGCACCTGCCCCAGTGCTGTATAGAGACAAAACAGATGCTGCCCCTAGAAACTGGGGTGGGGGACATGTGCCAGAGGACAGAGTGCTCAGTAAGGACATCCAGGGATCCAGGGATGAGGGGAAGGAGGAGAGCCGACGGGAGAAGAGAAGAGGGAGAGGAGAGAGGCCGCCTCGATTCTGTGAGGTCCCTGCTGGCAGGACACTGGCATGAGGTTGGGGTGGAAGAGTTTAAAAACTTTACTCCTGAGGGTGTCATGGCCAGGTCCCCAGGCCAGGGCGAGAGCAAGCTGCTCTGCACCCTCTCTGGACACCTCGCACCTCCAGGGTTATGTAAGTGGCACCATGCTGAACCCAGGGGATGATCAGATCAGAAGAGCCCCAGCCAGTCCCTCCCCAGTGGCTCGGTGCCCGGCACAGGGAGGAGCACATATAAGTCCACACCTCTTGAGTGTCCACCCGCAGGCGAGAACCCCAGACCCCGGAGCCATGGCCGGCGCCCTCCGCTTCAGACTCCTCCTCCTCGCGCTGCTCGCAGCCCCCTCCCAAGGCAGACGCCTCCGCCCAGCGTCTCGCTTACGGTATTCCAGGTTCCTGGATCCTTCCAATGCCGTTTTCCTGCGCTGGGACTTTGACCTTGAGGCTGAGATAATCACCTTTGAGCTCCAGGTCCGGACAGCTGGCTGGGTGGGCTTGGGGGTCACAGATCGCTACACCATCGTGGGAAGCGACCTGGTTGTTGGAGGAGTCTTGCCTGACGGCAATGTTTATTTCTCGGTAAGTCCGAGGGTGACTTTCTCCCCAGGACCAGGGTCTCTTGCCAGGGTTCAGGATAGCTCTGAGGCCAGGAAGGATCCACATTTTCCAAACACGGGCAGGTACACACCCAGAACACCAGCTGGCAGCTGCCTCTCCCCGCAGAAAGGGTCCACTGGAAGGATTCCATCCATGTCTTCCAGACTGCATGTCCCTAGGTGCCAAGGAACGGACCCGCTGGACGGAGAGGGTCCTGACCCACACGCCTGCTAATAGCCCACTAAACGCAGGACCCTGGGGGAGAGTCACAGCTGTTGAGATACAGTCTTCATCCTCACTTTCCTTTAAGCTCTGTCGGGTAGACCCCAGCATGAAATAGTCTAATAACCACAGCCACAGAAGCCTTAATAGCTTAACACTGTCATGCACTTTTGAGTAGCCAGGCATTGCTCCAAATCCTTTGCCTGTTAGGCCTCAAGGCATAGAATCACTATGAGGAGGACGATCATTGCCCCATTTTACAGATGAGGAAGCTCACTCATCTCCTGATCTGGTCCCTCTCAACTGTGTGTGTTAGGAAGCATCAACTTTAAGAGCCTCAGGACAGGGTAGATAGCACAGGGTTCAAAGAATAAGTGAGCTTTCCAGACTTAGAGATACAGGAATATTAGGACGGATGGCGATGAGCTTTGAAATGGAAGTCAAGCAAGGTCAGGTGGCGAAGTTCCCATCAGACGCAGTCTGTCCCTCTGTTCCAAGGCTCCACCCGTGACACCGTGCTCTGTCCTAGGAGCAAACGACATAATAAAGAGGCCCTGAGTTCTGCTAAGCTGGTACCTTGGGGGGAGCTAACGGGGCACTTGGGGCTCCCAGTTCTTACCCCTTGGCCTTCCCTGCACCCCAGGATCAGCACCTGGTGGATGAAGACACCCTGGAGGAGGACGGGAGCCAGGATGCTGAGCTGCTGGGGCTCACGGAAGACGCCGTCTACACCACCATGCGCTTCTCCAGGCCCTTCCGCTCCTGCGACCCTCACGACCGAGACATTACGGTAAATTCAGGAGAGAGAAAAGCGTTGGCTCACCAGCAGCATCTTCTTTGGGGAGGCGTAGTCACCCCGACGCGGAAGAGCCCGTGTGTCTCAGGTCGCCAGTCACAGTTCCCAGGACTTCTCTCTCTCCCACCCCAACTGTCCCCTCCAGGAACCCCCAAGCCGTCTGCAGGGTGACCTCCCCATGACCCGGCGGCCACCCCACCCCCCGCAGCCTTTCCCTCTTGAAGAGCCCTGCCCGGTCTCACTGAACTTTAGAGTGTCATTAAGGTGTGGACACAGGCATAGAGAGGGAATAGGAGAGGGCATGTCGCTTACTCAACGTTCCCAGCAAGTTGGCCTCAGAGGCAGAGCTAGGACCTGGCTGGTTCTGACCCTCCAGACAGAAGCCCTTCCTGCCCCGCGGTGCTGTGTAGCCGGGAGCAGGCGGCTTGCATGGGCCCCCGGGTATGGGTGCGTGCAAAGCGCTGCTCATGGGCGCAGTGCCTCCTTGCCCGTGACACCCGCAGAGTGACACCTTGCGGGTGCTGGCCGCCTACGGCCTGGACGATGCACTGCAGCTGGATCGGGAGCGTACCTTTGTCAAGTCCATCTTCCTGCTACAAATAGCCCACCCGGACGACCTTGACGTCCCTGAGGACACCATCATCCATGACCTGGAGATTACTGATGTGAGAGCCGCCACCCCACCCAGCCTTCTCCAGCCCCCTTCCCATCGTTCACTCTGGCCGGACCCTCGTCCAGGACTCAGTGCGTCCTAGCACTGTGGTTTCTCTGGCTTCCCTCTGTCCCCAGAGGACAGCCAAAATGGCCTCAGAGGGAACAGCCTTCCCTGGCCTGGCCTTTCCTCGCCTCCCTGGAAGCCTCCCTCCCCTGCAGCCCAGCCTCTGTGTCTCTCTCTCCAGTTCCTCATCCCAGAGGACGACACCACCTATGCCTGCACCTTCCTCCCTCTCCCCATCGTCAGCAAGAAACACCACATCTACAGGGTACGGAAGCCGACAAGGACCATCTTGGCGGCGCAGCTGCCATGGGGCACCGTGGACCCTGAGGGGATGGTGTCAGCCAGAGCACTGCGGGGAGGAAGCAGTGGCCTAACCTGGGGCCAGGCCAGGTGGGGCGGGCGTGGGAGTGTCAGGGTTTCCTCAGCCCCGAGCGGCAGATCCCGGCATTGTTTCATTCGAGCCCTGCACCCCAGGCGAGATGCGGATGGAGACGTGAGTTAGTGAGCGTTTGCAAAACACCAAGCGTAAGCCGCTCCCCGGCCCCAGAATGGAGCCCTTAGCGCAGGAGGAGGTGTTGGCTGGGAGCGGCGTGGCCGGAGGGAACGCAAATTTGGTCACCCGATTTCACATTTGGGTGATTCCAGTTTGGATCGAATAACTAAAAGTGGGGCCTTGCAATATGTGGCAAATGTGCGGGAGCCGTATTTCTATAGAGTCCAACAAGGAGCAGTTCTGGGCTCAGGCAGCATGAACGGGCTGCGGTAATTCAGGGAAAGGCCGACATCTTGGGATTTAGCATGATATGCTCCCAGGGAGGGGCTGCTGAGAGAGGAGTCAGGCAGGGTTCCCGGGATAACAGCGTGGGAAGCAAAAGAGAGAAGAAATGGAAGAGAAAAAGAAGCAGGGGACGGGTGCAGTTTTATTTGGGGCAGGGAGACATGGGGACTGGGATTGGACGTGGACGACGGTGACCGTGCCCTGCCCTCCTCCGCCCACCAGTTTGAGCCCAAGCTGGTCCACCACAACGAGACGATGGTGCACCACATCCTCATCTACGCCTGCGGCAACGCCAGCGCCCTGCCCACGGGCATCAGCGACTGCTACGGGGCCGACCCCGCTTTCTCCCTCTGCTCCCAGGTCGTCGTGGGCTGGGCTGTCGGGGGCACAGTTGAGTCCGGGGATGAGGCGCTAGGTGGCCAGGGGGGGCGCGCTGTGGGAGCCGGGGGGGGCCGGGCTGGTGGAAGGCTGGGAGGCAAGGGAGGCCTGGGATGGGTCGCTGCCCATAGCTCCCAGCCCTTCCCGCGGTCCCTCTCCCTCCACCCAACAGAGTTACCAGTTTCCAGATGACGTGGGCATCTCTATTGGGACGCCCTTGGACCCCCAGTGGATCCGACTGGAGATCCATTACAGCAATTTTCACAACCTTCTGGGTGAGCACCTACAGCGTTTGCGGAAGGAGAGCCGCGCAGGCCGCCGGCCACCGCTGCGTGTTGGGAAGGGTTGCGGGAGGCCTGCCGACTCCTTCCGCTCACGTCCCGCCCCGCGCTGTCCCGCGCCTCCTTGTCCCCACGCTGTGACCCGCTCCCCCGCCTTCCCCGATTGTGCCTTTCTGCACCAGGCGTGCACGACTCCTCGGGCATCCGGATGTACTACACGGCCCGGCTGCGCAAATACGACATGGGCGTCCTGCAGCTGGGCTTCTTCACGTTCCCCATCCACTTCATCCCCCCGGGCGCCGAGTCCTTCCTGTCCTACGGGCTGTGTAAGACGGAGAAGTTTGAAGAGGTGAGGCTGGCAGGCGCGGCCGCCAGGGGGTGCTGGTTCCCCGCCACAGGTCCGGTCCGATCCGCGGCGCGGGCGGCCCGAGCCCCGCCCTCGGACAGAGACCACAGCCTGGTGCTCAGGAGCCACTACCCCGGTGACCCACAGGGTGGAAGCAGTCACGGCTGCGGGGACGGGGGCGCAGGCACTGCCGCCAGGAGGGCCTGGTAGAAACTAAAGGGGTCCATGTCAGTCCTGAGAGGAAGGTGTCACATACTAAGGGCGGAAAATGAAGAGACGGGGCAAGATGAGAGTTCTTACCCCACCAGATGCCTCTTCGCCCTGTCACAGGTGAACGGGGCCCCGGTGCCTGACATACAGGTGTTTGGCTACCTGCTCCACACGCACCTGGCTGGGCGTGCTCTGCAGGCCGTGCAGTACAGGTAAGGGAAGGAGGCGCGGATCTGAAGGTTCCCCTTGTGCGTGTGGGAAACGGAGCTCAGAAACAGTTATTGATTCTGCAGTATAAGGTTGGGAGCCCTGAGGCAGCAGAATTATAGACGAGGGACACCTGGAGGAGGACGGTGGGGAGGAGCTTTCTTGCTTTAGGGACAATCCGGACCCACAAAGGGACCCCACACGCGGCTTCTTCATTGGTAGACACCCTGCGCGCACTTCACCCTCCTCTTCTTTCTGTCCCCTCCCCCTTTCTCTCCCTCCAGAAATGGAACGCAGCTCCGAACAATCTGCAAAGATGATTCCTACGACTTCAGCCTGCAGGAGACTCGAGATTTACCTCGCCGGGTGGAGATCAAGGCGGTGGGCGCGCGGGGAGGCCTGGTTGGGGCCGGGAGAGATCTGCCAGCCAGGAGGGAGCTCAAGCTGCACCAGGCCCCTCTGGCTTACTTTCGGCCTTTGTGTTTCACCCTAAATAGGGAGATGAGCTGCTGGTGGAGTGTCACTACCAGACGCTGGACCGAGACTCCTTGACTTTTGTAAGTGGCTCTCTCCCCACCATAGTCTCCATGACAGCAGCTTCAAGGTACAGCCGCATCCGTGGCCTTGGCTCTCAAGTGACCAGTTATGCCATCTGAACACCCCCCCTCTTCTCTCCAGTGGTAGCGCCCGTTCACAGGGGCGTTTTGAGGTCCTCACACACCAGCGATTGTAATTGGGCGGAAGGATTCCCCGAAAGACAGCACGTGATCACAACTCAGAGCGTGGATTCGGGGCCCCATGGCCCCGGTCTGAGTACCAACACAGTCATTAGTAGCTCTCGAACCTTCGACTAGTTACTCAACCTCTTTGTGCCTCAGTTTCCTAATTCATAAAAGAGCTAATAATATTCTCTGCCGCAGAGGAGTGTTGTGAGAATTGATCGACACGTGTAAAACATCTAGGCCATTGTCTGAGCTGCGGCAGGTGCTCAGGTAGAGTTAGCTATTGTGTGTCAGGAACGGCCCCACGGGTGCTGGAAACAAAAGGCGTTGCTTGCCCTCGAAGAGGAAAATGCAGCCATTCAAATAGCCCTCGTACAAGGTGGGCAGCGACATGCACCGTAAGAGTAGGATGGAGAGAATGCCCTAGGGGGACTCCCAGGGGGAAACCGTCAGGTCCTACCTCAGTGGCGAGAACGTGTGACATCTTTGGGTATGTCCTGCTTTAGGTGGGCACCCGAGGGGAATTCTGGAGCAGTTCCACGAGGGAGTGGCTTCTTTCAAAAAATTCAATATCTTGTCTTATCTTCTCAAACCAGAATAGTGAGAGTGGAAATATAAAGGATGGGGCAGACATGTGGGATGTTTTGGGGGGAGTAATATCCATAACTGTCCACCAATCGGAAAGAGGGGAGGAAGGGAGAGGTGCGGTGAGGAGGGGTAAGCAAGTTCAGTGAGCTGGCTGGAGGGTTAAGGGAAAGGAAAGCGGCGCCATTGGTAGGACGACCCCTCCCCCCCACTCCTGCCCGCCTTGTCCCCTCTGCAGACCTTTGTGTCCTTTTCTCTGTGCCCCTTCTTCTCCAGGGGGGTCCCAGCACCATCAATGAGATGTGCCTCATCTTCCTCTTCTACTATCCCCGGAACAACATCTCCAGCTGCATGGGGTACCCTGACATCATCTCCGTGGCCCACGAGCTGGGGGAGGAGGTGTCCGAGTGAGTCACCCTGGACGAGGAACCCCTCGGGCGTGCCCTCTCGAAGTTAGATCCCTTATGGACGGCTTCTCGGTCCTCCTCCTTCTCAGCGTCGCCTGATGCACTCAGGCTGAGTTTACTTTCCGGTGGTGACTCTCCATTACTCAGGGGCAAGGGTCCTCTCTGAGACTCGCGAGACCTCTGAAACTCCTTTGTGAGGAAGACGCACGTCTGTGCAGACGCGCCCCGTTTTTCGTACAACTTGAGGACATTTACAGGTTCCCTGAAGTCCCGGCACCAGCCTCCTTGGACCTTCATGGCCCGCAGGTGACGAGCCACTTCTTTAAATGGTCAGAAGTTTCTCTTCCTCACGCCTCAACATCCTCAGCTCTAAGTTCTGATGATGCTTCTTCCTCTGCCAAACGCCTGCCGGTCTCACAGAGCCACAAGACGTTCCTTAGAGTTTACCCTGACTGACGTGGGACTGACGCTGACAGAAGTGAGGCGATTTCATAGGCGTTTTGTCAAAGCTCCCAGGCGACCCTAAACTACTCTCCCCCACCCCCGCCCCTGCTCCCCGCCCCACCCATGCAGTTCCATGGAGGGCATGATGGCCATGAACAATGTTGAGTGGACCCCGGAGAGCATCAGGAAGGCCGAGAAAGCCTGCAAGGAGGCCCAGCAGACCGTGATAATAAAGGCCATCGACGTGAGTGTCCCAGGAGGCCCCGCCCCTCAGGGTCAGGGATGCAGGGGTAGGGGATGGTGCTGGGAGGAACCAGGAACAGAGAAGAGTGAGGCAGGTGCACAAGGGTAGGAACAGAGCGCCGGCGGGGGGAGCTGGGGAGCAGACGGCTGGGCTGACCAGAGGTGGGACAGGAGCCTCCGAGTTAGCCTACGAGACTGCGGGGATAGGGGTGACCACGTAAGGCCCCAGGAAGAGAAACAAGGCAGGGAGGCTTCTACCTCTGCCCACGTTTTTCCTTCTCCTGCAGGAGACCGTGGAAAACACGACGGGCTGGATTCCGGAGATCACCCCTTCGCCGCGGGGGCCCTGCTCGGAGTCCTCGGGAGGCAAAGTGGAGCCGCAGGACGAGACCCCTGCGGGCTTCAGGGCCGCTGCCCGCACGGCCCTCTCGGCCTCCAGCGCAGCCGCAGCTGACTCGGCGCGCCTCCTGCTGGCTGCCGCCTTGTTTGCTCAGGGGGCCCTCTCTTGGCTCCTTGTCACCCTGCACGGTGGAGTCTGACCCTGTCCCCCTCACCCAGGCCCTTCTCTGCTCCGTCCTCCCCAGCCATCAAACACAGAAACTCCCCTCCGCTTCAGTTCCCCAAAGTCCCCCATCGGTGTCCCTTCCTGTGGCCCAGGCCCCGTCGCTGCAGGCGTGGGCACTGGGACGCTCCATAAAGCGATGCAATTCATCCTCGGAAGCTTCAGAAGCGCTGGCGGGGCCACAGATGTTCTCACGAAACCAGGATCCAAGGCGGAGCGTGAGGCAAGGAGTCCCTGGGAAGCCTGATGCTCTGGCTCCCTCGGGGGAGGTGGGGGAGGCCGTGTGGGGCAGAGGGGGCTCGTATGCAGACAGAGAGCGCTGGGACCCCTCCTTCTCCCATGCAGGCCCCGGAGGGGGCTCCTGCTTCTCTCTTCTTCTGACATTTTGTCCAGCTCTCCCCATGAGGCAGAGACGGCAAGCCACATGGGTGATGTGGGGTCCAGACAGAGGCTGTGTGTATAAGGGACAAAGCTTAAGACATCACATTAAATAGAACTCAACTTGCTTCCTGGTGCCATCTCTTTCCTCTGAGCCTTGGTCAGTGAAAGGCATCCCCAAATGCCACATACAGTGCGGTCCAACCACACCTCTGCTGTTGGACGATCTTTATTTATCCCGTCAAATGTCACATTCTCAACACTCGAGTCACCAGGTGCGGAGAGCCTTCCCCTGCCAGGCCAGCGGATTTGGGCTCTGAGAACAGATCAAGGTCAAGGTGGGGAGAGTAGTCCTTAGCTTCAGGGTGCAGGCCACAACGAGGAGGTTGACGCGGACAAAGCCGGCAGTTTGCACCCACAGCCGACTGGCCGGTGGTGGCGGTGGCGGCTCTGAGAGTATCTGGTGGCACCTTGGGCATCTCAGCTTGAGAAGCTCTGTACCACCCTTCCCTTCAAGGTTTAATGTCGCTGTGCTGCTCTATGAATTGCCTGACTCATCGTTCACGCCCTCGGGAAGGGACCCCACTCTGGCTACGCCCAGGTGTTCAGATGGATCTAATTCCCTGCCTGAGCGTCGCCCTCTCTTGGGAATGATGAGGGGCATGGGAGGAAGCCAGCCCTTTACCTTCGCTGTCATTCCTTTGGGAGAATTCTGGGTGCTCCTTTCCGGGATTCTGCAAAATCTTTCGCGCTCACATGTAGCTTCAATCTTGAAATTCCTGGGGCCGCTTAGCAGAGGGACTTGCTGTCTTCAAATCAAAAAGGCTTTCAAAATTCAGGACAATGGGAAAAACTAGGCTCTTCTGAAACCAGAGAGGCTGTTCTCCCTTTTGGGCATCTCTGTAGCCATCATTCAAGGAAAATGGAGACTTTCCTTTTAGAAAATTGACAGTTTTTCCAAGCAAGAGTTTTTGACCTGTCTGAGCAGAGAACGTTCAGTCTGCAGGCTGTAGTGTATGCTCTTGGTTAATTTCAGTTGCCAGGCAGAGCAAGCGAGGACATAATGTATGTCTCAGAGCTGCAAATCACTATATTTTATAAACAATTATTTAAGTAGCTATGTTATTGAAGTGGCTACATTTAATAGAACTCAACAGCTTTTTTTTTTTTTTTTTTTTTAACTAGAGGTCACGAGAGGGATGTTTGAGAAACAGGGAGCTTTAGTCTGGATGATTAGTAGGAAAATAGTAGCCACAGTGAAGAGATGAAAGGCTAACAGAGAGACAGTTTAAGATGAAAAAAATCAAGCTTTTGAGTAGACTTCTAAGAAGCCAAACGTTGTCTCCGTATCAGAAAAATTAATGCCGCCCAACAATTCAACGGGCAAACTCCTGAGGAAGTGTGCAGGTGCTGATGAGACTTAGAAATCTGGTTTAGAGGAAACTTTTTGGGAGTTGGACATTTCAAACCACATAAGATCTAATGTCTGTTCCTCTTTGGGTGTGCTTTTATCTGGGCCAATAGTGGGAAATAAACTTGTGTTGCATCCATAACACAGTCTGTCATCTGTATTACCATCTAATTTTTTCTTCAGCTGGAATTAGAAATATAAATATTCATGGTCATGGGAATGGTTACAATCATAAGTTATAACTTGCCAGGGAGAAAAAAAATAACCTCCAGTCTAATTTGAAATTAGTATCCCTCGTATTACTCTTGTAATTCTACAATAAAAGTTCGAGCCTCGGGTAGTTTCCCAAAGATCTTTAGGCATCTTGTGCTCAGGTGGGCAATTCTGCCTGGGTTGAGATCAACTTCTCTGAGGTTTTTCCGTCACCGAGTGTCACCAAAACACCTCCAGCCACAACACACCAGCTGCTTGCTCCTGCCAACATGGCACCAGCCCCATCTCGCCTCACACCCCTTCCCCTCGGTGTGATCATCACATGGCAGATGAACTGAGGAAGAGCTATCGCCCTGCCCACACCTCAGAGCCGAGCCTGGACACTCAGCGTGAAGCTCAGCGCCTCACTCTGGGGCAGGGCTAAGCCAAGCCCTCGCTACGCAGTAGCGCTCATATTCATTCAGCGAACCACCATCACATAACAGGGCTCTTTGGGAAACTGATGAAACACTGGTACATTTAATTTTGTCACACAAACCAAAGAAAAAAATTTACTTGCAGAAAATATGTACACCATATAAAATAACGTGCATGAACACACACACAGAGCCCATATGAACTCTATTGGCTATTTCAAAATTTTTCTTCCCCCTTATTTGTTGGTACATTTTATTCTCAGCCAGAGCTCTCTAGGAGGCAACCTAAGAATAACAGCACATATAAAAAGCTTAAGAAAAATAACAAAATTCCACTGACTTAATTATTGTGTCAAGTGAGGAAAGATGAGCATTATTTAACTTAGCAGTGAAACATTTTGTTTCAGCTCAAAAAAAATAAGCAAACAGGAAGCAACCTTTTCCCCGGAAGCCCAGTAGGAGACACACTAGAGACGCTCCTGGAGGAGAATTTTTTTTTTGTACGAAACTTCAGTGTGAGAGGAAGGGACTCAGGGCAGCCTTCTTATGAAGTTCCAGTGCTAGGGAGAATCTGCCCTGCTATCAAGAAAGGCAAGGGGCAGGACAAGGGAAGAGTTTCATAAACACTGGAACACTCGGGGAATGTGTAGTAGCCGTGATAAAGCTTACAGCGACTTTTACAGGCTGACAGTTCATTTCCATGAACTCTGCAGCTCTGATGTTGACGCCGCCTTATCGACGAGCAAACTGAGATAGGAAAGAAAAGGAAAGGCGTGTCGCCCTGAGCAGTGGTCCCTGCGCCCACCTGGTAGCAGGTGATGGTCTCAGAACTGGTCCCATGGAACCCCTGTGTGTGGTCGGGTCTGAGGGAAGCCCCGGAGCCAGCGGAGCCCTGAGTCAGAGCAGGGAGGTCATGTTTGCTTCCGCCTCTTCCCTCTCCAGGTTTTCTGCCTCGAGGACCATGTCTCGTCCATAGACTTCGCGTTTCAATTCTCAAGTGTCTTTGGACATCTGAAGTTAAGTGCAGGTTTTCTCTTTCCTGTTTGGTTGTTCTGTTTTTGTTTTTCCAGGAGTACTTAGCTTTCGAAATCCCATGCTTTAATTACTGTTGATTCTACACGCGAAGGATTGAATTCCAGTAACTGCAGACTACGGCTGTTCGGACAAATTGATCCTGTTTTCCAAACGCCAGTGTTTTAAATGAAGGCTTTGGCCAACCTGCCCGCCCTGGCGTGGGGCTGGCCGCAGGGCCGGCGTGCCTGAGGACCGGAGCACTCCGTCCCCGTGTCCGGGCCTGCGGTGCCAACAAGATGAGTGCAGCGGGGGCTGCCCCAGCTGAGGTACAAGGGAGGGAGTTTACGACCAAATCCGCTGGAAGGTTTAGAATCAGGAGTTCTGTTTGGCTTTGAGTTGGAAGGGCATGTTAAGAGGCACGTGTCTTCTGGTGCATATCAGTTTGTTCAGAGGACTGTCGCTTGGGGGTGCATTCCAAAAGGCAAATGCAACTAACCGATTGCCCCTTGTGTGGGGCAACATCAAGCCATCCAGACAGTAATAGTACAGCTGTGCAAGTAGGTCAGAAAGCTGTGCAAATGTGTTCAGAGTAGGTGGTAGACAGTCGGGTGTAGAGAGAACCTTAAGTCACAGGTACTGGAGTTCCTAAGTGCCGGGAAAGCCCACAGCATAAGTGATCAGCACCCGAGAGTGAAACTAGGATACAGTTGCCCTAGGAAAGTGATCCCCAGACTCTCTGATCTTAGGGCCCCTGTACATCCAAATTTAGTGAAGACCCTATGCTTTGTTTAGGTGGGTTATATCTACTCATATTTACTGCATTAGATATTAAAATAGAGTCATTTGTACAATAATTTGTAAAATATTTTTTAATTCATTAAAAATAACAATATATCAACTCCATGTTAACATAAATAACACATTTTAATGAAAAACAACTATATAGTCCAAAGCAAAAAAAAAATGAGTGAAAAGAATGACATGATTTTATATTTTATAGAACTGTTTAGTGTCTGGTCTAACAGAAGGCAATAGATTCTCATACCTGTCTCTATATTCGTGTATGGTGGCATTACAGAGCATAGAGTCTCTAGAAGATGCCACTGTATTCTAATGAGAGAAGGAGAGTGAAAAAGGCAAATAACAACATAATATTATGAAAACAGATTTGAGCTTGTGTACCCAAGGAAGAGTTTTGAAGCCATCCAATGGGTCCCCAAACCACGTTTTGAAAATACTGTACTAGAGTTAAGACTTCAATAACCCTCAACCATGAGTCTATTCAAAGGAGTCTGGGTGACATAAGAAAGTAGTAGATCAAAGCTAAATAGTGAATCTGGATACAAAAGACCAACAACATGCTGGGCGTCCTAACTCCTTGAAGGAGAGTAAAATAAGAAAGGAAAAGCTTGTGACTAAAAGAAAAAGCAGATAAGAATATGAACGCCAATGCCAGGGCAGAAACTCTCTTTCCTACACCATGTCTTCATATGCTCACCTCTGCCTGGGTGACTTCTGGTCTATGAAAGAGTTAGATCCTTGTAAGTGAATCCAGCCATTAGTGGTAACAGCAGGGATCTCAGGTGATCTCACAAGTAAGATTAATTATAATTTCCTGGAATTATGTTTAATGTCTATAAACACAGGTACTTATCAACTCTGTAGTATCAGTAGTACCTATGGAAGCAATGGTTGTAAAGTTTGGGAAGTTACATTTTTAACATCTATAATCATATTTTTACTTCCTATTATAGTAAAAGTAACCTATAATATTCCCAATGTAATTATTTCATTTCCTGGCATCAAAGTATATAGAAAATCTACAGTGGTAGCATTTTTCATATTTATAACTATAGATAGGATCACTTTAGAAGCAATAATACTTTCTGTGTGTATAATAGCAAATTACTATATTGGTAGCCATGGTACTTGGAAAAGCTTATAGGAACCTAAAGTGCAATTTTTAGCATTCGAATTAAATAATGTAGTGTAATATTAATTACTATTCTATAGCAGCTATTTGAGTGGCAGGCGTCACCAGTGCTCTCAGTTATGGTATTATGGCCTGTGATACCATAACTGAGGTACAGTATTACAGAACAGTTAGGGTTATTTCAATGGCCACATCTAAAGCAATAGTATTTACAGTGTTACCCAAGATATCAAAGTCATATGTGAAGTCTGTAGCAACATGTATACAATATCTATATTTGATAGGGCTATCAAAGGTAGAACCATAATTTTAAAAATAGTAGTACATATTTTGGTTCCAAAAGAAGTGTCTACAAAGTTAGTACTGGGTACATCTTGAGATCTTTCTTCAATGGCTACAGTGCTTGGATTAGCCATAGTTATAAAAGCTAGTGCTAATGTTTGTGAAAACGTATGCAGCATAAAGTCATGTATCTGTTCATTGATTTCCTATATCTGTAATAGTTGTTTTTAAAGAGGTGCCTGTAGTAGTTATCCTGCCTTGATTGGTAATCAGGGAGCTAGCGTAGTATTTGTGGTATTTGCAGTATGAGCTAATGCAGTAGCAGCATTCATTGCCGTTCTATCAGCAAGGACAGCATTTGAAGCATACGTGATAACATTTGTAATATCTGTGGTAGCGTTAGTTGCAATGACAGGTAAGTACCTGGCAGTAGAACTCATGGTCACAAGGCGGTCAGTTGCTGTATCTGGAAGAGCAGATGTTAACGTGTCTGAGGCTATCGTGGAATTAGGAATAGAAACATGAGTCGTGACCCCGGGCACACCTCTGGAGCCACCTGCAGCAGCGGTGGTCACCGTGTGCTCTGTGCTCCTCACAGGATCGGCGGGGGAAATAGCTGTGGTGCTTGGAATGGAAGTGTTTGTGAGGACTGTGTCAGAAGTCGTCATTGAATTTGACGTTTTAGCACTGAAAACAGGTGTTGTGAGAGTGGTGGTATATGCTGGGGTGGCCTTTCCGGTAGCTTCAGTGGTCGATTCAGTACCTGCAGTGTTGGTACGTGAGGAAGTGGCAAAGTCTTCAGTCCTAGTAATTACTGCGTCTGGAGTAGTCAAAAAAGTGTTCACATTAGCAATCGTTGTGATGTTAACATCAACAGTAGCTGGGCTGTCTCTATTGGGAGTTCTTGTAATGTCAGTGACACCAGTTATTATACTGGTAATATTTGCATTCGTGGTGCTTTTGGTGCCCTCGGATGCAGTGCTGGCAGCATGGGTAGGGGTGTCTGGATAAGTAACGGTGCTGATGCTGGTTGGTGCCATTGGAGACACATTGTCGGTGGCGGTGGCACCCGGGGCGCCGGTAGGAGGTGCGGTGGGCACGATGATAGTTTGTTCAGAAGTAGCATTCGCAATCAAAGTAGCTGTGGTGATGCCTGCAGTTGTTTTCATGTTTCCTGCAGTGGTGATATTTAACATATTTGTAGGAACTGAATCCATGCTGGTAGTGTCCATACCAGTATTTGTAAGAGAAGGAATAGTTGTAATGAGAACAGTATTATTAGTGCTAGTCCCATCAGCACCTGTTGGGGAAAGAGCAGTGGCAACACCAGTAGCACCAGTGGTAGTATTAGTAATACTCGTTGGCAAAAGAGTGGTTGTGATAGGAGACGTAACATCAGGGCTAACAGTAGTAGTATTTGCAGGAGAAAGTGCAGTAGTATTAGGAACAGCAGTGCTAGTTGTCACTTCAATAGCGCTTGTCGGGTAAGAAGTGGGTGTGCTAGGCAAGGCAGTACGAGTGCTGGCAGCAGTAGTATTTGTAGGGAAAGGAGTAGTACTATTAGGAACAGTAGTATCTGGTGTCAACTCTGTAGTACTTGTCAGGTAAGAAGTGGTTGTGCTAAGCAGGGCAGTACTGGTTTCAGCAGTAGTAGCATTTGTAGGGAAAGGAGTAGTACTATTAGGAACAGCAGTATCTGGTGTAAACTCTATAGTACTCGTTGGGTAAGAAGTAGGTGTGCTAAGCAGGGCAGTACTGGTTTCAGCAGTAGTAGCATTTGTAGGGAAAGAAGTAGTAGTATTGGGAGCAGCAGTATCTGGTGTAAAGTCTGTGAGTACCTGTTGTGGTAGAAGTGATTGTGTGCTAAGCAGGGCAGTACTGGTTTCAGCAGTAGTAGCATTTGTAGGGAAAGGAGTAGTACTATTAGGAACAGCAGTATCTGGTGTCAACTCTGTAGTACTTGTCAGGTAAGAAGTGGTTGTGCTAAGCAGGGCAGTACTGGTTTCAGCAGTAGTAGCATTTGTAGGGAAAGAAGCCGTAGTACTGGGAGTAGCAGCACTAGCTGTAACGTCAGGAGTACCTGTTGTAGAAGTGATTGTGCTAGGCGAGGCAGTACCAGTGCTGTCAGCAGTAGTAATTGTAGGGAAAGGAGTAGTATTATTAGGAACAGCAGTATCTGATGTAAATTCTGTAGTACTCGTTGGGTAAGAAGTAGGTGTGCTAAGCAGGGCAGTACTGGTTTCAGCAGTAGTAGCATTTGTAGGGAAAGAAGTAGTACTATTAGGAACAGTAGTATCTGGTGTCAACTCTGTAGTACTTGTCAGGTAAGAAGTGGTTGTGCTAAGCAGGGCAGTACTGGTTTCAGCAGTAGTAGCATTTGTGTTGGTTGTTGTGGGGTGGTTGTGCTAAGCAGGGCAGTACTGGTTTCAGCAGTAGTAGCATTTGTAGGGAAAGAAGTAGTACTATTAGGAACAGTAGTATCTGGTGTCATCTCTGTAGTACTTGTCAGGTAGGAAGTGGTTGTGCTAAGCAGGGCAGTACTGGTTTCAGCAGTAGTAGCATTTGTAGGGAAAGGAGTAGTACTATTAGGAACAGTAGTATCTGGTGTCAACTCTGTGTTTTGTAGGAAGTGGTTGTGCTAAGCAGGGCAGTACTGGTTTCAGCAGTAGTAGCATTTGTAGGGAAAGGAGTAGTACTATTAGGAACAGTAGTATCTGGTGTCAACTCTGTAGTACTTGTCAGGTAAGAAGTGGTTGTGCTAAGCAGGGCAGTACTAGCACTGGCAACAGCAGTAGTACTTGTAGTAGCAAAACTAGTGACAGTCATCCCAGAAGTGGCAGCCTCAGTCGAATACGTAGAATGTGCAGTGGCTGGGGTGATGGTACTTGTCTTCAGTGTAGTAGAAGCCATGGGATCGCCGTGAATCCAAGTGACCTCAGTTAACTTTTCCAGGCTGATAGTCTTGTCACCCAGTTGAATAAATAGTATCTGCCAGAAAACAAGAAATAACATTGCTGTTTTAGAACTTCTTCAACACCATATTTAACAACCACCACTGAAATGATGTATCATTTTTTCCCCCCCAGAGATTAATAGGGGGCTCCTTCTTAGGTCACGCTGATCCTAGACACGTAAATACGGAGACATGCGCTGTGGGAAAAAATCCCTGTGCTGGGAATGTTTCCTACTACGTACTTCACTCAGTCGTAGCCACACTGCTCAAAAGTATTTGAATCTCTGACAAAACCAATGTTCCTGGAGATCCCTTTGTTTTGCCACTAGCTTTTAACTTTCCTGAGGGCAGGCTGGTGTCCTGTTTTCACCAACCCCAACACCTAGTATTCTGCCAGGCACATAGTAGGGTTGTGTAGGCCCTGATATTTGGGGGGCTTTTTTGTTGGCTTGTGTTTATAATGTGTGTCTGACTTAAGCTTCAATCGTCGTATCTGTCCGTTTCCAAGAGGCACCCACTTCAAGCCCATTGAGGCTGCTTTGTTTTCGAGATCTTCATCGATTTCAGTAACTGACCTTTGGGCCACTTGTTTGTTTTCTCTTCCCCTGCTTGAAATGTGCCGTGTTATGTTTTATTATTTTAAAAATGTTTAATGATTTTAGAGAGATGGGAGAGAAAGAGAGAAGCATTAACGTAAGAGAGAAACATCATTTGGTTGCCTCCCATACACACTGAACCTGAGATGGAACCTGTAACCTAGGTACGTGCCCTGACCAGGAATTGAACACACAACCTTTTGGTGTACGGAGAGAACACTCCAACCAACTGAGCCACACCAGTTGGGGCAAAATTCACCATTTTAAATTCACCACTAAAGAGTGAGCCCTGGAAGCACTAGATTCCCCCTTCACCCCCAAAAAGCTGAACCCTTGGCCCTTGCCCATGACCCCCTTGTATGGCCCTAGGTGTGCTGTGTAATGTCCAGGACTTGTAAGTTGTGAGCCTGTATCTTTTCAAAGTTTCCTGATGGTTCTTGCCGAAGGGCATCATAACTCACAAGAGCTAGTATGGCCACAAGCTGGGTTATTGACAGGTTGAGACCAGCACAAGACAAATAGGTATGATATGCTGCACACCTTCCCAAAAAGAAGGTAGTCAGACATCTTCTATTACCGGTCTTGACTACAAGTATTTACTTACAAAGAATGGTTTCGAACTCAAAAGTTCAAGGAAAATGTTTTGAAGTCAAGAACTACAGAAGACTACAGAGAGAGAATCTGAACTTCAGACGGTCATTTTCCAAAATTCAAATACCAGCATGGCACTCTTTTTACCTTTTAGAAAATGGTAACTATAACTATATAACTATAACTATAACTTCTAACCCGCCCTCTACGCGTTACCAAATCCTTACTTACGATAGATCCAGTAGTGTTCAAAAGTGGGATTTTTTCCCCTCTTCCATTACTCTTGGTAACTCTACTTTTATTTTGTCTTCCAATTAGTTGTCTCTGGCCTCTAAAGCACACTTTACGAGAGGGTTTAGTAGGGTCTGCTATTTATGTCATTGTTCTGTTAGCTGAGTAATTTATCTCACATCATGGATGGGACGTACTCATTTTCATGACAACCCCAGTTCACTGCCAGTTTTTACCAACCTAGAAGATCGATCTGACCCCTCCCCTCACCCCTGGGTGGAGAGCGAGTTAATGCAATTTTTTTTTTTTTTTTTTTTTTAGATCACTCTTTCCTTTATTCGAGTCTCTGCCACAGACATAAGTTTTGTCACACTCGCCTGGGAGACCAACCTTTACATATAACGTAGTTTCTTTGGGAAATGCATGGAAAGGGTTTCAGGAGACCATTGATCACTGTTCCCTGGGGAGATCCACTCATATTTTATACTTTACAATATAACTCAATACTCGCAACTTTTCAGGAACACATCTATTGTACATACCTATAACCTTTCCAATATAAATGATAATAATTGTGGCGATAACTCTTACAGAATAATATTTGCAGAATTTATGATATAACAACGTTATTTTGAGACATACCTGTTGGTAGGGGTCACTGCTGAAATTCATCACCATGGAATGCTGGCTGTCATGGGTGACAGTGACTTGTGTCACATAAGTAGGCTGGACCCCCATGATTACAATATATCCAACTTTCAGTGGATTCGAGTTACTCAAATACTTATTGTGTATGGTCTGGATTTGCAATGTGTTCTACAAAGAATGCATAACGGTAAAAAATACATAATACATTTGTTGGTCAACTGCATTCCACATTAAAATGTTAAGAAACCTCAAATTACTATTGTACAGGTGTGCTGTTTTATTTTTAATGAAACACTTCATGAAGACATACTTTCTGAGTACCAGCTACAATAAAGTTGGCGACGCCAAACATTAAGGTAGCTATCATATTGGATAACGCAGCTCTAAGAATTTCTCTAAATCCTGGGTCTCATTTTTAAGAGAAATCTATACTAACTGTAGTCCAAACAGAATAATCAGATCTGAAAACTAGTTTAAGCACAAAACACAGGAAGTTAGCCTGGAGGGTATAATTCCAAGAAAAAAAGGACAAAAAGGATATATGATAGACATCATCAAATACTTGAAACACTGTTATGCATAAAAGATTTCCCCTCCCCCCAGCATTACATGAATTACAGGCTTCTTTTTATAGAGTGAGGGTATATTGAATAATTATCAAAGCAAGGGCTGCTTACTCCTTATTTTAACATCAGCATACCTGATTTATAAAAGCTGGAAGGTCTTCCCATTAAGATGTAGAATATTATATATAGACAGTTAATGAATAACATTTAACCTGTAGCTAGCTGAAAGAGGATTTCTAAAATTCAATTTAAAAAGTCTTACCTGAGCTGCTGTGAAATTTGCCAAGAAATAGTTTCCATTTTCATAGGTATCTGCAAGCAAGAAAAAAAAATAAAAGCAGCTACTCATTACTTCAACTGTGGCCGATCATCTTACATAGAGTCCAAAAATGGCTCAGCGGGATCGGAACCCCTGATCGGGACAATCCTGACTTCTCGGAGGAGCTGAGGGGCGTCCCACCCCAGGTTACCGCGGGGAGGTACGCACGGAAGAGCGCGTTTTGAGATCAGGAGGTTGAAAAGGCCGGAGAACCTGGGCTGAACCAAGGCCTCCTATCACAGGTGGAGCAGCGTGAAGGCTACTGATTATGTTCTGCGCCCACACAGCAAGCGCGCAGCCAGGAGAGTCCACGTGGTTGTGATGGGACAGGCCCAGAGCAGAGGAGAGCGGTTAGGGACTGGGGCTTCCATGTCCGACTGACATTCAAATCCCCGCCCTATCCTTAGTAGTTGTGCAGACTCAGGCAAGCTCCTTAACATTTTAGCATCCATAAAACAGAGATTAAAAAAAAACAAACAGGAGTAGCTCCTGGCAATAAGGTCCGTAACAAGCCCCTTGTGCACAGTAAGTGCTCAAAAATCGTGGTTCAATATCATCACCGAAGTCACCACCATCTTCATCGTTGTTATTCTCTCCCTACTCTTAGCTCGCCCTTCCACGGCATTCTACACCCCCAGCGCCCCCTGCCCCCACCCAAGCTACCATGTTTCCTTTCTGGCGCCATAGGTCCCAAAAGAAAGGTAGTCTCTGCTTGTTACACCTGTGTACTCAAGTCATAATTCAATCCTCCATCTCCTGCCCTTCCGCTGCTGTGTCCTTTTTTTGCTGAACTGGATCCTTTCAAAGTCTCCGGTGACGTGGTATATTAAACCTTTAATACTCATGTGGCTTCTATACCTCCTATTTCCTAAAAGTCAGTTTCATTTCATTGGTCCTGTATTGGCCCTTGACATCATCCCACCTCCTACCAATACCAGGACATGTTCTCTCCCTGAACCGACAAATCCTCTTCCTTGTTTTGTAAATTACCTCTACTCTTGTGGAAATGAACAATCATAAGAGCCTATTTTTAAATTTAGTCTGGGCTAGAAAATGGAACCTAAGCAAATATTACAGCCTCTTTGAGCAGTTTTAAGGAATGTTTTAAAGAATGAGCCCTGGCTGGTGTGGCTCAGTGGATTGAGCCTATGAACCAAAGGGTCGCCCGTTCGATTCCCAGTCAGGGCACATGCCTGGGTTGCAGACCAGCTCCTCAGTATGGGGTGTGTGAGAGGCAACCACACATTGATGTTTCCCTCCCTCTCTCCTTCCCTCCTCCTCTCTAAAAATAAATAAATAAAATCTTTTCAAAAAATGTTTAAAAATGAGACTCTGTTGACATAGGTGATTTAAGATGATCCTTGAACGAGCTATTAAATCTCCTTATGTAAGTAAGGAAAAGCTTAACAAACAGTTACAAGCCTGTTAGTGAAAAATTTCTATTAAATTTATACTTACATTGTATCTTGTTATTTTAAATTTGAATTTATAAGTCTGGTGAAGCAGAGAGCTTCTCTATAGAAGCTAAAAAGTTGAAAACTTTCAGGAACTATTGATTTTTAACCCCACGACTAAAACCTGTTCATTGCAGAAACCTAAAATTTCATAGAAAATTGGTTTTTCTCTTGAATTTTTGCAATACAGGGTCCGGCAGAAGTAATGCCCACGTGAGTGTGGTTCGTAGGGTAATAGTAGAGTGTAATGATTTACAGTTTTAATTTGAACATGTCACTTAAAATGCCACACAGCGAGCTTGAGTGAGATATTGTCATGTTACAGAATGACACGCATGACTTTGTAATGAAGATGCGTTGTTTGTGCCAGGCCTTGTGTGGTGTCCACGGAGGGCCCCTCGGACGCCCTAAGTGTGGGGTCATGAACCCACTATGACATCAATCATCTGACCCTGGTCCGTCCAAGCTGCGTAAAAAGACTCTCAATCCACATAAAACACTGGTTTCAACTAGCAGTGATTTTGCTGGTGAAACATTTGGCAAAATCTAGAGACACCTTTGCTTGTTACAACTTGGGGTTAAAGGGGATATTTGGGCATCTAGCGGGTAGAGGGTCCGGGTGCTGCCAGACGTCTTAGGAGTAATAGCCCAGCCACCCCCAGCAGCAAGGACTTTCCGAGCTTAAAATGTCAATACTGTTGAGATTGAGAACACCTGCCTTAAAAAAGCCATTTCCTTGAAAACGAGAAGAAAGTTGGAGGACTCTCTCCTCCTGGTTTCAAAACTTACTTCAAAGTAACTGTACTCTAGACAGTGTGGTACTGGCATAAGAGTGAGTGAAAAAGATTATATACACACACATATATACACACACATAATCTTTTATATATAATAATTATATCTAATCGTTATGATCATTTTAATGTGAAGGTTTTATCTGTCTTCAGTTATGTATATATACCTTAATATTTAAAATCATTTGATCTTTAACAACGGTACCAAAAGAAAAAATAATTCAATGGTGAAGGAATAATCTTTTCACAAAAAGACTGGGACAGCTGGATGTCCATGTGCAAAGAACAAAGTTGGACCCCCTACCTCACACCATATACAAAAATTAACACAAAATAGCTCAAAGACCTAAATATAGTAGCTTAAACTATGAAACTCTTAGGGGGAAAAAAGGGTAAATCTTTGTGACCTGCGAGTTGGCAACTGTTTTTCAGTATAACACAAAAAGCACAAACAATAAAAGAAGAAATATAAATTTGACTTCATCAAAATTAAAAACCTTTGTGTTCCAAATGGACACTTAATAAGTGAAAAGAAAATCTACTGGATTGGAGAAAATATTTTCAAATTATAAATCTGATAAAGGACTTACCATATATCTAGAATATAAGGAATGCTTACATTTCAATAATAAAAAGACAACCTAATTTAAAAACAGACACAGTCTATAATACACATTTCTTCAAAGAAGATATATAAATGACCGGTAATAACATGAAAAAATGCTCATGACATCTGTTTTCAGGAAAATGCAAATCAATTGGAACCACAATGTGATATTACGTCACAGCCACTAGGATGACTATTCTTAAAAAGGCAGAAAATAACAAGTCTTAAAAAGGAGGCAGAGAATCCAGACCCATCATACTCTGCTGGTGGAATGTAAAATGGTACGGCCTCTTTGTAAAGTAATCTGGGAGTTCCCCAAAAAGTTAAACATAGAGATGCTGATTGAACCTTGAATATATTATGTTAAGTGAAAGAAGCCAGTCAGCCATAAAAGGCCATGTTTACTGCATTTATATGATTCCACATAATTCCATCTCTATGAAATCTCCAGCATACATAGATACATAGTGACAGAAAGTAGATTAGTTAATGCCTAGGGCTGCGTTTCTTAGAGTTGGAGGGAGTAGTGAGTGGGGGTGGGGGAGAGAGGGGTGATATCTAAACGGTACAGGGCCTATTTGGGGGGTGAAGAAGCTGTTCTAAAGTTGATTGCACAATGGTTAAACAATTTGGTGCATATACTAAAACCATGAATTGTATACACTTCAAATGGATGAATTACTTGGTGTGTGAATAATATCTCAGTGAAGCTATTATTTAAAAAAAAATTAAAGTCAGGATCAAGAACTAAAAGAAAAAGAAAACATTTCTTTTTCATAAAAATATACTTTTCAAAAATAATTTCTCCTGATTCACCTTTAAAACCCAGTGTATGCTTTTTATGCGTTGTTATCTCCCTGGTCTACTGCTCAGCTCCTTGCCGGTGTTTCAATCCATCATCACACCCACGTTTCCAAACTCTGTTCTGTTTCTCTCCAGCCAGGAGACTCCACATGCTTCTTGGACCCCATCTGTGCTAAGCTGACCTCATATTTCATTCTTCCCTAAACTGGCTTTATCACCGACATCCTATACCGTGATGACAGAATTACTAGGTTGGTCAAAAAGTCTGTCTAGTTTTTTCAGTAAAATAAACGACACATTTTTTCACTTTCACCAATAACTAGATTGATTTGGATATATTGAGTGTGCCGGCTGTCTCCTGCTATTGGCTTCTACCGAGCAGAGGCCAGGGGGCTGCTCAACATCTTCCAATGCATAAGGCAGCCCCACAGCAAAGAATTATCTGGCCTAAATGTCAATAGTACCAAGAAACTTTGCAAACCACTTTTGACATGTTTGATCAGTCACAGTACCTTCTCCATACACTCACAAGTCTGTTTTGCATTTCAGTTGTGTTTTTACCTGTCTTGAAATGATAAAGAATAATATGCCAAAAATGTTGCATATTTTCTTCCATCTTCAATATTAAGATGGCTGTGCAAAAACTCACCAATTTTGATGTTTCTTTAATGCATGCTGATATGATGGATGTCACAAGACAATCTAACAAAATTGTTTTGAATGACGTTAAAGACAGCTAAGCACTACTAGAGCTGTTGTACAGAAAAAACAATGGGCTTTTTGGCTAAGCCAATGCATCCTGCCTCATCACCCACGTATATCTTTAGCGTGGTCTGACAATGCAAGTCATCTGTAGTCACTTTGGCAAGCGTGTCCCTGAACTGGCAGTGTCAAATACCTCCACATGGACACTAACTCCTTGTGCTGTGAATTCTTGCTCATCAGACAAATCCTTGATGAATATTTCATCTTTCATATAGATTAACTGAAGGAAAACTATGTACTTCCCAATAGATGGGAACATTCTAATTCATTAATAAACACAGTTCTTACATTTTAAAATTGGCTTTGGGGCATAGTCCTCTGTTACATGGTTTAAGCCCTGCCAGTCCTGTAAAATCTGGTGTGGGTGGCTGATCGATCTTTCTCTGACTTTGGAACGTTTTGTTGTAATAGTAACCACAATGATTTAAGTATAAAATATCTCACCTTAAAAGCTTATAATGGAGTTTTATTTGTCTTGCATATTAATAATACCTTTAATTCAGTATTCATGGGCCAGAAATCCTCTCTGTATATTAAAACATATTGTCTGCCTATATAATGAAGTCTCCATATTTATAAAAATATTCCATTTTCTTGATTGTGGTGGTGGCTAAACAACTATATACATTTGCCAAAAATTATTAAATTATATATTTAAAATGGATAAGTTTAACTTATAAAGTACAATTCCATAAAGTTGATTTAAAAACAAAAAACAACAAAAAGAAAACAGTAAGTTCACTTCTAGGAATCTATCCTATGGAAATAACCTGAAATAAAAACAAAGGTTAATACTCAAGGATGTTATTTACAAAAATAAAAACTGAAAATATCCTGAATCCTGTATAGAGAATAATTATAGGAAGTTAGATAAATTATGGCATAATCTCTCAATGGAATATGCTAATTCCATAGTGGTGTTTATAGGAAACCTTTAGAAACATTACTAGTGAAAAATAAGCTATAATCTTGGAAAATGTGACATGTTACAAGATTAGAATGGTCTGGTCCACAGTAATAAGTATCAGAAAACGGGGTTGGCTGGTTAACAGCACATCAGTTTTCCATAGAAATGTCTCAGGGAGAGGACGTTTTGATTACAGTGACAAATACCAGTGATCTAAAGTAGAGCTATCATGTCCCCAGACTGAGGAAGGAAAGCATACATAGTTATAGTTCTTTGATAGAGGTATCCTTTTGACAACATAAAATTCCCTGCTTCTGAAACACTAGAAAATTTTCTAAGCTCTAATTTGTCTCCTGAGTGGGCTTACTTGGGAGGAAAAGGGTGCCTGGCTATACGTGGCTGGCCCGAACAGCACAGCCGGGTCCGTGGACCACCAGGAATGAATGAACTGTCAGCCTGATAGCTCCATCCACACTTTTTTTGTCATCAGACTGAGACAAGCTATACAGAGATCTTTCACCCCAGCTGAATCTATAACGTCAGTTTGCTGAACCTACGAAGCTGAACCTACAAAACCTACCTACTCTTCTATAATAATTACAGTGTAATATCAAAATGAGCAGGCAGAAGTTGCAAAAACTCTCCCAATACCATTACTTTATTAACAGTAGCAGAAATGAGAGAGATTTTCAGTCTGTGCCAATCATATCCCGAGCCTCGGGGGTGTGGTGTTTCTGAGTGTCCTCTGGGGAACCCGGAACGGTCACACTCACCAAGGCTCTCTCCGTCGTCCCAGAACATCTGGCCCTCAGCTCGCCCACTGTCATCCAAAGCAACCATCAATGACATCAATTTCCGTCGACTGTGAAAACAAAAAAAGTTCTTTTTCTCGAGATTGTAAGTTGTAAGAATAAAACACAGTGTCTATTGAAAATATGCATCCAGAACAACAACAAAAAAAGGTAATGGAGTTAAAATGCACATAAAGCTCCAAAAATAGGTAATACGAGATAAAAGACAAGATAATTAAAAGCTAATAGAAATAATATTTAAAATTTAATGAAACGTTTGGCAAAACTTCAACTTCCGAAAATCAAATACACATCCTTTACTTATAATACATATTATAAGTAATATGATGAGCGGCTACTTCATAGGAAGAAGACACCCCCCAAATAAAAGAAAACCAAAACACACCTTTTAGTAGCTTCCAGGAGAGGGAATGAACACTAAATCCCTGGATAGCCATCACAACTCAAAGAGCTCATCAGTACGTCCCCAATTTTTCATAGGACAGAAAGAGGTACAGGCTGCCATGCCTGGAAAATGGTTGCCCCGCCCTCTGAACCAGAGCTCCCGAGGAATGGTCTCCCCGACCCTACGGTGAGGGACCCACCCTCCGCTGTCCCGCTCAGAGGGCCCTCCCGGACTCGGCAGAGTGAGCTAACCGCCCGGGAGGGGACACGGCTTGCTCCTGCCCAGGGCCCCAGAGGGGCGGGCGGCCCCCGGGCTCCCTCACCTGGAGTGGGTGTTCATCCCAGCCTCTTGCCAGGGCAAGACGTAGCCTCCTCTGATGTGAACGTTGATGTGGTCGAGGGGAGCCTTCAGGGTTCTCCACTCACCTGCCGATACGTTGCCAGATCCCTAGAGTGGGCAACACAGGCAAGCATCGGTGTCGGGGAGGGGAAGGCGCGCTTCCTACAGCCCTTCCTTCCCCAGGGGCCGTGCTGGGAAGTCAGCAAAACGCTGCAAACCGCCCAAGAAAACCTCCGATTTTCTGGGAATCTAGCCTTTTCTCTTTATTCTCCTGAAAAGGTGGGGGATGGGGGACGACTCAAGGTGACTTGGGAGTCAGACTTTACCGCATTATACTTTCATGGGTACTTTTATTTAAAGAAAGCTTGCGTGGCTGAGGACTCATTGCCTCATCAAATAGGTGCTGGGAAGTCAGGAGGAAACTCTAGCCACCTCTCGGGCCTGCGGGACCTGGCTCTCGACCAAGTATTTCCCTTAGTTCTTACCGTCCTGTAGTCGTACCAACGGGCTGCGGGGAAATAGGCCTGGATCTCAAACGTGTTCTGAAACACAAGTCCACAGGTCCTCATGAATATCTCAACAATTCAATTTTAATTTTAACCATTATTTCTGTAGCACACACATCAAAATAGGAATTTTATTAACCATTTTCAGAATTGGGGAGGTTTTGTTGAGAAAGACCTTGGGAAATTCATTTCAAACACACAGAAAAAAAATTTTTTTTTTTTAAAGTCAGCTTTATAAGGATGCAAGGTGACAAGACATTAAAATAAGAAATCAGCCCTGGCCAGTGTGACTCAGTTGGTTGGAGCATTGTCCTGTACACCCAAAGATCACGGGTTCAATTCTCAGTCAGGGCACATACCTAGGTTGTGGGTTCAATCCCTGGTCAGGGTGCATATGAAAGGCAACTGATCGATGTTTCTCTCTCACAACGATGTTTCTCTCCCTTCCTCCCTCCCCCTCCCTCTATAATCAATAAGCATGCCCTTGATCGGGGATTAAAAAATTAGATAACTTAAAAAAAAAAAACCCAAGAAATCCACTGAGCTTAAGTTTTCATTAACAGAGATCTTGAAAAAAAATATTTAAAAATCCCCTGAAATATTCTAGAAATAGTGAGCTGGACGAGATGGTCTTTGCCACGCCCACCCTGCTCCTCAGGTGACATGTTTGGAGGATTTGGGACCAAGGACGGAAAACTCACCCTCTGCAGCACAGGGCTGACTAAGACAGCAGGGCCCAACAGGAACTGATGGTCTATGTCCCACGTTGTTTTGTCCTCACTAAACCTTTAAAAATAAGGATTAAAAAGTCTACACAGACTGTGAGGACTGTGGCAGAGGGTTATGCCCAGACCACGCCCACACCCGCTGCTTGGGGACACCAGGGGCACTCACTCATGGAGAAGGGGGCGCACAACAGTGCTGCCCTCCGCATGGGCCTTGTGCATCAGGGTGTAGAGGTACGGCAGCAGGTTGTACCTTGTCTGGAGGACTTGCCTTGCATACATCTCAAAGGTGGAATTCCAGGCCACAGGATCTTGTCTCTGACGGGAGGAAAGAGCACCTCTTTTTCCCTCTGTCCCGGTGACATGAGAAGTACCCCAAGGCACACACCCCTTCGGTGGGCTTCACATCACTTCCCTCTTCATTTCTGGCCTGCCCGTTCCCCTACTCCCGCCTTCTTACTAAACCAGAGTGTCTTGCTTCCTCCTCTTTGTCACGGGCTCCTTAGTCCCCTGCTCAGGTCCACCCTTGGCCCTGAACATGTATGGAGCGACGGGTCTCTTGGAGGCACCAATATTTCTTGGATGGATTTGAGCAAAATACATATTCACTATTCTTAAAGGCAAAAGTGGCTTCTTTTACTTCAGCCCCACCGAGAGATGAGAAAAAGTATATTCTTGAAAAATCGTTGGTAATTATGGGGTTTTTGAACTTGGTGGATTTTCTTAAGGTATGGGGGTTCTGTTGATTTGTATGAGCTTTCTCAATAAATAATTATGGTTCTTTGGAGCATCAAAAGAAAGCTGTGACCCAAGGACATAAAACACAGGAGGCAGAAACTGCTGGCTCACCCTCGTCCCGATGGTGTTGTGGTTCCTGGAAAAGGGGTAAAAGGCCCCCAGCTGCATCCAGCGCACACACATCTCATACTCGGCATCTCCCAAGTACCCACAGATGTCTGCTCCTGTCTGAGAAGATGCAAAATTGGGGCGTGAGGTGGGACTGTCGTACGTTGCAGACACCCTGAAATCCCACTGGGTAATTAGCAGTGGCCCCAACGTAACTTACATAAGGTATTCCAAAGAGACTGAACTCCATCATGCCTGCAACGAGAACATGCAGCTATGTTGGACTAAGCAGCCCTTTGGGAGGGTAGGTTTGCCCTGTCTGTTCTGTACCCCATTTGAAAGCCCTGGGCCAGTCGCGGTGAACAAATAAAAAGATGGGTATAAACCAGAGCTCACGCCCATCGAGAACTCAGCACCTGTTGGTTGCACTGCCCACAAGGATGATGATTAGGCACAAACAACGCACGGGCCCCTGGGAAAAGCCACGCACCGATGATAGATTTCTTCAGCTGGTCCCACGCGGCTGTGTTGTCCCCCAGCCAGTGTCCTCCCCAGCGGCCAGACGAGGGGAACGTGGAGCGGGTGATGACGACCCCTCGCTGTCCCGTCACCTCCCGCACAGCTCTGGATGGAGGGGCAGAAGGAGGTGAAACGGCTGTGAATTGGAGGGTAGACAGGATGGAGGATGAACTTCACTGAAGCCAAGGGCGCGGCTTCAGCCTGGACCACGAGGCAGCAGCGGGGATACCTGTCAGCCAGAGAGGAGCTTCTCCCTGAAGCCCCTGCTATTTTCTAGTGATGCTAAGACTCCCGGGGGATTCCAGAGCCAGACAACTAGAGATAGGGCATCGCCTGAAACGTGGGCTTCCTTTGCTTAAGAAAAAATTGAGTTAACTAGTTGTCCACATGGAGGTAGGAGGAGGGGTGGGGTGAAGTGTAGGACCGATGTATTTGTGGAGCAATTACTCTATTTTAGCTACTATACAGGTCACTTTCATGTGCATGTCTCACTATATGACAAGGAAGATTTTCTTCATCTCCTTGTACTGCTCGGAAACTGAGGCTCTGAGAAGTTAGATAATTTGTCAAAAGTCACTTGAAGAGCAAGGAGGCAGATATGGGATCCAAATAAAAGTGCATACGACTACAGATTTTTAATTTTTTTGGTAATATTCACTCTCCTATGCAATTCCTCAAAAAGCAGTATCAAGTTTGCGCACAGAGACAAATAATCAGAAAAGATGTTTAAATATTTCTTGATGGAAGGTGGATCTTCTACATGCAGCCTCAGTCAGAAATTAAAAACAATTGTGTGAGAGAAAAATCAATGGAACCAAAGAGAAAGTCTATTAGCAGATGCTAGTATATAATGCAATCCAAATATTTGCTAAATAAAGCATCACAAATCAATAGACACAGATGAATTACTCAATAAATAATGTCAGGGAAAGTAGCCAGCGAGTGCAGTAGAGACTAGCCCACTTAGGTCTCTTCCAATATTTCACACCAAAATAAATCCAAAACTGGATGGAGATTGTGCGCATGCGTGCACACATGCGAGTGGGAGGCAATGCAGGCCTGCCATAGGCAGGGACAGAGAGTAAGAGTGCGTGTGAGTGACACAAGTAACTCTGTCACTGACCAGTTCAGAGCTTTAGAAATTAACCAGCCATACAAAGAAGCAAAACAAATTGTCTCTCCAGGAGAAACTGCTAAATGCGGATGAGACAGCGAGTTATATGGGATTTCGACGTGGTTGATTCCCAGGCTGACCCTTCCCCAGCTCACGGGCACCAAAGGCCAGCAGCCTTGCAGCAGCCTGAGAGGTCTGGCTGATTTTGGAGCTCTGTTAAAAGCCCCATCCCCAGAACACGGTAACATTTTTATTTCTATTTTTATTTCTAACTTCCAGCCCTCTGGAGAACCTCCGTTCTCAGGGTGTTGCGGCCATTTGGTTAGACTCAGAGCTCAACTCAGCAGAGAGAAAAAATTCCTCCCCCTCTCCCCTGGACCAGGGAAAGACTAAAACAATAGCAATTTTCTGGCCACATCACAGGTACTCAGGCTGTGGCTTCAGCTGGGGCAAACACAAGCTTGGCTGGTAATGTGAAAGTCAGTCCTGGAGAATTAGAACCTGTTTTAGAAAAGGGAAAAAAAAAAAAAAAACCTCTCACAGCCGAAAGCTTTTTGGAGAGAAAGAGTTTATTGAGCCCCATGCTAGCCACAAAGGGGACCAGGTCCCGGGGCGCTTGCAGTCTAAACCACAGCATCAGGGCTGGGTGGACCAGACACAGCCTGTCTACCATCAACACGGAGAACTTGGTAAAAGTTCTCAAGGATCTAAAAGACTGCATAAGCGCAAGGCTTTGTGCATGCCCAGGAAAGAACCAGGGAAGGAGAGGGTTCCAGGGACTGACTTCTGCCTGAACTGAAAAGCCTGAGCAAACAGGCAGTAAAAGGCTGTCTTACAAACTGCCTGAAGCTTGAAGGTGCGCCTTCTCATACTTACCCCTTAGCAAGGGGTAAAAGGCTCAGAGGAGAAGCACTTGAGGTGACTAAGGCTGCTAACGTGAGGCAGGCTTCTCCTTGACTCTAAGACCAGGCTCTGACCTCCCTTTGCTTTAGAAAATTGTAACTGTAAATTCTCTCTGTGCCCCCAGAACTACAGAATTAGAAAAGTTGCTAAATAAATAAGCAACAAGTAAAAAAACAAAAACAGCAACAACAAAAACAAAAAACTCTGTGGGGGCAGATTTTTATGTCAGAGTTGCTACAATGTATTATTTAGCATTATCATGCAAAAAAGACAGAACAACAACAAAACAAAAAAACCAACATGAAAGTATGCTATACACACAGGGAAACAAGCAGCCACAGAAAATGTTGCTGAGGGGCTTAGTAGACAAAGACTTTAGGTTAGTTGTTATGTGTTCAAAGAGCTAAAAGGAAGCATATTAAATAATTAACAGAAAGTATGACAATGATTTCCCACTAAATAGAGGATGTCCATAAAGAGACAGAACTTATTTAAAAAGGAACAAAATTCTGGAGTTGAAAAATACAATAACTAAAATTAAAAATTTACTGAAGGGACTGAGCTCAACATCAGCTTTGAGCTAGAAGAAGAAAACAGCAAAACCGAAGATAGGTCAATAGATGTGATCCAGTCTAAAAAACACAAGAAGAAAGAATGAAGCAGGGTAAACGGAATTTCAGAGACCATCAAATGTACCAACAACACACACATAACTGGGCTCTCAGAAGGCGAAAAGAAAGAGGGGTAGAAAAAATATTTTAAAAAATAATGCCAAGAAACTTATACGCTGAAAACTATAAAATGCTGACAGAAATTAAATGAGATCTAAAGAAATAGAAAGATATCCCATGCTAATGGATCAGAAGACAATATAATGAAGATGGCAATACTCCCCAAATAGCTCTACAGATTCAGTGCAACCCCTACCAACATCCCTGTTACTGTTTTTCAAAAATTGACAAGCTAATCCTAAAATTTATATAAAATCTAAGGGACCCAGAATAACTAAAACAATCTTGAAAAGGAACACAAAAGGCCACATGTGGTATGATTCCATTTATGTGAAGTGTCCAGATTATGCAATCGGTGTAGGTAGAAAGTAGATGGGTGGTTTCTGGGGCTGAGGAGGTGGGGACAAGGGTGGAGAATGGCTGCTAATTGGTGGTTATTGCTAGACAACTCTGTGGATATACTAAACACAGAGGAACTACTTATTTTTTTTAATGAAATATATTTGACATATAACATCGTGTAAATTTCAACATGTTAATTTGTTCCATTATCTATTATAGTAAGATTGCCATTGTTGCAATGACTAGTACCTGCTCACTTTAAATAGGTGAATTTAGCAACCTACTCGGTTAATGCAACTCCGAGGTGGTGCGGTTGCTTGGGAAACCACTCCTGATATTTTGACCGTCATCCATTAAACTTGCGTCACTCTATACATGACTGGGCAGAAGTAACAATGTGGAAAAGGATCCCTACTGCCAATGACTGAACACACTCACTCGTATGTGGGCCTGGTCTGGGACCACCCGTAGAGGCTGTGCACGTCGTAGTGCCGTGCCCGGGAGCCGTCGGGCAGGATCTGCTCGCCCTCCATGCACAGGGTCTTGCTGCTCAGGCCTCTGTCCCTGGACTCCAGATCTGAGGGGAAATGCTGAGTTATGTTCTAAACAACTGAACTGCCCGTTCACTAGAAATGTCCATCATCTTCGGACTGCTCTATTTCAATCAACAACCCTGTTACCAGTAACAACTCCAATTTCAAGAATTTCTTTTGACTAGGAAAAAAAAAATCAATGTTTGGTAACCTTACATCTAATGAAGGGTAAGGACAGGGAACGGAGCTGCTAAAGGAACACTCCTTCCATGTCATGACTGTGTCTTCCACTAGATGGTGATGTTCTCAAGGGAATAGATCTGGTTTCAATCAAGTTTGTATTAATGTTGCTAAATTGTTCTAGTTTGCCTGATACACAAATATTAAACTAAGGGAGGAAGGAGAAAAATAAGGAAGGAAGGAAGGAAGGAGGGAAGGAAGAAAGGGGTTAGGAGGGAGGGAGGGAAGGAAGGAAGGAAGGAAGGAAGGAAGGAAGGAAGGAAGGAAGGAAGGAAGGAAGGAAGGAAGGAAGGAAGGAGGAAATTAACAAACAATAGGAAGCATAGCCATGACCTGGACATTAAAAACCTTGATTTCCAGATTTCATCTCACAGGTAACTGACATGGTGCTTTTAGGTAGGTGACTCACTTCCTTCCCCACGTTTCTGTAAGGTGAGAGAGTTCATCTTTCTGAAGTGCCTTGGACCCCCAAGGCATATGAGTCTCCATTTCTGTGTGCACCATATGATAACCAGGGCACACGCATGTGTGTAGGGGGTTATTTAGAGTTTTAGCCATCAGTCCATAGTTACCCGTGTAACCAGATGCACCATACATTGCTTGGTCTCTTTCACATCAAGCCATTATTTCTATGCTTGATTAGTAATTTACTTGCACTTATCAAGGTTATCCTATTTGGGATTTTATCTCATGTTTGAGAGTGTTTTCTCTCTCCAAAATGAGGCTTCACATTGACAACAAGGGGGAAACTTTCAAGGTTTTTGAGCAGGGAGGTCATTTAATGAAGTAATCATTTTACATACATGGCATGTAAGGTGGTTTGTTAAGAATTCCATCGCGGCAGCCCCCGACAGATCCATCCACAAAATTCGATGGCTCGTTCATATCCTGAAATGAATCAGCAAAAAAAGATTCCGTGATGTCAGAGGCCGTGTGGCCTTAGCTTGGGGACACGCTGACCTCCTGGAGGCAAAAGCATCTTATTTAAGCCCTCACACAACTGCTTGATTCACTGATTCAGCTTAACCTCAGGTGTGGACCCAAATGGACCCTAAGAAGTCATGTTGGTTTAAGTGGAGTGTTCAAGTCCCAGGTGAGGCTGCAGTTTTGAGCTTCTGAGGTTAGTTTCATAGCAGCAAAAAGGCTGAGATGAGGCTGGATTTAAGACCTCAGGAAATCTCCTTTCGAGTCAGCTCTCCCATCTCACCTCGCTTTTTTACTCCCTTTGTATCGGTGGCCAGTGATCACTATTCTCTTCCCCTGCTCCTTCTCAGTCCAGTAGCTGAGCTAGTTCGGACGTCAGCGCAGTCTGGGGACAGGCGGCCATGTCTCACGGTCTGTGCCCCGAGAAGCTGACGGCAGCTCAGAAACAAATCTGGTGGTCAGGAATACTTGCAGGGGTTATTCCTTAAATGCAAGAAGTAGCGAGAGATGCCTGTGGCAAATGGTCATTGCCTGCTTTACCCATGGAAAAGTTAACATTTTGAACATGGGGCTATCTTAAATGGTACATACGAAAGGGCAAAGGCAGGTATTTGGGACACTATTGACAATTCTGAGTTATTCAGCTACAGCTTTCTTCCAATGGGACAAATATCCCAAAGTGAGGGCTCTCTCTCTTCCTCGGAGCCGGCCACACCTCTTTGCCGTGTGCTTGGCCTGCTTGCAGTACCCTGGGCCTTTCACATGTGTCTGCTCGGTGCCTGTCTGGATATCCTGAAGGTGAGCGACCGCGAAGCCCCTGCGCTGCCAGGGGACTCGGATGTTTGTCCCTGGGTGAGCCACAGGCAGCCCGGCCCACACCTGAGGGGCTCTTCAAAGCTGGCCTAGGCCCCGCTCAGGATTTCAGGCCACTGGGCAGTGGGGAAGGAAGCAGGGATGTGCCTACGCTTCCCATCCCTGGAAATACACAAACAGAAGAGCCTTTGGACGCATATCCCAGAGACATGGCAGGAAGCCCTGCTCTTCCGCCCAGCTGACAAGTATAACAAATATCTGAGGCGTCTCCATAGCACTGTGGGGAATGTCTGTTTGGCCTTGGATTCAGTCCTTGCCCCCAGCCCTGCCGGGTGTCACTGGATGGCTGCCAGGCTCCCTTACTGCTGCCTCTGGGTAGGTGTGGCCAAAGGGAGGTGGTGGCAAGAGATTGGAGGATAGGAGTGAAGAGAAGCCAGGGTATTGGCTGCCTTTTTCTCTGACATCCTCTCCAGTGGTAGCATCTGCCCCCATGACTTCCTCCAGACACTGTGTCCCTGGGCAGACCCTCTGCTTGTCCTGGTGGTCCCAGCACCTTAATTCTCTGCTAGCACCCTCTCTTCCATTCCTAGTTCCCTGCTTTGTTAGTCTCTGAATTGCCTCTCCAGGTCTGTACTGCTGGTGTTTCCAAAGAAAAATGATGAAGGATGCACTTACGAGCCACAGTCCGTCGAACTTCAAGCTCTTCCTCGCCTCCCGGGGGTTGGTGTACAGCTCTGCTATTTCCCTCTTCCACCACGCGGCGGTGCTGTTCCGCAGGAAGTCAGGAAAGGCGACGTGGGCCCTGAACAGCTGTAAAAGCAACACACGCCCTCACACCGGGCTTAGCCGGACCAGGATGGGGGTGTGGGGGGAGGGGGACTGAGCAGGTGCGGTGCGAGGCACCGCCCCCTCAGGGTGAGCCCTTGGCCGGGCCTACTGCTTCCACCGCACAGAGTTCAAGGTGGGCACAGAGGCCAGAGACAGCTGATTTCAGTCTTTACTTTCCTAGAAGGTTAGATAGTCTTGAGTCCTTTTTCAACATGGGATTCATTTTATGACTGGGCATTTAATCATAGGCGCTGGAAAATTAACTGTCCCTGGCTAAACTAGGAGGCTTCAGAGATTCAAAAGCTTTTTCCTACACTTATCAAATGAAGACCAGTCGCCCGGGGCAGAGTGAGCTGCAGAGTGGGCGGGATGCTAGAGGCCCAAGCTGAAGGGACGTCAAGTGCTGAGATCAAAGACATCGCTCCTTCCAACTGTGTTACAGGTAGACAGTTCATACTCTTCCCAGTGAAAGTGCTCTAGCCTTTGGTTCATTACTTTTCAAGCAGCATTAGACTTAAATGAAACAATCCATTAAAAGCACATGGGTAGCCCTGGCTGGCATGGCTCAGTGGATTGAGTGCTGGCCTGCAAACCAAAGGTTTGCTGGTTCAATTCCCAGTCTGGGCACATGCCTGGGTTGCAGGCCAGGTCCCCAGTAGGGGGCACATGAGAGGCAACCACACATTGATGTTTCTTTCTCTTTCTCCCTCTCTTCCCCTCTCTAAAAGTAAATTTAAAAAAAACACACACACATGTAAAGGTATTTCATTTATGATTTTCTCCTACACATTTCCAGTTTAGTTGCTTGTTGAGTTTTCCATTTGAGGATCTTTTTTCCTGCCAGAAAATTACCAGGTGACAAGCACACTCAACTTAGAACTACTTACCCAAACACCAAGATAAAACTCATAAGTATCTAGATACTTAGGGCAATGTAGACAAAAAACGAAACAAAACAAAACAAAAAATGTTTGTGTAACAATACCTTAACCTGTGTTTCATGGTCAAGGGATGTGTCCACCTTCACATTGGGCAGATCTGGCCAAACCTAGAGAAAAACAGAAAAATTAAAACCTTTAAAACACATTACATACAGTGGATGAGATGTTTCACATGTTAGACTCTAAGGACATGCATCTCTATAAAAATCTCGGGGATCTTGGCCATTAATTAAATTCTGTGATCTTAATGTACGAAATTCTGTTGGGTGAAAATAAGCTGGGTGTCTTGACTTATGCCATAAGTTATCAAAGTTTCAATTTTGAACTTAATGATCAACTAAATCCATTTTAAATAAGTCCTCTGAACAATCGCCTTTCAAATGATTGCTCAACTCTCTGACATGCTTGTCATGAACCTATAACAAAATTCCCTTTATAAATAACAAATGTGACTAAAGAAACAAGATCGATTTCCACTTACAACCTATAAACTTAGCCTCAATACTTGTAAGCAGCGTCATGACTTATTGGGAACTCCAAGTATATGTAGCATTAAAAAAAATCCATATTATCAATGAATTTCATCTATAATTAGAAGGACATTAATAATATACATGAATCAGTTCATTCAGGAAACACTTAGTAAGCACCTCACTATGCCAGGTGCTCTTCTGTGGCCTGAATCTACTTGGATTTAAGTAGGAAACAGTCCTTATTTTCCAAGAGTTCAAAGACAAAACATAAGTGCTATGTTGTATGCTGTACTCTCTGTGGGCAACAATAGAGAAAAGGAAGGAACAGTAAACTAGGCATTGAAAATGCTCCCTAAGAAGGAGTGTTTGAATTGCTCTCGGCACATGTATTACGTGAGTAAGCTGGGAGAAGGCAACACACAAAGGCACAGCAGACGTGGCGTGTACCGAGAGCGAGAGAAAGCAGCACAGTGTCATTACAGAGCAGAGTGTGAATCCTGGCTAAGGGCTACTGTCCCCTAGAGTCAGGAAGTTCACCTAAAATCCTGTTGCCCTACACCAAACGAGGATGAGGACGGGGGCCCCTGAGACGGAATTAAAGGAGACTAAAGAAGGAGGATAATACATAAGGTTTAGTGATTTATTTAAATATGAAGGCTGATTGAGCATCATAGGCCAAAGACGAGTACAAGTCCTGAGAGCAGGTGGCTGGGAGACACGGATTTCAGAGCCACTCTCAAAGGGGTCATTCATGTGTGTTAAATGAGCCGCTGACCCACGTAAGAAGTAGGACCCCATCATATTTCCAGGCAATAAGATAAAACTCACTGATATTTTAGAGGACTGGACCTATGACCTTGGTCTTAGTAATATTCATTAAGCTAATCAGTATGAGACAGATTTGTATTCATTCATACTTTATAAATTACCTGATATATTTTACCAAGATTTATTAAGAGCATCTTTCCATCAAGACATTGCGATGCTGATTAATTATAGGCATCTCCTCCCAGTCCTTACCTTTCCCCAGACAATATCACTGCTATTAGGCCATTTGATGAATACATTGCTTTCCTGCCCTCTGGTGAACGGGAGATACTGTGTCTCATTGCCAGAAATGGCTGGATCCTGCAACAAAAGAGTCAAAAACAGAAAACATGAGAAAAAGATTTCCAAGAAAAAAGCTCTCCAAAATTTTAACAATTCACAGTACAGAAAGAAATGGTGAACTTCATAAAAACAAGCAAACAAACAAACAACAAATGAGACCCATGGATAATATGTCTTGTGTCTACTTGGCAGTTGAGAAGTGATAGAATATATTAATGTTTCTCTATAAAACTCCGAAGGGGAAAAAAAGGATGCTAATGTTTGTAAACAAGTCCTGGAGATAAGCCAGGTGAACAAGTCATTACCTTCAAACAGAGAAGGGCAATGTGTTGTGTTTCCACAGTATCACAGCGATCGATATTCCTCAAAACAATGAAACTTCTTTCTTCTATTATATCTGTAGTCAGACTTGTCCATGTAAAGTGGCCTTCCCATTAACCTCGTCCCTTACCTGCCCCAATTACTTTCTATAAGTGCCCCATTTCTCAATTGTCACATAAATCATCACTTCCCAAAATTACATATTTAATGTTTATATAGTGGCTATATCCCTCCAATAAATTATAATCCCTGTAAGAAAAAGAGCATGTCATTTATTTAGATTATACACACACACTCCTTTGAGAACAGTGACTTTCAAAGACCCAGGGCTTAATAAGTACTTGAATGAATGAACAAAAGTCAGCAACTGATGCTCTACTATATGGAAGTTAGAAGGGAGGGCCATTTGCAGGTTACTACCTGGGTATTTAACTTCTAATGTAAAATAAGAAGTTGGTCTTCTGGATCCTCACTAGGTTGTTGGTGAGTTTAATTAAGGACATGTAAGTCCCCTGGGTCTCACCATTGTTGGGTGATGATGAAACTTAGGTTTTTGAAATCCCTATGGTAAAGAGAAAACTAAGACTAAGATACAGCTATTCCAAGGGACAGCCTGCTGCAGTGAGACTTTTTTTTTTTTTTTTTTTTTTGCTGTATTTGGTGTTTTAGCCCACAGTTCTTCTAACTCTACCCAGAGTAAGAAGAACTCAGTGATGAAAAATAAAGATTGTAAGTATCATTTTTTAAATCCCTTTTTATTTGTAGTTTTCTCCTTTGTTTGCTTTTTTCAAACCTAACAAAAATAATTATAGGTCCACAGCAAGTTGCCCTGCACTCCGCCTCCCCGCCCCCAATGGTGCTGTTTTTAACCATGAACACAGAAACAGAAAAATGAGACTTAATCTTTCTAAGCACCTACCAGAACGAGGATGAATCTCATGCCGTTTTGTTTCATCCGCTCCATCAGGGGACCAAGGTTTTGAAAGTTACTGCTGAGGGTGAAGTCCAGCTTCCGGTCCATGTAATCTATGTCTACATGTTGAACATCCTACAGGAAGGGACAAGCAAGGTGTTTGGGGTCCCGTGGCAGTACCTCTTAGGGCACCGAACTGCTCTGCCAGGCTCCCAGGCTGCTGCTTGCTGACCCCCGCCCAGCACCCTCTGAACTGATCTCATGACTCCACCAGACGCACTTTTCCATTTGGCTTATTACAATTGCTACCTGATTCCTGCAGACAGATCACCGGTTCCCACTCCTTCTCCCTCTGCCCCTCTTCCCACCCTGGAATTCTCTCCCCTTTCCTCCCCTCAGTTCATGTCTTTCTGACTCTTCCAATCTCAAAGTTAGTGAGCCTTCCAAAAAAAGTGCTAGTTAAATGTCCAAGGGTAGAAAGCAGGACTCAGCTAAAAGGCTGTGTGCCTGTTTTCTCTTTTCTCTTCCAGTGTACCTGACTGAATTTATTCACATTTAAGAACATTACTTTCTAGCATCCTAAAACACAAAGGAGTAAACTCTTCCCACCATCCCCATTTGTCTGGATGGTCTTTGAGATGAGAACCTTGTCTTCCCTTTCCTCAGTACAGTACAAACCAACCTAGGTTTCTGCACATGGAATGTACCCAGGTCAAGGTTGTTGAATGATGGCTAAAGTGGTTAATACTATATTTTGCCTTGTATAATGTGTACTTTTTGCCCAAATTTTTGAGGGAAAAATAAGGGTGCACATTATACACGGATATAATGGTTACATACCATGGTTATAATAATCCTATGTATAATGTGCACAAAAACATGGGTGTGCTTTATACACAGCAAAATATGGTGCTCAGTTAAAAAAAAGAGATATGCATTTTCTTTAGTCTGAAGTTGATAATCATCTGAATTGCCTTATGATCCTAAGTAAAACTTGTTTGAGGGAGCAGAGATTTGTGCATAAGCCAAAACTTAGAAAAGAATGAACCAACATATACTATTTACACTGGTTGCTTTGGTGAGATAGACCTATGGATTTCTTTCATCTTTTAATTTACCTATGTTTTCTAATTGGTGTTTAATAAATATCTAATGTAGCAGTATATAAAAAGAAAAAAATTAAGCCTTGGTGAATGTTTCAAGTTATCTTTGATGAGAACATTGGAACACTTTATTCTCACTTTCTAATCATTAATTGTCCTCCAAATCTCAGGAGGTGAGTTAAAAGCGGAGAAAGAGAATGTGGGATGAGAATTCTATCTTCGAAAGAGAGAAAGAGCAGGTAATTTGTGCAATTCTGCTTGTTGACAGCAACTGGCTGCAATTCCCAGGGCTTATCTAGCAGCTAGGTTGTCATTGTAGGATTTGTGTTATATGAGTATTTGTGTTTAAGTCAAAGGGAAGGCTTGATTTTAACTACTTTCTTTCATATTGTCACTTTATATCCCTTCTCTCCAAAAATAGTCACAGTGTGATCTCCTACAATTTTCATAATCCTGACATGATTCCCACTTACAAGTCCCCAAAGTCATGGCTTAAGACCAACTATGGCTACTGTAGGATATTTCTGGCAAGAGGCAGTAATTAACAATATCCTCCGCTAACTTCTGGAGGAGTCACGCCCTTCAGTTTTGAACCCTTGATTTAAAAGGGTAGCGTGAAATAAGTTTAAAGAGCAATGTTTCCACACAGGACTACCTCCACAGCCACATTTTCTTTGTACCAAAGGAATCATCAGTAATTTCTATGAAGATATTTTCAACCAATAGTAAGCCACAGGTTCCCACAACTAATTAAACCACAGGCTGGGTGAGGGCTTCTTACATAGGGAATCTGGGCCGCCACCATTGCATCATACAAACTGGAGATTTCAGCGTCATTCTGGTATCCATAGCGACTCAGCTGGAATCCCAAGGCCCAGTATGGAATCATTGCTGGCCGACCAATCAACTAGAATAAAAAAGAAAAATGGATCCAGGTAGATTTCTTAGGGAAGGAAAGATGGCCAGCTTATGCTTGAAGGAACTTGAACACTTCCGCTGAGTGTTGTCTGATCTAAGAGGTCTCATTCAAGAAAAATAAGAAAGTCAAATAAACTTGGAACAACCATAGGGATGCAGGATGATGGAAAGTCTCCCTGTGTTCTGGAGCTTCCACTCTAGGAAATCCTGAGAACTCAGTGGTTCTTACTGATTTTTAGCAAATAATTAAGAGACATATGGGATATCAATGCACTTTTAATAGTTCTTTAACACTAAAACCCTACTCTCAGAAAAGACAGCAATAATGTAGTAGGAACATCCCCAAATTGGCCTTTCTCAGAGCTAAGAATGTGGCAATTCTCAGAGCTAAGAATGTGGCAATACCCAATAAACACTGGTTGGTTTGTTAGTGAATAGGATGACTTCTCACCTCCGTGTACTGCTGGGTTACAAGCTCAGGGGTTGGCCCCAAAACCACATAAAAGTCCAAAATCCCTCCCGTGGTACGGTACGTCAGGGCAGGAGTGGGCTGGACGGTCACATCTGTTAAAAAAAAAGGTTAGGAGCACCCTTGGAACTATAAATTACCCAGACAGGGGGTCTGCCCTAATATGTGCTATTTTCACTCACTACCTTTCATGCCCGGCTCCCCTAGAAAGTCTTCCCCCATGCAGTGGGATCAGAGACAGAGTTTCAGGTGCCCCCAAAATAACGTCAGTCTCAACATTTTATACCACTCCATGAAAGGCAATTGAAGTGTCACACAGAAAAATAAGGTCACACACAAATAGGGACCATGTTTAGTCAGAATTTCACTTCTAATACTTGGACAAGAGAGCTTAATAAATCATAAAGAAACAAATGAATGAATTAAAGGTCTGGCGATGAGCTGCATTTCCTTCCTTGGCCCTGGATTTCCTTATTTCTCCTGATACCCCAGACCCCAGTAAAGCGGACACAGGAAGGCGCCTCTGGCTCACCCATGGCATTGCTGTTGAGCAGAAGCACCCCGTGGGCATGGCCATCCTCCTCCAGCCCCAGGTAGTAGGGGTGGACGCCATAGGAGTTCTTCTTGTCCTGGGAGAGTCATGGGGAAAGTAGGTGAGAAACAAAAAGAGCAAATCCGGAAAGACTCTTTCCACCTCATGGAGAAACAGCCAACCCCTACGCAGCCCTGAAGATTCAGTGCACTGCCATGCCCTTCGGAAGCCTTCCTTGACCCTCCCCCTTCCACCCCAAGTAAAGAGCTGAGCGCCAACCTCCTGCGCGCCCTCCTTGTTTATTATTACACAGTTCTGTTATCGCGCTACTACACTGCCATGCTTGCTTCTGCTTCGCGCTCACAAGCCTATAATCCTCTGGAGAACAAAGACAGTGCTTTGTTAAATAAGACAGTGACTTATTAAATCAGACTGTCTTATGCTATGTGTGCCTGGCACATAGAGTATATTAAATAGAAGTTTATAAAATAAAATTCATAGTACACATGGACTATATATGTGTGTATATATTATACATATATAAGTATATATATTAGTGTACATATTATACTTAGATATGTCTATACTAAAAGACTAAAAGACATTCATGAATGGAAGAGCATTATATAACGTGGCCTATTTCATTTGAGAGAGAATTTATCAACATAAGCTGTAGTTGGTGAATAGGGGGTACCATATATGAATTAAAATAAATTTACAGAGTGCACTGGTCAGGTGGCTCGGTTGGCTAGGGCATTGTCCCATACACCAAACGGATTGTGGGTCAATTCCTGGTCAGGGTTCATGCCTAGGTTGTGGGTTCAGTGCCCAATTGGGTTGCATATAGGAAGCAACTGATTAATGTTTCTCTCCCACATTGATGTTTGTTTCTCTCTCTCTCCCTCTCTCTCTCTCTCTCTCTCCCCCTCCTGCTCTAAAATCAGTAAACATATCCTCAGGTGTGGATTAATAACAATAACAAATAAATAAATTTACATGGAGAGAAACTGATCAATAATCTTATTCTCTGCTTACCGCTGGTGGCTCATCTCGAGCAAACATTCCCCAAGTGTTCCAGCTAATGTTTCTTCTGAAAGTTGTGTGCTCAGTTTCCCCAAAGCCATAGATGTTCTGAGAGGGAAGGCGAGTAGAAATGGAAAGGAACTTGTCATTGAAGGTGAAGCCAGGGAGCTGAGAATCCCAACTGCAAAACAAAAGCATACCTTCAAGCCGAGCTGCTCACAGGCCAGAGCCAACAGGGAATACGATTAGGATGCCTAACTGATTGTGACGTTTTCTGAGTGACTGTGCACCTGGATCCAGGTACAAATACTGTGAGCTGACCCAGGTCTTATAAGTGGCCATGACTCACTACTGAGATTCCGTGTTTGTATTTTTATTCTGTGGTTTGCAAGGCTGACGCCTCCTTTTCTGATTTATGGACCCTTGAGAGTCTCACTCATCTCTGTGTTTCTCGTTCTCATTGCCTGGCACATCAGCTTGAATCAATCCATAAGGTCTAAGCAAATGTTCCAACAGGAACGCATGAAACGGAGACTTTTCTGGATTGGCCAAGGTGCTTCCTACCAAGGAAGTCAACAGAGAGAAAGTCAGACACACGGTCAAGAGCTGAAGCCTGTCCACATGTGCACACACAGGTGATGGTTTCTGTTAGGATGGGGAGCTTCGGCCCCGGGCAAAACCCAGACCTTTGGTTCATGCCATTCAGCAGCAGGACAGGGGTGAGAGGTGATAATTTCTTTCATGCTTAACGTTGTAAAAGAGCTGTAAATCTACAGTGTCAATAGAAGCAAAGACTATAAGATGCCATTTCTGTCTCCTCAGTGACCTTCACCCCTCTCTCCTGACTCTTCTGTTATTGTTTATTTATGAGGCATATAGAGTGCTCTGTCCTACTTAACAAGAACAATGAGTAGATCATGTAATTTTCTTTTTCTGAAATCAAGCAAACTTAGTACTTTCAAACCTCTGATTAATTTTTCCCATTGAGTTAATGACTAATAGAAAATGAAATCCCCACTGAAGCAGGGAAAAGTAAGTATTCTCTGTTTAGAAAAACACACACACACATAGAGTCTCCAAGGTTAACATTTCACCTGTATTCATTAGAACCAGTGTAATTAGATCTAAAAATCACTAATTAGAGCCAAATAACAGTGCTTACATCACAGTGCCAGAGGCTTTTCGTCTAATCTGGATCCCAAAAGGGTTGCTTTGAATCTTGACATCGTACAGACGGTTTTGCGGGGAGCCAACAGGAGATGGAGGGGTGTTCAGAGGCACTGGAACCTCGTACCTTTTATTAGTGGGATCATAGATCTGACAAGGAGAGAGAAGGAGACTTTCTGATGGAATCTCAAACCTAATGGCCTTCATGCCAGCTCATACAATTCAGTTCCCATCAGGAGGCATCAACTGTCCCAAAGCAAACAGACATCAGGCAAGCCTACCCACTGTGCCCAACGCAAGTCCTGAGCCACAAAAATGCCTCAGCAACAATGCATTCAAAGCCAGGGAGGGCACTTTCTCTAAAGAATTTGTCATTTAAGGGTATCGAATCTCATGGATAGGATGCATGTGTTTATGAGTATGGCATGTGAACAGGTCTGTGCACACAATTGTGTAAGACTATGCGTGAGCATGTGTGTGTATGTTGGAAATCAGAGCACTGAGCTTTCATATAGATATTGAAATACTCCTACTAGGTGAGCTTCCAGATGTCGCTCGGCTTCTCCGTTCTTAACATTGCTCCTTTGTGCCCACCGCTCACTCCTACCCACCTAACAGGACTGCTGCGCAGGCAAAATGAGAGAAGGGCAGCGTGTTGTGCAAGGCTGGGTCGTGTTACCCTCATACTGCCATGAGCGAGCATCCTTTTTCTCAAAATAGTATTAGCCCATGTACCACACTTGGGGCATATTTTGTCGAAGGCCTTGATTCCCAAAATTCTGTTTCTCACACCAAAAGCAGCAATATTATTGGGGAGCCTGTTAGCAATGCAGAATCTTGGGCCCCACCCCCAGACTTTCTGAATCAGAATTTCCATTTTCACAAGATCCCGAGGGTGATTCCCCCCACATTAAAATGTTAAAAGCAATGTCTAGGGCGAGCTGTCCAGGGTGGTATCCACTACCCCCGTGTGGCCATTAAGCCCTTGGAATGTGCTCGTCTGAACTGAGATTCACTGTACATGCAAAATACACACCAGATTTTGGAGACTTACTATGATTATAAGATTCAAAAGTATCTCAATAACTGTATTTGGATTACATGATGAAATGAAAATATTTTAGCACACTGGTTGAATCGAATGCTATTAAAATCTATCTCACTTGCATTTTTTTCCAAGTACTTTCTTAAAAACACGGTTATTAGAAAGCATACCTGCCTCCCATTGTCTTTCTATCTGAGTAGAGCAGTGCTTCTCAAAGTGTGGCCCTTAGTGTGCAGCCTCAGACTCCCCTGGGAACTTGTTGGAAATGCAAACTCTTGGGCAGGAAGCCCTGGGCATGAGGCCCAGCAACGTGAGTTTGAACAAGATCTGCAGGTGATTCCGATGCACGTTCATTTGAAGTACCAACTGCAGGAGAAGCGACTGTAGTGTGGGAAGTGCATTAACGCCACCCAAGTGGGCTTACCACTGAGCAGACACAGTTTTCTCAGGGCAAAGGAGTGATTCTTGGGGGATCTTTCTGATGTAAAGGACCCATCATTGTAGGAAATTGACAACCCTGGTGGCTCCAAGGCCACACCCCGGCTCTACTACCTCCTAAGGTGCTGACCTTTCTTTCCCTCTCTGGGCCTCAGCACCCTCATCTCTCAGATGAGGGATCTGGACTAAACAATGTTCCAATGACGTCCCCCCATAGCAACTCCCTGTTGAGGACCAGAATCTGCAACGCGGGGGTTACCTTGAACTGCAGCATGCTTTCTGTGTGGTAGGTCACGTTGAGCCTCAGGAAGCTGATCTTTGCAGAGAGAGGGTCAGAGGTCGTGGCTGCCGCGGGCTGAGGGCGTGCGCCCCGTGCTGATGGTGGCGGCGCTGCTGCTCGCGGGGACTCGGAGGCTGTCAGGTGTGTGAGGTCAATGCTGACGCCAGTGGGCAAATACTGGATGTTACTGGCTGCATAATTAGGGATAGTGTCATAGAAACAGGTGGGCACGCCAGGAACCGTTGTGTGCTGGAACGAGAGGAGGTGTGCATTCAGTTGGCCTCCGACCCCACACTCTGAAACTCTAAGTACTAAAGAAGTTGGGTAACACAGACTCAGTCTCAACACCATGCCTATTATTATGGGTTGAATTGCATTCCTCGCAAAAAGATGTTGAGCCCTAATGCCAGGTACCTTATTTGGATGGCTATAGGGTCTTTGCAGTTGACCTAGTTAAATGAGGTCATTGGGGTGGGCCTATTCCAATATAACTGGTGTCCTTATTAAATAGGGAGATTTGGACACAGAGGCAGAGATGTACCCAGGGCAAGTACACCACGCAAAGGTGAAGGCAGATATCGAGGTAATGTCTTTATACACCGAGGAACACCCCAGATTGCCAGGACACCAGGAGAAGCTAGGAGGGAGACATGGAACAGATTCTCCCTCACAGCCGTCAACAGGGGCCAACCCTGCCAACACTTTGACTTTGAACTTGTAGCTCTTAAAACCCCGAGATGTCCACTTAACACACACACACGCACATACACACGCGCCTCCTGTAGGAGGTGAGCAGTGAAGGTCAGCAGGAAGCCTAATCTGGAGACTGGAGTCTTAAGGCTTTGGGGTTCTGCTCCAGCCTCCCAAAGCTACACCTCCTTGCCGTGGGGTAGTTGTCCCCACTGTGACATGGGGAAAGTCACTTATTTTTCTCTGGCTTTCATTCTATTTTTCAAATGGAGAGGAAGACTCGTACCTTACCTTGTTGCTTGGACTCCAGTGGACGGGGGGAAAAATCACTTAAAATACACAATGCCTGACGTATTATTGTTATGTTAAAAATAAAAATGGGGGTTAAAATAAGGCGGCTGGAGGAAAGAGAGAGCCAGAGCAGTGACGAGTTTCCTCTGATTCCAGCCCTCAGAGGAACACGCAGGTCACTCACCTCTCAGAGTTCACAAAAGAATGCAGCTGTCGGCACGGTACTGTTTTTTTCCTGAAGAGTGATTCGCACTCTACCCAGCAATGTTCGCAAAGTGTATTCTAGGTGCCCAGCTCCTCGTGGGGCAGACTGGACAAGCTTCCGGCTCGCTGGGGTAACCTGCCCCTCCTGCTTACCTCCCAAAGGCACCCCCGCTCCCTGCACTTCTCCTCGGAGGCGCCCGGCTCCTCGGGGTAGCAGTTGAACTTCTCCAGGTCGCTGACCGGAAGTTTCCACTCAATGGAGAATTCTCGTCCCAGTTCCAGGCCCTTGAGATCAGTGATTTTCACCACCTGAGGAAAGAGAAAGGCGGCCATGGTGACAAATGAGGAGAGGTAGAGACACCTGGATAATGTCCTTCCTGGACGGTCTGGAGGTCAGCAGTAGGGGAGCTGGCCGTCCATGCACCACCACTTTGCCACGGGATAGTCGGGACATTACTGTTTCTCCTCTGAGGCTTTTGACATCCCTGTCGGGAAAATGCACACGGCTCATTCCTCACGGAGCCACTGCGGGACACTGAAGGGAAGGCCTTCGATGGCATTGAGGAGCACGGGTCATGGGCAGGGCTGTCACGGTTAGGTGACTGCCTTCTAGGAGCGATGCGTGTACCTTTCAAGCATGATGGCAGTTACAGCAATAGCTAAGTTTTATGGAGCATGTGTATGGGCCAGACACTGTGATAATTACTTTATGTACATGCTCTCTATTAATGCTGCAACAATCCCATACTGCAAAAAAAAATGGCTATCTCTAATTTGTAAAATCGAAAGCTGAGGTTCGCAGAGGTTTAATGCTCTGTCCAAGTCTCACAGCTCAGGGATGGCAGAGCTAGGATTGGAATTCCATTCGGCCTAACTCTAGAAGCCAGGCTCCAACCCTTTGCCATACCTGTTGTCTAAGTCGAAGAGGCTGCCCTAAGAAATTGTGAATTTCCCAGCACTTGACATAATCAACTAACAATTGGAATATTTTGTCTGAGATTATCATGCTAAGAGAATCATTCAATAAGGACAAAACTGAACTATCCCTTGTGTTTCATTTAACTCTCCTTTTCTCTCATGATATAAAAATTGCTGAAAACACTAAGGAAAACTATCAGCTGTGTCTCAAAGAGAGTCTTTAACTTAAATGAGAAGGCAGATGGGTAATACCCCCAGAATTAAGCTGATGTATTAAATAATATAGTTTGAGCCTTGGCTGGGTAGCTCAGTTGGTTAGAGCATTGTTCCGATATACCAAAGTTGTAGGTTCAATCCCTGGTCAGGGCACATGCAAGTATCAACAAATGAATGCAGAGATAACTGGAACAACAAATTGGAGAGACAACAATGTCTCTCTCTCTTGCTCTCCCCTTACTCTCTCTCTCTCAAATCAATTAAAAAATAAAATAAAAAATAATATAGTTTGAATAGTATACCAACTGTATCACATGTGGGACCAGCATGTCTAGCTTTAGATTTGCCCAGAGAAGAATTGCCTTCTTTCGGGGTCCCACTGACCCAAAGTGCAGGGGTCCGTGTTTAGCAGGTACGTGCTTCTCCTTCTACATCCTGCCTATGCGTGGCCGGTTTTCCAGCATGCCAGTAGTCTCTGTGCCTACCCAACCTCAGCAGAGCAAGGGAGAGCTGCTTGTGAGAGTCTCGGGCCAGGGCCTTCCACAAGGGACCCGCGGGATGGCAGGGTAGAACAATCGCCCACCTTCGTTGACGCGCTGTAGTTAACATTTGAGATAGAGGTGGAAACATCACTAAGGAGAGTAAAATCAGCAGGTTGCTTGTCCATTCCCAAGATTATGATATCTGTAAATGTGATGTTGTCCTTATAATTATTATTTGTGACCTTTGCCTGTAGACGGTTCTGGGGGGGAAAAAAAGTCAGTTTAGAGAACAAGTACATCAGATTCTAATTGTGCCCAGATACCACTCAACACCTTTCTTTCTGAGATCGAAGTTACGCCCTTTATCTCTGAGGTTCTAAATGGTGACTCACAATCATCCCAGATAACTCATTAACCCAGACACTTAACAGTCCTCAGTCTTTTAGTAATAGTTCGTGCTCGCTTTGGTTCACTGGTTATTTATTGATTCTATTCCTCAGAAAATATGTTCCTGACATCATGGGATTTTAAAGCAGATAAGAGAGATACTAACAAAGCAAACAAAAACACACGAGCACACGGGAAACCCATGGCACACACAGGTATAGACATGCACATACACACAACATAGCACCCAAATAATTTTTCTTTTTATTTTAATGATAATGTGGATAAGAACTAATTGTATAAATGCTTCTGATGTGCGAGGCACTGTGCTAAGCATTTTACATGTATTATCTCATTCAATTCTCACGACAAATTATGAGGTCATAATGATCTCCATTTCTCAGATGAGGAGACTGAAGCCCAGAGAAATTAGGTAACTTGTTCAGGGAACCATAGTTCAAATGCGACAAAGTTGAGCTAAAACAAAGAAGGTGGAGCCAAAGACTAAAGAAAAAAAGGGGTCACTTTGATGTTTAAAAAGACCAGTCATACCCTGACCAGCATGGCTCAGTTTGTTGAGCACCATCACACAAAGCAAAAGGTCACCAGTTCGAGTCCCGGTCAGGGCACATGCCTGGGTTGCAGGCCAGGTCCCCGATTGGGGCATGTGTGAGAGGCAACCAATGTTTCTCTCTCACAGTGATGTTTTGCTCCCTCTTTTCCCCCCTCCCTTTACTTCTCTCCAAAATACATAAATAAATAAAATCTGTAAAAAATAAAAAGACTAGGTATTCCACAAATATGACCAATTGGTTTCTGCAAAGGTGAAAAAGCAACACAGTGGAGAAAGGACAGCTTTTCAACAGATGGTACCAGCGCAGTTGGAGGCACATAGAGAAAACTTAAGCCTTAACCTGAATTCGCATCTAATATAAAAGTTACACATTTAATTACATATATTGTATAATTATATAACTCAAAATAGATCATGGACTTAAGTGTAAAAAGGTCAAACTATAAATTTTTTAGGTAAAAATAGGAGAAAATATTCAAGCTCTAGGACTAGGAAGAGTTCTTATTCTGGATACCAAACGCGATCCACTAAATAGATAGTGGATAGATACATAGATAAATATATAGATATATAGATAATAAATAGATAGATAGATAAATCAGACCCATCAAATTAAAAAATGTTTGCTCTATGAAAGACTTTGTTAAGATGATGAAAAGAGACATCTGTAGACTAAAAGAAAATCTTTACCAACCATAAATCCAACAAAGGACTGGTTGCTAGAATATTTAAAAAACACTCTCAAAACTGAAAGGAAAAATAAGGCAAATAACCCAATTAGAAAATGGGCAAAAGAACTGGAGCGACATTTCACCTAAGAGAATATACAGGTGGCAAATAGGCACATGAAGAGATAGTCAACATCCTTAGGCATCAAACTGAAACTACAATGAGATATCACTACACCCTTAGGAGAATGGCTAAAATAACATGTAAAAATCATGACATCAGGTGCTGGTTATGATGCACAGAAACTGGATCACTCATATATTGGTGGTATAAATGAAAAATGGTGTGGCTAATCTGAAAAAGCCTATCACTTTCTTATAAAACTAAACATGCACTTACTGTAGAACCGAGCTTTGGCACTCCCGGACACTTGTCCCAGAGAAATGAAAACATATGTTCACGCAAAAATCTGTCCATAACATTCATAGCAACTTTATTCATAATAGCCCCTGACAGAAATCGCCCAGATGCTCTTATATTAAGTGAACGGTTCAATAAAAGCTGAACATCTAGGTTTTGGAATGCTGCTCACCAATGAAAGGGGCTGTAGATACACAACGACATGGATGAACATTGATGGAATTATGTTGAGTGAAAAAAGCCCATCCCCAACACTACATGCTATATGATTCCATTTAGGGAACATTCTTGAAAGGAGAAAATTATAGAAATGACAGACAGAATAGTGGTTGCCAGGGGCTAAAAAAGGGGGAGGGGGAGGCAAGTAGGAGTGGCTATGAAAGGGCAACTGAGAGGTCCCCGTGGGGAAGGGAATGTTGTCTGTCTTGATAGCATCAGTGTCAACATTCTTGTTGTAAAATTGTGTTATGGTTTTATAAGATGCTGCCATTGGCGAAACTGGGTAAAGAGTAGAAGAGATCTCTCTGTATGATTTTTATAACTACCCGGGACTCCACGGGCATCTCAAAATAAAATGCATCATTGAAAAAAACAATATAAATTTAAAAGAAAAGAAATAAGGAAGAGACCCCATAAATAAATCTCTGCCCAGGCACTGTCAGACTTCTAAGAAAACCAAACGAGAATTCTCCCGTCCCCTGGTCAACTAAGTGCCTTTCTTCCTCTCTGTCCCCCTGGGAAACAGAGACGATGCAAGTGATGTTCTGCATCTCCCAGCCTCTCAAAACCACCACTTCATACCCGTGCCCAGAGGCTGGAAAGGAAGGTCGTTCTGGAAGAACCTCAGACAGGCACTGCCCCACTCCCCACTCCCCACTCCCACCCACAGCCCGCACACATTTGTGCCCACCCCACCCCCGCCAAACAAGGGCACATCTTGGAAGCCAGGACTCATCATATAAAACTCACAGGCAAGGCATTTTTTCTAGAAAAACAAGACAAAACAAAACAAAACACGACTTCGTCACCGAACTCACACCGAATTCTTATAGACATATCCCTAACACAGGTTAAAAACTTCCATTTGAACTGGCAACCTTTCCGGGCTCATTGGAATCAGGCGCTGCCCCCACCCTGCATGACTCAGCTTCTGAAGCCAACCCAAAACTCAGCAGCAGTCACAGGAAAGAACGCACACTGTATGTTCCTCCAAAACGGTACTTACGGAAGTGACAGAAAACTCATAGAGAGTGTAATTCTTCGTCGTTACAGAATCTGGAAGAGAGAGAGGGAGGAGTCCCCGTTACATGGGAAGAACAGGAGTTTCTCTTCAGCGGGAACACCTTTGCCACTGGATCTTTCTCAGCCACTTTTGTCAAACCCCCACGGCGGCTCCCTGCCTACTTCAGGCCACAGTCACTGCCCATCCTCCGAAGGCCGGTGAAGTTCAGAGTGCAATTTTGAAGTGCTATTTTGCTGGCATTTAAAACATTTGACTCACATCATAGTTATCCGCGAGCACAGCGTATCTATCCTGTTGCACCGGGAGTTCCTCAAGTGCAATGTCTACCTTTTATTCACCTTTCTATCCCCTGCATACAGTGCAATGATAAATAGCCAATAAGTATTAATAAGTGCTACTTCTGTGCAGGGTGGGATTTTTATATACTCACAGACCCTAGGCGTATGTGAGGTACTTACATGGAAATCCTACAGTGGGAAAACACACTACACAAATGAGATGCTTCTCCTCAATAATAACCAAAGAAGTATTTTTGCAAAACTACTAGCCCAGTGTATTTTTATGTATTAATAAGGATACCCGGAGGAGAGAATAATTAAATCCAATAATGTCTGTTGCTTGGATAGAGTCAATAACATACATGTTGATCACCTGACATCTACTTCAGTGCACTGTGCTTGGCCATCCAAACCTCAGAATAAACTGGCTCTAAGCCACAGAAGGAAGCACCCACGACAACAGCCTTCGTGCCGTAGTGGGCGGCCTGCAATGACTATCTCGCGGAGCCACACAGGGACGGTGCGTAAGGAGCCCACCTGCCGATTCGCCATCATCCCAGTAGAGCTGTCCCTTTGCTTCTCGCTTATGGTCCAAGGCAACAATGAGTCCCAGGGAATTCTTCCGACTGTCAAAGAGCAAGTCTCAGTTTCAGAGAACGAAGAAGGGACAGAACTACGTTACACCAGCCCCCTTCGTGCCCCACGGGCAGGTCATCTCAGAGTCTGTCCTAGAAACTGAGGAGATACTGACCTCGTATGGAAACAGGGGAACGGGGTGTGGGCGGACAGCAGAGTTAGTAGGGAATGAGCGGAGGAAGAATAGTCGAAGGAGAGGGTTCCCGCTGAAAACTGGATTTGTGGTAACACCAACAATCACATGCGCACTACGAGGTGCTCACCACATGTCAGGAACTCTTCTAAGGGTCTTATATACATTAAATCATTTATATTATTCCATTTGATCCTTATAAGAACTCTAAAATCAAACTGTCATCATCCCCGGTTTACAAGTGATAAGCAGAAATAGAGTAAGTGGCCATCACAATGCATCAGGTATTTTGTAAAATTGGGGCTTGAACCCACACTTTCTGACTTTCTGACCTTGAAGCTGTGTTGACTTTGGCTCCTATTTAACTTGCATTCTCTCGTGTCTAAGGGAATCTCCTTGAGGACAATTTTTGTATCATAAAAAACTCCTCCTGAACGATCATGTGACTCTCCTTGTAACCTGACTCAATTGACAAGTGAAAGGCTATGGAAATGCAAAGGCAGAGAGGCAACACTTTCACCCTGCTCAGTGAATTCCAAGATGCTAATTGGGGGTCAACCCTGAAAGGAGGGGAGGAGGGCCCCTGACTGGAGTTCTCCTCCCTGGGTGTATCCACAGTTAGTCCCTATATTCGCTTTTCCCACAACACCCTGCCTCTTGGAGCTTGAGAGCAGTCTCACCTCAGAAGAGTGAGGAGCTTACCTGTCCTTTGTGGTTGTGCTTGGCTCCTGGGTGGGAAATATGTAGCCCCCTCGAAGGTGAAGTCCTATCCTATCAGGGGGCAGTAGCATCTGTACCAGCTGTTTCCTCCATTGGGTGGCTACCCCCTAACCAGCAAAGGAAAACAGATCCGATCATTGGCTGTTTGGGCTAGAAGGGACCTTGGAGATCTTCTCGCTTAGCTGCCTCATTTTAAATAAGAGAAAACCAGAACCCTGACTCCCAAAGTGAAGTGACTTGTCCAAGGCACACAGGCAGAGCTGAGATCCCCACCCGGCTCGTTTCTTTGTGTGACACCGCGCTGTGATCCCACCGCGGGCTTCCATTCTCGCGAGGCTACCGCAGCCTCGGGCCAACGGCTCGTCCTGACAGCTGCACAGTGGCCAGGTGGACAGAATGAAAATTCCTGCCAACTTACCCCGGTTATTCCAATTATTTCATTGTACTTTGGAAAGGCCTCCCACAGGGAAGAGCACCCACAAACAACTAGATGTAAAACCTGTAGTATTGTCCTCCCCCAAGCTCCCACCACAGCTGCTGCCCGACGGCCGTCTTCTGCTAGAGGCAGGCCCCCGGGCCAAGCGGGCCACCTCACTTACTGTCTCATAGTCGTACCAGATGGCATCTGGTATGTACGCTTTCACGCGGTCCGCACCCTAGGGGAACAACAGTAACGAGCGGCATGAGCATTCCCCGCTACAGTGTACACGACACCTCCACGTGCGGCTCCCTGAGCCCCTCTGAACAGCCCTCCCGGTCCACCAACAAAAATACAGCCACTCGAGGTCGAGCCATGCCAGCAATTAAGTTCGTTTTGCTTTCGGGCTCCTGAATGTCCTAAGAGAAGCAGAGGAAGTTCATTCACCGTGGTACTTGTGTAATCTGACAGGTGGGAGGAGACAGAGAGTCAGACACTCAGGAGAGCCTTCCAGCAGGACCACTCGCTGGTTGGCGGGTCCCACCATGGGATGGTGGGGTGAAAACACCAGCTCCAAGGGCCTTTGACATGAGTACGTCGGTGATCTTTCGTGTTTACAAACTGATCGGCATAATCCTGATCGTTCCCCTCTCGCCCCCACTTTTCCCCACTCACGACTGCCCCAGGTCGCACCACAAACTCCACAGTAACACCCCCCCCTTACCCGGCACTCCCTCTCCCTCCCTGCCCCTCGCCCCTCTTCTCCTCTCTCCCTAACCCCAATGTCACATCCCCTCTGGTCAAAGGGAAGTACAGGCAGGTGGCCAGCCCGAGGCATTTGAGGCCCCTGTCTCTGTCCCTATGCGTAAGGACACAGGCTTCATGTAACCTTGCAAAATGGGAATTGTTTTTCCTTGGTAAGGGAGTGGGACCAAGAGTTACCATTTTTCTAATTTCCAAACTTTCATAATCTTTCTCTCCTTTATATTCATATTTATATTTAAACTCAGCCAAAGACACTCAGGCTCCAGCCTATTCAGCTATAGCGCCATGAAGACAGGCGACATATCCCACCCCGCTGTTCAGATTATAAACATACTTCATGTAAAACCGGCGTGATGAGGAGGCCGGGCCCCCATAAGAACTGCTCGTGCACCTCCCACGTAGCTGGGTCCTGGTAGAACCTGGAACAAAGAAGGCAGGTGAAGCCTCCAATACAGGAGAGCAGCTCACCGTATGGCAACAAGGAACCTTGTTACTACTAACGAGGAAAGTGGAATTATGATCTGAAAGGTCTTTGCGGGTCAGGAAACTCACTCGTGGACCAGGGGCCTGGCTACAGTCTCCCCCAGGGTATGAGCGCGGTAGAAGAGGGTGTAGAGATAGGGCAGCAGGGTGTAGCGGATATTCAGATAATGTCTGGAGGAACTCAACAGCACAGAGTCTTCTCCAAAGGCAGCAGGGTCCTGGTCCTAGAAGGAAATGTGAGGAATTACTAGATATTTCTATCACATTTTAAAAGTTCCCTTTGATAAGAAGCTTTCTCAAAGAAAGGAGCTCTGTTCTCGAACTTGAAGATGTCAAAGCATTTGCAGAACGGAAAGGAGCTGGGTCCCGCTCCTTTGTTTTTATAGAGGAGAAAACCACATCAGAGGCTACATGACATTCCCAGGGTAAAACTTCATGTAAGTGGCAAAGTTTAAATTTGACACATGTCTTCTGACATCTGTCTTTGGCAGCCGAGGGCTGATAGAGGAACCTGCCAAGATCGCCAAGGAGACAAGGGGCGTCCGTGGCCTCTGTCCCCTCAGGGCTGCCCCCGTGTATTTCATATGTTGAGATTTCTCATCATGCGCCATTTGGCAAATAAGAAGAATAAAGTCATGCTGCTGCTAAAAAAGAGAATTGAAACCCACTGCCTTAAGCCGCACATTGCCCACCACCACGATCTAGAATCTATCTTTTCTTTCCGGACTCTTTTATGAATTTGAAATTTTCTTTATTTTTTAAAATTTTTATTTTAATTAAAGTTGACGTACACTATAGCAGTTTCAGGTGTACAACATAGTGATTCAACATTCGTATACCTTACAAAGTGACCACCATAGCAAGTCCAGGAACCATCTGTCATCACAGTTAATTCTATTATCGATTCTACTCCCTACACTGTACATTACATCCCTGTAACTGATTTTATTTATTTTATTTTGTGCTGTTGATACTGTGACAGATGTCCCCCATCCCCCACCCCTCAGCCTTCCCCCGACTGGGCCTTCACCACAATACCGTCTGTGTCCGAGGGCTATGCCTGTGTGCATGTATGTTCTTTGGAATTTATGTCTAGTTTTGTGTGTAATGTTTTCATCATCAAAATTTGTTTTATTTCTCTGTTCCAAAGACAGCGACCTCTATTTATTCTTCAATACACGAAGTGCAATCACGAAGAGAGTTTTTAGCAGATCTTATCTAAGAGCAAAGAAAGACCCCTTTACAAGGGAAATCTAATTCTCTTAGGACCCAGAAACATAAATTTTCCCTCAAGGATGGGCACTCATTTTGTTCATTTTCTTTGTACTTTGAAAGATGTGCATATCATATTTACACTTGTCTTCCTGTATTGTATTACTGGGACTGAATTTCAGGAAAAAAAATCTGAATTTATTCCTTTCTTTTGTTCCTTAAGTAGACCATTTCCCCCTCCAACTAGAACTCTATGCCCCCAATGTAGTGTTCAATGGAAACCCTGAGGCCAAACACTGAAGAAAATAATATTCCACATCTTACATCACTCTGGCCTCCAGCTGAGAAAACCTAGAGCCACCCTGTCCCCCAAGGTGACCACGAGCCACATGGGGCTACTGAACACTTGAGCTATTGATAGTAAGATAGAGGGACTTAACTTTTCATTATATTTAATTGTACTTAATGTAAATGTAAACCCAAAAACTGAATCAATGTAAAATATTTTTTTCCATGAAACACAACTTTACTGTTTTGGTGGGATTACATCTCCCTCCTACTGCTAAAAGTGCAGCATCCAAACTGAGATGTACTGCAAGTGTAAGATGCACACTGAGTTTTGAAGACTTAGTATAGAAAGAAAAGAATATGAAACAGCTCATAATTAATATTTTGTATAAAATAGACATTGAAATGATGTTTGGGATAGATTGGGTTATATAAAATAAATTAAAAATAATTGCTCCTGTTTCTTTGTGCTTTTGGACTTGCATTTGAACTTCCATGTGTGGCTCTCATTGTCATTGTGTAGTCAACACTAGTTGAAAGGAAAGAAAACCAGCCTTGTACCCAGACAGCCTGAGTGACCCATGTGCTCTTAACAACCAAAGTCCTTCCGGGCCACCTCTACAAGGAGAGCCCTCACTCTCCCTGCTCCCAGCCTCCTGCTTAGAATTTGGGAAGAGTCTGTCTCTGTCTAGATCACGAATGGCTAGGAATGGCCCGGGGCTAAAACCCTTTGGAGATCTGACTACAAATATCCCTAGGTTAGAGACACGACATAGGACAAAGTCAAGACCTGGAGCTAAAATGATTACCAGTGGTATTCTAGGTTACTCTAATGAACCTATTAAGAACAAAACCACTCAATAAGCAGATTTCTTCATTAAAAGAAAGGCATCCCACCTAACTTGTTCCTACCATAACCAGAAACATCTCCTTAAGAGGGACCTTGAACCCACTTCTATGTACTTGCCAAAAATTATCAAATACGTGATTTTGGATAGAAGAAGAGAAAGGTGGGGTAAGTCATGAGAAGTAGTGGAAAGTGGTCTCCCAAACCATTCCTAGAAAGATATAATGTCGCAACAAGGTGAAAAAACTGTTCAGACCACAGGCCTAACCCTCTCTAAATCTTTTCTCCTCACTCCCCAATATCTAGGAGTGGTTTCCTTTGTATTGTGAAATAAAGTATCAATGACCACCAACTGTCCCACCTAATGTAGGAGGTAATAGAAGTGTGATAGCAGTACCATCGAAAGTTCAACAATTCTTCTCACCTTTGTGTGTGTGTATATTTTTATATTTTTATATACACACACACAAAGGTGAGAAGACAATTATACATATATATATCTTTTTATGTCTATCACCCAAAATATATCTATTCTGCTCCTGCAATTAGGGCCAACCTGGAGGATGTCCTTCAACTCCTCTTTGAGAACAAGTAGCTACGATAACCCAAGAAGTTTCCATCGCTTCTGTGGGGACCTTACCCTGAAGCCAGGCCCATTGTGATTCCTCGATAGTGGATAAAATGCTCCAAGCTGCATCCACCTTCTGCAGAGCTCCTCTGTGACATCTTTCGTGTAACCACAGATATTGGCGCCTACCTGGAGAATTAACACACATACAAGCACAGCGGTCAGCGAAAGAGGAGAAAGAACTGACCGTATACCTGCGGGATGCGGGAAAAGGGAATCTCTTATTCCCGTCACTCCATGCTTCAAGAGATCCCAGGCTTTCAGGGCAAACCTCCCCAGCCAAGGGGGAGAATAAAACAAGTGTGGCACCGTGGATCGGCTGAAGAGAGGAAGACCGACTGTTGTACCAAGGGTGCATCCCCAATATTCAGTTCCCAATGTCATTGAGGCCCTGTTGATGACATTTTACTGTGATAATTAACACATTTTACTCATGGAGGCTTCTTCCTGACTTCAGAGATTCCATGGATGACAACCCAGTGATAAAGCGCTACCATCCTATCTTCAGAAAGCAGCTCATACCACATAACAAAAACGGACTTTTGCAATGCAAGGCACAGGGAGACATATGCTGCTTGGTTTTCAGACGCCTCAAAGACTGGGACTGGGAAGAGTGGCCAAGGACAGAGGGTGGAAGTGCCTTGGTCGAGGACAAAACTCACCATGGGGATGCCGAAGAGGCTGAACTCAAGGACACTAGGGATGGACCAGCGGAGATCATCCCAGGTGGCCGCATTGTCTCCTAGCCAATGAGCCGCAAACTTGCCAGATCCAGCAAAAGTAGAACGGGACAAGATGAAGCTCCTCTTTTGGGGGAAGATACTGTTCAGGGCTCTGAAAAGGAGCAGAGGTGACCGAAGGTGAAGGGAGCTGTGGGCGCCTGGGGCTGACCCACTCCAAGGCAGCCGTGCTTTCCAGTCGAACTGAGAAAAGACGTCAGGGGCTCATGGAGGTGAGCAAACTAAGTCAGGCTCTTTAAGAGCTTCTTTCTCACTTCTGGATAAAGTTTCTGACCTCAGATGAGACAGGACAAGCCTCTACTGTCCAGCACTGCCAAGGACTCTCTCTCTGGGCTCCCGCCCTCCGGATTGTTTTCTGCGGCTTGGATCTGCTGTGCCCTGGCCCTTCTGGAGGACAATATGTTGGAACCATGGGTTCTCGACCCCCATCTTCTCCCGCTGGAAAAAGATTTCTCAGTGTCTCCGGGCTCCGTGCCTTGCTGCCTCTTCATAATCTTGTCCAGCACAACGCCAGCTCAGGTCGGAACCCTGTACCTGCCGTTTGCCTGAGAGGAGCTTTTGCGCACCATCTGGGCTGCTCTGGAGCTTCAGAGCTTATTAGAAGCAATTCCCAATGTGAGGAAATCTTAATCTGCACAAACTAGTACTAATTAAAACGAGTACATGTCAAAAGGTAGCATGTGATCCTCTGAATGCAGTTAAAAGCAACTAAAATACAAAATATTTTCACCGTATTATCTATAAAATATTACCTATCAAATAAAACTATACAGAAAGTAGAGCAAAGGAGTTCCAGATGAGGAATTCAGAGAGGGTGGGGTGGGGTAAGATGTAGGCGAGCTTACCAGCGTTCATTCGGAGCACTGTTTCGCACAGGCCTCTCCCTGCCCTCTCCCTTCCTAAACAGCTCACACCTCTCTTTAATGTTTTAAAACTGAATGATATCACAACAGAGGATGGCGACAGCGGAGCCACAGTCGCTTCTAGCTCTTTGCAGACAAGCCCTCCTGTCTCTCCTTCCAATGCCTGGCCTGGGACAAGGGCTCCAGCAGGCCCTGGGCCGTTCCTGGCGACACCCCCACAACCCCCCATGCTTCCCGTCTCCGTATCCCTAAGGACGTCACGGGGAGACATACGTGCAGGACGACTTCCAGGGGAAAAAGGGGGCTGATTCGGAAATAGGAGCCTGGCTTAAGAGAATGAAGCGCTCCATTCCTGCAATTTAATGAGCAAAAAATCGGGGTAGAAGGGAGGGGACTCGCTCTCCAACTCCTGTCCTCATGTGTCCTTCGATCAGACTAGCAGAGCTTTGCCTTTATTACCACTGGCTAGAGGGTTTACTGCACCTGCAACCATCAGTCATGAAAGACACCCATTCAAGGTGCATAGAGTGACCCTGAAACAGGAATGAAGTTATCTGAATTTAGGGTTTATTTAGAGTCACGCCATTCTAGTAACACTGGTTAGATAGCAGTCTGTTTTTCTCCAGCTTAGAGGGGAAATCTTGCTCAGACATCCCCAAGCCTCTGTGTTGCATCCCTCCGGTTTGGCCTGTCTATGGCCAGGTCGTGGTCTCTGAGAGGGACTGGTTTCTTTCTGCTTCAGCCCAGAGGGAAGTGAATTTCATTGCCATGGGAGACCAGTAACCACTGTCCCAGACTTCACCCCCAGCTAAGGGCAAGACAAATCTTTATCACATTTATGACTTAAATTCTCCTGATGGCCAGATCCCACTGAGTGAGATTCTTATTTGGTTTTTAACCAACTCTGTCTGACGCCCAATTGCCAAGTTCCACTTATCTCTGCTGTTCTCTGGGAGCTTCGACCTTTTAACTATTAATCATAGCTATTAGGACTTATTAACCGACCCCATCATGATTTGATAGCACTTTTATCATATGGAAACTCTAGCAATACAGCTGTCTGAAACTCCCCCTCCTCGCCCCTCCCTCCCTCACTCCTTCCTTCTCACCCTGGCCATTTGCCCCCTCTCTCCCCACTTCCTGCCTCATGCAGATGCCTCTGTGAGTGGAAATAGGTCACAACAAGGAGGGATGTGGGAAACATCAACCCAAGACTCTCATTCCAAAGATGGGGGAACTGTCTTGTCCATCACGAGGGGTCGAGCGAGAGAGAAAGAAGTCAGAAAAGAGAAGATAAAATCAGAAACGTGTATCCTTCTCTATGAAGCTTTTTATTTATTGAAATAAAAAGTTTGCATTTACTGGATGAGGACTCTTTCTCACCCGAACAGGCCAGCAAAATAGTTAAGTCACTAGGACAAAAGGGTGCAGGAAAACAAAAGACGCCCAGCCTCTGCCTCTGAGTCACCAGGTCCCACCTGGGCCCATCCTGCCCTTCTTCCCGTCCCCAGGCCAGGCGTTTACTCAGCAGCCCTGCCTTTAGGACGCACCCACAATTCCTCAGGCCAAGGGCACGCGGGTGGCTGTGCCCTCAAGGAACTTACAGTGCAGCAAGAAAAAAAGTGAACAACAAAAATGATAATACAAGATGCTTGGCGTAGTGCAATATGAACAAAGGTAGCACAAAATAAAGGGGAGGGAGGAGGAAGTATTTTCCTCGGACTGCCAGGAAGGTTTCCAGAGTTAACAGGTGAGGTGAGGTTTTAAAGATGAGCGTCTGTTTGCAAAATGCTCAGGGCGGGGAACGGTGTCCCGTGCAAAGGGAGCAACACAGGCAAAGGCGTGGAAGAATGGAACAGCCTTTTGATTCGGGAGCAACGAGCAGCTATGGTTACCAGAGCATAAAGTATGAGGAGCAGCAAAGGTGGAAGAAAAACACTAAGAAAGGGTCATGTTATGAAGCACCTTACAGGTTTGGCCAGGGTGACTGGCTTTTATTGTATAGGAGATACCAAGGCAAAGATCATTTTTTCAGTGGGGAGAGAGGTGAGCAGATTTTCACTGCGGAGAGAAATGGCAGACACGTGATTCAGAAAGATCACTCCACAGCGGTAGTGGGTAGTGCTTTGGGAACTTTAACATGTATTCAACGCCCCTGGAAATCTTGTTAAAACTCAGATTCTCCTTTCCAAGGTCTAAGGTGAGAGCCAAGGTGCTACATTTCTAATACACTTCCGGGCAATGCTAAAGTGCCTGGTCCTTGGACTACACTTTGAGGAGCAAGAAAAGAGGACAGATGAGCGGGAGACAAAGCTGAAGTCAGAAAAGGGAGACTAACAGTCACGGAACTCACGTAAGCTTCACGTGAGTGTTGACCGTGGCCTCCACTAAGAAGTGTCAGTAGGGGAAAAGGAGATGGTTATAGAGATGCTTTAGAATCAAATGGATTGAAAAGTGATTGTAAAAGAGGGTATGATGGAAAGAAATAACTCAAGGATGATACCAAGTTTCTCACATGGGAGTCTGGGAGACAGGGGTGGTGTTGCTACCAACCAAGATAGGTAGTTAAACAGTTTCAAAAATGATTAGCCAGACTGTGGACGCTGGGCAGGAAGAGGAAACAGAGCAAGGTGAATGGCGCTGGCGGTACAATAAGACATCCAAGTGGAGAAGAGCAGAAGGTTGTTTTGGATATTTGGGTCTGAAAATCGGGCAGAGACCTAAGCTACAAATTTATGGAATTATACATTTTTTAATTATCAGAATAAATTACTGTAAAAACAGAAAAGAAACAAATTACCTTTGTGCTGGCAGAGAATGAAAAAAAGTCGAGGGACTGACACCTAAGACTTACCAATAGTGAAAGAGTAGTAGATGAAAAAGATCCAGAGGTCGGAAAGGAAGAGGTCAAGAAGGGAGAGCTGGAAACGGCGCAGGCCTGCCCAGCTAGAGCGGTGTCTCAGAGCCAGAAGACCCGAGTTTCCAAGGAGTGCTCAGTGGTGTCATGTACTGTAGGGAAGCCAAGTGAAAGGATTGAAAAGTGTTCTATATGGACATCGACGTCTCTCTGTCCCTATTCCCCACTATGGAGTTCTAGAAACATCGAAACAAAAGGAAATAACAAGAAAAAAACTAACACACCCTTTCCCAAGCCACTCCATCTGTTTTTACATTAAAATTAAAATAGTCTTAAGCTTAGCCCTGGACTTCTTCTCTCCTACATATAATGATTATATTTTACCACCTTCCAAGGAAGGAACCTGGTCGGGGGAGCTTGCAGGCAGCTGGTCCTCCATTTACAAAGTCATCAGCAAAAAATTCATGTGACAAGGTTTGAAAGGACGGAATTCTTTGCAGGAAGCACCGTTTCTTTGCTAGACTTTCATACCGAGTGGTGCTGGTGGTGGTCATCGTGGTGGGGGGGGCGAGGGGGAGGGATGGAGGTGATTGGGGGGGCGTTGTTGGGGAGGAGGTGGTGGTGGTCACGGTGGTGGTGGTGTGCGTGTCTTGGGGCAGAGGGGAGACCTGAGAGGGAGCCTGGGGCAGGCAGTAGGGAGGGAAGCCAGGAGGGTAGGGTATGACATTGCCATATACATATAGGCTGCTCAGGTGAACTTGAATTTCATATAAACAATGAATAATTTTTAGTGTATCTACATCCATTGCAAATGTAACTGGGTGTCCTGTGTTTTCATTTGCTAAGCCAGGAAACCCTAGTGTAGTAACCATAGCGCATTTGGTAATAGAGCCCAAGCAAGGCCTGGCTTCCAGCCGGGGCTCTAAGTGCCTTGCGCATTATTGCCTACTGGTATCGCGCCCTCAGTCACAAGCCAATCCAAAATAACCCTTCGCAGAAACCCGGGGAATATATGAGTAGCCCTCTTATGTAGCCTGTAAGATCTGAGTCTCTAGATCCCTGTTATACCACAAAATACATTTGAAAAATATACTTAGAGAAGACGAGAGATACCCTCCACCTCCCAGCTCCCCACATCTGGAACGAGGGGGGAAATCGAGTCCTTACGAGTCAGTGGCTCTTGCCATGGAGTAGCCGTACAAGCTGTGCACATCATAGTGGAGGCCCCAGTGAAACTCGGCGTCCATGCAGAGGGTCCTTGCGAAGAGCGAGCGGTCCAGCACGCCTGTGAGGAAATGCCATCAGCAAACCACTTCCTGTCAACACACTCGGACGAAGTAACTGCCCTGTTTGCTTCCTGGTGCCGGCACCTTCCCACCAATCTCCACCTGACAGAACCCTCTCCAGATGTTAAATCCTATCCTGAATGCCACTTCCTACCCGGGGCAAACACTAAGGCCCTCGCTGAAATAAATCATTCAAATTATTTTGCATTCTTTTGAGCTCACAGAGAATGGTGCTGAGTGGAGGCGACCCAGAGCGAGCTCAGAGCAATGGAACGTTGATCTGAGATAAAATATAAATGAAGCACACACACACGTGACTACATCTAGTTAATCAAGGAGACTTGAGTCCACAAAGAACAGATGTGAGGGCCATGAAAAGGGAACACATTCATTCCAACATTACAAGCATTCACAACCTCCGTTACACTTTTAAAAAAAAAAGAGAAAGAGATGACACTTGGGTGGTTTTATGAGTAAGAACTTAGATCCTGCCTTTAGAAAGCAGCGTTGTTACTGTATTTTCCCTTTCTTATGCCTAAAATGCTCAGCGTTTTCTGTTTTGGCGCTACAGACTCATTCTGGTCCCCCTTCCAGACCAAGAGCTGGGGGCCACACCGGCCCCCCTTCGGGAAGCCTTCCTGTTCACCGGACCTCGGTCTGTGCACAGTTCCAGAAAGAGGTGGAACCAGGAACAACTGAGGTTGTGTTTTCCCAACAGCCTAACAGAATCAGGGTTTGAAGTGAGGAATTACGTTTAATGATAAGGAATTATGACATAATGATTAATATAAAGACAATTATATTTCTGACACGGCACAGTTGGTGGCCTGAATTTTACAACCACTTCTGTTATAAGACAGGACACTAAGATTGTCCCATGGGCAAAGGTGATATATCTAAATCTCTTTCAAGTAATGTGTACTTTCTATTCTTGAAAAGGTTAAAGGTAGACCAGAGGCAGGGCGGCTTGTCCTGTGCAGGTAGGCAAAAGGCTGGGAGGTACGGGGCGGGGTGCTGGCCAGCCACAGACAGGAGGTCAATGAGACTGCAGTGTTCTGTCAGAAAAAACAACTTCATTGGGGCTAAATAGAAGATTAAGAGATTAAAGGAGAAACATGATAAACTCATTTACAGTGAAAAAAACATCAGGGAACAAAGAAAGAGCAGAGAAGAATAAAGAATAAGCAGGGGAAAGCAACAGCCTTTGCAAGAAGTTAAAGGGTTTGAAGTCAAGATTTCTTCTAGAAAGTTCTCCACTCCTTCAGTGCCCTAAGCCTTGCTCCAAGGGTACAAGTGGAGAAAACAGAAAAAAATGGTCCAAACTGACCAGATGACCGCCAGGCTTATGCCTTCTCCCTGGGAGTAGGAGATTATATTCACTTTCTCCTGAAGTGTGGCAGAGGCTCTCTGGATTTCGGCTAAAGAAATGCGAGCACATTGAACACACCCCACTTCAGGCCTTTCCACAAAGGCCCCACTCGCCTCCTCCTTCTCCTTTACCTAGGAAGCTGCAAACAAAAGGCTCCAAGAAAGGCGACCCGGGCATGGAAGTTAACTGGATTCCCAAGTCACTGCTTGGATGAGAGTCTGTCCAACGCTGAAGCATTTTATGAGCAAAAAATAAACTTGTAGTGTGTACTCCACTGAGATGCTGGGGTTCATTGGTTTCCACAAAGAATATGCTGTTTCACAAACACACGCACACGTTCTTTCAAAATCAGGGCCTGGGAAATTGATTTCGTCTAGAAATGGGACTCAGAATAGGAAGGGCTACCAGGAACTCTTGGTGCTGCTGGTAATGCGCTAAACCAACACACACACACACACACACACACACACACACACACACACACACACTTTACAGGTTTACTCCATGGAAGGTACATGTTCTTCCAGTATTCTGACATGGTCATGAAGTTTAAAATTGAACCATGTGTGTAAGGGGTTTGGAGGAAGTGAACAGCATGGGAGAATGTAGCTCGAGGCAGGAGCCACAGCCCCAGGAGATAAGGCCTTCTCCCCACACTTGCCCTTGGATGTTGGCAGTGGAGAGGTGGTAACCAGACACCAAACAATGCAGCAAGGTCCCCAGGAGAGGGGTGGTCAGGGGACTTCAAGGGGTCCCTTAAACTGGGAAGGGGACTTGCTTCTGGCCACCCTGAGTTCCGCTGAGGCTGTTTAACTGTCTCATGCCTACAACGTTGCAGACAGGTAGAGACTTACGAGGAGTGAACGGAGGAAAGTTCAAGTTGTTGTCTTCACAGTTATGGTTAGAAGCTGGGACCAAGTTAGAGACCTCATCCAGTTCCTTCGAAGACACAAAATTCACAGAGTGGAGATGTCACTGATAAACAGTTAGTTATTCAGGAACATTTACTGAACTGGAAGCTGGGTAGCTGGGCTGTCTTATTAATAGATTTTGGGATCTTAAGTAATCGTAAATTTTTTTTGACCGCTGTTTCATCTTTTGGATGAGATTGTATCTAAGGTTCCTTCCAAGTCTAAATGATACCAGGTACATTTAACCTTTTTATACATTGATTGCAATCAGTTCATTAAGAAATACTATTTCAAAGGCTAATTCTTACAAGTTGTGATTTTATTGTTACTGATATTGTTTCAGTATTGTTTTAGAGAACCTAAGACAGGACAATATTCTATTTTTTAAGTATCCATGTCTTTCATTCTACTCAGCGCAGTGCAAGAAGAATATATAATTGAAATCAAATCCATTTCTTTAAAGGAGATTAAAAATAGGTGATGCACAATCCTGCTAACAAATTTCAAATTTCAAAGAATCTTCCCCACTTCCTATCCTCCAAAAAATAAAAGGCGCCCACTAAATTATTCTCTAATGATTTACTTTGAATTTTAGTGAACCATTGTTACAAATAATTGCACCCGTAGTTTCTAATAAAATAGTACTTTCAAGCTAAAAGAGAGTTAATGAATGAAAAAACTGAAGCCATGAGAAAGCAAAAGACTTTCTCAAAAAGATATTAACCAGCTGGTAGCAGATTGAGCATTAAAATCCAGGGTTTTGAGGGATCTAATTTATTACATATAAACCCAGCATTAAGTAAAAGGATTTTGAATATCACTATGCCAAATAAATTATTGTATTACAGATTAGCCTGAAAATTAATCTCAAAATTTGAAATATTTGTCCCCAAAATAAGTTTAATCCTGGAATACGGACTTACAATCCACACTCCATCGAACTCCAGAGACGCATTAAATTTTTGGAACTCTTGTGCCCACCACTGAGTACAAATGGGATTCGTATAATCCGGAAAGACCGTCCTTCCAGGATACCCCTACGGAACAAAGAAGGCGGGGCGGCGTGTTGGACGGTTCACTCGTGCATCCACCACTGGCTACTGTCCCTTCGCCTAGAAGTCCCAGGTAGCTCACCAGTTTAGAATCGCAACTGGTGACTCTCCTCCCAAAACTAAATGTTACCATAGATGCAAGGATACAAAGCAAGAAAAAAGGAAAAAAGAAAAAAACCAACTTTTTATATAGATGAGGAGGCATCCAAGGTGTTTTTTCTATGGTTTAAAAAAATATGCAAAATTTCATCATGTCAGGCCGATTGAGAGAGCTGTTTAAAATACTGGAAAGTCTAACTAGGTATTTTAGAAGAGAATGATTGAGTTTGTTTAATATGTTGCTAATTGAAGATCATCTAAACTCATTTTGAATAATGCTGTTTATAAATATTATGTTGGTTTGGGACATATAAATAATTTTTTTTAAATGGTTAAATGAATCTTGTGCTTCTTACTCAGGTCAAATATCTCATATTCTCACTTCTCTTCCTGTCTGTTTCTTCCAAAGATTAGCTTTTGACATTTTCCACAAATAACACAAAGATATGATCATAGCCACATTACTGAAAATTCTGAATTAACAGTATACCAGCTTTTGTGTGTACATTGTTGCTTATTTTTCCAACAAATTTGTTAGGCGGTCATTTAGAGGCAACATGATGATGCTCAGGCAATATAACAAGTATCTATCTATCTATCTATCTATCTATCTATCTATCTCCTGGTCCTTTGTTTTAGGCGATGGGGCACCATGTAAAAATCACAGGTAATTGTAAACCTCAGGGAGCAGGTGGTATGGCAAAGCAATCACCTACAGTAACACTGTATTAAGAGGAGGCCCTGAAACATTCATTTTAACCAAATTCCTTTATAATTTACCCACACCACCTCTGGAACTACTACCTCTGCAGACATCTTAGATCAAATGATTCCTGTTATTTATTGGTCAATAGAGGTAACTATCTAATTAAATTTTTGTGATTCTATTCAAATCCGTAGTGATATACCACTCAAACAGGAAAGACACTGAAATGACTCATAGGTCTAGATAGTCTACTTTTCAGATAAACAAAACAATTTTTCCACGACCATGGCCTGCTATTATACTTGCATATGAAATCGGTCTAGCTGATCATTTAGAAGTTTACATCAAACAAAATAGTAAAATCAAATAATTGGTGTTGGAGAAAGAAGGAAACTTCTCTACTGTTTCATGAAAAGTTAAAACCAGTAAAAAAGAAAATAAATGGAAGTAGGTATTGTAGACAAAGTCGGTGGTAAGGATTAAGTGAGCAGTTAGGTAAGGGGTCACCATAAGCTGAAAAGACGAGTTTTGCAAAGTTAACTGCCCCAGAGCAACAACAAGTACAGCCACGTGAACTTTCAGGCGAAATACCAGTTTTTGTGAGAATCCCATCACCCAGCCATCGAGGGCCGACCCCACACATAACCGGAAGAGAAGGCGGACTGCATAACTTGATTTAAAATGTTTTCCAAAGCTCAACTGCCCTAAAAACCAGTCCCTAAGCAGCCGACTTAAATGTCTGAAATCACTACCTTAGAATAAAGGCTGGGCTTTGCATGACTCATGTAAATTAAAAACGTATGAGCTGAGATAGGCTTCGCATCAGCCTACACGCATCTTGCTGCATTATCGTGGTTGAACTCATTGTCTTGAGAAAGAAACATAAATTGTGAGGCAGGAAGACTTTAAGAATAAAGATAACTTTCCTCTAGTTACACATTGTCTCTCAACTATCTGTATTGTTAGAGAGTCAGGGGCAAGCTTTCTAGAGACTAGATCTTAGTCATGGCACCGCCCTAAAAAATAAATAAAATATATGAAAATCTGATGTGACAGAGGGGCTTTCGTGACGCTGGCAGTCATGTTGCAACAGTGAAATGGATCGAATCAACATGTTGGACACCTTAAATGTACACAATGTTATCTGTCAAATAGATTTCAATTAAAAAAGTAAATAAATCCTTAAGAGTTTTAATCATTCTACTATTATATTGACTGTTTAAAAATAATAACAGAAACCTCTACAGCCGTGATACTGTAATGATACCGTAACTGGCCTTCCTTCTACCCATTGTCCCACCCAATGTACAAACTTCCCCAAATGACTGTCATTTACCCTGTTGTTGTTTTTTTTTGAGAGAAATTACCTGTCCAATGACAAAGCCATTGTCCCCCAAGACCCACACTCTCTTTTTAGTTCCATTCATATACGGATAGTAGTTCAACTCATCCAAGATGCTGGGATTCTAGAAAACAAATAAGATAATAAAATATTGTTTTTATCTTTTCTTTTTTTGCATTTTAAAGGAAAAACTAGGCCACCGAATAAGTGTTTGAACATACCATGATAATTACATATTTCAGTCCATGCTCATGTAAGTCCTTGGAAAAATTTAAGAGACCGGGGAAAGCCTTTTCATCAATAGTGAAGTCCTTCTTTCCATCCATGTAGTCTATGTCCGAGTACTGGACGTCCTGGAAGACAGTGCTGGCCAGTTAGAACCCAGGCAATATCACCACGCTGACACAGTAACTCTAGTTCTTGACCATTAAAACAGAAGCCAAGTTTCTTTTTAACCCTGGAACTTCCAGGCCTTGGCTACTCCCTAGGAGTCAACAAGCCCTTCTTGAGGGATGCAGGTGCTCTTAGGTTGTCTCTGCCTTGATAGACGCCTATCATAAGGTATTGGGAGAAACTTGATGGTGAGGATGGTGGGTTGTTTGTCCCTGTAATTTGAGGGTTTAGATGCTCCTAATAAAAAAGGGGCTCTTTCAATGTTTGTTTGAATGAGCCCACGAGTAATGTTATAACCATGTACTAACCTGGACCCTAGACGTCAAGCTAGACTATAACAAGAGGGAGGAAAGAGTCTTTTTGTCTTATAAAATTTCTAGGGTAAGAATTAACAAAAAAAAATTGACCAAGGGACAGAGCTTTAATTAACCAAACTCTCGTACACACATTATTTTTGTGTTTACATACCGACCTGCAAGGGGCAGGAGTTATTTGTAACAAGAAGTGTGAAACATGAAGGGGTATCACGACATTTCCCAAGGTCACATGCAGGGGTGGCGGGGGTGGGGGGGTTTCAACTGGGGCTTTGGTGATAGGCACTTTGACTCCACGTGCTCTTTAGTTCATTCCACTCTGCCCCAACTTCAAAGTCATATGAAGGTGTTCAAAATAAGCGTTCCTTGTGTAGTCACACATTAGAGACTGCAGTTCACAGGCCTGAAGGAAAATGTGGCTTGTGGCTTGTTGCCAATGCAGCATCGTCTGTTCTAATACTTTCAGGACCCAGGTGTCCCCCACAGACACACGGTGGGAAAGAGCCAATCCATGGAAGAAAAACTCATTTGTTTCTGAGCCAGCAAGATGTCAAAAAAGCCCTCCCCATCCAAAGTATGAGGGTAGATTGAAACTATCACATGCAGCCAAAAGACCTATTGTTGAATCCTGGTCTTACCATTTGGCTAGCTGTGGCGCCCTCAGGGAAGTTATTTACTATGCAACATCTACAATTCTTCATTTGCGAAATACAGGAAGTGAGAGTCAACCATGAATGTGAGAGCACTTTATAAAATAGTGAAGATGTGGCAAGATTTGGCCTGATTCCTCCTGGAATTGGGGGTTTGCAGCTAGCAGTTATGGCAGAAGTAAAATGAAATACATAATCATTTCTCCGTAACAACAAAACAACACACAGTGAGCAGGTTTTCTCACAAGAAAAATTTCACTTCATTGTTACTCTGAGAGGGGACTGAACACTCCTGAGTTCAGGCCAAAGTCACTTCCAGCCATAACATCCTCCTTCAGATACTAACCAAATACATGTTTGCATCATAGTTCCAAAGGTCAAGCCTAAAATGAATTGCTTTAATAACTTCATTAACCACATGTTATACATTTCCAGGGGGGAGCTTTTCAAATATTACATACTTAATAATTATCTTTTTATTTACTAATGGACATTGGACATCATAAATACTTTACAACCCCAGAGCTTTCAAAATTAGTCTGGTAGACCCGGAAGGAGTAGACAAGGTTGCTATGAGAAACTCACTCCCCGTAAGTTATCGTCATGATAATCAGCTCTTATTAACCATGTCTCCCGGGTGTTGTTTACTCTTATAAAACAGCACCTAACTCTGATGGAGTTCATCCCCTGGGCTACATGCTTTACAGGCATAGAATAAGGCATTCCTCACAACCAGCCCACCAGAGGAAGTCTTACATTTTCATTTTATAAAGAGGGAAACTAAAACACAGAGGCGGTCATTAACTGGCCCACCATTACATAGAACTAGAAGAAGAAAAGCTAAAATTCAAAATCATAACCATCTGACTGCACAACTGTTCTCTTTCCATGATGACATTGGTTTAATTTGCAATTTTACAATAGTAGGTCTGCCTATCTATCTATCCGTCCTTCCATCTACCCATGCATCCATTGACCCATCTATCTAGGATATTTTCCTAATAAATTGAATTATGTACAAAAAATAAAAGATACAAAATGGATAAGAGAAGGTCCAACTTACATACGGGATCCCAGCTTTCCGAGTTCGGTTTACAACTTCTTTTAATCCCTCGATGTTACCATAGCCCCTGCGACTAAGCTGGAACCCAAGAGTCCAGTAGGAAGGCAAGAATGGTCGTCCAATGAGCTAGAAAGATTAAGAAATGTCTAAGCATTTAGAATCAACATTGTTTGTAGCACCACATCCAACACAGACAACACTATCTCCATTTCATTTTCTCTTAAGTTCCCAGATCTAACATATCAAAGCCAAGAGTAATCGCCTGGGGAAATCTGCAAACTTCCATCGCTCACATCTTTCTCTACTAAGTACTAAATGCACTCCCAGAGACAGCTGCAGCACCAGAGAACAATGGATTTGCATAACATGCTTGGATAGCAGTATCATCTTGAGGGGAACATGTAACATTTATTCACACAATAAATATTTTCTGAGTGTCGGTGATATGACAGGTGCTGATGTAGTCAGTTGGCATACGGTGGCATAAAGCCAACAGTTCTGCTTGCACAGAGCATAAAGGAAAGAAGTAAATGTCTAATAGAATTTCAGATAGTTGCGTGCGCTAAGGATAAAGGCATAGGACTGATAGGATGAAGAGTGAGATGGGTGAAGACATGCTGCAGCATGTTCGAAGTCCAAGTCTGCAGGCTACTCGAGCCCACGTTCTGAGAAGATCCCGGACAGAGTCCTGGCCTACGCTGTTCCCTAAGAGGCCCTGTCCTCCCACAGGACAGTCCCCTTGGTACGGTGCTTTCTTTCATGCCTCTGAATTCCCATACAGTTCATTGGCACCTCATTAATGGCATTTATTATGAGGTGCTTCCAATTATAATTATTTTAGGCTATCATATTTCTCCTAGGTGACTATAAATTGGCTGGCACCTGGACCATATTTCATACACATTTATGTATCATCTTGAACAAATCACTACTCTTTTTGGTACTTGAGTTTTTTCATCTGCAAAGTAGAAAGTCTGGCCAAATGATGTCTAAATTTCCTTCCTGTCCTACGGGTTGAATCCAAAATAAATAGCACAATTCCTTTTACATAGTTTCTTTTCACTGAATTGTTATTTATTGAATGAATGAATATGCTTTGCTGATGTGTGGCCTCAGATCTTTGGAATGACTGGTCATGCGTAGATGGACTGTGCATTCCTTGAAAACAACATCACATCTGACTTAGGTTTGCATTTCTCAAGCCTTGCACGGTGCCTCCTTCATACGCAGAAGGCGCTCAATAAATGGGCATCAGAACAGACATACAATGAATGAAAGACTCACCATCCCAGCGTTTATAATCCATGGTTTACTCAAAAATTTTATTTTTCTTGGGCTATGAGATAACAGCAGCAATAAACAATGACTATCTAACTACAAGGCCATACCTCCAGGTACTCCTGGACCACTTGCTCTGGGGTGTCCCCCAGGAACACATAGAAGTCCAGGATGCCCCCGATGGTGCGGTAGGTGATCGCAGGCGCGGGCTGGAGGGCGGCCTCTGAAAGGGTTAAAATATGAGCTATGAAGATTTCATGGTAGCGAATACATTCTTCTCCAGAATTTAAATACCTGAGCTACCCAAGCAGTCTAGATGTCATTTTGAAAGATATGAGAATCACATCTGGTCCTTTATATGATTGCTGAAGTTTACCAAAATATTAAGCGAACACAACACCAATGAGGAACTCATTGGTGTTTTTAAGAAAAAGAACAAATTCAATTTTAATCTGGCTATAGGAAAAATCCAAATGTCTGGGATTTGCTAGTGATATAATCAAAAAGTATTTAAAACCTTATTAGATGATTTTACTTACAATTAGAAAAAAAATGCAACCTTTAGTTTAGAAGCGGGAGGAGGAAGGTTCTGGAGTGGGGGAGGGGTGGGCTAGGAGGTAGACAGCATGGTTTACAGGATGAAACCCACAGGTACCCTTGGAACATGCTTATCAATGATCCCTATAACCTACAAAATACTGTGGGAGACATTGCATGAAAGGAGACCCCTGAGGCAGTTTTCCTTAAAAGCAGCTTTTAGCATGAGCGGGATTTGTAGACAGGTTAACTACTGTCTGTTTCTAGCTTCTTTAGGACACAGCGGGTCCAATACGCTTTCCGTTGAACGCTGAGCTCACCATGCAACTCAGTTTTACAAAAGTAGTTTCCCCCAAACATATTCCCGCCAAGATAATGAGATGCTGCCTACCCAGAGCGTTACTGTTCATCAGAAAAACCCCAAAAGAGGAGCCGCTGGTGTCTTCAAGGCACAAGAAGAACGTGTGGGCTCCATACAGGTTAATCATGCCCTGTCAACGAAAGTGAAAAGGAATAATAGAGTCGGTTTCAAATGTTTTCATTCACCCCAAAACAAAATCGAAAGCCACACACAACGGGTCCTTGGTCAACACTTGGTGTAGTTAGTATTGTACAAAGCAGGTATGACAGTAGTAGCATCAATGTGCACAGGACACAAGAGGACACTCTAATGCCAAGAAATGAAATGCTAATACACGCTACGACATGAATAAATTTCATGAATGCTGTGCGAAGTGAAAGAAACAGACAGGAAAGATCCTACAGGGCCTGACTCCCTTACATAAAATGGCTAGAAAAACCAAATCCATTGAAACAGAAAGTAGAGTAGTGATTGTCTGAGGCAGGAGCCAGCACTGGGGTAGAAAGAGGAGTTAAGTGTAAAAGGGTAGAAGGGGCCCTACTGGGGAAATGAACATGCTCTAAAACTGGGTCGCGTTGATGGTTGCACAACTCGGTGAAGGCACTAAAATCATTGCGTCGTACACCTGCGTGAATTTTATGGCATGAGTCATACCTCAATCAGGTTATTTTTTTTAAAACTGGAAAATATTTGCAGTGACATAGAATACAATGTTAGCAGAAGATGATTGCTAACATTGTGAGGAATTGTGAGGAATTTTTGAATTTCCTCTTTATGCCTATCTGTATTTTCTGCTTTTTCTATTATTAATGTATGATGCTTAGATAGTAATAACGTTAAAAATTTTTTTAAACGAAAAAGATACATTGAACCTGTCACAGGGCTCTGATGGGGGCGCTTATATAAAGAGAGATAGTGTGTATAATTGTAAGTGATGTAAGAATAGACGATATGAGATTATAATATACAGAAAGCTTTCTAGAAGTTCCCTGTGTGATGTTGCAAAATCAGTCCTTGGTATGCAAAGCAATAGAACTGATTATGCTAAATTTCAGGAGAGGAGAAAGAGAATCTGCATGATATGTAAAGTAGAGACAATCAGCAGACCTATGCAAAATGAGGCCAGGTTTAAAATTATAGCCTGGAAAAGTTACAGCATCAGCACTTGGCTGGAATACAGACTAAATTTAAAATGCTAAGAAGGAAGGAAGGAAGGAAGGAAGGAAGGAAGGAAGGAAGGAAGGAAGGAAGGAAGGATGGAAGGGAGGGAGGGAGGGAGGGAAGGGAAGGAGGAAGGAAAGGAGGCAAACTAGCTATAATAGAGTCATTAAATGTTTTACTTAATGTTTTAGTTAAACATGAAGTGCTTTTAAAAATTGACACATGAGTATCGTGAGTTTCTGAACCTCAAGAGCAAGCACTCTCCAACGCAGACAGATCTGACGGCACAGTTGCCCCTCTGAAGGTCACTTCCCTCCATAGGTCACCGCGCCCGCCCCCCCCCCCCCCCCCGCCCCCGGGGGCTACTTTCTGAAGAGGAGACAAGGTCCTCCCTACTGCGAGCAGTCAGGAGGAAGGCACGCTCACCGGGGTGGGGGCGGCATCGCGCGTGAAGATGGGCCAGGTCTTCCAGGCCATGCTGTGGCGGTACTGCTGGTGCACGTGTTCTCCCAGCCCATACACGTTGGCGCTGGGCAGTCGGAACGACAGCTGCAGGTACTGCTCGGCGAACAGGAGGGGCCCGATGTCCGTGTCCAACCTGGGTCGTGGAGTAAGGCGAGAGTTACCACTGGCTCTGCCTGCTGCCGTCCTGTCGCCTTCGAGGACGGTGGTTTTAGGGCTCCCCATCCACCTCAATGCTTTTGAAGAAAGCCTGCCTAGGGCGCCTCTGATTCTTTCATTCTAGAGGAGCCCAGCACTGGGGACGTGGGACTAGAAACTCACGTGGGATGAGTGTGGCCTGAGCAGATGTGACCTTACGTTTTCTGTGCATCCACTTTATGTACACACTACACTGGGTCCTTTATCGGCATTATCTCGGGACACGTAGCCACAGTGACGCTCTGACTCCCTTTCTGTGGACAAGGAAACCGAGACTGAGGAAGCGCGCGCTGCGCCTCGTACACAGCGGGCCGGTGAGCCGCTCGGTCAGGCGTCCGGAGACAGGTTTACTGACATTAATGCTGCAATCCCTCCAGTACAATGTGAGGTTTAAGCTCAGGCTATCAGTAGGGGCTTGGTGGTAGGTTTCTCAGGAAACAGTAATTTGGAACGGTGTACAGTGAAGTTGGGTTCCAGTGTGAATGATAATCCAAAATAATAAGATCCCCTATTTCATAGTATATGTGAACACAAGAGGATTTGTATAACTCAGCAAAGCAACACATTGCATGTTTGGTTTTCGTTGGTCTGTAATCATAACAGATTAACAGTGTTAATGGTTAGTCCCGAAAGCTTTGACATTTCTCTGTGCTTCAATCTCCCTATTATACTTAGCGATCACAGGCCCACAGGAAGTCAGGATGAATGACTTCGGGACAGCATATTCAAAGACATGCAAAGAGTGTCAAAAAGCTCACAAGACTTTGTTGTTGCTCGTCCTCATTATTTTGATGCTGAAGGGTTTATCAGTGACCGCGATGTGATAGCTCAAGTTGGTGGTACCAGCAGTGCCATTAAACGGCTTAATATTTTCATGGGGGACTTCAAAGCGCCTGTTATTGGGATCAGTGATCTGTCAGGAAAAAACAAAAACAGAAAAACGAAGGGACAGCTCCAGATAAGACCATTTCCTTATTGAGCTATGAAATATTCTCGCCCCCACTGAGAACAGCTTCTCATTCTTGACCCTGTGCTTCCCGAGGGGTGAGGAGAAATCCCCCAATCACGTGCCCCTCATCAAATAAAAATTAGCCTGCCCATCAAATCCGGAGACCCAGCAGAGAGGAACAGGGGAACCCTCCGCCTCCACGCGTCTCGCCGTGTGTAAAGGAGGGTGAGCCGCACCCGGCATGCGGCCCCGCGCTCTGCAGAGATACAGTCCGTAGTAACTACCAAACCTTAAAACGCAGACGGTTGGATGTCTGATATTCAGCTGTGAAGAGGGCCTCGGCGATGTCATTTCCAAAGAGAGACGGGGATGGCAGCCTTTGCAACAGGACAGTAAGCCCTGGGGGCGGGGTGCGGGGGAGAGAGAGACAAGCACTTAGCCTTCGTTTTGCAGTTAACTTACCTGGTCGTAAAGAGCTGACGGAGAACGCAGTGCTCACCGGAGCTTTGCTTTTCCCGGCTGCCACTCCTGACTTCGTAGCCCCAGTTCCTGGGGAAGAAGCACCGGGGGACATTGAGGTCCGCTGTAGGCTTCCAGCAGCACTTATATCGCCACCTGCAGTCTTCCTGTAACAACGGCACAGGGTTACCATGACAAGGGACGTAAGAAGAAAAGTATTATACGTCTATTTATTATATGTCTATTTATTTATAGTCATTTTTTCCCAAGAAGAATTTAAGATGGCTCGTAATTCTTTCAGCCTCTTATCCATCCCTCTTTTATTTATACATTTACCTAGCTATCTAATCTACATTTATTACCTACCAGACAATGAACTAAGAATATAGATAAATAAGACACAGTTCTTGCCTTGAGCAAATGTACAGACCAGTAGCGAATCCGACAATTACAGTATGACGAGATCAGCGCTCCAATAGGTTGTGCCTGGGGCTGAGGGGGGGGCGGGCAGGGGGCCGGGGGTAGGGGAGGGCTTCCAGGCAGGTGAAAGGTAAGTTGAGCCCTAGTGCATGAGGGAGAGTTAGGCAGGAGGACAGTAGAGCAATATTCCAAGTGGACTCAGGGAAGCCACTGGGTCATTGTGCCAAGAACACTGAGTCAGAGCAATGAGGCTGGAGAGACATGGTCTCCCTGCCAGGGGAGAGCTGGGTGCAGACCAAGCAGATTGGACTTTCTCAGCAGGAAGAGTCACGGAAATGGCGAACAACATGGCAGGAAGAAATGCATTTATGATAAGTAAGAAAGGGAAAGCAAAGGAAAATAGAGAAACTTAAGATAGAACTAGGACAGGGGGTGACATAAAAAAAAATCACAATATCAAAATAAATCACATGTGGCTTCTCTGAGTGGTTTGGTTATAGCATTTAATAAGTACCATTATTTGGTGAGATGTATTTTCTGAAGGCCCTACCACTTCCAGATGAACTTATATAAAGTTTTGTTTTAAAAACTCAAATAGACGGCAAACTGAATCAAACTGTTGAAATAAACACAGACACCCACCTCTTCACTCAACTAAATTTACACGAAGTTGACAGAAGTGTCAGTAAAAAATATATATAAATTCATTATGAAACAGCAAAATATGCAGTATGGCAGACCAGAATGTTATGAAGCTCCTGAAACACAGAAAATAGGTCTTATCAACTCAAGGGAGAAAATGTATCCATAGCCTAGAGCACAGCAGGAGAAAAAGCAGGGCTCTAAGCCAGGTCAGCGTGGAGGTGAAAACAGGAACTGAGCACCTGTGTGTCCCAGGTAGCCATCTAAGGTCATGTGACAGGGTGCTGTCAGCAAGCCTAGTGAGACAGATGCCACCGTTAATTAAATAGGCCTTGTTTCCATGACTGATTTGAAATGTCACTTTCATTATGAACACAATGTAAGCGCACACGTAGGAGAACATGAAGAGGCATTTTCAGACGTTCTATTATATTCCAATGGCATATGTATCAATTTCTGCTAAAATTCCACACTGATGATTACTATAGTGTGAGGATATGTTTTGCTTTTAGTTTGGCAGACCAATAAATCTAAAGGACAAGATCAAAGATATATGAGTATTTCTTATCAAACCCTATTTTGACAAAAAGAGAGACAAATATGGTTTGAAACAAAAATGGGGAATGACAACAGGTACATATGACTTTTAACACAAATAATAATTATGAGATAACTATTTGTATATATATTTGCCAATGAATATGAAAATGTAGTTTGAACCTTTAAAGAGTAAAACATTAAATAATGAAAATTAGAAGAGATAGAAAACCTTTAATGGGCCAGTAACCATAGGTAACTATAAAAAGCCATCAAATATATTTCTCTAAAAAATGATATCTTGCCTACATAATTTGGGGAATAGAATATATTACATATATATTTTATATTACATATATATGTCTTTTCAGGACATAGGAAAAGGTAGAAACTTTCCTGACTCATTTTATTAAACTGGAATAATTCTAATAACAAACTAGGCAAGGAAAGTCCAAATAAATAATTAAGCAAACATACATAGTAGGCCAATTTCACTTAAAAACATGATGTATAAAAATATTTTTTAAATATTTTATTTAATTACTTTTTAGAGAGGTGGGAAGGGAGAGATAAAAAGAGGGAAACATCTATGTGTGAGAAATATGTCAATTGGTTGCCTCTTGCATGCCTCAAACTGGGGACCTGGCCCATAACCCAGGCATGTGTCCTGACTGGGAATTGAACCTGTGACTTGGTTTGCAGGCTGGCGCTCAATCCACTGAGCCACACCAATCAGGGCTAAAGTTTTAATTAAATGTTAGATTTGAATTCATTAGTGCATTAAAAAATTAATGCATAATAGCCAAGTAACAATTATCAAGAGAAAGCGGGAGTGGTTCAAAATTAAGAAATTTTTAACGTAATTACAGCATTGACAGAAGAAAATCATATGATCATCTAAACAGAAGCAAACTATTTAAAAAATATAATAATGTGGTACATTTAAATGTCCTAAATTTAAAAAGCAAATTATAAAATAATATATACAGTATAATCAAATCTGTGTAAAACGTACATAAATATATGTGCTAAACATATAAGTACATGCAAAAGCATAGAAAAACCAAGAGGAGAACACACACCAAACTATTGGCTGATTCTGTGGGGGAGGTGTTTGGAGGTAGAAAGGAAACTTCATGGATAGGACTTTTCCATCTTCTCTGTACATATCTGTAATATCTGAATCTTTCTTATCAAAAGAATATATCCATACATATATTGTGCTAAAAAAAGAATATATCACAACACTGCTCATCTGGAAAAGGTAGAATCCTGACAAGTATTTTAGATGCCAACATCGGCTGTAATTGCTCTGAAAAATCACAACAGGAATATAACTTAAATCAATGCTCCATGCCTATTATAAACAAAGCAATCACATTATGACTGTAAAGTCTTCTTAAATGTTTTCCTTTGCTCTCCATGTACATAAATGATACTCAGATAACAAAAGGCCAAGTGGAAGAGTATAGGGGGCACGGGTAGCCTCTGGGGAACTGATATTCCTAAGTTCGAGACACACTTTAAACACTTGTGCTACCGCTGAAACTGAGGTCTGCAGAGTTCAAAAGGTCAGTTTCATTGCCGTAAATTGCTCCAAAGTCTATAGACTTCTATAAAAGTCAGTACGATGCGAGATACAGTGCATCAGGTTAACACAATTATTTTTCGTGCAGTTCCCTAACATCCCTCTTTCAGTTTTAAGCCATTATCGGTACCCAAGAAACCAAAGGTCAGACTTTGGAGAGATATACAGGGTAGGGCAAAAGTAGGTATACAGCCCTGGCCAGTGTGGCTCAGTGGATTGCATGGTGGCTTGTGAACTGAAGGGCTGCTGGTTTGATTCCCAGTCAGGGCCCATGCCTGGGTTGTGGGCCAGGTCCCCAGTAGGGGGCATGTGAAAGGCAGCCAGTTGATGTATCTCTCACACACCAGTGTTTCTCTCCTCCCTCCCTTCCACCCTCTCTAAAAAATAAATTAAAAATCTTTTTTTAAAAAAAGTGGGTTTATGATTGTGAGTATGCAAAACACAGTATATTCTTTGCATTAATTATTAACTATTGTAATATTTTCCATGCAAGCAGCTGTAAAGCTACGTTTGCCCCACCTTATGCATTTCCTCCTTCTTTGTCCATTTCCAAAGCTGTCACAATAACACGGACTAACGCCACTTAGAAAATATGATGGATTGTATTTACAATAGAAACTACGCATATGAAATAGCTAGGGGGAAACTTCATAATGTATATGTAATAAAATGCATATTAAGAAAAACATAAAACTCAGTTGAGAAATATATGTATGAGTTAAAATGGAGAGACTTTTTATGTTTTTAAAATAGGAAGATTCAGAATTATTGAGAGGTCAATACTGTCTAATTTTAACCTAAAATTTAATGCAGTACTTGTTAATATCCCAATAGGATATTATGGTCTATAGAATATAAAATATGAAGTAAAGAAATAAAATCTAAGTGTATACAACCTTTATTACAAAGCTTTTAATCAAAGCCAGCAGGATTCAAATAGCTGATATTCTTGTAGAAGCTACTCAGGGAGAAAATCTATGTTTCTTAGCACATGTCCATAGGGATCTCTTAGCAGTAATATGATTCCAGAAGGCTCTTGTTAAAACAAGTCACTGAGTTCACCAAGTGACTCGGTCATCCGCATGTACCTGATGGCCTCTATTCTGAAAGGATACATGGTCTAGCCCACAAAAACCTTTCCCAGGCTGCCTTTGCAATTGCACTCATAACACATTGAACCACATTGGGAACTTCCCCTGCCTCTGGACTTTAGACGCCCTGGGCCAATGTTCTTGCGAGCTCCCCCTTCCTTTCCCTTCGCCTTGCCCTGTTTCCCCTACTTCCACGGGGCTGTTGTTTATTTCAACAAGGCAAGGACGGAATAACTCCAGACACATCAGAGGCCCCTAACCCACTCCACCACCAACGCACCCCGCCCCAACTTCGCACACTCATTTCTTATAAATAAAACCCGTTGGCCAACAGCAGGGAGCCCATTTCTCTGACCTCTGTCACGATCTGGCCAGGCGCACAGTCTATCCTCTCGGATTCGGGGATCGCCAGGCACTGTGGAGTGAATGAAGTGTCTGCAGAGGAATTGAAGCATCAAGTTAAACACCAGAAGCGCGATGTCAGTTCCTGGAAGGAGGCAGCAGTGACATGGCAGACTTTCGGCCAGTTCTCCAGGCAGTGGTCACCAGTAGCTGGTACCTACATTTGTATACATTCGCCCAGTGTTAAACACGTTTGCTTTGCCTTTGGTTGGGTTTTGTTGAGATGTAATTCACATACCATGAAACTCACCCCTTTAAGGTGTACAATTGCGTGTTCTTTTAGTATTTTACAAAATTGTGCAACCAATCACTACTCTCCAACTCCAGGCATTTTCATTAACCCCCAAAGAAATTGCATACCCACTCGGGCTCATGCCCTTCCCCCTTCTCCCAGTCCCTGGGAAACTGTTTTCAGTCTCTGTGGATTTGCCCATTCTGGACATTTCCTATCAACAAAATAATAAAATAGGTAACCTCTGGCGTCTAACTTCTTTCTTTCGGCGTAATGTTTTCAAGGTTTGTCCATGTTTCAGTGTATAACAATGCTTCATTTCTTTTTATGGCTGAGTCATATGCCATTGTAGGGCTATAACATTTTAAATCTATTCATCAATGGATGTACATTTGAGGTGTTTCTGCTTTTTGACTATTACACAGAATTCTTCTATGAACATTTATATGCAAGTTTTTGTGTGCACAGGCATCCTAAATTCTCTTGGTTCTATACCTGGAAGTGGACTTGCTAAGTAATATGGTTAACGCGACCTTTACCTTCTTGAGGAACTGCCAATCTCATTTCTAAAGTGGCTGCCCCGTTTTACAGTCCCACTTGCAATGGCTGAGGGTTCCAGTGTTTCCCCATCTTCGACAACACTTGTTACTGTCTGTGTTTTTATATGAGTATGAAGGGTATTTCATGTTGACTTGCATTTCTCAAAATACCAATGATGCTAAATATGTTTTCATGGCTTATTGGACATTTCTGATCTTCAATGGAGAAATGTCTGTTTAAATCCTTGGCTTGTTTTAAAATTGGGTTATTTTCCTTTTTATTTTTGAACTGTAAGTTTTCCTTATATATTCCAAATAACAGACCATTACCAGATATGTTGTTTGTAAATATTTTTCCCGTTCAGTGGGTTGTCTTTATACTTCCTTGATAGTGCCCTTTGAAGCACAACATTTTTAAATTTTGAAGTTCAAGTTGCCTCTTTCAGTTTCAGTTGCTAGGTTTGGGGTGTCACATCTAAGAAACTGTCACCTAACACAAAGTCACAAATATTTATAACTATGCTTTCTTAGAGTTTTGTTATTTTTGGCTCTCAAATTTCAACCTTAGATCCGTTTTGAGTTAATTTTCATATATGATATCAGGTAGGCATCCAACTTTATTTTTTTACATGTGACTACCCAGTTGTTCCACAATTTTTTGTTTATTTGTTGTTTTTCCACTCACTTTCAACAATCTGTGAGATAAACTGGGAAGACATTATTGTCCCCATCTGAAATAGACTGTCACTGAACATTGGCTATCCTTACCTTAGCCTTTCTCATGTTTGTGAACAACCCCCACCCCCTTCCATATAACAGCATCAGAAGCGGGATCAGCTTCAGCCAGCCCCATGGAGCACCCAAAACCCAAATCAATCTTAAGTTTGAGGCCGTAGTTACTGTAGGCATAATAGAGGCCTTGAATACCTTTGGTTTTTATTTAAGGAAGTCTTCAAAACATGTCTACTACCTTTATGGCGCTACACTTGTTTGTATATATATTTAAATTAAAAAACAGTTCTAAAATTGGATTAAAAACTTAAACGTAAGACCCCTGCAACTGCAAACTCTGAGGGGGGAAAAAAGGTTGAGGAAATGTTTCATGAGATTTGTCTAGGCAATTATTTCATGGATATGACACCAAAAGCACAGGCAACAAAAGCAAAAATATACAAATGGGACTACATCAAACTAAAAAGCTTCTGCACACCAAAAGCCAACCAACCAACCAATCAACCAACCATCAACAGAATGAAAAGGCAGCCTAAGGAATGGGAAAAGATATTTGCAAACCATGTATATGAAAAGGGACAGTTTCTAAAAAATTTAAGGAATTCCTATAGCTCAATAGCAAAAATAAAACAAACAAAAATGAACAACCTGATTGAAAAATGGGTTAAGGCTTGAATCAACATTTCTCTAAAGAAGACATACAAATGGCCTACAGGTATGTGAAGAGGTGCTCAATGTCACTAATCATCAGGGAAATATAAATCAAAGTCTCAATGAGAGATCAGCTCATTTGTTAGGATGGCCATTATAAAAAAACAAACAAAAGAAAGAAAGAAAACAAGAATTGGTGAGGATGTGGAGAAATTGGAACCACTGTATACTAATAGTGGGAATGATGCCAATTTGCACAGCCACTATGGAAAACATTATACAGGTTCCTCAAAAAATTAAAAATAGAACTACTATACAGTCCAGCAATCCTACTTCTGGGTATTTATCCACAAGAATTGAAATCAACACCTAGAGGAAATAATAGCATTTCCACGTCATTGTAGCACTACTCACAATAGCCAAGATGTGAACACACTCCGATGTCCACTGATGGATGAAGGAGTAAGGAAAGTGTGGTACATACATGGGCTCTCACTACATGAAATGGAATATTGTCCAGCCTTAAAGAAGGATGAAATCTGGTCATTCGCAACAATTTGGATAAAGCTTGCAGTCATTATGCTATGTGAAATAAGCCAGGCACAGAGGACAAATACCGTATGATTCCACCTATATAATGTATCAAAAATAAGCCAAAGTCACAGAAGCAAAGAACAGAATGATAGCTGCCAGGGGCTGGAGGAAGGGAGAAATGGGTTATTGCTAATTAACATGTATATAATATGTTATGCAAAATGAGTAAGTTCCATAGATCTGAGGTACAAAATTGTGCCTATAGATAACAATGCTGCGCTATACACTGAAAAACATATTAAGAATATAGAGGATAAATTTCATTTAGGTGTTCTTACCACAATAAAAAATTAAATAAAAATTCCTTTTCAACTCATGGAAGAAACATATCTTCAAAAAACACATCAGGAGCAGTCCACTGTGTAAAACAATTAAAATTGGAACTATTCTACATGCAGGAGAGTGTGGTTTAGAATGAAGGAGGTGTGCAGACCTCATTTTGTGTTGAATAAAAGACACTGCTTATTCATATACTCTGAATAGTAATCTCATGAGACTTGCTACCCAAAAAAAAGTTTTATAGGGAAAAAGAAGCCATAGGCCAAAAATAGTTTATATCAATGGATTTCAAATAATCTTTCAAAGCCATAATCGTCCCTCAAAAGTCTTTAATTTACTGTGGAGAGTGATGAAGAGACTGAGCAAAGTAGGGTTCCGCTATCAGCATCATTTCTTTTTACTGTATGTTTAATCTATATTTATACAGTGAGCTTTATCGAGCAGAATAAACCTCCAATTTCATTTTAATTGAGAATAGATTTTTGTATTACATATTTAGAGTATAATGTGTATTACATATTTTTTCTTATTTAGTGGATAGTGTGTGCTTGGAGGAGGAGGCATTCTGCTTGATGCTTCTGTGAGCAACAAAACAACAGTTTCAAAGGTCTCTATGAAGAAATCCTAACTATTCCAATCAGGATATGGGCTGGGGTTGGGTGGGGGACTGTAATTCACACATGTAGGTCAAGTATATCAGCCCTCAACTGTCCGGTAACCTTCTTTCCTTTTCCGTAATGTATGGGATTGGGCACTGTTACCTCCGTTGTTCTTTCTCCTTGAGGCCTATAACTTCCTGACTCCAAGTTGAAAAACAGGCATTTAATGAGCCTACCTGTGCATCCTGTGAAAATTCCTTCAGATGGGACTTGTGAGACCCTGCCTATCACTAGCATTCGAGGTTTAGCCGCAGAAAAAGAACCTCTCTTTTGGAGATGGACTTATCTGAGTTATGGACGGGCAATGTGGCAGCATGCCGAAGAGCGAAGGCATGGCAAGGATTTTCTTGGCCTCCTGGAGGGGCTTCCTTTACCAGTCCTTTCCACGCAGCAGCCACGGCACCCCCTTACCTGAAGGTTTCTCCAGCACCAGGAACAGCAAGAAGATGTCCACAGACAATACAATCAGGAAGAAGATGATCAGAATGACCTCCAACACACTGAGCTTCCTCGCCATCTAGGTGGACACAGATAACAAGAGTAAAGCAGACCACAAAGTCCCTTCAATTGGAAAGAAGAGACAGGCATCATGATTAGAATGGGAACTCCTGCCCTGGCTGGGTTGCTCAGTGGGTTGGAGTGTCCTCCCATGCACCGACTGGTTGCAGTTTCGATTCCTGCTCAGGGCACACACCTGGGTTGTGGGCTTGATCCCTAGTCAGGGTGTGTATGGGCAAGCGATCAATGTTTTTTTCCTCTCTCTCTCTGTTTTATTTTAACTTCACTTTTCCTTTAAATGTCCATTTCTGTGTTCCTGCCACTTGCCTCAAACCCAGCCTAGTGCCATAACCACTTCTTTTAAGTATTTTCATATACGTACAGCTTCACTTGTCAATGAAGGCAGCCTTTAGGTTAATGCATAACCAGCCAAAAAAAGAAGCACCTTAATTGTAATATGGGGTGAGAAGCAAGAATCTACAAATACTTTTCCAAGGCGGGGGGTGGGGTTGGATTTGGGGTTTGGGATTGAAATTGGAGTGCATAACTATTCCTTCTTATTAGCCTAAATCTACTAGGTGTCTCTCCTCTAGTCTAAACTATTCTAAGGTTTATTCTAATCCCGATAAGATACATATCATATTATATTCCCATAAAATCCCTACATCAAAGTTGTTCAGGCATAGGTGAAAGTGGACATAAGTTCAGCCATTTGAAAATGAAGCCAGGAAAGCCATGCCGGAGCAATGGCCCTGCACATCTTGCCCTTGAACCTTGGAAATGTTGGAAATGGGCAAAATAACCTTTGGGCTGGGTCATAGCAACACTGTTCTACAAACAGCTCTTTGCAAACGAACAGGAAAGCAGACATCCTGACCACAAGGACTAATTATTATAGTTTTTCTTAGGAGTAGTAACCAGCCATGTATGCTAAGGAGTAACTCAGTTGTTAACAACAATAGCAAGTCCTTTCCTCTGTCCATGTAATAATCGCCCTTCTTGTTCCCATAAACATCCCTTACTTGCTGTCTGTCCCTCAGCGGTTTCACCCTGAAATTGGGACACAATTTGGGCTTCTGCCTGAATCTGTGTGTCTGAGTTGCAACTGTGTGATCTCAAATAAATGCTCGTTGCTTCCCACTTTGGCTTTTTATTTTTAGGGTAAGGCAGGCGTTAAGATTCCTATTTGATAAATTAATGCTAAGGAATTTTGTCTAACCACAGTTAGTAATAGAAGTGAAGCCAAAATAAGAGTGGTCCTACTTCTTGAATTAGTCGTTGAATTCTCTCTCCACAATGTTGCCTCGACTGCAGAACTTAAAGGTCTAGAGGCTGAATCCCCAAAGATGAAACTTCAGAAAGTGAAAGCAGCGCGGAACCCACCCCCACATGCTCACAATACCTAATTAATTTCTTCAACCTCCAGTGCATGATTCAATAACACAGCAAACCTATTGGCCATCGGTTAAACTCCTTTGCTCCTCTCTACTGGGAACCCTTTCTTTCCAGCCTCTGCAAAGCTTAAGTCTCCTGGGCAGCAGGTCCAACACCTGAGGCTGAGGCTCGGGACCCGCTGGGGACAACCCCCGGCATTTTCCTGCCATGGGAACTACTGTCACCCGGGAGGCAGGTAGGAGTGAAGATTCCTCAAGGCAGAAATTCTTTTCTACTTAGAAACCCTCCCTGCTCAAAGCCACTTTTCTGTCTCAAACAAAATTTTAGAATAATTAAGATCCAGGTTATTAGTAAAAGCCTAATCCTTGTATAGCCATTTCCCTCTCTGCCTGCAAAGATGTGTTCGCCTAACTCTCAACCCATGCCGCTTTCAGCAGCAGCCAGGATTCCATACGATTATTCCTTCCTTAGTTTCTCGCAGTGAGAGAGAAGCATCGCACCTTCCCCGTCTGTCCCCCGCACACATCGGAGACAGGCGCCGCGCACTAGCTCTTACCCTCTCCTCATGGTCTATGTAAAGGGAAGGAAATATCAGGTCCAGAGGAAAAGTACAGGTTGTCCAGATCACATAACAGAGAAGGAGAGAGGGACACTTGACAAGAACACGGGGACACGACTTGTTCAAAGTACCACCTGCATGAGAAAAATTACTCACCTCATAGCCGTATCTTCTTACTTGCCGTGTCTGTCCCTCAGCACTTCTTAGGGAGCACTGAGCAAAGGTGGCTGCCGCTGACAGGACCAGCTTCTGCGAGGATTGATTTATTGCCCTGTAAAGCCATGGCAATTGGAGGTGAGGAATGCATTTTCCTAAGAACCATAAATGGCCTTTGCTTCCCCGTGATATGTAGGAAGCTTCATTTGTTAACAAAAGGGGAAGGTGGAGTTTCAGTGTAACAGCTATGCCTCCTCTGTGCTTCTCTTCATATCCAATTTCTTTGCTTCTCATGCAACATTATTCTTGCTTGCCTGACCATGTAGCCGGAAGAGCTCAAGAGGTAAGGTCTTATGCATCATCTCCACAGGGGTATCTCCCATGCTTAGACTTTGCCCGGCACCCATCAGAGTTTTAAAATATACAGCTCTTTGTTGAATAAGTGAAAGAACAAATAGCTCTTGGTTCACCAAACTGTTCCTTTCTCCATGTTGGTTTCCCCAAGTTCTCTTGGTATAACTCGGCCCTTCATCAATTTAAATAAGCCTCCCCACCAATCGTTCTGGAAAAGTGAAGCGCCATGAAAATAGAAACAATATAACCTTAAAGCAGGATGATACCTCTCCGGGAAACTTCTCAGGCTCTTTGACTGATCAGCACTGTGGCGGCGGGTGGGAGGGGTGGGAAGCCTCTAATACTTGAGGAACTTCCTACTTGGAGAATTCTACCTCCCCAGGGGAGAGGCTGGAAATTCTCTTTCACAGGCTGCCTTTCAGTGGCCTGTGACCCAGAAGACAGTGGAGAAATGAAGGAGGTGCCATTTGGAATTCAAGATGGTAAGAGGCCGTTTCAGAAACAGCAGGAACGGGGGACCTATTGGCACCTTATGCTTAGGTTTGGGGGGATGGGCAAGCTGCCAGATGTGCTCGGGACAGTGGCAGTGGACTCCCCACAGGGTAACTGGGCTGTTGTCCCCAACCACTTCGCCTACAAACCTGATACTCTAGCCCTCCTGGAGTTTCAGTGAGTCATTAACATCTTTTACATTTTTCTTTTCTCCTTAAGCGAGCTAAGAAAGAGAGTGTTTTTTTAAACATTGAAATGTAATTCACATACCCATGACGTTCAACTCAGCCTTTTAGGGTGCACAGTTCAGCAGTTTTTAGTACATGCGCCAAGTTGTGCGGCCTTCACCGCCCTCGACCTCCAGGACATTTTTATCTCCGACAGAAGACGCGCATGCAGTGGTGGCCCCTCCCCATTCTCCTCTCCCCCATCCCTGCGGCCACTAATCTATTTCTGTCTTTATAAATTTGCCTGTTCTGAACATTCCTATAAACAGAATCACATAATATGTGGCCATTTGTGTCCGGCTTCTTTCACTTGGCACAATGTTTTTCATGTTCATCCATGTTGTTGCAGGTCTCAGCATCTGCAGGGATCAGCGCTCTGTTCCTATTTGCAGCTGGACGATACTCATTAAATATAGCACATTATGTTTATCCACGCATTCATCGATGTACATTTGGGTTGTTTCTACTTTTTGCTTCTTATGAGCAATGCTGCTATGAATATAGATGTACAGGGCGTTTTTTGTGTAGACCTGTATTTTCAGCTCTCTTGGGGAAATACCTAGAAGTGGCATTTCTAGGTCATACGGTAACTCTGTCTTTAACTTTTGGAAGAACCAGAGAGCTGTTTTCCAAAGTGGTGGCAAGTTTACATTCCCACCAACAATCCATGAGGGCATATAGTATATATAGGATACCACATAGGCTATATACACAGGCATGCCACCTTTTGATGGCATCTAAGATCCATTAAGTGAGGTAGCACCCACAGTAGCCCATGTTTGCTTCAAAGCTCAGTGTGTGGCAAGCACATACAGACACACAGACACGCGCCCATGTGCCTGCCCACACACACTTGGTTTCTACCTTTGTGAACTCTCCCCCTTACCTTCGTGCGAGTACAAAAGAGCCTTTGTTAGAGGGGAAATGCACTTGGCAAAAGATCAAGGAAGGAGATTTATTATTACATAAGATTTTTCTATTCTTTCGGTGCTACTTTCCTCTTAACTCCCCACATCCCATGCTCATTCGTGGCGTTGTTCGCATTACAGTGCTAACCGGCAACCCCAGCTGTAACCTGTGTTTTAAAGTGCAGACAATAACTCGCTTTGCCCTGCCTTCCTGCTCCCTGGCAACTGGAAGATGTTGGGTCACATGCTCGTGTTGACCAATGGAAAAGTAACAGAGGTATTTTGGAGGTAAGAGACAGGCTTGCGAGCCAATGTCTTTCCGTTGTTTATTAGTAAGGAAGGCATGGTGGTGATGTCAGCTCTTAGCAGAACTCATAAGGCGATCAAAGCAAGCAGAAAGTTGCAGTCATCGGAAATATATGTCTACACAAAAAATCCCTGTATATCTATGTTCATAGCAGCATTGCTCATAATAGGCAGAAACCAACATTATGCATGACGTTTAACTCTCAGAGCACCATCCTGCAAGGCCCACGGCCAAACTCTCAATGACGTCACTGCAATGGCAAGAAGAGAATGTTGGTGACACTTGAACCATATCCGTCAAGGTCAACACAATCTTGTTTCTGTAGGCACCTATGATAATTAATGTTATAATGATGCTTTTCATAAGGGATAAATCTTCCTCCTTAAGTGAAAGGCTTTAGGATTGTTAGTTTTTTTAATGCAGCACACCTACGAAGAGATAAAATGAAACTATGTGATCTGGAGAGGAGAAAATATGTCAAAAAGACCCCGACCTGTCCCCTAATAGCTGGCCTGGGGTTGTGAGTGCAAGTCCACGTTGCAGCGGCTGCTCTTGGGTGGCCCCAGATGGGTACGGCTCCCTGCGCGGTGGCTCTCCAAGTGTGCGTGTGCTTCGGGAGGTCCCTGAGACCTTTTCAGGGAGTGGTAAAGTAAAACTGCTTTCGTCAAAGCACCAGGAAGATATTTGCCTTTCTTACTCTCTTTCCCTCAGGGACATATAGTGGAGTATTCTAGAGGCTGCATAACATGTGCTATCACAGAAGACTGAATGTGGGCACAGATAATGAGAATTCAGCTTTTTCTATTAAGCCAGATTTCAAAGAGACTCGTAAAAATGTAAAGTAATACAATGATGCTAATTATTTTGGTTTTTGAAAACATAGATATTCTATCATTTTAATGCCTTTAACTTTATTGTTATTGTTGGCACTATGACAGGTGTCCCCACTTTCCCTCCCTTTGCCCCGCCCCCTTTCCCTCTGGCCACCCCGTGCTGTTGTCTGTGTCCGCGGGTTATGCACACATGCTCTTTGGCTGATCCCTTCATCTTCTTTTAATTTTTAATAAGAGAAATATCAACATATGTAACACCAGAAACAAAAGCTCCTAGAGTCCTCAATAATTTTTGAGTGTAAAATGATCCTAGGATGAAAATGTTTGAGGTTGTATTAATTTTCAAACTTTCTATGTATGTATCATATATGTAAAGTATATGGGAATGTGTGTGTGTGTGTATATATAAAATTCTTTATTCAAACTTAATTCCAGTATATAAATAAATGAATGCCTGAAGCCAGGGTGGGCGCTCTGAGCCCTGCGACCCTCCTCCTCCCCTCGCGGGGAGCAGCAGAGCACCTGAGGCTCTGCCCAGCGCCTGGTTTGGAAATCACCAGCATTTAGCAGAGGAGTAAACAATCCCAGAGAGACAAAGGGACTTAGATCAAATCTCCTAACCCTACAGATCGCTTCTGCATTTTTCTCACTCAGACAAAAGCAGCATAAAATGCCCCAACCGTGGACCTAACACAAGAGGGGAGAGGATGCAAGCTTGTCATTAGAGGTGGGCAGCTCTTCTCCAGAGACAGAAACTAAGGGAACCACAAACCCAGTTTCTCCACTGATCCTCTTTCCCAGAGCTACTGCTAAAAAAAAAAAAAAAAAAAAAAAAATCTTTCTTAGACTAAAGGTCTTCATGTCCATCAAAAAACCGTTAGTATAAATGAAAGTCTGTTGCATTTCTATACATTAATAATAAACTATCAGAAAGACAGATTAAGAAAACAATCTCATTTACAATTATATTACAATATACTTAGGGATAAATTTAACCAAGGAGGCAAAGGACCTGTACATTGAAAACTACAGAACATTAAAGTCAAAAATGGAAGAAGACACAAATAAGTGGAAACATAGTCTGTATGTATGGATTGGAAAAATTAATATTGTCAAAATGTCTATACTACTCAAAATTCTGATGACATTTTTCACCAAAAAGGTCTTAAAATTGACATGAAACCATAAAAGATTCTAAATAACCAAAGCAATTTTGAGAAATAAAAACAAAAGTGAGGGCATCCCTCCTCTTAATTCCAGACTATATTACAAAGCTATTGTTTAAAAAAACAGTATGGTATTGGCATAAAAACAAATACATAGGTCAATGGGACAAAACAGAGAGCTCATAATTAAACGCACATATATATGGTCAATAAATTTAGGACAAAGGAGCTAAGAATATACAATAGAGAAAGAACAGTCTATTCAACAAATATTGTCAGGGAAATTGAACAGCCCCGTATAATAGAATAAAACTAGACCACTGTCTTATACCATAGACAAAAGTTAACTCAAAATGGATTAAAGACTTGAAAGTAATACCTGAAACCATCAAACTCCTAGAAGAAAGCACAGATGGTAAATTCCTTGACATAGATCTTGGCAATATTTTTTTAATCTAACACAAAAAATAAAAGCAACAAAAACAAAAATAAATAACTGGGACATCAAACTAAAAAGCTTCTGCACAGCAAAGGAAACCATCAATAAAATGAAAAAGTAACCTCCTAAATGAGAAAAAAATATTTGCAAATTGTATATCTGATAAGGAGTTGACATCTAAAACATACAACTCAACAGCAAAAAACAAATTCAATTATAAAAATGGGAAGAAGACATAGAGATGACAAACAGGTACATGAAACAATGTTCTACATCATTAATTATCAGGAAAATGCAGATCAAAACAACAATAAGCTATTACCTCACACCTATTAGAAAGACTATTATCAAAAAGATTAGAAATAACAAGTGTTGGTGAGGGGGTAAAGTAAACCCTTGTGCACTCTTGGTAGAAATGTAAATTAGTGTAGCCACTATGGAAAACAGTGTGTAAGTCCCTCAAAAAGTTAAAAGTGGACCTACTACATGACCCAGCAATTCCACTTCTGGGTTTTATCTGAAGAAAAAAAAACTCTAATGAAAATGGCAATGCATCCCCTTGTCCATTGAAGCGTTATTTACCCTAGCTTATGTACATGCTACTTTGTGTGTGTGTGTATATGTGATACACATACTGTTAGATACATGTATGTGGGGGAAAAACCTCCAAGTTATTATTGAATTCTATTTCAATATGAATTAAAATATCAGGATCTCTTACCCTGAAGGAAGCTCCTTATTTTACTGCGCAAGTCAGGTATAAGCAAAAAGCACAGTCCTCTATGAGGTTTTTCCAAAAAGGGAATTAGTGTACAGACTTAACGAGCAGATGCTGGACGGGGATGAGAAGTCCGCCAGGAGCCGCCGAGGCCATTAAGTGGTTGGCTACGGCAGGAAGCAACCCCCGCGCTCTGGCTGTGCAGACAGAGGAGACGGTATTGCTTAAACCCAGGAGCGGAAACTGGAACTAGGGGCTGTGGCTGTGGGAAGGAGACACGTAGTTGATGGAAATAAAATTATGACAAGCAAAAACCAACAAAATAAACATCTCACGTATTACTGAATTTTTTAAATACTTGTATATATATGTGCATTTAATATAACAGGATTCCTTTAAAATAGTGTGCATTTTACTTTATACATTAAGAACACGTTGCTAGCAGGGGCTGCATAGACCGCCAGGGGTTCCACGGCCCTACCGATGTTGCCGGCCCTCCCGTGCCTCACGCGGGGACTTGGCAACCCCGCCTCTCCAGTCAGAAGTCTCTCCTTGAGTGCTCTGTGGCAGCCAGTGCCAGCCTCCACCAGTGTCCTCAGTAAGGACCTAAACTACTTCTCAGGCACGAAGTCAGTGACGCTGTCCTCCTGTGACCTGCCTGGGCTGGTGAGAGGAGAGCGAACAGTTCCCCATGTGATGGATCAAGGGACTCCCAAGGTCACTTGCCCGCACCTCACCCTAGTTGCACACTTAGCTCGAGCCTTCGTCCAGGGGCCCTTTATTTTGATAATCAGACCATGAAGCCCACTTAACAACAGCGTACGCTGTAGCCTTATGCAGGCTCTGACTCAGGGATATACAAGCAGAATGTGGCCTCCTGGTGCTAAAAAAAAAGGCATAGGATCAGAAACTCATTCACTCCTAACATACTTGTTTTCAAGTCATACTAAAAGGAAATATCCCTATTGGACATAAATATGTAGCTTCTTTACCCCCAAAGTTTTAACCCATAGTGTTGCAATTTCTGTTTTGCCAGAGTTGGTATTTCACTCTGTATGGCAACTGCTATGATGATTAAAACAACAACAATCCAAGTACCCTCTTCCACAAACCTAAGTCTTGTAAAAAGCCAAAGGAGAAAGGAAAAGGGCAAGTCCTCCCGAAGCTGACCGTTCCATTGGTGGGCCAGGCTGCAGGAACCCTGATGCCAAGGGGAACAGGACCAAGTCACAAAGGTTTGCTGAACAAGACATTGCCTTCATCCGAAGTGGCATTACCCATGGCCGAAATATCACAGAATTCAAAATCTCCTGTAAATATGCTTGCTTTATTTTGCTCTGGCATAGCAGTTGCATGCATGGGTGTAAACTGGGATTGTGGACACTGGGCACAGAGTAGAGAAGTAAGGTTATACATTTCAAAGCACACCACTGCCGACAAGTTATTTTTTTGCATTCAAACTCCTTCCTCCAGTCTTGCCTGCTTAAAATTTCAGCCTCAGCCCCACTCTCATATGCTAAGTTTCTCCTAACCCTTCTTCCTTTCAAGTGAGTTGGCCCTTCCTGTCTCCTCCCCACGACACCAATCTTCCTAATATTTCCACATTACCTTATTTGTCGTGGTCACCTTTACCACCATCTGTTTCCACTCGTCTTCCCTGCTTACCTTCCCTAGTGTTTGCCTTTTCTTCCATGTGCCTCCTGTTCTTAACATAACATTCCCCTTCCCCTAGAACCAACCAGCAAGTATTCTTTCTAGATACTTTCTGGGGGTGTTAGCTCCAGGGCCTGAAATTGGCCTGGCAAGCTTTTCCTTGTGTATTTAGTAGAAGAGTGGGACCTAAATCCCTGGTTACACACACATACACATGCACACACACTTCACTATGGACACAGTTAATCTTCAGTAAATTGTACTTATTGTGTGATGATCAATAGGTACTGTACTAATCACATGGAAACATTAAGGTAACACAATGATTTCCCACATCGCCCTACTGCCTATCCCACAGGGCTAAGCCACAGACAGAACATACAACGAAATGAATGAAAGATTTTGTCCATACTGGGCATGATTAACAACACGCAGTAATTGTATAAACATGAAGTATAAGTAGTTACAAAGTCATTCACGGGATCTTGTTCTTAAAATTCATGGACTGCTTTTCCATGTCATTGAAACGAAATTATGTATGCTGATACTTCTGGTGGTCACATCGATCTTTAACACCTGTTGGGAACCAAAGGAAAGTACGGGGCATCAGATGGTTGAAATTTCCTGCAAACAAGTCAGAGACGAGCCAGCGGTCTACGCAACACACTGATACTTTTGCAACTGCAGCCCAGCTTCTAGACTGCTCTCAGGTTTCAGGTGAGGGGGTCTTTCTTCATCCCTTGTAGTGCAAAGACCGTTCGGTGATAGGGACAAGACAACAAGCCCCCAAATAATGCAATATGCAGCCATTGTAGAGGCACAGCCCCACAGACAAATTGGAGAAAATGTCCCCATTTCCATTCATTCAAAGCGTTGGTCTCCCTCGTACCCTCTTTTCACTTCCTCCTGCTGCCAGTCCCTCACAAGCCCTGATGAGCGCCAGTGAGAGGCCAGTATTCCGGGCTTTTTCTACGCAAATCCTTTCCGTCAAGTTTCTGCGCATGTGCAGTCCACAAGTGGGTCAGCAACAGAAATGGGTCAAGCCCTCTATGAGCTCTTGGTAAACTTGGGGAAGTTGGTTGGCAAGAAAACCACAAACATGAGGAAACAAATAAAAAATGCAAAGCGGAAGGAAAACTTTTGTTTCAGGCCTGGTAATCAGGGAGGATTATGCAAGAAAGAGAGTTCAGAAAAAAGCAAGGGCTAAGCCCATGGGAAAGGACCCCGCTGGCCAGGAGGAGAGATGCCAGACCCACGTTAATCCCCAGGCGCAGAGTTTTCACACATTTAACATTCGCGAAATCGCAATCACTGTGCGGGAGGCAGCACTCATGGCAGCTGCTGCGATCTGTGCGGATACGAACGCCTTTGCCATCGCTGGTCTTATGAACGGATGAACTGCAACCTCTTCAGGATTATTTTAGGAAGGAATATGAATACTGGCTGAGAGTAAGATCAAGAAAGTGCTAGGATGGCCCTGGCAGGGTGGCTCAGTTGGTTGGAGCACCGTCCCATATGCCAAAAGGTTGCAAGCTCAATCCCTAGTCAGGGCACAAATGGGAGGTGGCCGATCAATGTTTCTCTCTCACAACAATGTTTCTCTCTGTCTCTCCCTCCCTCTCTCTCTAAAATCAGTAAATATATCCTCAGGTGAGGATTTTTTAAAAAGTGCTAGAATGAAAACATACAAACAGATTAGTGCCTTGGGAGAAAAATCTCATAGACCATATTGGAAGAGTTTTATGAAATTTTGAATCACCAGCACCTCAGAGAATACACAGGAAATGCCTTAACCCATTAGTATCACATGGTGTTTTAAACAGTAATAAATAAAATAATAAGAGACTTAAATGATAAAATAATTCAAATATTTAAATAATAAAAGAAAAATGTGGGATACAGGTTGGTTAAGGTATTGCTAATATTTCTTCACACTCAGGGCCTCCCCCTTGTAAGTGACTGATGTGGAATTACCAATCCCCACCCAACGCTTTCCTGTGTTACCGCTTAATGTATTAAAATGATAAAAACCTATGTCCAAAGAAGTTTTATAAAAACTCCCCATAAGTTCAAAGTAGAATTTTCAGTGATGGAAAAGCACTGTATCATACCTTCGTCACTCTTTTCTGTCTCTACAGCACATGAAATAATGGGCTACCTTTTGACTAGTGGTATCTTACGGTTGATAAACTATGGTAGTTCAAGCTATTAGGGGAGCGAATCTCTGAGGCAGAGAGGCGAGGGAGCAAAACACATGGTTTCACAGGGCTTTGCAGACAAGAAGACATGTGTGGAAAGCAAGGATCCAGACCCGCGAACCCAGATGATGATAAAGCCTGATTTCCCCGCCGGCCGCCACGCTACCCATCGTCGGCAGGCTGAACACGCAGGGACTGGTGACAGGCTTTGCCGGGGAGGGTGCCATTGCAAAGGAGGCAGACAGGCATCGCACAGCGCGCCTCGGGGCTGGAAAATAGCGTTCAGACTTTTCGCTGGTCACAAACCTGTGTCGCAGAGTCGTAGGTGAAGCTCGGCGTTATCACCCTGCCTTTCAAAGAGATTCGGACGCTCTCCACGGCGGCACTGCCCACCCCCCAGATGTCAATGTAGCCCAGCTTCAAACGGTTCGTGTTGCTGATGTATTTGTTGAAATAGATGTGGCTCTCCATCCTATTCTGTCAAATTGAAGACAAAAGAAACAGAAATAAGTGGCAAAATTTGTTCAAAAAGTGTTAGGCACTTCCCCCCCCCCCCCACTTCTTTTTAGGCACAGACGTAGATCATGAAGAAAGACAACTTCAGAGCCACCGTCTTGTGTCCTTGTAGTGGGGACAATGATTCCGGGGTTCATGTCCTGTTGCCAACTATCATCCAAATTTTCATTGGCTGAAAAGCACCTGCAAGGTCTGCAGGATCGCCCTGAACTCTACGGAGACAGAGTCTCAGCTCTCAGGAACCTTACATTCTACACGTGAAGTCAGAAAACGTGCAGACCATTCCAGGGCAACTTCAGAACACGTGCTGGGTACCACTGAAACAGGGTGCCCCTCTCTGCCTTGGGAAACTGGAATGAGTTACTGATGAAACATAAAGGGGTCTGATCAGAGAAAGCTTCCTGGGAGCACACTAACTCTATCTGGAATCTAGAGGAAGGGAAGGACGCCAACCAGCAGGTGGGCAGTGAAGGACTCCCAGGTGGGGCTTCCCGCCTTCGTGACAGCCAGCGTCCTCTAAGCCAGCAGCTCTCTAACCCCCTTCCGCCGTGTGTCACTCACCTGGCTGACAGAAAAGTGGGCCAGGTAATAGACTCCTTTTTCATAGGTATCTGCAAACAAGCAGTAAGGTGAACATGATCTGTAGTTATGCTCGCGAATTCTCATTGCCTACTTCTCTTGGTTGAGAAAACAGGGACCATTTTTGTTTTTTATTTTATTTTCTCTTTACAGACTGCCACTTTGTGATGTATGATCTCTTTATGGAGATGAGTCAGACTCTGCCCCCAACCTCTGTTTACACAGGATGTTCGAAGTGAGTGTGTGTAGAACCATCTGTCCGACGGTCACCTCACAAAATGTAGCTTCCCAACACTACGCTTCCATCCACGTCTCCCTGCGGTCTGCTACTCCCAGCATCCTCCCAGGCACCCGAGAGCTTCCAGGCTCCTTCTGCTGGAAGCACACCCATGTGAGCATGCATGCACATAGACACATATCACGAACACCAAGACTGGTGTCTTGGTCCGTTGGTCGTGAGAGATGTCAGGTAATTTCTTAACTGCAATCTGCAGAGAACAAAGAAAAGCCTTCTTTGTCCTTTTGGCCTCAGTTTATGCCATAGTCCAGGGAGAACAGGAAGCACAGCATATCCAGTACAGGTGGCCTTACGGGAGCCTTGTTACAGGTGTTCCCACCCTCCTCCCTACCCTGTGGCCTGCTCGCCCGTCCCCACGCGCTCCCCTCTTTCTAATCGGCTGACCACTCATTCGACCAGAGGGCACGGGCTGTGCTCCAGAGCTGTGCTGCCCGAGGTAGCCACTAGCAAAATGTAGCTATTGGAGTTACAATTAATTAAAATTAAGTAAAATTTAAAACTCAGTTCATCGCAGTGTCACGTGTCAAGTGCTCAGTAGCCACCTATGCCTCGCGGCTGCCACACTGGAGCACCGACTCGGGGAACAGTGCCCTCAGGGCAGGACGCTGCGGTCGACGGCAGGGGCCCAGAAATGGCTACTGATAGGGCGCCGTCCTCCTGAGGTCACCAAGTCCTGTGAACTCCTCATGGAAAACACCCCCGAACAAACAGCTGATAGGGGCATTATCTCTCTTACGGGGCCATAAACCATGCAATCAGGGAACGTGCCCTTGAACATAAACCATACGGAAGTGCGTTTCAATTGGTAACAAAGACATTTTCCCTTAGACTGGACAGTGGACAGTGGTGGGAGATTCAGAGTTAAGCATCATGTACGTGCAGCATAAGGAGCAAGCGCACTCACTTGGAGTAAATCACTTGGAGTAAATAAATCCAAGTATTTATTACTCACTTCAAAGTAACGGCTATCTTTAAAAATGCAAAACTACTTTAATATGGAAAAGGGAACACAGGCCCACAGGAACTTAGTCAGGGTACTGACTCGCTCCCGAGGCGGCCCTTACTCACCAATGCTCTCCCCGTCATCCCAGAAGAGCCAGCCTTCAGCCGCCCCCTTATCATCCAGGGCAACCTTGAGGCCCATGAACTCCCGGCGGCTGCAGTGAAGAGAGAGAGAGGCATTAGCGAAAATCCAAGCCGCAGTCTCAAACTGAGGGTTTTCAGAGCACACAGAGGAAGTCCTTCATGCTATGAAGACCGAGTGCTGGATTTTAAGGGACTCGTGACCCACTTCTAGCTCGGTCTCCGTTGGCTCTGACTTCCGGCCGGGAGGGGATGAACTAATGGCTGAAGCGAAGGGAGTTTTCCTTCCAGGTTCTAGCAGCTCTAACACACCCATCGGCTTCCTTCCCTCCCCCGTTGCGAGAAAAAGCTCTGATGCTGTGACCGTTCTTCTCTCCGGACCCAACTTCCAAAAGATGCGCACAGTGAATTCTGTTTACAAATGTCCTAAGTTCTTCAGTTTTTAACTCATGTTTTGGACTCAAATGAGCGGGGCTCTGAGAATTTCAGTGTGACATCAGAAAGACACAGTCCCTGCCTCGGCTCCTTACCAACGGGGCGACTCTGAGTTCATCACTGCCTGCTCCCTGGGTCTCAGAAAAGCCTGCGCATCTATCACACGGGGATAATAACACACTTAAACCATAGGGCTTGGGTTTTTTTTCCTTTTTGTTAAGGAAAATAGAAATTTCCATATTATTTCAGTTCTAGGCAGATAGCAAGCATTCCTTTGATGTTAGCTATTATTTATTATAGCTAGAACTTTAAATCTAGAATTTTTAAAATCCATGTATGAGGAACCTTGGCCTCGGGCATCAGCTGCACTATGGCCCCCATAACTTTTCGGCAACAGTCTTCTCAGCACCAAATCAGTGGAGAGCCCACCTTCTGAAGCTAGCCCAAATCACGGTGTTCCTGTGTGACTTCGATTGCCACTGATCCAGGGGTGTCCCTCCCATGGCCCACAGGCCACGGGTGGCCCAGGATGGCTGTGAATGCGGCCCAACACAAAATCGTAAGTTTACTTAAAACATTATGAGTTCTTTTGTGATTACATGTCACAGTGTATTTAATGTGTGACCCAAGACAACTCTTGTTCTTCAAGTATGGACCAGAGATGCCCAAAGCTTGGACACCCCTGGATTAGACCTAGCATCTCGCCCACTCTGATCTAAGATGTTGTTTATAATTGTTCAAAGAGCACAGTCTGTAAAAAAAGATTGAAAAACAAATAAGCAAACAAACCAACCCACAAAGACATTTAGGAACATTGCATTGGGCCCGAGTGTTGCCTCTGGGTGGCCGGGATGCGCCGAGATCTGAGCTAACTGGCGTGGGAAGGAGGAGCCGGCCCCGTCACTCACCTTATGTGGGTGTTCATTGCAGGCTGTTGCCAGGGCAGGATGTAGCCCCCCCGGACGTGGAGATTAATGTGGTCAAGAGGGGCTGGCAAAACTTTCCTCTCCCCTCTTGCTCCAATATCCACACCCTGCGGGCCAGAAGAAGGTGACAGATGGTGAGGGAGAGGACACGCCTCCGACCAGTGCATTTGCCAGAGAGATCTGGTCCACGCTTCCCAACCTGCAGCCTGTTCACGATCCTTCCCCACAGGCCCATTGTTACGGTTCCCTGCACTGCTGCCACGACATCACATCAGCGTCCCTTGCCTGTGGGGTTTCCATAGTACCTACCACACGAGGCTATAGCGTGGGTCTCACTCCACCCCCTATTTCCGTGTCCCAGACCACAGCTGGAGGGGGCTGAACAGTCCCCTCCTTCATTTCTTGTTGGCTCCTGATACTCTCCCCACAAGGGTGTGCCTATACTTCTCTTTCACCCTGTCTCCGCTTTGTCTTCGCTTCATCTTCACCTCTCTTCACTGCCCCCACTCCCCACGGCCACTGACTGAACACACACATTGCGCGCGTGCCGCAGAAAAGATTAAAGTGAGCTGACTCAGTTAACAACTCTTTATCTTCCACTTCACTGCACCTTCTTTCCTGTTTAAGTCTTTACCTTGCCCTCATGTGTGACAGGGAGAGGTGCTCTCAGACCTGGAACCATAAACCCGAGCCCCCAGGAAGCCATCCTTCCACATTTCCCCAGGCTTCTCAACTTCAGCGCTGTGAGCAACCGGGCCAGGTAATTCTGCATCGCGTGAACTGGCCTGTGCTTTTAGGGTGTTTACCAATGTCTATCCATACCCCTGCCACACGTGACAGCCAAAAATGTCTCCAGACATTGTCGATGTCTCCCCATAGTCAAAACTCTCCCATTGGAAAACAACTTTTTTAGAGGTAAGGAGCAAAGCTACCATAACACTCCTTTACTTTTGTCTCCTGATGTTCCTTTTATACAGACTCAACCTGTCTGAAAGTGTAGGGGGAGGCAGCGGAAGGAAGCCATGTGACTGGGGACACATTCGCTGGGGCGGGCCTGCCTCAGGACTCCAGTCTATAGGGCTCGATAGAAATTCCAGCCCCATGGCTCTGGGAACGAACCTTCAGTTGACTCACTGATATCATGGAAGAGTTGGATTACGTGCTCTCAAATGACATTTCACGCCAATATCTTACGAAGACTGCCCATTTTCCTCCATTGACTATCCTATCTTCAACTGAAACTCAATGTGCATACAATTGTCAAAGTTATCCCAGAGGCATTTCCATTTTCCTTCACATTACGGTTAAATATGATATGCTTTTTAACCTCATGATTTCATTTCCAATCCCTCATGAGTCACAAGTTTTACTTCCCCTAACTAGTCTCTGACCAGCCTAGCTTAACTAATTTCTGTTAAAATATCCATAAAGATAAGACTATAGGATAAAAGACAAAAGCAGCATTATTAAAGTAAGAAAAAACAGGCTACCATGCCTCAGTGAGAGAAGTTTCCATCAACAACACAGTCACTGATTACAACTGAGAAGCACTGTTTCAGAAAACCCAAGTAGGTCCTACGCTGTAAACAAACCAAAAAATGTCCACAAATAAAGTAGTAAAAACTTTGACCCATACACATTGTCTGCTTTCCCTCTTATCCCTGTAGAAATAAAGTCTACACATTATAGGGTCTGACACAAAGGCCCCTTTTTTATTACAAAGTCATAAGCATGTAATTCTGTAACATAACAATATCACACTCAAGCGCACCATATGACATTTTAGATGAAATGTTCAAATTAAGAGTATTAATTACTACACCCATATTATGACCCTACCAACCACACTCAAGCAGGTGTTACTTCTACCGGATCCTGCACAGTGCCCACTATGACAGAAGTGGGGAGCAGTAGGAACACTTCACAGTGTGCTCAATCCCATCGGTGCCGCTGAGGCAAGCACGGAACTCTACAAGGAGCTATAAACTGATGGTGCAGCTTGTTTAGAGGGCCAGAGAGTCAGGGCTGATGAAGATTCAGCCTTAGTCCCACAGAGCCACTTGCGTTAAATGAGGCCCTTCACCCTGTCCTGCATCAAGGCACCTGCCGCCTCATAAAACAAGTGGGGCCCACAGGCCAAGCAGTAAGGGATGGCTGGTTGCTTCTGGTAGGCAGAGCATAAGAGAGGCAATGTGGGCACGGAAGTTCACAGCCACCGAGGCAGCTGTGCTATGTGGAGTCAGGATCCCCGAGAAATGGGAACCAGCGCGGTAGGAGTGTTACTTACACTTTTGCCCCATTCTTTGCTTAGGTTCCACTGGACAAGCAGCAAAGAAATTGTGCAAAAGTGGTGGCTAAAAACCTAAGTAGGGCTTTCTTATTTTTCTTCTCCTGCTTCCCATCTATGCCTTTTGGTTCTGCCTTCCGGGCAATTTCCTAGATGGAATTTATGATTTCTTTTTAAACAAAATTTTAAATATCTGCATCATGCCTTTAATTTCCAACAATTGTTTTATGAGTATACCAGTTTATGGCATGATTCATTATTTTAAGTATAATATCAGTTTATCTCTGAGGATATGAATTCTCTAGTTAACTTTTCAATAAGATAGGTACAGAAAAGGACACAAATCACAAGTATATGGTGCAATAAAATTTTACCAAGTGAACACACCCATGAAATCACCACCTAGCTCAAGGAAGGAGTGCTACCCGAATTCCAGAAGGCTATCTCATAATAAGCACCATTCCAAAGGTAGCTGATTTCTATCACTTGTTCCTGTTTTTGAAATTACATTTGATAAATGGAATTCTATGTTCTTTACTCTCTTGTATAGGGCTATTTGTGCTCAATATTATGTTTATCATTTTTATTTATGTAGCAATAGTTCATTATTTTCATTGCTCTAAAGCATTCAGTTTGAAAAACAGAACATGATCTATTTGCCCATTTTACTGTTGATGGACATTTGGTTTTTTTCCATTCTTTTGCTATTTTACAAATAATGCTGCTATTAAACAGTCTTGGATACCTCTTTTGGTGAAAATATATACATTCTAGGAACAAATATATTATAATTATCATTTCTTCTCAGACACATGTGTATAATATGTTAATATGATATATGATGTATAATAATATAACATGTCATAGTATATATATATTACACACGGTGAATATAAATCCTAGTACAAGTTTACTTTATTTTCTGGATTGACAAAATTGCTTTATGTCCTCTAGAAGAATATCTAAAAATAACAATAAAAAACATTGCTGAAAAGGATGAGGGAACATTGGTCTATCACTCCTTGAATTGTACTAGAAGTTTGCAATCATTAAAAATGTTCCACACTGACAGAGTAACAATTAATGAATTAATAAATCAAAAATAGAAATGAGAGCATTCTCTCAGACAAGTTCTAGCATATATAAGAACAGCATAGTATAACAGAGGTTAGCAAACAAAAATATTGGAAAAATTGACAATTTGAGAGGGGAAAAATGTCATATCTTATTTACTAAGTGAATTCACTAAACGAATTCTAGGGACTTAAAACATTAATTCAATTATATAAAAGTCAAAATCTCTATCTAAAATCATAAGCAATTGAAAAACAAATGTCAAAGTACAAATATGACAAAGTGTTATTAACTTAAATATGTAAATATAATTTAAAATCAGTAGGAACAGCTTAAATATCTTCATAAGAAAATAGCAAAAGGATAGGAAGGTCACAGAAGTACAAATGGCCTGTCAAAGATAATTGCAAATCAAATCAATGGTGAACATTAGAAATTCCATTGCCTTTAAGAGTCAAACAAAGATGAGCACAAAAAAATAAAATCTAATCATCAAAACTGACAACGATTTAGGGAGATAAACGCTCCTATCAAGTGCAGATGGGAATGTAAGTTGTTTCTGGAATTTTGCCTATTTAAATTAAGAATTCTTATATTAAGCATCTTCTCTGGCTAGAAATTTAAGCCACCACTGGGCAATGGTGGTGGGGGAGGACATGCTAGGCTATGTTCTCTTGAACAGGCAAGAAGGAAATTTAGACTAACTTCCCGTTTGGTTGAATGGAAGAGAGACATTTAGGCTAACTCTAGAAACAGGAATTATATGAACTATACGTAACCTCCCTCTTCCTGCCTCACGGAAGCATGCAGCTACCTGTGCGACAATGGGGAAACCTGGTTCAGGAACAAGATCTGCTTGAATCCTTCGCTGCAGGTGAAGAGACTGTCTCCATTCTTATTTACCAAGTCCAAGCATTTTCCGTGCTTTTGCCAATATCTATGAAATCTGCTTCCTCTTCATCTTTTAAAGTGTTACATGAGATTGAGTACCTTTTATTGGTACTTCTATAAATTGTCAGTGGATTGGGTGCACAACAGTAAGTCATATTACTAGTTTCGCCTAATCCCACCGCAGTTCCCTGGGCGGAAGGGGGCCGGAGCACGCTCTGCGTGTTGTCGCCCCGCTGCCTCCTTTCTGCCATGTTTCCATTCCTCTGCCTTGTTCTCCTCAGAAAAGTTAGCAGAGGAGGCCTGGCTAAGGGAGAGGAAACGCTCCCTGGGACTCTTCCTCAAGAACACTGCCCTCACCTGGAGAACAGTACGATGCTAACTGAAACATCTGTGAGAGAGAAAAAGGCAAGAACCATGGGATTTCACTCCTACGTTGAATATAAAACTAAATGTAACAAATAAACAAGACAAACAAACAAAAAGTCACAGACACAGATAACAAACCATATTGTGATTATGAGAAGGAGGGGGGTCCCGGCAGTTAGTAAAGGGTAAAGGGGGTCAATTATCTGCATGGGGAAGATTTGACTTTGGGTGGTGGGCGCACAATGCAATGTACAATTATAGAATTGTACACTTGAAGCCTATATAATTTTATTAACCAGTGTCACCCCGATAAATTTAATAATTAAAAAATAATTCTCAGAAGCTGCTTCAGAAGACCCTATTTTCCCAGATGAGTTCCTGGGGCTCAGACAGGCACAGAAATGTTCCCCAACACAGCATTTCTCGGTGCACTGGCCTCGCCCCGGGGCCCGACGACGGGGCCCAGAGCTCTCTGTGCACTTTACACGGCGTCTAAGACCTGGCTCCTCCCAGGGAATTAGGTTTAGCAGCTCCTCTTTGTGCATCTGTGCTGTGGAAGGAGATGCGAGATACAAAGAGAGAAGACGACCTCTATCCTTATGAACGGACAGCCTAGCAGGGGAGAATTAGACAAAAACTATAGTTTCCAGCACAGTTTCCAGCACTTCCTAGTGTTACCATTATACACCATTGTGAATGGTGCTGGTACAAGGAAGGATAAAAATGAACATGTAAAGAACATGCGTGGAAGCCAGGCAGTAAGTGAGATGCGTTATGTGTTATTCACAATTCTGTGAGGGAGGGGGTTTACCGGGACTTGGAGGTGAGAAAGGGAGGCTACAAGGTTAAAGGTGATTGTTCAAGAGCGACCTCGGGGGGTCACAGAGCCACGACGAGAGCAGAGGCCTGCCGAGCCAAAAGCCCGACATGCTCCCACTTTCCGGGGTCGTATAAACCATTGGAGAAACTTACCGTGTAATAGTCATACCAGCGGGCTCGAGGGAAGTATGCGGTGACATTTCTGGCATTCTAAAATTAAACACAAACAAGTCATGGGCAGCAGGCGCAGGCCTCTCAGGGAGAGCACCTACCTGATGACTCTTGACCCTCACGCTTCCCCTCTCTAGAGGTCAGGGCTGTGGGAACAGCTGTTCTCTGGCCCTGCTTCAAACAGGGGAGACTGGCCGGCCACAAACTGGTGCCTTTTGTAAAGTCCTTTGAGATCCGGGACTTTGGGGAAAAATTACCATTTGCTTATAAACTTAACCCACACACCCTCTCTAAAGAAGCAAGAAGGATGGGTCTGGGGTGGAAGAAAGTTTGGTAGATCTTATCTTGCCAGTACTTCAGAGATTGTGATTATTTCAGTAAATTTTAGGGAAGATGCAATTAACTGCTGTTTTCATCAGAAGCCTAGTCATCAACAGAAAAAGTAGAGATGTCTCTAGCTGCCTGAAGACTTCCTATTGAGGAAGGGAAGGGCTGGCCCCCAACAACAAATTAGACACCTTGTCACAAGCAATGTTTACGAAGAGTTCTGTGTTAATGGCGCCAGAGGACTGTAATGGATCTTTGCAGTACTGCCCCACCCAACCCATGCTCCCTATTTCAGTTAATGCAGAAATTATTACATCTTCAAACACATCATAAGGTTTTTCCCTTCTTGACTGTCCTATGAGTTGCAATCTGTGAGGATGATTTTAAAGATGAGGGAGCTGAGGACTAGAGCACCTAAGCGTGGGCTTCATCTCAGAGGGAGAGGAAGGGACAGACGTCGAATGAGGCGCCACATCTCTGCACCCCCGCCAGTAAGGCCTCTCTCCTGGCCCCCTTCGCCAGGCTCCCGTAACTGGGATCCCTGCTCAGCAGAGGCCTCAGACTCACAGGCTCCAGGACAGGGCTGACCAGGAAGGCTGGGCCCAGCAGGAACTGACTGTCTATATCCCAGGTCACTCGGTCAGACACAAACCTGCAAAGGCAAACCAAGGGACCACAATCAGGACTCCATCGGGGCCCCAGGCTAAGGCCTTGAAGAAACTCCTTAAGCTCAGACCCAGGTCCGAAACCCAGCTTCTCTAATGTAAATTACTTTCTCTACCTTAACCAGAGAGGCATCCATTTTCTACCTGTCACATTCTTTAAACTCCAGGCATGATTGGATTTAGACAGGTTCTTGCCTATGAATACCTCCAGGTTTTTGAACCATGGCACAGCCTAAATGCAGGAATGGCCTTTGTCCCTCAACTCTACCCCTGGAATGCGTTGCGACCTGAGCTTCTTATACGATGGGTAGGTCCTCACTTGCCCAGTTTAGCAAGACACTCACTCATGGAGAAGAGGCCGCACAACAGTACTGCCCTGCGTGTGGGCCAGGTGCATCAGGGTGTAGAGATACGGCAGGAGGGCATATCTGGTCTGCAGGACACTCTTGGAGATGTTCACAAATGTGTCGTCCCAGGACACAGGGTCTTGCCTCTACAGGAGAAAAAGAGGAGGTTTAGAGCTCACCATAGGAGGCCTGGGGGGCTTGAGGCCCCACGGTTCCAAATGAAAGTCACATGTGGCTAAATCAAAGAGGATTGTAGATGAGACTTAGAAATATTCTTAATAGACTGAAACCAGTCACTGAAGCTCTCCCAGGGCAGCTGGAAAAATTTTCCCACAAGACATTTTTGTGGGGATCTATTTGGTACAACACTGCCTAAGTGAAAAGAATACTCCAAAGAACACGGAACAAGATGGTTCATTGAAAAATAGGGGTCTTTTTATGTACCTATTGGCCATTTGTGCATCTTCTTTGGGAAAACGTCTCTTCCATTCCAGTGCCCATTTTTTAATCAGATTGTTTGGGTTTCCCTATGGTTGAGGTGTAGGAGTGTCTGGCATATTAGATATTAACCCCTTATCAGATATATGTTTTGCAAATACATATTTCATAGGTTGCCTTTTCATTTGTTTTTAATTGTTTCTTTGGCTGTGCAACAGCTTTGAAGTTTGATATCATCTCATTTATTTATTTTTGTTTTTGTTGCTTGTGCCTTTGGTATCCTATCAAAAAAAAATCATTTTCAAGATGAATGGCAAGAAACTTTTTCCCTCTGTTTTCTTCTGGGAGTTTTATGGGTTTCAAGATTTTTATGATTAAGTCATTAATCCATTCTGAGTTAATTTTGTGAATGATAAGATAGGGAACCAATTTCATTCTTCTACGTGTTTTCCAAACACCATTTATTGAAGAGACTAACCTCTCCTACTGAGTGTTCTTGGCTCCCTGTCAAATATCAGTTGTCCGATTACACAAAAACTTATTTCTGGGCTTTCAATCTGTTTCATTGATCTGTATTCCTATTTCTATGCCAATATGATACTATTTTGATTACTATAGCTTTGTGAATGTAGTTTGATATCAGGAAGCATGGTGTCTCAGATTTGTTCTTCTTCCTCCAGATTGCTTTGGCTATTAGGGGTCATTTTCATTCCACAAGAATTTTAGGATTTTTTTTTTCTTATACCTGTGAAAAATCCCATTGGAATTTTGCTAGTGATTGTATTGAATACATAGATGGTTTGGAGTAGTACAGACATTTTAGGAATATTAATTATTCTGACCCATGAACATGGGGGCTCTTTTTGTTTGTATCTTCTTCAACTTCTTTCTTTAGTACCTTCTAGTTTTCAGGACACAGATCTTTAACCTCCTTGGTTAAGTTTATTCTTAAGTATTTCATTATTTTTTGATGCTATCATGAATGAGAATGATGACTTTATTTCTTTTCATGTATTTCATTGTTAATGTATAGAAATGAAACATTTCCGTATGTTGATTTTTGTATCCTGCAACTTTACTGAATTTATTGACTAGTTTTAATAGTATTTTTGGTAACATATTTAGGTTGTTCTATACATAAAATCATATAAACTGTAAGCAGAGACAATTTACTTCTTCCTTTTTAACTTGAATGACTTTTATTTCTTTTTCTCATCTGATTGTTCTGGCTAGAATTTCCAGTTCTATGTTGAATGAGAGCAGTGAAGGTGGGAACCCTTGTCCTGTTCACGATCTTCTAGAAAAAGCTTTCAAACTTTCACTGTTGAATATGATGTGTGAGCTGTGGGCTTGTTTTACGTGGCCTTCATTATGTTGAAGTACATTTCTTCTATTCCCAATTTGTTGAGCTTTTATCATGAAAGATGTATTTTGTCAAATGTTTTTTTTTCTGCACCTATTAAGACAATCATATGATTTTTACCTTTCATTCTATTAACGTGGTATATCACATTTATTGATTTGTGTCTGTTGAACCATCCTTACATCCCAAGGTAAAACCCAACTTGATCATGTTGTATGACTCTTTCAATGTGCTGTTGAATTCGGTGTGCTAATATTTTGTTGAGAGTTTCTGGATCTATATTCACCAAGGATGTTGGCCTGTAGTTTTCTTCTATTGCAGTGTCTTTACTGGCTTTAATATCAAGGTAATTCTGGTCCTGTAAAATGTGCTTGGGAGTGTTCAATCCTCTTCAATTTTTTGGAAGAGTTTGAAAAACATTGGCGTTAATTCTTCTTCAAATGTTTGATAGAACTCTCCGGGGAACCCATCTGGAGTTTCTTTGGTAGGAGATTTTTTTTATTACTGATTCAATTCCCTTACTCATTATTGGTCTTTTCAGATTTTCTATTTCTTCATGATTCAGCCTTGGAAAGTTGCATGTTTCTAGGAATGTATGCATTTCTTCTAGGTTGTCCAAATTATTAGCATATAATTAATTATTTATAGTAGTCCCTTATGATCCTTGGTATTTCTCTGGTATCAGTTATAATGGCTCCTTTTTCATTTGTAATTTTATTTATTTGAGACCTCTCTCTTTTTCCTTTAGAAAGTCCAGCCAATGGTTTGTCAGTTTTGTTTCTTTTCAAACAAATAGCTCTTAGTTTTACTGCTCTTTTCTATTGCATTTATTTCTGTTCTAATCTTTGTTATTTCTTCTGCTAACTTAGTTCTTCTTTTTATACTTACTTGAAGTGTAAAGTTAGGTTGTTTATTTGAGATCTTTTTTCCTTAATGTAGAAGTTTATTACAATACACTTTCTTCTTAGAACTACATTGCTACATCGCATAAGTTTTAGTATGTGTTTTTCCATTTTCATTTGTTCAAAATATTTTTTTATTTATCTCTTTATTTCTCTTTTGACCTGTTGGCTGTTTAACTTGTGCATATTTGTCAATTTTCCAGTTTTCCTTCTGCTATTGATTTCTAGTTTCCAAAGAATACATACAAATGACCAATAGGTACACGAAAAGATGCCAAACATCAGTAATAGTCAAGATAACACAAATCGAAACCACAATGAACTATCACCTCACACCTGTTAGAATGGCTATTATCAAAAAGTCAAAAGAAAATACATGTTGGTGAGCATGTGCAGAAAAAGGAACACTTGGGCACTGTTGATGGGAATTTAAATTGGTACGGCCACTGTGGAAAAGTATGGAAGTTCTTTAAAAAGTTAAAGCTAGAACAACCATATGACCCAACTATTGCACTATGGGCATATATTCAAAAGAAATGAAATTTGCCTCTTGAAGAGATATCGGCACTTCCATGTTCAATGCAACCCTATTTGCCGTAGCCGAGACAGGGGAACGACCTAAATGCCCGCTGATGTGTGAGTAGACAAAGAAGGTATGGTGTGTGCACAGCAGAATACTATTCAACCACAAAAGAGAAGGGAATCCTGCTATTTACAGCAACGTGGATGGATCTTTATAGCATCACGCTAAGCGAAATAAATCAAACACAGAAAGACAACCACTGTATGCTAATACTTATCTAAAATATAGTAATCTAAAAGGGACTATTAAAAAGTAGAATTCGTAGAAACAGAGTGGAATGGTGGTAATCAGAGGCTGGGTATTGGGAGAAATAGGGAAATGTCAAAGGATAAAAACTTCCTGCTATAAAATAACTACAGGATGGGACAAAAGTAGATTTACAGTTGTTCGTATGGAAAACAACACAATAATTAATAAGTAATACTACAAGAATAAACTCTGTGTTTTGTGTACTCACAACAGTAAACCTACTTGCGCCCCACCCTGCATGTTCCAGGGACGTAACATAGAGCACGGTGAATATAGTTAACAACCTGTGCTGTATATTTGGAAGTTGCTAAGAGAGTAGATGTTAAGTTAAATGCCCTCATTACAAAAAAAGAAATGGTAATTATCTGAAGTGATGAAGGTGTTAACTAACGCAACAGTGGTAATCATTTCACAATATATAAGTATATCACAAAGAAAAAAAAAGAGAGAGAGAGAGAAAAGAAACATGAGCACTTAACAGTTTTAAAGATGTCCCTAGGGTACATGATCAGCTTCAAATTGGAAGCTGTGTGCCAAGTGACACCCCTGTCCTACCCTCGTCCCGATGGTGTTGTGGTTCCTGGAAAAGGGGTAAAAAGCCCCCAGCTGCATCCAGCGAGCACACATCTCATATTCCGCGTCATTAAAGAATCCACAAATATCTGCTCCTGTCTGAAATCAGATAAGGTAAAATAAGCCTGCTGCTGATTTCTGAACCGTCCTCTTGGGCATTAGGAGGGACCCAGAGGGGCACTTACGTAGGATAAGCCAAAGAGGCTGAACTCCATCATGCCTGCAACGAGAGCCACAGCTGTGTCAGACGCGCCCCTGCTCGCCTGCCTCCCCCAGCTCCTCCGAGCGCCCGTCAGCGGGGACGCCACCCCTCCCCACCAGCACAGGCCCGGGGGTGAGCCACGCACCGATGATAGATTTCTTGAGCTGGTCCCACGCGGCCGTGTTGTCCCCCAGCCAGTGTCCTGCCCAGCGGCCAGACGAGGGGAACGTGGAGCGGGTGATGACGATCCCTCGCTGTCCTGTCACCTCCCGCACAGCTCTGGTTGGAGGGGCACAGGAAGGTGACTGAGATCAGAACAGGGAAGAAGGGCCACAAAGCTCCTCCTCCCAGAACTTCTGCCCCTAGTGCATGGTGACAAAATGCTTCCTGTGATCGAGAGCGCGTGGAAATCTGAGCTAGGACGAGGTCCCCGCTGACCACCCCCAATCATGGCGAGAATAGTAAGTTATACCTTCAGAGTGTTTACAGTGTATTACAAAGAACTTCACCATGTTCTAAACCCACTGCATCACATAAAAACAGTAAGTCATCACCAACTCTTACTGTTTATATACTTAGTACTTAGTTTTGTGTATTTGTGAAGGAAGAAGGTGGGCTCCTTTATAAGGCCTTCCTTAGGATAATTCTTATTACTCACTGACTGAGCTCACAAAATGGGACAATGCTAATTCAGCATAACACCCGTTGGCTATCCAACAAGGATGACAGAGGAAAAAAAATCCCAAGAGAGATAAGTGACTTTTGAAATAAAGGAGCTGTCCAGTCCTCTACCTCCTCTTTTCTTCTTATAACTCATGTGTTACAGTGTCAGCTGCACTGTGTGACAATAGCCTTTGTCATCTTCTTCAGGACAGCTGGACTCTCACTGGCTGGACCAGCCCTTACTTAAATCTGTCCTGGTAATTATGGCCACAGCGCCTGGCTCCGTGCCCCCAAGTATTTGTCTAATAAGTAAGAATTGCTACCTAGTTGAAATGAAAATCTTTTTAACCCCATTGGGAGAGGGGCTGAGAGGAGACGCGGGACAGCTTCCTCAGTCCCTGGCTGTCCCTGCGGCTGTGCCAGGTGGAGGAAGTGACCACTCACTCGTATGTGGGCCTGGTCTGGGACCACCCGTAGAGGCTGTGCACGTCATAGTGCCGCACCCGGGAGCCGTCGGGCAGGATCTGCTCGCCCTCCATGCACAGGGTCTTGCTGCTCAGGCCCCTGTCCCTGGACTCCAGATCTGAGGGGAAAGAGCTAGTGATGGGAAAGCCACCTCTGGCCCTGTTTGTCCCTGCCCTCACTTCAAGGGATCGAACTCAACATCTGCATGGGCCCCTCCCCTTCCCAGAGGCACGGGAATGTGCGCTTCCAACATCAAGTCCCCTGGAGGGCCCTCCAGGAGAAGGCCAAGGCACAGGGAGGAACCCTGTGGGACAGGCTCCGACCCGGGCCTTCAACAGGGCAATCGTGTCCTGTCATTCTTAGCTTAATTCTGGGAAGAAGATATCATTATCCTTTCACAGTTTAAAAAACTGAGATTTGGAAACATCAAGTAATCTGTTGAAGGTCATACAGCTCACAGAGAGAACAATTTCTAGGGCCAAGGTATGAACGAACACAAGTATAACGCCCAAGTCCATCAGCTCTATGACAAGGGGAAACCGCCACTTTCCACCTGCTGGCGGCACAACACACTCTCGTGGAGGAATGAACATAAGCCTGAAGAAGGAAGGAAGGTAGCTGTCGAATCCTTTGGAGACATAACCATTGTTAAGTGTTTTCTGAACAAACTCAAAAAACTCACTCAGTGGGGCTGGTGATTTGCGCACCCAACTGGGTAAAGCGCTTGAAATGTGGTTGTCATGCACCTCCTCACCCCCCACCCCCCAAAACCCCAAAGCACCACTGTGGATGTGCCCTGAGCAGTGAGGACAAGCCCCTGGCTGCTGGGCTCCTGCAGCGGTCACTTCCGCGGCCGTGCCCTTGCCGGCAGAGGAGGCCCAGGGTCCTTACGTGGCATGTAGGGAGGATGGTTCAGAGCGGCGTCCTTGCAGCCTGGAGGCACCGCACCATTCACAAAGCTTGCTGGTTCGTTCATATCCTAGAAATGTCAAACACAGACGTATCGCACTCTTGAAAATAGTCACATGCTGTCAATCAGGGAGGAAGAGGGAATAAACCCTTCCCCACCCAGGAATCATCAAATCCAGCTGGAGTTGACTAGAAAGGTCAATTAAGCCCTACAGAATAACTGGCTAGAGGATTTTTTTTTTTTTTAATTCTTCTTCAGGGTGTGAAGCAAGTTTCAGTTCTAAGACATTCCTAGTAGTCACCTCAGGGTGTTACAACAGGGACTTGGGACAGGGTACAAGGTCTGGGGACTATCAGGCACATCCCCGCCCCACTGGAGGAACTGCCATCTGATACATCCACAGGCTCTCTGGGATGGTTGTCGTCCTCCTCGGTTAAAGGTCAGCGATACACACGCTTGGACGCACAAAGAGAGACACACAGCTATGCACATGTGCACAGACACAAACACTCACAATCCACATGCCATCGAACTTCAAACTCTTCTCGGGATTCCGTGGGTTGGTGTAAAGTTCTTTAATCTCCCTCTTCCACCAGGTGGCAGTTGAATTACGGAAAAAGTCTGGGAAGGCCACAAAAGCTCGGTATTGCTGTAAAAATCAATTATAATTTATTTGTCAAAAACAAGTATATTAGGCAGCAAACAGGCGTGCACTGGGAATTTAACTCATGCACAGCCTTGTACCATATGGTGACAGATCATTGGAACAGAGCCTAAGCAACGTTCTTCGTTTATTCCAAATACAATAGTGCAGGGGTGGGGGGAATTAGCACAAATGAGACGCCTCCTTAGCATTTGGAAAGCAGCCATAGACTGACTTCCTCTCCATATCAGTGTGAATAGTAGCAATCAACACGTGAACTCACTATCTCAGGCACTAGATGCCCAACCCTCAACTTCCTCCTACAATTCCACCAGCCTCCGAGGCAGAGCCTGAGCCAGGGAGGCCTACAGCCTGAAAGGGGCAGACGACTGACGCCTTGTCAACACCTGGAAAGAAGCTTCCAGTGGATCGTCTCCTGTCTCATTCCCACTAGGGAAATGAGAGGCAAGATTGCACCTGCGTGTCAAGTAAATTGGGAGGGCTTGAGGAGGGTACGACTCCCCCTTCCCCTTAATTTCCTCAAATGATAAAACCCAAGTCTTTATTTTAACCTGGAGAGCAGACTCAAGGTATAACTCCTTCATACAGTGTAAGATTTTTGAAAGCAAGGACCTGGTTTTATTATCCCTCTGAGTGATCTCCATATTCCCTGATAGTGCTTAGCTTCGAACCCAACATAAAATAAACCCTCAGTGCCCAACTGTGAATTCACGCCACTTAGTAGCAACAAATATTCACAAATTTCTATGTAGGCCGTGTTGCTTGTTATGGAGCTTTATGGTTCTTTGTATGTCTCAGGAGACGGGTTCTTCTATGTCCATCGGTGCATTTTAAGAGTTAAAAAGCTCCCTAATGCTGGCAGGAAGGGCAGGGAAGCAACAGCAGGAAGACTCGGTTGGGGGAACCCCAGCAGCTCTTATATACAATAGACAACAGGCAACCAGGAACCCACGGGTCTAGATAAAAGGCCAAAAAAAAAAGAAACACGAAGGGAAAAACAGACACAGATCAGCAGACGGGGGTTGAGCTCACAGGGGAGTCGGGGGGGAGTGAGTCACCTCCCCGAGAATCTTGTGAGAGGGAGGCAGGCCAAGGATGCCTCTTTGTTAGAAAACAGAGGTGGACCGACATGGAACCAGAAGAAGAGAATGTTTCGCCAAAAGCAGAGAGCGCCAGCTCAGGCCGGGTGGAAAACATGGGGTGGGGGAGGGCAATGGAGGATTAAAGATTAATAGCAGCCATGTCTGAGTCATTTTGTTTTAAATAAACCCATTGAAAGACAGACCTTCCTGGCAACTCTGACATCACCCCACAACCACAAAGGCCCTTTACCTCCACTTGACTGTCCCAGTCCAGAGAGCTATTTATAACGATGTTAGGAAAATCAGGCCAGACCTGTGGAGAGAGGAATGTTCAAAAGCAACGCAGTGGGTAATTTCTCTCACAGAGCACGTCCTAAGGAGCGATAAACCACGGTCCGACGGGTGCTTACGCTTTGATTTCCATGCAGGATGGATCTAGACTGAAGTGCGTCTCACGACACATAGGTTCACAGATACTGACTGAGAAAATGCTGACCTCAGAGCCCCAGCGGAAAAGGCCAAATGACAACAGGCACAAGCACACACGCAGTGACCCGCCCCAGGGCTGCGCTGGCATGGAGGTCAGACCTTTCCCCAGAGGATGTCTCCACCGTTGGGAGCCTTGATGAAGACGTCGTCCTCCACGCCCCGTGTGAACGCAGGGTAGGGCTGTGTCTCGTTCCCGGAAATGGCTGGGTCCTAAAACCAAGCACAGGTCAGTGAGAAAACCAAAGCCAGAGAATGAGGGGGACAGCAAAAAAAATTCCTCAGAAGGAAGGCACCCCCTGCCACAGTAGGCACCCCCTGAGCTGCAGAGCTTCTGTGAATCCTGGAGAATACACTTTTCTTTGTGACCCTCAACCTCTGTACTTGGGACATGGAAGGAAGCACAGCACCTATAAAGCTTCCTCCACCAAAGCCCATTCGCTCTCCCATGCAGACTCCCCGCATTCACGGTGGTGCTGACCAGGATGAGGATGACGCGCATCCCGTCGGCCTTCATGCGATTGATCAGAGCTGGGAATCCAGCGAACTTGGGGTTGAGGGTGAAGTCCAGCTGCCGCTCCATGTAGTCGATGTCCGAGTACTGCACGTCCTGGGGGCACACAAGGGCACGGAGTGGCTGCTGGTTACGACAGTCCACGTTCCGCAAGAGAACAACTCACCACTAACCCAACTGCGAGTGAATTTCAGATGCGTCTTTCTGATTTTTTCAAATCCCAGTTCTGTCACCTGTTAGGTACTAGGTTCAGGGAAATCTATGTAACGTTCTAATTTTCCTTTGTAAAACAGAAAAAACTAAATTAGCAAAATATCGGATGACAATGCCTATCTGAGCAGGTTTTCGAGGATAAACAGTGGATGAGGAAGTGGCCAATTTAAAGAGGGACTGTGGCTACTTCCCTCAGGAAGCTGCCCTGGTATTAGCGGTTCAAGTTCAAAAGAAATAATGTAATGTAAATTACCCATTACATGGATGGTGACTCTACCAAAAAAACCAAAACAAACCCATCTTGAGGGTTGATGAACACAGCTTTCTTATTAAAAATGAAATAGTGTATGCTATACTTTCTTTCTACAGAAGCAATGGTAAATAATAAAAGAATAAATAGAAGGCAATTAAATACAGGGGTTGGCAAAGCAGGTTGACAGTTGTTCATATGGACAATAATACAATAATTAATAAATAATAATACAAGAATAAACTGTGCTTCACATACTCACAACTGTCAATCTACTTTTGCCAACCCTGGATGTAATAGGTTCACAGGATCAATTCTCTGATTATTGGACCCCTTCTGTCCTCAAGGGGAAGAGTTTTCTTCCACGTGTATTTCCTCCGGAAGCCAGTTCCAAGGTCCCTACATCCAACCCAGGATTCGCTCATAACGAGGGAACACTGTGCTCTGACACTGGGAAAGTGTTGGAACTGAGATTCTATCTACACACACGTGGTTTGGCTGAATTTGGGTTCATTTTTTAAACCTTAAGCAACACTACTGTTTGGGGGATCCTTTTATTCTTACGGAACCAAGGATGTTTTCGACTGAATTTTTTGAAGTCATGTAACAGGAGCAGAGCAGGATCTAGCAGAAGGAGCCCTGGAGCTGGCCCAATGTCCCCCTCCTTTAACAAATCACTGTGTCTCTATGGAGGGGTCCATGACCCCCACTTGTGTTACTGGTCTGGGCGAGGCTCCATGTGGCACTGCACGAGGGAACACTTTGTAACTTTACAGGACCCCACAGAAGTCGGACAAACAAATCCGGACACAGAGGCGGCAGGGCTTGGCTGTGAGGTGCCAGAGCGAGCACCCCACAGACTGAGAACGTACGTAGGGGACCTGGGCAGCCACCATCTCATCATACAAGCTGGCGATCTCAGCGTCATTCTGGTATCCGTAGCGGCACAGCTGAAACCCCAAGGACCAATAAGGAACCATCACTGGCCGACCAATAACCTGGAAAATAGACAGAAAATGTTCATTCCTAAAAAGGAGACTCTGGCTTGAAGTTGTACACAAAGTAATAAGAATATTTTTCAAGTGTCCTAAGTGAGACGACCAACAAATTCAAATCCAGAGAGAAAACTGAGGAGATGCACAGCCCCTGGGTTCCTTGGAGAAAGCTTCCTGCTCAACTTGACCTCCCTCCCCAGGAACTTTGGAAAATCTGACTCTACTCTGACACCTAGCAGCAGTGTAGCTTACTGGACAAGAGCACAGAATCCAGAGGCCGAATGCTCGAGGTCCAACAGCTGCTAGTGTGTGACCCTGGGCAGAAGTTAAGTAACTTCTTACGCCTCAGTTTCTTCACTTGTAAAGTGAGAATAACAAGAGCATTTGCTTCATAGTGTTTTTGTGAGGACTGACTGAGTTAATATATGTATGCAAAGTACTCTGGCACGAAGCATTGTATCAGTGACACACAGTCAATTTTATATGTGTTTGTTGCTGCTGCCAAAACAACTGTCATGACCATTATGACCACCATCAGCACCACCCGCTCCTCCACCACCACCACCTCCACCACCTCCTCCACCACCACCACCACCACCAAAAACCACCACCACATCACCACCACCAAGAACAACCGCTATACTACCATCACCATCACCACCACCAACAACCACCACACATCGCCACCATCACCGCCACCTCCATCACCACCACCGTTGCCACCTCCACAGCCACCACCAGCACCATTAACTCTGCTTCTCTGCAATGCTCTGAGAGGTTATGAATTTAATGATTATCAGGGTATATATAGTTCCTTATTTTATAATCTACCTGTCTCCCAGGAAGACCAGGGATTCAGTTATTATCTGAGAACCATACTAATTAATGTGGGTTTGGGAACACAAAATATACAGTGTCAGTACTCGGCAACCAGTTGAATTCCCTCTTACCTCAGTGTACTGCTGAGTGACAAGCTCGGGAGTCGGCCCCAGGAACACATAGAAGTCCAGAACCCCTCCTGTGGTGCGGTATGTCAGGGCGGGCAGGGGCTGGAATGTCACATCTGAAAATGTAGGAAAACACCGATCGATCTGCAAACGTTTGACGTGAGGAATTACCCCTGAAATGCAGACCTTCTTCCTCTTCTTATGCCTCCGTATTGCGAGAAAGTGTTCCATCCTCTACCCACACAGAGCTGAAGAGACTAAATGAACATCAACAGGGTCCCACCTCTGGATTTTTTTCCCTTTGGTGTTCTTTAATATCTTATTATAGGTTTTGTCATTGTGCTCTTTTAAATTAATATGCCCTTCATTTTAGAACAGTTTATGGAGTACATAAGTTACAACAATGGTACCAAGTATCCCCCAATGACACTATCTTACATAACCATTGCACGTTGTCAAAACCAGGAAACTGACAGAGATGTAATGCTGTTCACTCAGGTGTAGGCCTTACTCTGATTTCACCATTTTTCACATGCATGCTTTCCCCTCCACCTCCTGATTTTCCACCCTCTTTCCAGTGTCTTGTACAAATGTTCTTCACACCCTCACCCCCCACAGACAGCGCTCTGACCCACAGCTTCCTCACCAATTCAGTTGATATAGATAGCTCCCACTGGCTGACCCCCAGGATATTTGGGCCTTGCTTGGTTTTGCTATCCTTTCTTACATGATTTTTTTTCTTATCCTCATCTGAGGACTTTTTTTTTTCATTGCTTTCAGAGAGAGAGACAGAAACATCAACAGGTTGCCTCTCCCATGTGCCCTAACCAGCGATCAAACCTGCAACTTAGGTATGTGCCCTGACCAGGGATTGAACCCAGGACCCTTCAGTCTACAGAACAATACTCTAATCAGCGGACCCACACCAGCCAGGGCCCTTTTTACATGATTTTTTGCCAAATAAGAATTTAGTTAATTCTTATTAACGCATGTTGCTGAACTGAAACAGAAAGGTTGAATAGAATGACTTAAGTAAAAAATACTGCTCATATAATAATGATTTTGACCTCAGGGTGCAACTAGGTCAAACACATTCTAAAGTTTCTCAAGAATGACTGGTCCACAAAACAAGGGGAGGTGCTGGCATCATCTCACCCATGGCGTTGCTGTTGAGCAGAAGCACCCCGTGGGCGTTGCCGTCCTCCTCCAGCCCCAGGTAGTAGGGGTGGACGCTGTAGGAGTTCTTCTTGTACTGGGAGAGTCAGGACAAGAAGTGGTAAGAGATTAAGTCATGGTGGCTGTAAAAGAAACTTAAGCAAAAATCAACTGGTTAGATGTGTCTAATCTTCTCTGTGAAATAAATTAAATGCATAAGAAACAAGGAGCCTGAGAACTGGCCCACTTGTCTAAAAGCAGAACGTGACCGCCCATGTCGGGTCTGGGAAGATGAGCCACGAAGGACACACAGTGTGGGTGAAGAGAGGCGGAGACGCAGCTCCCAAACTTCGGCCCTTACCCCTGGGGGCTGGTCTCGGGAGAACATCCCCCACGTGTGCCAGTTCAAGTCTCTCCGATAGGCTGTGTGCTCGTTTTCTCCAAAGCCATAGATATATTGGGAAGGAAGGCGAGTGGAGATGCGGATGAACATGTCATTGAAGGTGAAGCCGAGGAGCTGAGAGTCCCAACTGCAACACAAAAGGGTATATATTTGGGAAAGAAATGGGCTGTTCTATTGGCTTCAAACAGCTGATTTTTTCAAGGACAAGGAAATTCTTGATTCCTTCCTCCTCCACCCAGAACCCAGCTAACCCCCCAAACCAAACATAAAGTCCATTTGATTAAAATAATCTTGCCCTGGCTGGTGTGGCTCAGTGGACTGAGTACCGGCCTGTGAACCAAAGGGTCACCAGTTCAATTCCCGGTCAGGGCACATGCCTGGGGTGCAGCCCAGGTCCCCAGTTGTCGGGGAGCACGCAAGAGGCAACCCACACAATGATGTTTCTCTCCCTCTCTTTCTCCTCCTTTCCCCTCTCTCTAAAAAGAAATCAATAAAATCTTTAAAAAATAAAAATTAATCTTAGATGCCTTTACTAAAAGCCCCGGACACAGCTTCATTCTTTACCTTCCTCTGTCACCGCCCTCTCAGTCCCCCTCCAGAAAGCCCAGTCTCATCACATGCTCCATCTGATTGCCTCCGCTCCGTAACGACCCCAGCTTCTACTCTTGTCCTCCTGTAGCACATCTGTTATGTAGCGTCCAGGGGGGATTTTTTCCCAAGTACCTCACAGCATGTCACTCCCCTTTTACAACTCTTCAGTGATTTCCGTTACAACATCTTATAAAGTCTTCAAGGCCACACCTGACCTGAAACCCTCCAAAACCCCAGCTTCATCTTCCATCACTTACCTCCCTGTTTACTACACTGCTCCAACCATACTGGCCGCTTCCCCCCATAATATGCCAACTTGTTCCTGTTTCATGGGCTGTGCACTCTCTAGCCCGTCTGGTTAAAGTGTTCTCCCCCACCCCTCAGATTTCCACATAGGGGCCTCTTCCTGACCCAGGTCCTAGTTTCAGTATCACCTCGTCAGACAGGCCTACTCTGACCACAGCATCCAAAGCAGTAACCTCCCATAACTGTCCTTATACATATTTTAACTTGAATTACCTTTGTTATTTACTTATTATTTTTTGTCATGAAAAGCGCAACCTTGTCATCTATAACCCCATAATACAGACAAGGCACTTCCGTAAACATTTGTTGACTGAAGCCCTAAGTACATGCAACTGCCTCTAATTATTCCCAGGGAACAAAAACTTTCTCATAAGAACAGACCCAAAGGAAATAACTTATGCATGAATCTGGAAATGGATATTGTGGTGCTTTGAGCCAGAATATGTCCGAGGACAATGTGCTGAGCAATTCCAAATCAGTCTAGAAGCCATTTACATTACGGTGCCTGTACTCTTCCGGCGAATTTCAATCCCAAATGGATTCTTCTTTATGAGGACTTCATAGAGTCGACTCTCAGGGGTGCTGGATGGAGCTGTGGGTATATTGAGAGGGACCGGAACTTCATAGCGTTTATTGTTGGGATCATAAATCTAGGGATGGAGGAAATTGATTTTAGGTGAGCAGAGTATTCTTAAAGTGTTACGTTCTTAGCAGAACCCTGATGACTTAGACAAAGAGTCTGAATGCTCTGTTTCTTGGTCTTCTTTAAACTCATGATACTTTGGATTTAAATACCATTTAAAGAGCAATGTCAGATTTAACTTTTGATTTGAGTCTGCCCTATCTCATTTTTAAAGCCTGTATCACAGTAACACATCCACTTTGACATTGGTGCTATCCTAGAAAATCAGTCTAGAATCAGTGTGGTATTTATGAATATATTACTTTATGTGTAGGTGTATGAGTCTATTTGAATACCTGCAAACTCTTCAGAACTGAAAAAAAACCTACCCCCCAAAACCATAAACTCTACTTGATTAAAAATATCAGATGTCCTGCTAAAAATGGCATCTAAGTTGAGCCACTAGGTATCTACTATATTCCTGCTTAAACTATACTAGCAACTAGGGACAACCGAACTGCCTCAGACACATTATCGTTTCTATGAAGTTCACATGCCAATGGGAGGTGGAAGAGAGGCACCCACAATACTTGAGTGGGACAGGCTACATACAGGCTATGTAGCAGTGTTGTGACATTGTGGGGAAGAAAATACTTAATGCTGTTTCAGGGAGACTGAGATGGTTTCATGGGGGAAACACGGGCGGAGCTGTGAAAGCTTTGTAGCTGTTCACTGAGCACACAAAGGAGAACAAGTCATCCCCAGTAGAGAACTGAATGCAAAGGCACCAAGCATTAAGGCAGAGGCAGAAAGAGGCAAATATTTTGGAGAGAGCTACTGTGTGATCAGGAGGTAGAGCTAGAGAGAGTTGAAGCTGGAAACCTAAGGTCATTTATTTCAAACCCAGTAAGTGCCTATCACATGCCACCAGCGCTATGGTGAAGACAGAAACATAAACGAGCTTCATCCTTACATTAGATGTATAAGAACTTGTAGTCCAGGCTGATGTTAGATAATGACAAACCTTTCAGGCAATGCCTGATGTCTTTCATTTGCTCTCTCAATGAACAGCTGAGTACTAACTCTCTACCAGGCTCTGTGTTAGGTTTCAGAAATGGAAAGATAAAAGGACAAATTCCCGTCTTTCAAAGACTCACAATTTAATAGAGAAACAGACACAAAGCAGCCCATCACTAGGTCCTTACATGTAATAAATCACAGATAAAAGCGATCATTACATTGTGGCTGTTTCGCAGATATCCCAAACTTGAGGCCCAAAACAGAACGCATGGTCCTATTTCGCCCAAGCTCAAACTCTTCCAGTGTTCCCACTCCAGCTGTTATCACCATCGTCCATACAGAGATGCAGGCTAGAAACATGGCAGTCATCTCTTATGCTTCCCTCTCATTGTCACCTACTTACAATCATCACCGGATCCGGTGGTGGTATCTCAAAGATGTCCACTCTTCCCCATCTCCTTCCTGTACCTTGTCTGGGCTCGAGCCCTCGTCTGGATTCCCTAACGGGTAACCTCCTAATTTGTCTCTCCTCTTCACTCTTATCCTGATTTTCCTTACAGTAGACACTTTTCAACGTGCCAGTTAGAGCAGGTCTCCCAATTCCATCACCAGGTTCTCATTGCTCATAGGATGATGATCTAGTATGTTGCAGCAGGGCTAACTTAGAAGAGCAACCTTATTTTAGGGTTTTGGCACCTTGACTAGCGAAAGGGGATGGAACTGAAGAGCACCTAGCCAGTACTGAATACACAGACTATAAACACACACCTTAAACTGCAGCATTTCATCCTTGTGGTAGGTCACACTCAGACGGAGGGAGTTCACGGGGGTTGACGGCAAAGCGTTGGCGTAAAGAGAAGACTTTAAGGAGATGACAGCTGTGGCTCCGTGTGAGTCATACTGAACATCACCGACAGAGTAGAGCTCATTGGTGAAATAGCAAAAAGGGACTCCAGGAGAAGTGGACGCCTGAGAAGGAAAGCCAAAGTCAGCTCAGCTTGGGGTCCCAGGCTTATCGGATATAAAGGGGCTGGAAAAGGCAATTAACAGAGAGACAAAACCAGACCATCACACCTCCCGATAACCTCTTTGGTTGAGATACAAGTTTAAATTCTTTGTCTCTGGTCAAAATATTTGCAAATTAAAAAAAAAAAAATCTCACTCCTGTCCCTAGCTATCCTTTGTATCCAGGTGAAAACTCAGGTTCCTTTGGAAGTCCTTTCTTCCTGTGGATTCTAAGTGATATCACAGGTACTGGTTCTATGCCTGTGAAATCGCAGGCTAAGAGTAGAGCCTGTGAACGTGGGGTAACACCATCAGCGCGGTTACCTCCCAGGCACAGCCACGGGCAACACAGTTTTCTTGGGAAGCACCATTCTCATCAGGATAACAGTCTATTTTTTCTGCCTCCTGGATCTTCAGGTCCCATTCCACAGTGTATGCTTCTCCCAGGGCAAGATCCAGGCCTGTGATAAGGGCAACCTATAGGAACAAGGAGGCGACAAGGAAATGGACCCTCAGGACAGAGGCTTTGAGAGACCTGAAACTTCTCTTCAGAGAGGAATAGAAATCAGACCAGACTCCACAATCCAAGCAACATACATGGAGGGTGGGGTGGGGACCCTCCCACAGCAACAGGGCAAATGTCATAGCTCTACGTGAATCTTGAATATAACATTTTAAAAAAGAACTTGGCTGAATAAAATGTTCTGTAATCGCCCCTTGCTTTCCTTCCCCGGCTCCTACCCCTCTCCCTTCTGTCGTCAGGAAGGCTCTCTTGCGCCTCCCCTCGCAGCACGGCACACGCAAGCTCAGGCGTCATCCCGAGTCGAGTCTATCTCCCTGCCCTCCGCTCCCCAAACCGGCGTCCCCCACTGTCTGGACAGATGGCAAGAACAAAGCAAAAAGAATACTGTGGCCAGGGTTCCCCTCTCAATTTTTCTGTGGAAACTTAGACAAATTATCTCAATTCTTTGGGTCCTAGCTTCTTGGATGGAAAAATTGGTGAGTTGGCAAAATAATTTCATTTCCTTCTATTTCTAACATCCCAGCCTCTTCATCTCTCCAAGCCCAAAGGCTTAAAACTTGAAAACATCTTTATATTCCACTCACTGATTCGAATGTTTATTTTTTTTATGTATTTTTCATGTTTGTCTCTTTTTTAATTAGCAATTTCCTTAGAAAAATACACATTGGTCTAGAGTTATAAAATTGCATCTTAAGGATTATCAGCCTTCTTCCAGCCTCTTCCTAGTCTAAATCCATCTTGCACCTCTCTGCACTATGCACCCCACCCTGCTCCCCAATAACACTCTCACAACAGCCTCGATTTGAGAATATGAGACCCTTTGAAAATTAGATCAGATCCCTCTCATTTTGGTGCTAAGATCTTGCAAAATCTGACCATAAGTTATGTGTTTGAATTGATCTGCTTCCAAAGGTGAATTCTACTTTACAGTAGAATTATTCTGGCTTTACAATATTCACAGACTAATCTAGGCTAAGCTCTTACTAATATAAGGCTATCCTTAGGTTGGCTCATTCTGACTGCTCAGCTTTGAATGCCCTAACCAGGCAAATGCCCTGTCTAGGAAAATAGTGCCCACCTGTGGAATACACTGTTAGTTGCCTGCCCTACATCTAAGTTCCCTTCTCACTCACTGTTTCAGTTTAGAATACGAAAGTTCCCACTTGAGAATTAAAATTTTAATTCCTGTACCGCAGCTGGACATTAACAGGTAAGTGTAAGTCCCCTGGAATCCCTCAAGTGTTTCTTTCTTAATTTAAGGGCTGCGTGCTTCCTTCCTGCACCCCTTTCCCCTCCCCTACCCCCCCCACCCCCGTACTATAACGAGGCCGCAGTGCCTGGAGTCGCGCAGGAGGCACTCCCAAACACAGAGGCAGAAAAAAGACCTCAGCCCTGAGAGCCTTGAGCTACTGAACCAATGCTAGCAGCTGATCGCTTTCTAACCTCATAGTGCGTAAGAGAAAATAAAAAATCCCAATTTGTTTAAAACACCATTTGGCTTTGAAAACAAATGAGTTTCCTGTCATTTGCAGCCAAATGACTCTCTACCTGATGCATCGTCTTGCAAAGTCTAGCTCCAGCCCTGCATTCTCCAAGGGCTTCGCTCAACTACTCCATTAAGCTATGAACCTTAAATTGGCATAATGTAAGTTAAAACTTCCTATATGTTGATTTGGGCTGCCTGTCCCCTTCCCAATAGTTTCACATGTATAAATGGTGTCTCCCCATCACCCAAACTGAAACAGAGTTCCTTTGGTCTTATGTTAATCAATTTATTTAACAAACATTTATTGAGTTTGTTTTCATATATGCGTCTATCAAATGGCTTGTACTTTGCTGTACTCATAAATAAAAATATAATAATTTACTTCTAACTTTATAACGTATGCATCCTCGATGGATGTTGTCAGGACAAAATGTCCAATGTTATTGGCATATCATTACAGTAGAAAACAATTTACTCCTTTTCTCCAAATTTGGAAGGTTCCTCAGAAACCGTGCTGACCCCGCAGCTGCCCGTCCCAGACCACACCTGTGGGAAGGCGTGGCTGGGGAGAGGATCCCTCGTAATGCTGATGTATCAGAGGAACGCATTACAGCCTCTTCAGGAGCATCAGGTCTTATCACAACTGATGAAAAATTATTTTATTGTTATCATCTAACCAAACAAGTAGCCATTAATTAGCTATACTTGTCAAAATTCTTTGACTTAAAAAAGTTCCTAAAATGTATATGTTGGAGAGAGAATCTATATATCTCAATATAGTAAAATAAGAAAAAACCACCTCACCTCAAAATTTTCATTAACGGGAACCCCACATCCTATCTTTACCTTTCTAGCACCAGCCAGCAGCTTTCAGATCTACTTTTCCTTTCCTCCTGCTTCTAACTTCTCTCTTCCTCTGTCCCAGCCAGAGAGACCAGAAGACCAAGGGACCAACAGGGGAAGAAGGGTGAAAAGGCCATTTTACCTTACCCCAGTCTCTCAGCAGCCCCCTCATTCTCTCTGGATCTGGCCCACTTCTCATTTTTTTCCCCTCTCCTAACTCTCTGACTTCCTGCCCCAGGCCTCAGAGTATGCTCTGGTCCTTCAGCACTCACGCAACCTTGGTAAGAAGGGACACCATGACCTATGAAGAATTCTTGATAAATTATCTCAACCAAATGGATTTTTACCTGTAGGTTAGAATCGTAAGTGACATTAGGAGAAACCTGACTTGGGACACCATTGTGCTTCACTCTAATGTTGGTAGGTTCCTGGGTCCCAAGGATTTTAATCTCTTTAAATGCTAAATTATTGGGGTCTTTGTAGGTTGTCTGCAAAATCTTCACATCCAAGTGGTTCTGCAAAAACAATTAAGCACAAAGGTCTAATTATAAAGCACAGATTCTCAAATCATTCAAACATTCCACCCTAGACCACATACCTAAAACTACTTTCAATGCTTATTAACTATCTCTACTAATGTGTGTGTAATCAGGACAAACTTATTTTGATACTCCCCAAGCGGAGAGAGAGAGAGAGAGACAGATTGAGAGTGAAAAAGAGAGAGATTTTTAAAAACTGCATGTAAAAAACTGACTGCTTTGACTGTCCGTTTCATTACCTCCTTTGTACTAACATGGATGATTCAATTATTGGAAGAATGTGCTCATCTAAATGCATATGAAGATAGATATGTAATCACACACGTACACAAACCCACATGAGCCTCATGGTCGGACAAAAACCCACACCTAAGATTCACAAAAATATTCCACTCACTTGGGTGACGGAAAACTCACATAAGAGGTAAACTTTATTGGCCACAGTATCTGAAAATGAGAGAAAGACCAGTCAGACCCGGGTCTGCCCACCACAGAGGGACAGATTTTACCCTGGCTGTCACTGAAGCTACATCCCGACACTGGCAAGATCATAGACAGTCTCCCAGGCCATGCCGCTGTTTTCCCTTGTCCTTTCTCCCTTAATCTTTAAAAGGTTCATTTCCAAGGACTTCCAAGGCATATACCTCAAGTGAGTCCATTTCCTAAGCTCGAGCCACAAGAGTTGTTAGTATACTGCAGACAGAAAAATGTGCAAAAAAGCAAGAGGTAGATACTTAGCTCTCTTCTTAGGACCTCATTGGAGATGATCTTGATATCATCGACATTGGTTCATTAGTATTTGGGGGAAGATGTCTATATGGAATGGCAGGGACGCTCTTGAAAACCTCTCCTTCAAGTGCTCAGTGGCAATAAAATGAGAACCTACAAATACTGTTGGCCAATGGGAGAATTCTAAGAGGTAGAAGTATGTTTTTCTTCCATCAGGGCTCCATCTACCACTACCCATGAACAGTGCTGCTAAAAACAAAGCTCTGCTCTCCAGCGACGAATGCTACTGTGCCTGATGAGACCCTCCCGCCACCCATGACCAGCAGGAGTAACTCAAAGACGCGGCTTCAGAAAAGGCGACCTTGCCAGGACAGTGCTCACCTTTCGTCTCCCCATCATCCCAGAAGAGTTCGCCTTTAGCTTCTTTGTTGTCGTCTAGGGCGATGATGAGACCAAGAGGGTTCCGTCGACTGCGGGAGAAAAGATTTATGTGAGAGACAAAGACTTACAAGGCAAAGAACTGGGTCCCGTGGCCTTGGAGTGATTCTCTCCGATTTCAAATGGGAAAGGATCCCAGCAGCAGATGGCTCTGCTTTTCTTCAGGCACAAAGGCAAAATCAACAGGTGCATCTTTCTCTAGAATCAGTAGTGTCACGGGAGATAGAAACACCCTCAAACATTGGAAATAAACACCTGTGTAGGAGGCAAGTATTTAAGCACCAGAATCACTGTGGTAGCTACAATACTGCTGCTGCTGCAACCCTAATCTAGAATACAGACTATGATATGAGAAATGCTAGACAATAATTGGTTCAGCCTAACCATTTTAGAGATGATATATGTACAGAAGAAGTATAAACTCTGGTTGGGGGTTATTATTTTTTCACTGCCAAAGAACGATTTTGACTCAGAAAGCAATAAAAATACAATAAGGTCTATCTCTATAACAGTACCTTTTCTAATCTTATTATGTATTACTAGTTTGTTTTGAGAGAAAAATAAAATATTCTAATTCTCTGCTTTCTAATCACAAGTAGAAAACACAAACACTACTCAAAAAGCCAGTGAAATAGAGGGACATAGAGAAAGAGGGCAAAGGAAGAGGATCTCAGCTGGAACCTTCCTGTGTCGGCCCAGCTCTGGTCTCCCCCCAGTTTCCTGCTCCTGCTGCAGCGCTCACGGACCTCACGGTATCTGCTGGATCCCGTCGCTGTTCAGCCTTCCACTCTGCCCTATGCAAGTCGGTTCCAATACCAACCAAATCACCTGCTTTCCTCTAATATCTACGCATGTGTTGAATAGTTTGTTGTTTTTTTTTTAAATTTGCTAGGAAGTCTAAAAGATCCAAAGACGAACAGATCACACTCCATGGATGGTCTTAAATATTGTAAGAAAGATTAAATATATTCACCAAACAATCAAAGCAAAAAAGCAAAGAGTGACAGAAAAGTTCAAATATTTATGGGAGTCCAGAAGGAACTTCTAGAACCATGGTGGACTAGATGTTCTGGAGGCCCCACCCACTCAAACACTACTTGGTCATAGATAAAATAACAACACGTGATCCCTGGGGGCAGCTAATGTGATCCCAAGCTGACAGCAGTCCTGGCTTGCAACTGAAGAGAAGGCAAATCATCTCTGGAAGAATGAGACCCACATTTGGATCCTTAAGATCACTACATCTTAAAAACAAAAACTGCTAAACACACAAAAGGGTAAGCTAGCAAGAAAGAAAGTTGGCAAAAACAAATGACTTAACTTAGACCCCACCAGGGACTTAACATAATAGAATTTTCAGGTACAAAGTACAAAATAACTATGATTGACATACATAACAATATTAAGGAGGAAAGAAAAAAAAAATCAGCTAAACAGCAAAAAGAAATGCGAAATGGAATAGGACCAGGAAGCCAGAAGTAGTAGCACTCCCTCTGCTGGAAGAGTTGGGAAGGGTTTCCTGCCGATGAAAGCTGAGTTTACCTTGAGGATTAGTAAGAACGCACCAGACAGAGAATGTTGGATCTTGAGAATATCATGCTAAGTAAAATATATATGACAGAAAAAGTCAAGTGTGATTTCACGCATATGTGAACTATAAAACTGAAAACAACAAATAAACAAACAAGACAGACAAAAACTCATAGGCACAGACAACAGTATGATGGTTACCAGAGGGGAAGGGCAATGGGAGGGGTTGTGGATGGTAAAGGAGGTCGAGTGTATGGTGATGAAAGGCGCGTTGACTGGTTGGTGGGCACACAGTACAATACACAGATCATGTATCATAGACATGTACACTTGAAACTTATATAATTTTATTAACCAGTGTCACCTCAATAAATTTAATATTTTAAAAAAGAAAATACAAGGCAAAGGATGTTGGAAAAGGTAATAAGTGCTGCAGCCCAAACACAATAAAAGAGAAGGGTGTATTTGGAGAATAGCAAGATTTTCAATATGGTGGCCTATAGGGGTACGTTAAGGTGTGACCAGAGACACTATTATTAAGTAACTTGGAACCGGATTGTGACTGGCCTTGAATGTCCTGCTAATGAAAGAGTTCGCTCTAAGCAAGGGACCAACAAGTTGAGATCTTCATTTTAGAAAGATAATTTTGGTATCAGTGTGCAAAACAGCATGAAGCTGAACACTTAGAGAAAAAGAAACCAGCTGGTATGAGATGTAGAAGTATTTTCCATCAGTGTCATAAAAAGTCTAAATTTGAAAAATTAAGGTAATAAGGAAGGTTCCAAAGAAAAGACAGTTTTCTAACCTCTGAAGAATTTCCAGTGTATTAAAAACAAATAAGCTAATACTTGTAGAGACACAGATATAAATGTCTGCCTCATCGGTACAGATGGAATTTTAGAATCAGAGAATCATAAAAGAGATACCAGTCAAATGAGGGTATCTGAAGTGCATAAGAAGTTTTTAGCCCCACTTTTCACCACAAGAAATAAATGGCTCAGATGAGAAAGGAAAGGGAAATAGAGATGACAGGGAATGTAAAGGGGCCCTCCCCCCGCCCCCCGCCCCTGCACAGTCCCTGGAAATGACAGTTGAGTGAGTCTGGCCAGGGCAGGGAAGGTGATCAACAGACTCAATTTGCCTAGAATCGAGAGATTTCCCAAGTCATGAGACATTCAGTAACCAATTTAAGTTGGTCCTGGGAAAACCGGAGATGTGGACCACCCTACAGTTAGTGTGTTTTAAGGACAAATTCAGGGGGTCAGGAAAAGCAGGGTTTCAAAGTCCATCTGGATGCAGCTCTAAATCTCAGCTTCCTCAGAAGAGGCCCAGGGGTGGAGGTTAATGACCGATCACATGTACACACACACACACACACACACACACACACACCAGGGCGTCTTTCCCCCGCCCTCCACGGGATGCGGCAGCACCCTCTGTGTGCAGAGCAGAAGGGGGCAGAAAGGACCAGCCCTGTCAGCCTCCCCGTAAGGGAAACTCCCAGCCACGCTGTACCTGGCCACAGTGGTTGTGGCTGGCTGTTGGGTGGGGAAGATGTAGCCTCCTCTAAGGTGAAGTCCAATTTTGTCTCCAGGAAGTTCCATTTCCACTTTCTGCTTCCTCCATCTCACTCGGGCGCCCTGGAGCGTGAAGACAAATCGAACACGTTGGCATGGCAAGGACATTCACCTTCACCTCCCGTCCATCCACGTGCTGAGTTACCTACGGCCCCCTGCTCTGCCACCCTGCTGAATCACAGTCTAGTCACACACTCCAACACGAGAAGGGCGAAAAATCAGGAACAACAGGTTCCATCACCGGTTCATCAGTTGGGTTTGGGGGAACATGTGTGCCATGCTGAGGCCATTGGACGTATGTTATATGAACCGATAGTTCCAACTCATGACCAAGCTCACGTTGTCCATTGGCCCCTCCAGTATTGGCCCATGAGACATTCTAGTTGAGCCTTTATCTTATTGATGAACAAAGCCCATGAGAGTATGTTCGTCGGGTTTCATCATGACTGATGTTAAATGACTTAGGCTCCCTCCATCGACTCAGCTGAAGTTACAGAAAACACTACAGAAACACTCAGTTCGTGGGTAGATGCTTCTCTCCTGTCTGCAAGGTTGCAGCCGTGGCCTTGAAGAGGTTAAGAACAGTCAGTGCTACTTACAGTCTCATAATCATACCAGACGGCATCAGGCATATAGGCCACCACTTTCTCTGCTCCCTGAAATTAAAACAAAATCGTGTTCCCCATGGTCCAGCCACTGAAAGGGATAAAGGCATTCCTGGCATTCTTCACCACGTACTGAGAGGACATAAACGAACTTCCTGGGCCTTGTTATTAAATCATGTCTTTCTCCCAATAGGAATAATAGAGGCAATAACTCAGCAACAACAACAACAACAACAAAAAAAAAAAAAAAAAAAACCCTAAATGGAACCACATTAGGAATAATCATATTATTGAAACACGTTGTGGTAAAAATTCCAGCTTTACATTGCTTATCTCTTTCATACTTCACAACAGGGCCCAGCAATAGGGATTTTTGTTATATTACCTTCCGGTTGAGGAGTTAGTATGGCAACTTGTACCAGATCACATTAGTACTAATTAGTAGCTCGGGCCACAGTCACACCCTGATTGGCCTGACCTTAGGGTGATGCTGGGTCCCTGCTCTATTCTGCCTCTACATCACGGAGCAAGTAATCATCTGCTCTGAGAATCTGACGACGCATGGGGTCATTCCTAAACCCGGAGTCGCCAGTGCATGCTTCTACACTGGTTGGGAACTTGGTCAAGAAAAAAACCTTCTAGAGAAAAAAAAAAAAACATGTAAGTATCAGATATCCAACTTCCCCAACCCCCAGCATGCTGTTTTCAAGGCTGACTCAGCCACAAACATCAGACACGGGTTTGGAATAAAAAGAAGAGAAATGTAACAAGAAGAGGGGAATGGGGTCAGAAGCAGAGGCCACCGGTGTGTCTCTCTGGGGTCACTTGCCTCGTCCAGAACTGGAGTGATGAGGAGGCCAGGCCCCCACAGAAACTGCTGGTGCACATCCCAAGTGCTGTTGTCTCCATAGAACCTGGAGTTTGGAGAGACACCCTCTCAGGTTTGGGCCAACACTTCCTGGAAGCTCTGGGGCAAACCCCCCACGTTATTCTATGACACCTGTTCAACTCCCACCTCCCCGCTCCTGTGGAGAGGCCCGCCCGCCCCGCCCCAGGCACCCTTCTGGTCTTCCCCCAGGGTGGACAGAAGTTCCTCTTCCAGTCTCTATGCTAGACAGGTTCAAGGCTGACTTCTATCTGCCATATCTCCCTTTTTAAAATGTAAAGTGGCTAATACAATTTAAAAGTTCAGCTGACTGTCAAGAAGGAACTGAATCTGATCACCAAAAATAGCAGATAATTTACATTTTACTCTTTTAGGTTATCTTCCTTTTAACAGGGAATTCCAGGAGACGGCAAAAAGTTACCCATAACGGTGAATATATAATAGAGCAGGTATGTGCCCGAGGGTTGAAAATGTCAGACACACAAAGACATGACTGTATTTTGACAAGGAAAGCCTCTGAAGCCCCAGAGCCTGAACACAGCGCCTTACAAAAGAGACCCAGTTCAAGCTATCAAATCCTTTAAATGAAAATTAAAGAAACTAAGGATAAAAGAACTAAAATGACTTGTCTCAGATAAAGAGTTAGTTGTTAAAAGAACAAAGGAAAGACCCCAGTTCCATGACTTTCGGTCTAGTTTAGAGAACAGACTGTGATACTTAAAATACCCCTAGAATAATACCTGGACGACAAGTGCCTTGCAAATACCAAATGGGTTTGAATCGCTTCAATTTTCACTCTTCTATGTGATGATACAGTCAGAGTCCCCCAGCTGCACTAATGGAAGTCCTCCGGGTTAGGGGAACTTACTCATGCAGAAGGGGCCTGGCCACCGTGTCCCCCCGGCTGTGCGCGCGATAGAAGAGGGTGTAGAGGTAGGGCAGTAGGGTATAGCGGATGCTGAGGTAGTGCCTGGAGGAGTTCAGCAGCAGAGAGTCAGCGCCGAAGGAAGCAGGATCCTGGGCCTGGGAGGGAAGCAGAGGCTGCAGCTGAGATCTGGCGATGAGCAGCAGAAGGGCCTGGAGAATTCCAGGCCCCATTCCTCACAACCGAGAGTCTCCGTCCTGGAAGACCAGGGGCCTAGGCTGCAAACCTGGCCTCTGACTAGTACAGTTGAGCAAAGGGAGATCATTCCGCCAGGGAAGCGGCCATCCTGAGCCTTGCACCTCAGCCCCTTCGCGCTCTCTTTATGGGCGCCTCTCAGAGGACTTAGGGGTGCCCCATAAATCACTCTGAAGCATTTCATCATTTGATTCTCATTGCAAAATGCGCAATGTGGGTAAAGTGTACAGCAGTTGGATGAACCCCGCCCCCCCCCAAGACTTGCCAGTTCCTTGACTGCAACAGCAGAAACAGCAGCAGCTGTGGCACAGGGCATTTGGAGGGTGTGTCTGAGGTCGTGGCTGCTTGCCAACAGCGGCACAAAGTAGCCTGAGTGAAGCACCCGGGAGCAGGACGGCTCAACATACCCCCCAGAGGCCAACAGGTCCGGCGTAGGCCAAGTTTATTTTGATTCTGTCTCCTGGGGGACTTACCTTGAAGCCTTGGCCGTTGTGATTCCTGGAAAATGGGTAGAATGCTCCCAGCTGCACCCACCGCCTGCAGAGCTCCTCGGGGGCGTCCAGCGCAAAGCCACATATGTCAGCACCCACCTGGAAGGACACACGGACAGCTCAGGAGCACGGCCCCCAAGTTTCCTACCGAGCTCCCAGGTGCGCTCGTGAACTTCTGACTGAGAAGGCTAATGCGGTGTGATCGAACTAGGGTACAACCTGTGCCCACCCTTGACTGCCAGGGGCGGGGCTCGGAGTAACTCCTGTGCCTCAGCTTCCTCACTTGGTTTAAGTAGGCACTAATTAGCTGCAGAGGGTTTTACTAAATGAAATAATATAAGTAAAATACTTGACACGCAATAGCTTTTTGATGGATATTTACCAGAAGTAGCGCTACTATTATTATTCTGACCACACCGCTATCAGAATTAACTTCCCCGAGCCTAAATCTGATGCTGTCACTCGCCCATTCAAAAACGTCCAGGGCCTCCTCGCAGCTGATCCTATTCGCTCCTCAAAACCTGGCCCCAGCCGCCCTTTCGGCATCACTTCCCATCCCAGTTCCACACACCGACCCTCACAGACCCACCAGCGTCTCCCCTGTACTGCTTTTGCTCATATTTATTTCTCAATATTAAAATGGCCTCCCCCGACAAGTCAGGTAAAATATACCCACTTTTCAAGGTTCAGCTCAAGTGCTATTGTTCCTATGGAGGTCCCGTCGGCTCCCTCCCCGGACCCGCTTTGTTCCTTGTGATCTTAGCAGAGCTAGTAAGTCCCTTTCTCAGGATCTTCCCTACCAGTCCGCACTGTAGCTCCTGGCACCCTTACACAGTCTGTCACCGTTGTTTGTTTATATACGCGGCTCCTCTTACTAATTCGTAAACTCTTTGGGGAAAGAGAAGGTGTTTCTGTTACGATATTTATGGTTTTCTCCTCCCTCACCATGCATACCTAATTCAGTACACATAGTAGGAGCTCAATAAATACATATGTTGAATTTAACTAAAAGATGAGAAAGCCACTGTTAGGGTGCTGGTAATGTTATGTTTCCTCATCTGGGTGCTCTGAATACATGGATGTATTCCGCTTGTGAGATTCACCAACTGTATACGTAAGGATATGTACACTTTTTTGCATGTACGTTATATTTTAATAGAGAGAAATATTCCAATGATATCACTTCAGGGTTGAACTTCCTATCTTTTTAAGACAACACAAAAAAGAATGTCATGGTATCAGCGCCACACTGATGTAGGTGAAACACATTCTCTCAAGACAAGAAACCCCTGGGCCCCAGAGGGCAGGAGAGGGGAGCCTTGTGACTTGAAAGCCCGCTAGACGGCGGCTTTCTGGGAACCGAGGTTCATAGGAGAGCTTGGGATGTGGACTCACCATTGGGATACCAAAAAGGTTGAACTCGAGCATGCCAGGGATGGACCATCGAAGGTCATTCCAGGTGGCCGCGTTGTCTCCCAGCCAATGGGCTGCAAACTTGCCAGATCCCGCAAAGGTGGAACGGGTTAGAATGAAGCTTCTCTTATCAGGGAACACTGTCTTGACTGCTCTGGAGAGGGGGAGAGAGACCGAGGAGTCCATGTGCAACTTCCATGCATCTCAGCCCACCAACGTTCACCAGGGACCTCAGAAGTCAACACCCCACCGCCCCTTCTCGCTCTCTGCCAGGGGGGTCGGCGTTGCTGTTGGGGGCAGGCTGCTCCGTTAAGTGTATTTATGTTTTGTTTTATTCTAAGGTTTTTTAATGTCCATCGATTAACTCCATAATTTCCAAGACTTTCCAAAACAGACTTGAAAAGGCTAGTAACTAGAGGTACACAATGTTTAAGGAACAAAAGTGAAATTTAAATTTACATAGCTGTATATACACAGTGAGGCAAAAGTAGGTTTACAGTTGTGCGTACACAAAATGCGGCTTATTCTTGAATTATTAGTGACTAATCATTGCATTATTTTCCATACAAACAACTGTAAACCTACTTTTGCCCCACCCTGTGCACTGGTCTTTCACCTGGTGTGACTTTAGACATACACGGAAATGAACTTAGGAATCCCCTCTTGGAACTTAAATTCTTTCTGAGTAGAAACACTTTGGTCACAATTTTGTGATAAGACATTTTTAAATCATGTATTTATGTGAACATTTCTAAGTAAATATAAATATATATTATCTATATTTTTAAGAAGTCTATTATATGCTTAAAGTATTTGCTTTGTAATTTTTTTCAACAGCTCTCACGAAGGCTGCAGTTACACCATGACCTCGCTAATGAATGAGCGTGGTCCCGGTCTGGCCGCCTCTTGCCACAGGTGCAGTAAGCACAGTGAATTCTCAACACCTTCTCCTCACTATAGAATTTGAGTCCGCACACAAAGGCAGACACGGCACCGTAGAAGGATGCTGAGCCGGCCTCTCAAACCCGGAAGCACGTGAAGTCGGAATTACTTAACCCTCCATCCTCCAGTAGGTAGTGTGGCCAAGAGGAAAATACATGGGCCTAGGACTCTGGCAGAAACACACTTAAATTAGTTGTTTGACTTTTGTCGAGTTACTTCTCTTTCTTTTTCCCAACCTTCCATTCATTTGTTTATTCATTCAATCTTCCATTTCATACATGCTGTAAATATTTTTTGGATTCTTTCTTCCCATTGTGCTCGGTAGTTTCTTCATTCATTCAGTAATAATAACCATACTCATCTTATGAAGTTCTTACAAGGAACACCTCACACCTAGCAAGATCAGGAATACGCCATGTATTAAGTCCATGGCAACAGTGGCCTTACTCTGCTGTGGCAATGGCCATGGAGTAGCCATACAGATTGTGGACATCGTAGTGCTTGCCCCAGTGCTGCACCGCATCCATGCAGAGGCTCTTGCAGAAGAGGTACCCGTCCAGGACTCCTGGGACGGAAGAGGGATCAGAGAGTCAGCACCTAAGACGCATACCCCTGCTCCTGGACTGTCTCAGAATCTGACTCGGTGCTCCCTGGGCAAGCAGTTACCAGGGCCACCCTGCAAATGACCACAAGGCCTCCTCACTGTCAGAGAGCTCTAGGTTTGGGGCAGTTTCTCTGATGTGTAAAGAAATTGTGCCGGCCCATCACATTCTCCCACCTGGGTGCCCGTGTGATTAAAGGCAGGCATTTGGAAGAAAGAGGATCCAGGTAGACCTGCTATTCAATCTGAATTCTTCAAACTGAGCTAAGTTAAAAGGTTCAGAGAAATAAATATTGGATGAAAGTATAAATTAATTTCTCATCCCTTCTCTCCATTGAGCCGATATTATAAAAGATGATTGCCCAATCTATCTTTCACACACGGGATCTTTTCTGCTCCGATTGCACCACTCTGGTTCAGAACCAAATGACCTTTGGATCTTAACTATTGCAAAAGTTTCTTAATGGCTTGCTGACTCCTGACCTATTGATTTTTCTAATCCAAACTGCATATTAGTGCCAGATTAATACTTCCAAAACCATTTGTGTATCATGTTTCCCTTTTATTAAAACACAAATAGATTCTCTAACAAGAAGAAAAAAGTGTGAGCTGCTTAGCCTCCCTTCCTTCAACACTTCATTCTGACCCATGTGCTCCAATTTCCTATTTTCCCACCAGATTGAAAGTCATCATAAAATGCTATAATTCTAGCAGCTCATTCTTTTCTTAATCAAGATACAATGGGCCTGAGAGCCTCTAGCCTTCTCCCGACTACATAACTGCTGTGATTTCAGGGCCACGACCTGGAAGATAGTGCTGTTCCAAGTGCAATCAGAGCTCATTTGCATCATATCCACTGACTTTGAATTTGACCCCCTCAGCCATGGGTTCTGGCTTCCTTTCATTCTATAGTTCAGGTCTGTTCTTTACACTCTTAGTATCATTAGACTTGACCCTTGTCTAAAGCCCAAGCCTGATTATCTGAACTTTCTCTGATAAATCCTGACCTGGAGAGAGAGGGGACTCTAGAGCAACACAGATTAACTACTCATCAGTGGATTCTGCACCCATCTTCTCTGGAACTTCCCCTGAGAACAGCTCAGATATAGGTAGAAGGAATAGCTTGCCCCCTTTTGAATTGATACCTCATTTAGGAAAGCATGGAGTGTTCTGATTTTCTTAGTTTTCTTCATGTATTACCCACATTCATTCTCTTTTCCATACGTGCTCTTATGTACAAGCTCCCTTGCTGAGCTGTTCATATGTATCCTTATGAATTTAAAGTACCAAATGTGCATTGCCACTTTAATCATACTCGCCACCAAAACTTACTGGGAGTGAATGGGGGATAATTTAGGTTGCTTGTTGAACATCCTGAAACTGAACCATCAACGAAGTTGGAGACCTCATTCATATCCTACAAAGCCAAGAGCAAAAGTTATTAATAAAAAATAACATATCAATTTATGTTGTACTAATGGTGTCTTTTTTGAGGAATCAGAAAAAATGATCCCAGATGCCTTTTAAGAGGTTCTTATGTACACGTACACAGAAAGAAATAGAAATTCCTATCTTCTCTATACATTGAAGATTTCATGGAAACGGTTCTTAAAAATCCCTTCAAAATTGTAGATGTCTGTAATCACTGAAAATGAAAAATTTCCCAACATATTGCGTGAAAAAAGATTTCAATTTATATGATTCAATATACATCAACTTATACATTCTCTGTATATCCAAATATAGGTATGAATACACATACACAAACACACACACACAATATATATAAACATATACATAAGCAGAGAGCATGAGAGAGCAAGCATGTGCCAATGGTTGTACAAGTGTCCAGAAGGTACACAGAAAAATATGTCTTTGGTTGACACTATTTTAGAGGATTTTGCTTTCATCTTTTTAGCTCTCTGTATTGTTTGAATTTTCAACATTTCTCTTATAAAAAGAAAAAAAGTTCAACTCAAGAGCTCCTCAGTTTTGCTAAACATCTGTCGTTTTGCTTTTGTTTCCATTTGACAGCATATGAGATACTTGTCCTTACTACAGTCACAGCTTTGTCAAGCACCTGGATACTCTGGCTCTGATCAAGTCCAATATCTCCAAATGAGAGGGCCTTGAATGGATAATTGAACAATGTGTGTACTTGTGACAATGCAAGGAGTATATGACCTATGAGTATTTCTATTTCATCTCATTCATTTGTAGAAGGAGAGCTAAGCTGGGGGAAAAAACTGACTACTCCCAGTTCTAACAATCTGATTTTCATTCTAAGCTACATGTTTTGGTATGATTTATCTGAACAGAAAGACAGGCAATTTGAACATGAAGAAGTTAAAAATCATGACCACAGAATACACAACTTTAACGCAGATAATGAAGGCACTGAGATTGTTAAAGATTTTGCTTGCCTCGGTTCAGTCGTCAATTCAAACGGAGGCTGCAGCACAAAGTCAAGAGAAGGCCGAGGTACAGAGGGACAGCAAGGGAAGAGGCAGGGAAGATCATCACGAACAAGGACGTGTGTCATTAGAGACCAAGGCTAAGCTCACCCACACGCTCATGTTCCCCATTACTAAGCGTGGGTGAGAAAGTTAGACGATGGAGAAGGCTGACACCCGAGACCAGCAGAAAGACAAACAACTGGGTTCTAGAGCACGTTAAGCCTGAAATGTGGCTGGAGCCAAAATGACAAAACTAAAGCTGTCCTATTTTAGACACATCATGAGAAGGCAGGGTCCTTTAGAAAAGACTAGAATGCTGGGGAAAACAGAAGGCAGCAGGAAAAGGGGAAACCACATAGGAGATGGACTGACTCCTTAAAAAAACCCAACAGTCATGAGTGTGCAGGGGCTGAGCAGGGCTGCTGAGGACAGGACATGTGGTCATCAGTCATTCACAGGGTCTCCAGGGTTCAGAGCCAAATCAACCACACGTAACACACACAAACTAAGGAATGCTTTATCATTGCCATACTTGCTTTCCTCTCCTTCATTTCCACCTATGCTCCGTGACTCAATGATATAGATCTACACAGTTTGAATACCAGTCACCTAATAATCAAAACATTAACAACTCACAATCCAGATTCCATCAAACTCCAGTATATTATGGAAAAGATCAAACTCCTTTGCCCACCAAGCAGCACACTTGGGGTTGGTGTAATCAGGAAACACAGTCTTTCCAGGCCAGACCTGTAGAAGAAGAAAGAAAAACAATCGGAGTAAATAAAATGAACACAGAGTAAAAGAGAGGACTTTGAAAACAATTCCTAACATGATCCTGGCAACAGAGGTGCCTGGGCAGTTAGGAATGTGAAGCACTTCGAATACTTAAAAGAAGTGTCAGGAGGAGTCACACTGTCATTTGAGGAAAAACATTTTAAAAAATCGGTTACGTCCTTGCTAATCTTCAACTCTGTTCACCCTCTCCTCCCACTTTCTCTACTCCCAATTGTAGGAGTGATCAATGAGGGAGAGAGAACTGCATCAACTCCAGCCAGTCCACTGCAGATCGTGGGCTCTGACGCTCAGCTACTCTCCTCTCTTCCGTGCCCAGCCACTGCCCCTCAGACACCGTGTGCCTGGGTCTGCGGTGGACTAGAAACGAACCAGCAGACAACACCTTCATGGAGAACAAGGACAAGGGAAAGTTTGAGGAAGCAGTAGTCGAACTTGTCAAATACTACGGAGACATCAGGTAAGAAACGGAATGAAAGAGTTCTGTTGGATTTGCCAGGTAGGAGCAGTGTCCGTAGAGAGACGGGGGAAGAAAGCAGACTGCAATCAGCTGATGGGCGAGTCGGGGTGAGGATGTTCCGTGCAGGGGCGACTGTGTAAAGGGACTGTGAAGGGGACGTAGGAGCTAGCAAGGGCGCCTGGTAAATATCTGGGAGTGAAAGGACAGGGAAAGTTTAGCCCCAGGATACATAAGGCACTGGAAAATGTGAAACAGAGTAATCACTCGCACACACGCGCGCGCACACGCACAGCCCCTCTGTCAGGCCTCCGTTTCCCCATTAAGTTACCTCCCCGATGAGTGGAGTCGCTCCATCTGAAGCATTGACCCATATCTTCATGTCTGAGCCCCTGTCGTATGGGCCATAGGGATTGCTGAAGGAAGAGTTGTTGGAGATAGCTGGATCCTAAGAAGGGGGAAAATACAATGAAGGACCAAGCTTTAAGCTAAGGCACTATAAGGAGATTGGGAATTAGGGACCAAGGAAATGGAGCTGGGTGCAGTGACAAGGAGGAGCAAGTCCCCAGGTTGGGGGGAAATGAGGACGGCACATACCACAATGATGACCAGTTTCTGTCCGTTGTTGTGCAGCTCCTTAGCATACTCAGAGAAGCCTTTAAAATTCACTGAGTTATAAGTAAAGTCCTTCCTCCCATCCATATAATCAATATCAGCATGCTGAACGTCCTGAAAGAATACACCAGGCGCACAATTTAGGGCCCAAGAATTTTCCTGGTATATGAGTCGGTCCAATTATTATTGTTACTATTCAAGGTGCACACCAACTCCGTGCTGGGCTCTAAACAGGGTCTTAATCAGTCCCTGGCATCTAAGGGCTCCTTGTTCCTGTGGTACTTTCAAATCAAAGGACTCATTATTTCCCGAGAACCTGGCCCCACCCCTGAATCAAGTTAACTGCATCATCCTACCTTGTTGCTTGGCCATTGGCATTAAAAACCAATCTAACAAACAAACCACAACAATCACAACAAGTCACAAAGGCTATCAAAAACATAACCATTCCCCTAATTCTACCCCATCCACAGGAAAAAGGGGGAAAGGGTCTCTTTTCCCTCATTTTACCACCCTGCATTCGGTTGTGCAGCTTCTCTACGTCAAATCTTCTTTGGGGATTATCCTTTCCTAATTGCATGAAAATAGAGGAGCCCAGAATGAAACTGATTCTTGCTCTAGGGCCTGTGTACCTGCCTCCAAGGAGCTGGGCTGGGAGGGGAGAGGGTTATTCCTGAGACTATTGCGTTTTCCTCTTTGTATCACTTGTAAAAAACCTCACTCTGCATTATACAATACACACATGCAAATTTAACCATTTAAACATAAGCATATTTTATTACATGTATGTACTGTATTCCTTTGCTCACTTAAATTAGGAAAAGAAAAGCCTTAAAACCTAAATGCATTATGTCAATAAAAGGCATATGAAATGCAGTTAATACAGTAAGCGTAAGAAAATTTTACTAACAAAAAAACGTGATAGGAAAAAAATAGAGACAAAAACGGATTGCCTTCCAACCCTGTAACTGTGGTCTCTTGTACTATTTCCTACTAAAAGGAACTAGTTCCTTGAAGGATCGCAGGCCCACCCAAAAAAAGCCTTCCATTCTAAATACACAAAAATCTTTACGCTACATATTTTTTTTTAAACTCAGGGGGAGAAAGTATAAACAATTATCCTTATTCCCCAAGGGAACACTTCTGTTTGGGGAGGGTTCTTTAAAGCCTTCCTTACATAAGGGAGCTGTGCCGCCCGGTTTCTCTCCACGACTTCCTTCATGTTATCCAGGGTGCCGTAGCCATAGCGACTGAGATGAAATCCAAGTGTCCAGTAGGCAGGTAGGGCTGGCCGTCCAATGAGCTGAAAGAAGTATTTGAAATAAAAACTAGTAAATGCCCTATTTTTAATAAAACCTCTACCAAGCATTGGTTTAGGGGCGCAAAACATACTTATTCGCCAACACACTCTTTCATTCATGTTAGATTGTTAGTCTACGTTCCTGGTCCCTTTATCCATCACTGAGGGTAGGGTCAATTTATAATAACAGATTTACAATAGCTACTTATAAGAGCAGATTTTCATGAGTTGTACTTGCCTATTAAACTTGCTTTCCTTTGAGCTATTTAGGACTTTCTCACCTCCAGGTACTCCTGAACCACTTGCTCTGGGGTGTCTCCCAGGAACACATAAAAGTCCAGGATGCCCCCGATGGTGCGGTAGGTGATCGCTGGTGTGGGCTGGAGGGAAACCTCTTGATAGGTTAAAAGGGAAGAAAAGAAAAATTAGAATTTATTCTAGAATAATAATTATGAAACTTTAGATCAGAGGCTCACAGTTGTCTGAACATTAATAAAGTGATCCTCAGATTTTGTATACACAGGGACAAACCCTGATCATCAAAGGCCACCCTCCTGGCACACGGAAGTCCAAGCCTTGGTTCTGTGGCCAATTTTGATCACTGGTGACTGGAGGGTCTCAGCTGTTACATCAGGACCCAGGGTCTCGTGAAAAAGCAGCAAGTTTCATGAAGGGGTCCAGAATAAGCCATTGTAGCATAAAATTTATTTTAGGCTGAAGACATACAAGTTTCTGAAATCTCAGCCTAAAAGCAGAGCGTCTTAAAAGTACTCAGTTGCCACAAATCCCCTCCCCTGGAGAAGCCCTAATCTGCTCTGAGACAATAAATTAGCACCATATTCAAGCAGATATTGTCACATGAATATCATACCTCCCAACTGTTCCCCACAGGGCTCATCTGCTTTCCCATAAGGGCCTTTTATCCCTCCCACCTCCTCTAAGAAGCCACTTACTTGTTTTATGGTAGTGTTTCTCTCCACCTCCCATTTACCCATTGGCATGGTATATGCAAGCCCCAAATTGTCACCAGCTCTTTGAGCTACCCTTCACTAAGCACGCTATGTGGTCGTATGTTATAGGTGTGAGTAAATTGTCTTTCCTCTGGCTAACCTGTCCTTTGTCAGCTTGACTCACAGCCCACCAAATACTGAACTTAAGAGCGTAGAGGATGAAAATTTTTTCGTTGACATTCACAACTACATAAAGGGCTGTTCCTTCTCTACACCCCACCGTTAGTGTAAGAAAATAACCTAACTGGACACAGTGAGGGAGTAGCCTCAACGAATCTCTCATTGAGCAAAGGCCAATCTGGAAAGCAAGTCGGAGATAATATAAATTCAAAATCCCTCTAAACCTTAATCACAATTCTCAGAAGTGAGCTTTCCCCATGCTCTTGGTTTGCATTGAGGGATACAAGTCCTCAAAATCTATTGAAATGTGCTCTGTGGCCATAAAAACAACTCAGAGTACCTAGGATCCTGAGGCCTTTCCCCTGTCTTTTGGTTCCTTTCTACTACCTGAAACTGTATAACCCGTGTGTTATCTCAATCTGTCATTAGACTACTGGGTATCTCAGAACCATCTAAAAATTCTATTGGGTGTATTAGAACCACCTTATGTCATCTACAGTGATTCTCAAACAATCTGCAGGGAAGGATCAGATCCTCATTTTTAAATTTACAATTCTTGGCAAACTGGTACTTCTGTATAATGACATGAAAATGAACTACTAGGAAAGGTTTATGCAGGCACTTGGATGCTACAGCAATGTTTACTCTCGATTTCTGTACTCATCTTACTGCAGAAGTGAAACAGCTTGTGAACCATCTGTGGGCCATGCTCTGAGGATCACGGATCTAGTTCATTGATACTCAGTTAAGAAGAGGGTGGGGATTGACGTACTAAACCCACCATCCACCCTGGGAGATTCTGGTACAGCTCTTCCCTTGTGGTGATTGATTCATTGTTACTGGTGCAAGCAGGAAAAGAGTTGTTGAGAATCACTGATCTTGTCTAAAAACCTTCAAAAATGGGGAAGCTAGTTAATGTCTAGACCCCTACGATGTTACACTGTTTGGTCTTAAGCAATCTGATCTTGCTCTGCATAACGCTTGCCACTCCACTTTACCCTACCCTTGGTGTGTCTGAATGTGACATTCACTGCTCAGTTGTAAATCCCTGGTTAGGCCCAGAGCAACTGGCTAGTTCCCACCAGAGCTTATATCAACCCCTCTTCTGGATGGAAGTCTAAGGAAGGAGAAGAATAAATTGGTACAAACTGCCCATAAGTAGATTATAGGAAAGGGTTTGCTGTCTTAACTCTGTGATAGAAAATACTCAAATAGAGGAAACACGTTCAGGAAAATCAATCATAAGCCAGGAGAGAAACCCTTCCCATGGCGACCATAGGCCAACCAAGGCTTAAGCTATGGCTCAGCCTTTCCTTAAAGGTCTCCATTCCTTTTATCATCGTGCTGTGAGAATGGGACTAAAGACCACTCCGAGGCATTGTTTTCATGAGTATCCCTTTAGTCGTTTACCCATGGCATTGCTGTTCATGAGAAACACTCCAAAGGACAATCCGCTAGCATCTTCAAGGCAGAGGAAGAATGTCTGTGCACCATACAAGTTAGTCCCATCCTGCAGAAACATAATTAAAAACCAAAAATTCACAATCCAGTAGGCTAAACTCCACTTGGCCCGAAATGACTGAGGAAATCCGTGTTAGTCATGTGAGTAATTGACAGGAAGCTCATGATCAAAGAAGACACAACTACACTTTGAACATATAAGTTTGATATTTGGTGGGTGTTCCCAACAGTGAACCAGTGTTCTCTTATTAAAATAGCCAGCTGTAACCATTGATCTAGAAGGAATGTGAGAGCTTGTGATAGCCATTAGGATGTGGGAGAAGAACAATTTTGAAATGAAAGCTCCACAAAGCTCTCCTCTCTGTGAGGCTTGTCCTACCTGACCAAACCCAATCTGCAAAAGCTCCATCGAGCCTTAATAAGAATCAGGCACCTTTCTAATGTGCAACTGGATGGAGCTCTCCTTAGGATATCTGCCCTTCTACTCTTTACAATGGTAGAGTCTAGAACTTGAGCTGATCTTCCAGGCTTTAGGATAGCACAGTGGTTCGCAAGGCAGGCTGCATCCCAGCCCAGTGAAAACAGAACCCCCGAGGATGGAAGGAAGCAGGAGTGGGTTGTTAAATTACCCCAGGTGATTCCATGTGCAGTCACGACGGAGAATCACTGCTCTTGAACAGCATCTCTCAAAATTTGGGATGCATACAAATCATATAAGAATCTTAGTTAAATGGGGATTCTAATTCAGTAGATGGAAAGGGGAGCTGAAAGCACACGCTTCTCACACAGAGGTGCCCACGCTGGACACTTGGAGTGGCCGGGCTCCGGCTCCCAATTAAAGACCCATCACCAGCCATTCCCAGATGAGCTGCTCTGACTCAACACCTTTTCTCTTTTCTGATAGGCATACATGTAGCAAGGAGCATGGTTTCAAGTTCAAAAGGCCAGGGATCAGATCTTATCTCTGTTACTTACAAACTTTTTTTTTTTAACATTGCGGGGGGGGGGGAATTACTTGGATTTTCTGAGCCTCAGTTTCCGCATCTGTTAAGTGGACTAAATTATACTTATCTTTTTTCAGAGTTCTTTTGGTAAATAGTAACAATGTATAAATATAGTCAATAAATTATTCCAATGGTCTCTTTTCACCCAGCCACTAGTTCTGCTTAGTCAGAAAATTTGCTGAGTAAGACCTATTATACTGCTGAGCCTAGGAAAGTCCTCTGAATTGAATGTTAGCATTCAAAACAAAACAAAACAAAAAAGCAACAGGAAAAATAAAAGAAATCAACAACAACGACAACAATAAAACTCTATTCTTTCACTGCCCTAAACATTCTTCACACAAAGAATGATTGATACAGTATTTTAGTTGACATTTCATCCTATTTTGCTGACAAACCTGGTAAAATAGTGATTTAGAAAGGTCAACCTAAAATATGCAGATTATAACAAACGTACTGTGCAGAGTCAATATTAGTAATGTTTTCTCCAGAACTACTTAGTTCAAAAGGGAGACAGAATGAAAAGTAGCTGACATTAACTGGGCACTTCCTATGTGGCAGACACCTGTCCAGAGACTCTGTAAGTATCAAGTCGTTCTTTTCCCATCACAGCTCTATGGGGCAGGTATATTGTCCCCCTTTTATAGATGCAAAACTGAAGACACAAAGAGGTAACTTGCCCAGAAGCACGTAAGTGGTGACTGGCAGTGCCAGAATTCAGTCCGGACAGCCTCACCCTGGCACGTTACTCTTAACCATTACCCTGTCCTGCTAGCAGTGACCGTCAAGAATGAGGCTACGATGTTCAGTGGAGTGGAGCCATCCCCAAAGCTCACCCCATTGGGGGTGGTGTCCCTGGCGAAGATGGGCCAGGTCTTCCAATTCATATCGTGGCGGTACTGCCGGTGCACGTGTTCTCCCAGGCCGTACACGTTGGCGCTCGGCAGTCGGATGGAGAGCTGCAGGAACTGGTCAGCAAACAGCAGGGGCCCGATGCTGGAGTCAAACCTAGACGCAGGTAGAAAGCACAGGGTGGGGAGGGCAAGTGGGGCGAGAGAGAACAGCTGCTTAGAAAAGTGGCCTTTCTGTGTCAATGGCTCAATACCCCCTACTTAACTGGCCCCATTTGTCTTCCTGTGACATTTTTCCCTGGACACCAAGAGATCAGGGCTTCTTGAGGGCAGGTGCCATGTGGCACATTTTTTAGCTTTGTCCCATAGACACCCTATCACATTACCTGAATACTATTCTTACACTATAGTAGACGTTCTGTGAACCATTGCTGGTGGATGAATGCGATTAGATAAATGGAAGAAAAAGGAGGGGGAGAAAATGGACACAGCCCAGTGCCTGGTTTATAATAAATGCTTAGTAATAACAAAAAAAAAGGGGTGGAGGGAAGAGCAAGGTAGGTCGGAAAAAAGGTGTATTCATTTGGAGGTGGAGAGTCTGGTCTCCAACAGGGTGCTGGCAACCTGCAAATATTGTTGGAATGCACCCTTCTTCAGGCTTGCGAAGCTCCCTCCCCTTCCTACTCTGTCTCCCAGACAGGTTTTCCAAACTTACAGAACACGATTGTTGCTTTTTCTGATCACTTTGATGCCAAATGGCTGTTCGGAGACCTCAACTTCGTAAGCCAGGGGAGAAGCAGCACTTCCCTTAAAGGCTTGGACATGTTCGTGGGGCACTTCGTACCGGTCATTGTCTTGGTCAGTTAACTGTCCAGAGAGATGAAGGAAAAGGAAGCCAAAATGAAAATGTCTCTGTTTGCCCCAAATAGAAGCCTCCTTACCAACACCAGTGCTTCCCAATATCTGTGCTCGTGGGACTGGATTTTGGGTCCAAATGGCACTATGTCTCAAATACATGCATACATTATATTATCAAATTCAGATGTTGAACACTTGGACATAAGTTAGTCTTTAGGTAGAGATATACACTCCAGGTCTGCAAAGATGGCCTCTCTAGATTTTTCCAAGAAGTGATCATTTTTTTCCCCTCTCTACTACATTTCACATGGTATTAAGGGCAAATAAATGAAAACTAAAGCTCACCGGTGAACTCTATAATGTACATTAAGAGGTCATCACACTGAAGGAAGGCTAGAGATGCCTTTGACATACAGATGCAGAGTAAGAATGACAGAAGGAAAAAAATACCTCTATTAGCCAAATTTTCTATTTTGTGCTAACTGCAGTCATCAGGTAGGAAACGAGAACCTCTCAGACAAGATTTTAAAAACAATAAACCAATAGTAACCTTAAAGTGGAAACGATTAGATGTCTGATATTCCGCTGTGAGCAGGACATTGTTGACATCGTTTCCAAACAAGGACGGAGAAGGCAACCTTTTCAGCTGGGCTCTGAATCCTAAAATAGAGAGGGAAAAAGTTTTACACAGCTAGCTGTGCACATTCACCAAAGACAGATTTACAAAAATTAACCTTTATGTCAAAGGGGCTGGCGAAAAGCCTTTATTTCCCCCAAAGAAGGGAAGACACAGACATAGGCCGCATCATGCACTCACACACTCTTGGGCCAGAATCTGAAGTTATGTACGGTCATTAGCTTATCCAAAAACTGCGCCTCTCTCCTACAAAAGTAGACTGGCAACCTCCCCCACAAGGCCTAACTCTCATCCCACCAGCCCATCGGTGATTCGGTCAATCACATACCCTTTGCCCTCTCCGCCCGCAATCTGTATATATACCATATTCCTTCTCAATTACTTTCATGCTACTTTACCGGTGACACATACATGGATGCCATCTCCCTGGTTCCGTATGCCAGGGGAGGGCGGAGACCTTAGAAGAGCCCGGCAGGCTAAGAGCCTCCGGATGGGGAGCATGTCTCTTTCTTTACGCTAAGAGCCTCCCCAAAGTATATAGTCACCTTCTGTGATCCCCTGGATGGTCATTAGTGTGTCCTGCACTTCAGGGTGCGAGGGAAGAGAAGGGATGCTTAGTCCATGCGCACTGACATTGGTTAGCTTTCCTACAATGTTTTAAAAGTTGGAATTGTTTTCCCGTCACTAAAATCACATTATATTAGGCTTGTAAGTACTTTCAGATTACTGAGTTCAAATCCCTCTCTTTAAAAGTTAGAAACTTGGGAACCAAAGGAGCCATGATGTTTGTGCAAGTTTACAAAGGTACATAAGGGAGAGCCAGGAATTGAGTATGTCTCTGAAGTCCCCAGACACAGTGACTCTTCCTTGATGCCACATTAATTCTAGTCCTCCTTCTGTCACATGCACGAGTGTGGCGGGGCAGAGGGGCAGAGCTTCGTTGGCTGGTCAGTCGGCCTCTCCTCGGGAGCAACCAGAGCCGACCCCCGGGCGCCCGGGCCCCTGCCCCCGGCCTGGCTTACCTGCGTCTGTGTTCTCCAGGCTGCCGCCCAGCTGGTAGCCGTGGCCGTTAGAGTAGTAGCACCAGGGCAGGCTTATGGCTCCCTGAGGCTTCCAGCAGCAGCCGCGCTGCTCACACGTGGCCTGCAGCGAGGGGTGGAATCAAAGTGGCTCTGTTTGTTACAAGAGCAGTGTCACAGTGTAAGCATGTGACACCACTAACTTCATTTTACAAATAAGGGGACAGATATTTAGAGAAATTGTGTGACGGCCCAGTCGACGCCGAACTAGTACTCAGAACCAATTCTTCTGGCAAATGTCCTTCCTACTTATTGCTATTACATAACAATGTAGGGATCACAGTGCGGTCCATATCTCTCATCACAAGAAAACTGAAGAGTTTATTTAAATATTCTGAACTACAATATAGTTATTTCACCAGTAACCCAAAATTACACTTGGAGCTTCATATATATAGGTTTTAGCTTTAAAAAGAAAATGGTTCTGCAATCAAATTTATTCAGAAGCTTTAAAATCAATTTGCTTTGGCTTTTAATATGCATACAATTACACACATCATATGTATGTATATGTATACATATGTATGATATATACATATATGACATATATGTGACATTTATATTTATTTAGTCTCTAAATTCCTCCCAAGGCAGAGAGTAATTGTTTCTTGAAACCCAAATAGTCTCCAATTCCTATTGAAAAAGGGGCCTGCCTTACACCACAGTTAATGACTGGATCAAGTGGAGACTAAAATGAAGACAATCCCTGTTCTCATCTCAGCTTATCTGGGAGAAGGAACCAGGTTAAACATGAAAAAGTACAAAAAAAGTTCTCCTCTTGCATATGGCCAGACCGAGTGACTTATAAAATGTGGCAAAAATAACAGATGAGCTTAGATCACAGGCAGGTGGCGTCCACCAGCCGCCGGCCGGCTCTCCGCCCCTCGCCCCGCAGGAGCCTCGCTCCAGGGAAAGTGAGATGGATCATGCATCGACCCACACAGGGCCAAGAACTGCGGGACGCCCCTGGCCAACGGCAAGCACGGAGCTGAGGTCCCCTCTCCACTAGTCCGGGACAAGCTGAATCCTGCCAACAGTCACGTGGATGAGCCGGAAAAAGATCACCCGCCATCGTAGCAGACAGCATGGTTCAGTCCCCTGAAAGACTTCCAGCCAAAAGCACCCAGACAGACAAAGGCCAGAGCCTGACCGTAGAAACTGTGAGAAAATAACGTTCGTTGTGTTAAGTCTTTAAGTTTTTGGTAACGGATCTGGCAGCAGTAGAGAACTAATGCATCCTGTTTTGTTATTTTACCGGCGAAGCAGCTGCGGCCGCGAGGTAAAGGCTCACAGAGGCGAGGCGGCCTCCCAAGCGTCCCTCGGCCATGGACAGGGCGAGAACCACACCTCGTTCTGCGCTCCCCATTTTCCTTTTGTCTACAGCCTGGGCTGAGCCTCTGCTGAACACATCTGCAGGGGGGTGTGGCTTAGACATATGAACAATCAGAGCCACCCAAATGCTAATTTTTATGCTAACAGCCAATATTAAGGATGGAAAATCTGCGTCCATCTGTGGTTTACAGTGCTGCGGGGTCAGGGGTCACTGTGAACTCAACTTCACCCCGCAGTTTTTGTTTTTTCCTTTAAAAACATACTCAGATGAAAGCTCAGTATCACAGGAAAAGAGTAGGTGTTGAATAGGGCGTTAAACAGAATGGTTTCTGTACGCTCCCCAGAGCTTAACAATTTCTTTACTGAACTGCAAAAGGCAGGGATCAAAGAGAGGCCAAAGCAGGAAGAAAAGGGAGCAGCGTCTGCTGGCCAGAGTCAGTCCACCGTTTCTGCAGTGGAGCTGAGCCGCTGCGAGGGGAAGCAGGAAGAGAAGCAGAACACGTCACAGGCAGACAAGAGCGTGAACAGTATGCGAAGCCCAGGAAACCGCTTACAGAGAGAAGCTCAGAAACGTGACAACCTGAGCTGAGTGAAGGCTCACAGAAAGAAGGAGTCCCAGGACACAGAAATGCCCCTTTTGGCAGGACATGAGAATTAAAATTTAAGAGAAAATTTAATATTAAGGTAAGACCAAGAAAACATGTATAGAGCTGGGAGGGCAGAGAGCAGTAAATTAAAAAAAAAAAAAATGAAAAACACAAAATGAGACCTTAGGAAAAAATTGTCATGTCAATTATCTTCTTCTAAACACTTAATTTTAAAGATAGTCTGATCTCATTCAAATAAATAAATTCAGCTAATGTTGCTTAAAGGAGGCACACCTAAAATTTAAGCTCACCGAAGCACCAAGAGTAAAAGTGGGTAAACAGATGTGTGATAAAAATGCTAAGAAAACGCTAGTATAACTGTAGTAATATCAGACAAATAGACTTTAAGCAAAAACGTATTATTAAAGAGACATCGAGTCATTACCTGATGATGAAAGGTTCAATTCACCAGGAAACTTGATGTGCAACTATTAATAAGGACTCAAAATGTTTACAGAAAAATTTTAAAGAATGATAAGGTAAAATTGAAAAAGATAGTATACATAATGGAATATTTTTAAAGAGCTTCGTTTGTAATTGATAAAGCAGATAACAAGTAAAAGTGCTTTGCTTTTTACAAAACGGATGTGTGGGCTCCTGCACTAACACAAAGGGAAAGACTGAATTCAACTCAGAGATGGAAACCAGATCCTGAAGACGCTGTTTAAGACCTAATCAAGCTCTACTCCACACCAGTCCTATTCTCCTTCAACCCCAGTGCTTCCTAACACTTAAAAGAGAAGAAACAAATAAGAATTTTATACCAAAGTCAGACATGAAAGAAAGAAATACTTTCATACAAAATATCTAGATAGAAATCCAAGAAAATTTATAGCAATTAATAGAAAATAAGTTAATTACTATTATATTAGATCTTTTATTGTCTTCTTCAAGTTGTAACTTTTTCTGAACACAAGGGGCAAAAGGTTAAGAGTTGCCCGTACCGAGGTGGGGGAGGCGTAGGAAGGGCAGGTTTTGGTATGTACGTAAGCGTGGGAGATGGAAGGTTCCCTGTCGACGTGTTGGTTTTGAGGTATCTATTGGACAACCAAGTGAAGATGCCGAATCAGTGTGGCATTCAGGGGCGTGCTGGAGGCTGGAGGCATTGCCTCTGGTGCACAGGCACATAGGGGTTACCACTTACAGACGTGATACCGGGCGAAATCGCCCAAGGACTGAGTGTGGGTAGACAAGAAATTTTGCAACATGTAGATGTCATGTAGAAGAGGAGGAACCATGAAGGGGATCAAAAGATGCAAATTTCCAGTTATAAAATAAATAAATCATAGGGATGTAATGGAGAGCATGGTGACTAGAGTTAATAATTACGTATTGTGTATTTTAAAGTAGATCTTAAAAGTACTCATCACCGTAAAAACAAAATTTTGTAAGTAGGTATGGTGACGGATGTTAACTAGACTTATTGTGGTGACCATTTTGCAATATATACAAATATTAAATCATTACTTCGTACACCTGAACATAATGTAATGTTCCATGTCAATTCTATACCTCAGCTTCAAAAAATGGGACGGGGGAGGAACTGGCAAAGGGGACTCCAAAAAGAAGCAGCTGGTATCCTACGAAGGAAGGGCGCCCCTAGAAATGGCCCTCATGTAAACGCATGGGCGCTATCAGCAGCTGCAGTTGTAAAGACAGTTTGAGCTGAGAATTTGTCCCGTTCAGGTTTACGCCACCTACACGTTAGCTCTTTCTGGATCATCCCTCTTGCCTCAAGGTATGGTGTTCATAAATATGTGTCTGTAGAGCGACAGCGAATGCTGGCGACTCGCTCAGGCCCACTCTGCTGGCACCTTAGACAACACAATGAAGTGTTTGAACTTGACCCAATACACAGTAACGGATGCTGGAGGCACTCCAGTTAGGTGGAAGGAGAACACAAGTGAGGTAGTCAAGAAAGCAGTAAAGTGGAATGGATCGGGGATCAATGCAATTCAGAAGCTGGGAGGCTCCCCGAATAATCCAAGCATGAGGTTATGGTGACCTAGAGTGATCACAGTGAGAATGGGAACTAAGTGCTTGTTCTGGAAAATATTGTTAAGGAACAAGTTTTAAAATACATGAAATTCTGGTCGAAGGGATAAAGGAGAGGGCCAGGCAAAAGCTCTCAGAGACTAGGCGCACAACAGAACTACCAACAAAGTCTGGGAGTTCAGAAGGGAAACCAGATTTAGTGAGGAGGTGATGAGTTCAGCATCCCACAACATTGTTTAAAAGGCTTCATAATAAAACAGCAAAGAACATGACGGAGGTGCTAATGGCATCTGAGGTTTACCAATAGCCAGGAACAAGACAGGGTGTTGTAGGAGAGGGAAGAGACTTAGGATGCACTGCTTCCATAGGGGGCTTCTGAGCAGCCCGTTCCCTGACGCACAATGACAGGGGCAAGTAAGGGGGGCCAACTTACGCTGCAAACCTACTGCAACAAATATCCTGTTTGGGTGCAACATGGCTAAATCACAGCTTCCCATTCCTACTGACAAAGCAGCACATTAACATTCCTCCATCATCAAGCTCCAACCCACCTTACAGTCTTACACATCATCTTCTCTCTCATACCTGCTACCTTGGCCACATGCGGCCATTAATATGTCATATATGTGCTCCACAAGTTCCTCTTCTGTCACTAAATTTACATCATCTCTCATATCCTGAAATCACTTTCCATTCCTCCCATCTCTGTCAAAATCCTAGTTATCTTTAATTGCAGGCTATCACCTTTTCCTTGATAATAATCCCCTCTATTTTCTGATCTCTATCATGCTTCTTTCAGATCTTATGAATTTTTGTTTTACATACCAGCCATTTACTTACTTAGCTTGCCTTCTCTACTAGAATCTGTGACAAGAAAAATATATATAGTTTATTTGAAACTCTAATCCAAAATGCTAAACTTTGTGACATTTGGCCCCATACTGAAGTGCTTTTGCTTTTTGCTTTTCTTTTTCCCTTGTATCTTCTTTTTCCTTTATTTCTAAGTCTTCTGTTCTCTCTTTTTTTTCTCATAATATGATTTCAATCATCCTTAGATGGCTGCTCCTGGCTGCTGCATATCAAAAACCAACCTCCTATACGTGATTCCCAAGGTCTTCCAAATTCTAAGTCCACCTTTCCTATTCAGCCTCAGTTCTTTCTGCTCCAAGCAGGCCAGTCTCAGTACTAACCCAAGAGAAGGCCAGGGTAAGATACTAGACAAGGGGCCAAACACTGCAGTCATCTCGGTAAACTGGCCGAACTGTGGTGACTCCGGCCTTAGCAGGCTCACTTCCCTTCTGTGCCCTAGCCGCTGGCCCGGGCACTGCTTCAGCCTGTCCTGGGGATTTCCCGATCATTAACTGTCCATCCAATTCGATCTCTCTTTCATGCCTTCAAAACGGCCCCTGGGCCTCCTGATCAGCTTTGTCTGCTTGCTCTGCTCCAGCCTGCAGTTCATAGACATTTTCTTTACCCCAAGCTCTTCACCTGGCTCTGGCTGCCTTCTGGGCCCTAACTCCCAGCTTCCCCACAGGCCTGGTCCATCTCATCCCCGTACGCCATTTCAGTCAATACCAAAGGCTCAGCTTAGAAGAAGTTCCATTTTCCACAGCCCCCACCCCTGTGACTTTGTCCATGTTATGGGCTGAACTGGGTCCCCAGGAAAGATATGTTGAAGTCCTAATCCTCGGCACCTCAGGATGTGATCTTATTTGGAATTAGGCTTATTGCACATGTCATTAGTTAATATGAGATCATAATGGAGTAGGGCGGGCTCTTAATCCCATGTGACCAGTGTCCTTAAACATGGGAAATTTGGATGTTCAGAGAGGGAGAGAGAGAAAGAGAGAGAACGCCACGTGAACATAGAGGCAGAGGCTGGGGTGATAAGCCAAGGAATGTCAGGACCTGACCCAGTCAGTCACCAGAAGCTGGGAGGCAGTCAAGGAACAGATTCTTCCTCAGATCCTTCAGAAGAACCAATCCTGTGCACACCTTGATTTGGGACATTTAGCCTCCAGAAGGGTAAGAGGAAAACACAGAAAATTCAAAATGGCCTTTGGTATTAGGACCTTTAGGTAAGCCAGAGCATCAACCCTTAAGTACAACACAAGTCATGCTGGCCAGCAAACAACAGGCGGGCCACAGAGACACGTGGGAGAGTGCCACGTGCCCGGGCATCACCCGCAGCAGCACCTGTCTATGTCTGACCCAGCTCTGCCACTTCGTGTCATGGACTTCACTCCGAAGGTTGCCTTTTCCTTTCATGCGTTCTTGATGTGAAAAGTGGCTGATGTGGTAGGTACAATGTATTGGATGATCATTAATATTCAGCTGGACTTCAGCTGATGATCAGGAAAAACTGCACTAAAGTAAATATCCAGATGCCTGCACTATCTTTAATCTCGTATTTATTACCACCTTCTTTCAAGGCATGGCTCTTGAAACTTTGTCCTTATATTAAATGTTTTATGCATGTATATGGCTTTTTATTGTTGATCCCAGATAACCTCTTGGAATTGTGAAAGGAGAAAGAGACAAAGAAAGAAAGGGCAAGAAACAGAGGCAATAACAGAGTCAGAGAGAACCACTAACTGAGTAGTATTGCCAGATGAAAGGCAAAACCATTATAGTGTGAGTTCCAAGTCTTGCAAGGGACATATTCAATGCTTACACTTAAAAAAAAAATTCATTCATTGTTTATCCGAAATTTAAATTTAACCAAGCAAACTGTACTTTCATTTGCTGAATCTGTTACCACAAAAGGATCTTCTGGCTCTTCCTCTCCCAAAGCTGTACTATCACACAAGGATGGATACAGGATAAATTTGCCTGAGCCACTAAGAAGTGCAATGTGAACAACTCTCTGGGAGTTATAAACAGAAAACAAAAAACCCTAAAACAAACAAAAGAGTCTCCAGCAGCATAAATCCTTAAAGGAAAAACAAGACCCATAACACGAACCTTTGTGGGCAACTGGTCAGGGATGCAGTTTATCCGCTCCAATTCATTTACCTCCGGGCACTGGGCAGGGCTGGGAGTGGGACTCACAGGAGTGGAGTTCGTGGGAGCGGGACTCGTGGTCCCAGCACCTGGGATGACCCCAAAAACAAACAGAAAATGACCATCAGACAGACAATGTCACATTCAGCTTCCCCGTAGTTCTCAATTCCCCCAATTACATGAACTCCACCACCAACTGGGCTGCACTCGGGTGTCCCTGAAATGCATTCACTTTCTAAAGCCTCGTTCTGCTCTTACTGATGGCAGGTAGCTCCATGCACACCAGTGCCATCTTCTTCTACCACTGGGGCCTCTCCTAGGGGACAGCGCTGTAAGGACAAGGAGCCTGACTCCGCCATTCCACCGGAAGCTCAACAAGGCAGAAATCGAGTCTATCTTTTCTAGTCCAGGGGTGAGTAGACAATGGCCTGTGGGCCAAATCTGGTCACAGCCTGATTGTTAAATGTGAAGTGTTGCCAGAGTACAGCCACAGTGGTTTTCTACATATTGTCTCTATCTGCTTTTGTGCTATACTGGCAGGACTAAGTAGTTACACAGGGACCTTATGGTTCACAAAGTGTAGAGTATTAAGCATCTGGCCCTTTACAGAAAAGTCTGCAGACTCTACTCTGGTCCTTGACTTTGGTGCCAGCGGCTGGATCACCAGAGGTTTGCACATGGAATGTGTGCAGTGTATGCTGAGGCCGTGACTGTTCCCACTCTTACCACAGCTACCTCCGCTCTGCCGGCTTGGTCCACAGGCTCCTCCCTGAATGCCGTCACTCAGAGCAAGGAGCCCTTCCGGGTAACAGCAATCTTACACAAACATCACGTCTCATTCGACATAAGACGTAAAGGGAGCCCACCAATCTAGAGACTGGTAGCTAGAATCTGCCCAAGGGCTTCAATGCAGATTTTAAAACCGGTAAAATTTAAAAAGGCACATGTAATGCATTCTAATACAAGGAAGTGAGACTGCTTTAAGACACTGCAGTAAGTTAATAATGAGGTTAGGTTGGAACAATGAGGCTTTTAATTCGTTTTCTTTTCATTAGGGTTCCCAATTCAAAAGTGTTGGATTAAAAGAACTCCACCTTTCTACCAGTCTCTGCATAAGGGCTTGAGTCCACTCAGTCATAGAATTTTAAGGAGCGGACAAGCTAGAGGTTATCGGATCTAACTTCCTGTGAAAGTAGAAACTGCCAGGACTGGGAGGAGAGGAAGGGCCCGGAAGGGCTCCTCTAGCCGCAGACCGACACCGCTTTTTGACTGACTGAAGGGTGAGAAATCAATTCAGCGTGATCCAGCCTCTCTTTTAAAATAAAACAGTTCAGTGAGCTTTTTAATTAATTTTTTTGTTTTTTAATTATAGCTTACACTCAATATTATTCTGTATTGGTTTCAGGTGTACAATGAAGTGCTTAGAAAATCATGACTTTACAATAAACTATTAATAAAATAACTCTGGTAGCCATTTTTTTAAGGAACCAAACTTTGGTCTAAAATACTTTAATTGATTATGTGCTTATTTGACTGCCTTCCATATAAGGGTATTGTTCATCATTATTGTTAACAAAAGTAGAGTTAGTCAATAAACTTTGGCAAATACACGATCCGGCACAAATAGCGCCCCTATTTTATTACAAAATCCTTTATTACAAAATCATAAGCATGTAATTCTGTAACATAACAATATCACACTCAAGCACACCACAGGATGTTTTAGGTGAAATATTCAAATTCCTGTCCATCTCCTGGGAGACATTCGAGTAACCTACCTACCATGCTCAAACAAGCCTTACACCTGCCAGAGCCTGTATATATCTCATTTCCATCACTGGATCATGCACTGTGCTCAGTGGGAAATGAAAGTGTCAGAACTGACAACGACTCCCTCCAGAGCTGCCACAGTGTAGTTAGGTGCTCCCCAACACGTACAACACGCGCACACGCACGTGCACACGCTCCCAGGAAACAACAGAAAGCGTCTCTTCCCTACTGCCTACCAGGATTTTGCTCTGATCAGAGCGACCTATGGAAGGAGGCCCCTGGAATGCCTGGTTACCTTTGGACCCCAAACACTCTCTGGCAGAAAGCACGAAGAGGGGAACAGTGATGATGAACACTATGAGCAGGAGAGCACTGAGCATGAGCTCCAGCGTGGTGAAGCCCTTCAGCTTCTTTCTCGCCATCTGTGGTAGGAGAGAACAAAGCTAGATTTGAAAACAGTTGTAAGTTTCCTGTATTTATTTAATACACAGCTAGTAAGTTTTTTAATGGAAAAGTTCACATGTACGCCTAAGTAAGATGAATAACAAATCCCATGTACCCATCACTAGAATAAAAAATTACCAACTCATGGCCAATCTTGTCTTTATTCCTACTTACTTCTCTCCCCAACCTTGCAGTATTTTAAGCAAATCTCAGATTTCATATGTTTTAATCTGAAAATGTTGAAGTATATTTCTTAAATAAGGAATTCCACAGAAGACAAGCAAAATATCAACACATCTAAATTATTTTTTAAATAATCCATTAATCATCAAATATCTAGTCAATGTTGGAATTTCTATCATCATCTGATAAATTTTTTATAGTTTGTTCTCTTATAAGGATGCAAGTAAGATCTATATGTTATAATTAATTTGCATTTAAGTCTCTTTTAATCAATAGGGTTTGGTCTGTAGATTTCCCCACTGTTTGAATTTTACCAATTGTATCTCCATGCATGATAACATGTTTGTCTATAAATTAACTACCAGATCTAGAGTTTTGACCCGATACAGGTTTGAATTTTTAGCAAGAATGGTACATAGATGGTATAGAGTCTTCCAGCAGGAAACATATTATGTAGCAGATTCTCCCTTCTTTATGTCAACAGCCATTGGTAAGCATTTCTTAGACTCATTGTTTGATTAGGAGTTGTGAAATAACTACTAAATAGATACAGTAATCCTATCAGTCTTTATTTATTGGGAGAACTATTCTTATACAGAGATCATTCCTCTCACCTACTATTTTGATCAAAAAAAGTACAGTTCATACAAAAGGTAGGATAAATATTTGACTCTTTATTGACTGCTTTTCAAAACTAGAAACTGTCTCCCAAGCATCTTCCAACGGGGACTAGTGAGATAACTTGTCCGCCATCTTTATGAACTCACAGGCTTAAACGCATTGTATTCATGTTAGCTCTTCGATGTTATTATTATCAATGCTCATGTTGTCTCAGCTCTACCCAGTGGGCATCTCTCCAAGGTGGTTCTTTGTAGCCTTTGATAGTTGGCTTGCTTTCTGGTGTAACATGGTAACCTTGGCTCATGTGGTTCATTTCCTGCCCCAAGTCCCAAACCAAACTCTAAGGCGCCATTTCTGCTTTACAGGGACAAGGGTCTAGAAACTATAATTTGGAGAGAACTTAGATAGACTTCTACAACAGAAGATACCTGTGCATCATCTTGACCTGTGGCTACCTTTGGAGTCCTTGAGGATTTCCGACTTCAAAAAGATACGAAAATTACACACTTACCTATGTCAGGCTTGTTATGAATTTCAGCTGGGGGTTGGGCACTTCGTCAAGAAGTTTAAGTCAGAGGTTCAGCACCCACTCCCTGCCCCAACCCACTTAATTGGTATCTCTGGGGTTAGGTCTGGATATCTGATGATTTTTTAAGCTCTACAGATGATTCTGATATGAAGCCATGTTTCAGAAACAGTGAACCCATTATAGGTTTACAAGTCATAATAAATGTTTTATTATGCAAAAATATTAAGACATGGTGTCCACAGAGTTAAAAAATAAAAGTGGGACTAATAGATTAGTCAAATCCCTTCATTACGTAGATAAGTAAAGTAAGATACCCAGGGCGCAGTGCTTGCTCAGAGTCTCACGGTCTGGGGCCAGAGTCCAAATTGTCCAACCAGGTGAATATAGTTTCCTTTGGCTACAATGTCTGTCTATTTGGCAAGAGATATTTTGGTGGGCCTTATGAATGGAATACCCTGGAGCCTACTACAACCTCAGTCTTCAACAACTTGCCTCAATCTATTCCTGTCACCTTCTTCCAACCTGCTCTTACTGTCCTCACAAGTTGTGTGTGTCCTTACCTCCTCCCTCAGATTGGATTCCAGGCATTACATTCCTGACTATGGAGGACTTGAGACATACGACTGACTACTATAAGCTACCTTGGAGTTGCATATCCTCCTTCTGGATACATCGGACTTTCAGGACCTCCAACCACAGAACTTTCCACAGGGATGGTGTTCCTTCTCCATGGAACCTGATGCAGCATGTGTGATCCCCAGTACTGTGCTCCCAACAAACTAACTACAGTATTCCCACAATGCCTCGGGAACCCCGGGTGCTCCTGAAGCACAGTACACTGAAATCAAATGCATGAAGCTTATTTGTTGGGGATGCTCAATTTAGACAGTATTTAAGTCAAAAAAAGTAGGTCTTAAATAAAGATCCATGGAGTTCAAAACCTAAAAACAGAAACTTTATATTCAAAGAGCCACGCTACATTGGACCTTGAAGTATCTTCTCACTGGTGAGGAAGGACTCGGCAAAGTCATGCACACTCGTTCAATCCCTATGTGACATGAGAAGTAATGGAGAAATCTGTGCCCAGGGACCAGCTGGGCTGCTCAGCCAGGTGGATATTGATATCACCTGTCTAGATATGGCACCTAGAAACATAGTAAATATTCAAATAATGAAATAAAGGACCCCATTCCTAAGTATTTCTGAGTGGTGTGACCTACACAGAAACAGGACTCGAAGACAAGAAGCACTGGCAGCTGTCAGAGCAGGGCCCGCGGAAGGCTCAGCGTCACCGTCACGCAGGCCTCTGTGCAGGAGCATCTGCGTCCTCAGATTGACAACAGCCCTCTTCTCTCTCAACTTGTGAGTTCCCAGACTCTAAGAGTTATGCCTGCTTATCCCTCTTTATTTACCTCCCAAGTACTTAGTTGCAGTATCTGCATAATCAATTCTTATTGACTGATACTATTTTATTCCCCAATTAAAGATTTACAAAATACCTGCATACTTCCTAATTAGAGTGCACCATGAAACTATTTTAGAGGATCAAATGATGGCCCCTGCCGTCAGGGAGCTTGAAGTCCAATACTGTTATTTCCTTCTGCACAACAAAAGCAACATTTGGTAGAAAGAGTACTCTTCCTTGAGAATCAGAAGATCTAAATTTGATTTCACAGTCTGATGACCCTGAGAATTTCACTTAAGGTTTCTGATTCTCAGTTTCCTCATTTACAAATTAAAGAGGTTGAATGAGAGGATCTATAGAATTCATACCAGCATTTAATATGTCATTTTTGAGTGAATCGCATAAGCTGCTTACTCTTCACTCCTCCATTCCACAAGATTCCTGTGCTAAACACTCCATTACCGGTTTCCTTCTTCATCCTGTCCCCATGTTCTCCTTCTTGGAACAGCGACCACGCTAAATACAGCACAGGAAGACTTGAGCTTGATCCCTAGCCCTCCCACCACTTGGTGTGGTTGCCTAAATAATTTCCTTAATACTCTAGTGTTACAGTTTTCTTATCCATGAACATGGAGTTAATAATGTCTATTGTCATATTACCTATCGTCGGCTTCTTGTGAGAGTCAAATAAAACTACTTCCAACAATAAAGCGTTACAGATCATTATGTTATTACGCACCATGGAGAAGACCGTGGGCACTGGATAGGAAACAGGTCAAAGCCCTCGTCCCGTGAGTGTGACGCCAGGTCTCGCTCAGCTCTTTGCAAAGGGCAGATGCATATCCCTGGCTGCTGTCCTTAGGAGCGGGTTCTAATAGGAGCTCCTATCTGCTAAATGCTTTATGGCTCCACGTACCAGGTGACTCACACGTTATCTGGGACACAGTGCCAAAAGCTTGGAAGAATGGAGGAGCCGAGAGCAGTCCTGCCCATTCAAGGTCCACCTTCTCCCCCAAACCCGACCCCGGACCCTCTCCCAGGCTGCCTGTGAATCACACCTCACTCAGAAAGCACAGCTTCACCCTTCTTCCCTCAGGCCTCAATTCAAATCTCCCCAGCTTGGGAACCAAGCCCGCCCCTCAGCCTTAGCGTTTGATCTGCCCTCGCAGCCTCCTTCTCCACCCCCTCAGCATGTCCTCACACAACCTCCACGTTCTTCTCTGCCTTCCTCAGCCCTTTGCCCAAACGTTGAATGGCAACAGGACTTCTTTCTTAGTGCTATTTGTCAATGTAATGCTCCCTTACTGTAAAGGAAATGGGGCTGTCCCTTTCTCAACAACAAAGATTGCCTTGTTTTTTCTAAAATAAATTACCCAACTCTAGTCTCTTACCAGCTCTGTCCTCAATACCTCACATTCTTATAAGATATCCAATAATATTAATCTTGCATGTAAAATTCCATGAAGATTAATAATCTTCCATGCCTGGTATAATTCAATTAAGTAATGAGGGAAAGAGTGATCTGATGTTGCCCTGGCCGGCTTGGCTCAGTTGGTTGGGCATCGTCAGACAAACCGAGAGAGAGGTCGCCGGTTCGACTCCCAGGGCACATGCCTGGGTTGCAGGCTCCAGGCTCCACTCCAGTCAGGGTGCTTACTGAAGGCAACCAGTCAGTGTTTCTCTCCCACATCGTTGCTTCTCTCCCTCCTTTGCCCTCAAAATAAAATAAAATAAAATAAGAGCAATCTGATGTTCCCTGCAAAAAGCAGAGGTATCAGAATGCCCATCAAAGTGACCATGTCTTTTTTTCTTTGGTGGTTGCTAATAGTTGTGAGATAGGAGATTATTTCAATTTTTTCCTTATGTTTATTAACGCAGTGTTAAACACTATGAAGTAAAGGCACCTATACATTGCTAGTCAAATGGTAAATACCATACGCTCAAAGAAGATTGGGCAAAAAACTATTAAAATTGCTTCCACTCATAATCTGGAATTCCATTTATAGAAATTTAGCCTATTTACATATCTGCACATGCGCAAGGCAGTGTAGGTACCGATAAAGGTTTTCATTGCAGCACATGTGACACGTATAACCACAAAAGGTTAAAAATAGAGTAAATATCCCCAGACTAAGGACTGAGTACAATGTGCAATAAAATAAAATTTAATGTTATTCAAAATCATAATATGGTGGTTTAAAAGTGAAAAAAGCCCGCAAATCCTGTGATACCTCTCCAGT